TTCATCGCTTTTGAAGGCTATCTATCGCATATTATGACCGAATTTTTTATTGTTTTTCTTCATTTCTTTTCAAGGCTATCCATCATAGATTTAGGCCAAAGTTTTTTAACGATACACTTCAGCAATTTTGAATCTTATCCATCACTGATTTTGCCGATTTTGTCAAAGGCTATTATCCATCGATTTTGAAGTCTGCCCATCAGAGATTTTGGCCGATTTTGCTGAATGATATTATTCTTCAATTTTGAAGGTTACCCATCACAGATTTGGCCAATTATTTTGTAAGATATTCTTCTCCTATTCTGGAGGCTCTCAATCACAAATTTTGCTCGATTATTTTGAAGGCTTGTTCACCGACTTCAAAGGGTATCCATCACTGATTTTGGCTGTTTTTTTAATGCTATTATTTATCGATTTTGAAGGCTATCCATCAAAGATTTAAGCTTATTTTTTAATGCTATTTTCTCCTATTTTGAAGTCTAACCATCACTGATTTTGGTCAATTTTATGAATGTTATGTTCACAGATTTTGAAGGTTATTAATCACATATTTTTATCAATTTTTGGAATATTATTCTTCCCTATTTTTGAAGGCTATCCATCACATATTTTGATTAATTTTATTAATGCTATATTCACCTTTTTTAAAGGCTATGCATAATAGATTTTTGACGATTTTTTAAGGCTATTTTTCATCTATTTTGAATCTATCCATCACATATTTTGGCCGATTCTTTTGAATGCTATTATTCTCCAATTTTGAAGGTTGTTTGATTCTTTTCAAAATCGGTGATGGATAGCCTTCGAAATTTGTGAATAATAGGATTCAAAAAAATTCGGCCAAAATTTGTGTTGGATATCATACCATCCAAAATCTATGAAAATAGCATTCTGAAAAATTGGCCAAAATCTGTTATAAATAGCCTTCAAAATCGATGAATAATATCATTCAAAGAAATAGCAAGAAGGCTATCATCCATCACATATTTTGGCATATTCTTTTGAATTCTATTATTCACCGATTTTAAATAGTCTCACCCCAAAGTCATGATTTGCAACCTTCAAAATCCAAGGAAAATGGCCTTCCGAACAAAATCGCCCAAAAAATTATGAAAATGTCATCCGAAAATAAAACCTCAAATTGGTGTTTATTGGACTTAACCATCGTTGCAAAATAGGAACAATAGACTTCATCATCAGTGGAGAATAGCCTCAGGGCGAATATGTCATTGTAGCCTTAAAAATCGAAAAATGGTATTTCAAAACAGTCGCCCAAAATCCGTGATGGTAACCCTTTGTAATCTGTCAAAAAAGGACCCAGAAGAAATCCGATAAACTCAGTTCTTAGTGGATTAATCATCAGTGAAGAATAGCCTCAACCGAATCCATGATCCGTAGCCCCTTCAAAAACCAAGGAAAATGGACTTTCGAAAAAAATTGCTAAAAAATTTATGAAAATGCCATCCGACTCATCCGAGAATAAGTTGGCCCAATTCGGTGCTTAATGGAGATAATCATCGTTGGAGAACATGGTCATAGACTTCATTATCGGTGGACAATAGCCTCAGGCTGAATCCGCGATCTATAGCCTCCAAAATCGAAAGAATTGACATTTTCAGAAAAATGACCTGCAATATGTGACGGTACCCCTTTGGAATTTGCCAAAAATGGACCCAAAAGAAATCCACCCAAATCATTCTTAATGGACTTAATCATCGTTGAAGAATGGCCTCACAACAAATCTGTGATATGTAGCCTTCAAAATCCAAGGAAAATGGCCTTTCGGGAAAAAATCGCCCATGAAATTACGAAAATGTCATCCGAAAATGAATTTGACCAAATCGGTGCTTAATAGACTTAAATCTTTGGTGGATAATAGGATCAATGGACTTCATTATTGGTGGAGAATAGCCTCGGGCTGAATCTGTGATATGTAGCCTTCAAAAACGAAAGAAAATGGCGTTTATTGAAAATCGCTCAAAATCGATGATGGTACCCCTTTGGAGTTTGCCAAAAATGGATCTGGAAGAAATCCTCGCAAATCGGTACTTAATGGACTCAGTCATCGTCAGGGTTCTTAACAGCACGCCTAGGCACTCGCCTAATCTCGCCTAGGCGCAAGTCAGAAGGAAAGTGCCTTGCCTTGGCAAAAAGCAGTGGAGAAGGCGTCACAACCATGTGGTGTCCTCGGTAGCACCTGCTCAGCATTGAGTTGTGCCTCAAAATGATGTCACGATGTCATTTTCTACCTTTTGATATGCTACTAGAGAGGGCTGTCTTGAATACTCTATAGTTATGCTAGAATATAGTTAGAGACGACAATCATTAGATTAGCTCCTTCTTTCTTTTTTGCGCTTCTTCGTCTCAATGTGCTTTGCTATTTTTCAGCTTCTTCTTCCTTACTCATTTCTCCACAGTATGTTTTATGTTTCACCATGTGTTGTTGATGAAAGTTTAGAAATGAGAGGTAGATATGATGATATTTGGTTTTAAAACTTGTGATTCTAAGCATGTGGGAGATATTTACTACGTTTACATCTAACGCCTAGGCGACGCCTAAGCATGCTAGGCGCAAGGCAGAGTCTCAACGCTCGCCTTACGCTTAGCGCTTCTTTGAAACTTGGTCATTGTTGAAGAATACCGTCATGTCGAATCAGTGATCTGTAGCCTTCAAAATCCAAGGAAAATGGACTTCCGAAAAAAAAATATTTTGAAAATTACGAAAATGCCATCCGAAAATGAATTCGTCCAAATTGGTGCTTAATGGACTTAATCTTTGATGGAGAATAGGATCAATAGACTTCATTATCGGTGCAGAATAGCCTCGTGTTGAATCCATGAACTGTAGCCTTCAAAATCGAAAGAAAATGGCATTTCAGGAGAATCGTCAGAAATCGGTGATGGGTACCCCCGTTGGAGTCTACCAAAAATGGCCACGGAAGAAATCCGCCCAAATCGGTGCTGAATAGGATCAATAGATGGAGAATAGGATCAATAGACTTCATTATCGGTTGAGAATAACCTCGGTCTGGTTTCGTGATCTGTAGCCTCCAGAATAGAAAGAAAATGACATTTCAGAAAAATCGCCCAAAATCTGTGATGGTACCCCTTTGCAATCTGCCAAAAATTGACCCGGAATAAATCCGCCCAAATAGGTGCTTAATGAACTTAGTCATCGTTGAAGAATATTCTCAGGCCGAATCCGTGATCTGTAGCCTTCAAAATCCAAAGAAAATGGCCTTTCGATCAATCCAAAAATAACGAAAATGCCATCCGAAAATAAATTGGCCCAAATCTGTGTTTAATGGACTTATCATCCATGGAGAATAGGATCAATAGACTTCATTATCGGTGGAGAATAGCCTCGGTCTGGTTTCGTGATCTATAGCCTCCAGAATCGAAAGAAAATGAAATTTCGGAAAAATCGCCCAAAATTTGTGATGGTACCCCTTTGCAATCTGCCAAAAATTGAACCGGAATAAATCCACCCAAATCGGTGCTTAATGAACTTAGTCATCATTGAAGAATAGTCTCAGGACGAATCCGTGATCTGTAGCCTTCAAAATCCAAAGAAAATGGCCTTTCGATCAATCCAAAAATTACGAAAATGCCATCCGAAAATAAATTGGCCCAAATCTGTGTTTAATGGACTTATCATCCATGGAGAATAGGATCAATAGACACCATTATCGGTTGAGAATAACCTCGGTCTGGTTTGTGATCTATAGCCTCCAGAATCGAAAGAAAATGACATTTCGGAAAAATCACCCAAAATCTGTGATGGTACCCCTTTGCAATCTGCCAAAAATTGACCCGGAATAAATCCGACCAAATCAGTGCTTAATGGACTTAGTCATCGTTGAAGAATAGTCTCAGGCCGAATCCTTGATCTGTAGCCTTTAAAATCCAAATAAAATGACCTTTCGATCAATCCAAAATTACGAAAATGGCATCCAAAAATAAATTGGCCCAAATCGGTCTTTAATAGACTTATCATCCGTGGAGTATAGGATCAATAGACCTCATTATCGGTGGAGAATAGCCTCGGTTTGGTTTCGTGATCTGTAGCCTCCAAAATCGAAAGAAAATAACATTTCGGAAAAATCGCCCAAAATCTGTGATGGTACCCCTTTGCAATCTGCCAAAAATTGACTTGGAATAAATCCGCCCAAATCGGTGCTTAATGGACTTAGTCATCGTGAAGAATAGTCTTAGGCCGAATCCGTGATCTGTAGCCTTCAAAATCCAAAGAAAATAACCTTTCGATCAATACAAAAATTATGAAAACGCCATCCGAAAATAAATTGGCCCAAATATGTGTTTAATGGACTTATCATCCGTGGAGAATAGGATCAATAGACTTCATTATCGGTGGAGAATAGCCTCGGTCTGGTTTCGTGATTTGTAGCCTCCAGAATCGAAATAAAATGACATTTCGGAAAAATCGCCCAAAATCTGTGATGGTACCCCTTCGCAATCTGTAAAAAAGTGACCCAGAATAACTCCGCCCAAATTGGTGCTTAATGGACTTACTCATCGTTGAAGAATAGTCTCAGGCCGAATCCGTGATCTGTAGCCTTCAAAATCCAAAGAAAATGACCTTTCGATCAATCCAAAAATAACGAAAATGCAATCCGAAAATAAATTGGCCCACATCGGTGTTTAATGGACTTATCGTACATGGAGAATAGGATCAATAGACTTCGTTATCGGTGGAGAATAGCCTCAGTCTGGTTTCGTGATCTGTAGCCTCCAAAATCGAAAGAAAATAACATTTCGGAAAAATCGCCCAAAATCTGTGATGGTACCCCTTTGCAATCTGCCAAAAATTGACTTGGAATAAATCCGCCCAAATCGGTGCTTAATCGACTTAGTCATCGTGAAGAATAGTCTTAGGCCGAATCCGTGATCTGTAGCCTTCAAAATCCAAAGAAAATAACCTTTCGATCAATACAAAAATTATGAAAACGCCATCCGAAAATAAATTGGCCCAAATATGTGTTTAATGGACTTATCATCCGTGGAGAATAGGATCAATAGACTTCATTATCGGTGGAGAATAGCCTCGGTCTGGTTTCGTGATTTGTAGCCTCCAGAATCGAAATAAAATGACATTTCGGAAAAATCGCCCAAAATCTGTGATGGTACCCCTTCGCAATCTGTAAAAAATTGACCCAGAATAACTCCGCCCAAATCGGTGCTTAATGGACTTAGTCATCGTTGAAGAATAGTCTCAGGCCGAATCCGTGATCTGTAGCCTTCAAAATCCAAAGAAAATGACCTTTCGATCAATCCAAAAATAACGAAAATGCAATCCGAAAATAAATTGGCCCACATCGGTGTTTAATGGACTTATCGTACATGGAGAATAGGATCAATAGACTTCATTATCGGTGGAGAATAGCCTCGGTCTGGTTTCGTGATCTATAGCCTCCAGAATCGAAAGAAAATGAAATTTCAGAAAAATCGCCCAAAATTTGTGATGGTACCCCTTTGCAATCTGCCAAAAATTGACCCGGAATAAATCCGCCTAAATCGGTGCTTAATGAACTTAGTCATCGTTGAAAATAGTCTCAGGACGAATCCGTGATCTGTAGCCTTCAAAATCCAAAGAAAATGGCCTTTCGATCAATCCAAAAATTACGAAAATGCTATCCGAAAATAAATTGGCCCAAATTGGTGTTTAATGGACTTATCGTCCATGGAGAATAGGATCAATAGACTTCATTATCGGTGGAGAATAGCCTCAGTCTGGTTTCGTGATCTGTAGCCTCCAGAATCGAAAGAAAATGACATTTCGGAAAAATCGCCCAAAATCTGTGATGGTACCCCTTTGCAATCTGCCAAAAATTGACATGTATTAAATCCGCCCAAATCGGTGCTTAATGGTCTTAGTCATCGTTGAAGAATAGTATCAGGCCGAATCAGTGATCTGTAGCCTTCGAAATAAAAAAAAAAGACCTTTCGATCAATCCAAAAATTACGAAAAATTGCATCCGAAAATAAATTGGCCCAAATCGGTGCTTAATGGACTTATCATCCATGGAGAATAGGATCAATAGACACCATTATCGGTTGAGAATAACCTCGGTATGGTTTCGTGATCTGTAGCCTCCAGAATCGAAAGAAAATGACATTTCGAAAAAATAGCCCAAAATCTGTGATGGTACCACTTTGCAATCTGCCAAAAATTGACGTGGAATAAATCCGACCAAATCAGTGCTTAATGGACTTAGTCATAGTTGAAGAATAGTCTCAGGCCGAATCCGTGATCTGTAGCCTTTAAAATCCAAAGAAAATGACCTTTCGATCAATCCAAAAATTACGAAAATGGGATCCGAAAATAAATTGGCCCAAATCGGTGTTTAATGGACTTATCGTCCGTGGAGTATAGGATCAAAAGACTTCATTATGGGTTGAGAATAACCTCGGTCTGGTTTCGTGATCTGTAGCCTCCAGAATCGAAAGAAAATGACATTTCGGAAAAATCGCTCAAAATCTGTGATGGTACCCCTTTGCAATCTGCCAAAAATTGGCCTGGAATAAATCCGCCCAAATCGATGCTTAATGGACTTAGCCATCGTGAAGAATAGTCTCAGGCCGAATCCGTGATCTGTAGTCTTTAAAATCCAAAGAAAATGACCTTTCGATCAATACAAAATTATGAAAACGCCATCCGAAAATAAATTGGCCCAAATCGGTGTTTAATGGACTTATCATCCGTGGAGAATAGGATCAATAGACTTTATTATCGGTGGAGAATAGCCTCGGTCTGGTTTCGTGATCTGTAGCCTCCAGAATCGAAAGAAAATGACATTTCGGAAAAATCGCCCAAAATCTGTGATGGTACACCCCTTTGCAATCTGCAAAAAATTGACCCAGAATAAATCCGCCCAAATCGGTGCTTAATGGACTTAGTCATCGTTGAAGAATAGTCTCAGGCCGAATCCGTGATCTGTAGCCTTCAAAATCCAAAGAAAATGACCTTTCGATTAATCCAAAAATAACGAAAATGCCATCCGAAAATAAATTGGCCCAAATCGGTGTTTAATGGACTTATCATCCGTGGATAATAGGATCAATAGACTTCATTATCGGTGGAGAATAGCCTCGGTCTGGTTTCGTGATCTGTAGCCTCCAGAATCGAAAGAAAATGACCTTTCGGAAAAATCGCCCAAAATCTGTGATGGTACCCCTTTGCAATATGCCAAAAATTGTCATGGAATAAATCCGCCCAAATCGGTGCTTAATGGTCTTAGTCATCGTTGAAGAATAGTCTCAGGCCGAATCCGTGATCTGTAGCCTTCGAAATAAAAAAAAAAGACCTTTCGATCAATCCAAAAATTACGAAAAATTGCATCCGAAAATAAATTGGCACAAATCGGTGCTTAATGGACTTATCATCCGTGGAGAATAGGATCAATAGATTTCATTATCGGTGGAGAATAGCCTCGGTCTAGTATTGTGATCTGTAGCCTCCAGAATCGTAAGAAAATGACATTTCGGAAAAATCGCCCAAAATCTGTGATGTACCCCTTTGCAATTTGCCAAAATTTGACCCGAAATAAATATGCCCAAATCGGTGCTTAATGTACTTAGTCATCGTTGAAGAATAGTCTCATGCCGAATCCGTGATATGTAGCCTTCAAAATCCAAAGAAAATGGCCTTTCGACGCCCACAAAATTACGAAAATGTCATCCGAAAATAAATTGGCCCAAATCGGTGTTTAATGGACTTATAATCCATGGAGAATAAGATCAATAGACTTCATTATCGGTGGAGAATAGCCTCGGTCTGGTTTCGTGATTTGTATCCTCCAGAATCGAAAGAAAATGACATTTCGGAAAAATCGCACAAAATCTATGATGGTACCCCTTTGCAATCTGCCAAAAATTGCCCGGAATAAAGCCGCCCAAATCGGTGATTAATGGACTTAGTCATCGTTGAATAATAGTCTCAGGCCGAATCCGTGATCTGTAGCCTTCAAAATCCAAAGAAAATGACCTTTCGATCAATCCAAAAATTACGAAAATGGCATCCGAAAATAAATTGGCCCAAATCGGTGTTTAATGGACTTATCATCCATGGAGAATAGGATCAATAGATTTCATTATTGGTGGAGAATAGCCCCGGTCTGGTTTCGTGATCTGTAGCCTCCAGAATCGAAAGAAAATGACATTTCGGAAAAATCGCCCAAAATCTGTGATGGTACCCCTTTGCAATCTGCCAAAAATTGGCCCGGAATAAATCCGCCCAAATCATTCTTAATGGACTTAATCATCGTTGAAGAATGGCCTCACAACAAATCTGTGATATGTAGCCTTCAAAATCCAAGGAAAATGGCCTTTCGGGAAAAAATCGCCCATGAAATTACGAAAATGTCATCCGAAAATGAATTTGACCAAATCGGTGCTTAATAGACTTAAATCTTTGGTGGATAATAGGATCAATGGACTTCATTATTGAAGGAGAATAGCCTCGGGCTGAATCTGTGATATGTAGCCTTCAAAAACGAAAGAAAATGGCGTTTATTGAAAATCGCTCAAAATCGATGATGGTACCCCTTTGGAGTTTGCCAAAAATGGATCTGGAAGAAATCCTCGCAAATCGGTACTTAATGGACTCAGTCATCGTCAGGGTTCTTAACAGCACGCCTAGGCACTCGCCTAATCTCGCCTGGGCGCAAGTCAGAAGGAAAGTGCCTTGCCTTGGCAAAAAGCAGTGGAGAAGGCGTCACAACCATGTGGTGTCCTCGGTAGCACCTGCTCAGCATTGAGTTGTGCCTCAAAATGATGTCACGATGTTATTTTCTACCTTTTGATATGCTACTAGAGAGGGCTGTCTTGAATACTCTATAGTTATGCTAGAATATAGTTAGAGACGACAATCATTAGATTAGCTCCTTCTTTCTTTTTTGCGCTTCTTCGTCTCAATGTGCTTTGCTATTTTTCAGCTTCTTCTTCCTTACTCATTTCTCCACAGTATGTTTTATGTTTCACCATGTGTTGTTGATGAAAGTTTAGAAATGAGAGGTAGATATGATGATATTTGGTTTTAAAACTTGTGATTCTAAGCACGTGGGAGATATTTACTACGTTTACATCTAACGCCTAGGCGACGCCTAAGCATGCTAGGCGCAAGGCAGAGTCTCAACGCTCGCCTTACGCTTAGCGCTTCTTTGAAACTTGGTCATTGTTGAAGAATACCGTCATGTCGAATCAGTGATCTAGCCTTCAAAATCCAAGGAAAATGGACTTCCAAAAAAAAAATATTTTGAAAATTACGAAAATGCCATCCGAAAATGAATTCGTCCAAATTGGTGCTTAATGGACTTAATCTTTGATGGAGAATAGGATCAATAGACTTCATTATCGGTGCAGAATAGCCTCGTGTTGAATCCATGAACTGTAGCCTTCAAAATCGAAAGAAAATGGCATTTCAGGAGAATCGTCAGAAATCGGTGATGGTACCCCCCGTTGGAGTCTGCCAAAAATGGCCACGGAAGAAATCCGCCCAAATCGGTGCTGAATGAACTCAATCATCGTTGAAGAATAACATCATGTTGAATCCAAGGAAAATGGCCTTTCGAAAAAACTTTCGCCCAAAAAATTATGAAAATGCCATGCGAAAATGAATTCTCCGAAATCGGTGCCTAATGGACTTAATCTTCGGTGGAGAATAGGCTCAATATACTTCATTGTCGGTGGAGAATATCCTCGGACGGAATCCGTGTTTTGTAGCCGTAAAAAATGAAAGAAAATGGAGTTTCAGAAAATCGCCTAAAATTGGTGATGGTACCCCTTTGGAGTCTGCCAAAAATGGGCACGGAAAATATCTCCCCAAATCGGTGCTTAATGGACGTAATCATCATTGAAGAATAGCCTCAGACCGAATCCACAATCTGTATCCTTCAAAATCCAAAGAAAATAATGGCCTTTCATCGCCCAAAAAATCACGAAAATTCCATCTGAAAATAAATTGGCCCAAATCGGTGCTTAATAGACTTATCTTCTGTGGAGATTAGGATCAATAGACTTCATTATCGGTGGAGAATAGACTCGACCTGATTCCGTGATCTGTAGCCTCCAGAATCGAAAGAGAATAGCAATTCGGAAAAATCGCCCGAAATCTGTCATGGTTCCCCTTTGGAATCTGCCAAAAATTGACCCGGAATAAATCAGGCCAAATCGGTTCTTAATGGACTTAATCATCGTTGATGAATAGCCTCAGGCTGAATCCGCGATTTGTACCCTCAATATCCAAAGAAAATGGCCTTTCAGCCTCCAAAAAATTACGAAAATGTCATCTGAAAATAAATTGGCCCAAATCGGGGTAGTTACCCCTCTGGAAGCTGCACAAATTTTACTGGAATAAATCCTCCCAAATCGACACTTAATGGACTTAATTATCGTTGAAGAATAGCCTCAGACCGAATTCGCGATCTGTAGCCTTCAAAATTCCAAAGAAAATGGTCTTTTGTTGCCCAAAAAATTACGAAAATTCCATCCGAAGATAAATTGGCCCAAATAGCAGCTTAATGACCTAATCATACGTGGAGAATAGGATCAATATACTTCATTATCGGAGGAGAATGCCTCACCTTGATTCCAAGATATTTAACCTCCAGAATCGAAAGAAAACGACATTTCGGAAAAATCGCCCGAAATCTGTGATGGTACCTCTTTGGAATATGCCAAAAATTGACCCGGAATCAATCCTCCGAAAACGGTGCGTCTTAGTCATCTTTGAAGAATAGTCTCAGGCCGAATCCATGATCTGTAGCCTTCAAAATCCAAAGAAAATGACATTTCGATCAATCCAAACATAACGAAAATGCCATCCGAAAATAAATTGGCCAAAATTGGTGTTTAATGGACTTATCGTCCGTGGAGAATAGGATCAATAGACTTCATTATCGGTGGAGAATAGCTTCAGTCTGGTTTCGTGATCTTTAGCCTCCAGAATCGAAAGAAAATAACATTTCGGAAAAATCGCCCAAAATCTGTGATGGTACCCCTTTGCAATCTTGAAAAAATTGACCCGAAATAAATCCGCCCAAATCGGTGCTTAATGGTCTTAGTCATATTTGAAGAATAGTCTCAGGCCGAATCCATGATCTGTAGCCTTCAAAATCCAAAAAAATGACCTTTCGATCAATCCAAAAATAACGAAAATGACATCCGAAAATAAATTGGCCCAAATTGGTGTTTAATGGACTTATCATCCACGGAGAATAGGATCAATAGACTTCATTATCGGTGGAGAATAGCTTCAGTCTGGTTTCGTGATCTGTAGCCTCCAGAATCGAAAGAAAATAACATTTCTGAAAAATCGCCGAAAATCTGTGATGGTACCCCTTTGCAATCTGCCAAAAATTGACATGGAATAAATCCTCCCAAATAGGTGCTTAATGGACTTAGTCAACGTTGAAGAATAGTCTCATGCCGAATCCGTGATCTGTAGCCTTCAAAATCCAAAGAAAATGGCCTTTCGACACCCACAAAATTACGAAAATAACATCCGAAAATAAATTGGCCCAAATCGGTGTTTAATGAACTTATCATCCGTGGAGAATAGGATCAATAGACTTCATTATCGATGGAGAATAGCCTCGGTCTGGTTTCGTGATCTGTAGCCTCCAGAATCGAAAGAAAATGACATTTCGGAAAAATCGCCCAAAATATGTGATGGTACCCCTTTGCAATCTGCCAAAAATTGATCCAGAATAAATCTTCCCAAATCGGTGCTTAATGGAGTTAGTCATCGTTGAAGAATAGTCTCAGGCCGAATCCGTGATCTGTAGCATTCAAAATCCAAAGAAAATGACCTTTCGATCAATCCAATAATTACGAAAATGCTATCCAAAAATAAATTGGCCCAAATCGGTGTTTAATGGACTTATCATCCGTGGAGAATATAATCAATAGACTTCATTATCGGTGGAGAATAGCCTCGATCTGGTTTCGTGATCTGTATCGTCCAGAATCGAAAGAAAATGACCTTTCGGAAAAATCGCCCAAAATATATGATGGTACTCCTTTGCAATCTGCCAAAAATTGCCCGGAATAAATCCGCCCAAATCGGTGCTTAATGGACTTAGTCATCGTTGAATAATAGTCTCAGGCCGAATCCGTGATCTGTAGCCTTCAAAATCCAAAGAAAATGGCCTTTCGATCAATCCAAAAATTACGAAAATGCTATCCGAAAATAAATTGGCCCAAATCGGTGTTTAATGGAATTATCATCCATGGAGAATAGGATCAATAGACTTCATTATCGGTTGAGAATAACCTCGGTCTGGTTTCGTGATCTGTAGCCTCCAGAATAGAAAGAAAATGACATTTCAGAAAAATCGCCCAAAATCTGTGATGGTACTCCTTTGCAATCTGCCAAAAATTGACCCGGACTAAATCCGCCCAAATAGGTGCTTAATGAACTTAGTCATCGTTGAAGAATATTCTCAGGCCGAATCCGTAATCTGTAGCCTTCAAAATCCAAAGAAAATGGCCTTTCGATCAATCCACAAATTACGAAAATGCCATCCGAAAATAAATTGGCCCAAATTGTGTTTAATGGACTTATCATCCATGGAGAATAGGATCAATAGACACCATTATCGGTTGAGAATAACCTCGGTCTGGTTTCGTGATCTATAGCCTCCAGAATCGAAAGAAAATGACATTTCGGAAAAATCGCCCAAAATCTGTGATGGTACCCCTTTGCGATCTGCCAAAAATTGACCCGGAATAAATCCGACCAAATCAGTGCTTAATGGACTTAGTCATCGTTGAAGAATAGTCTCAGGCCGAATCCGTGATCTGTAGCCTTTAAAATCCAAAGAAAATGACCTTTCGATCAATCCAAAATTACGAAAATGGCATCCAAAAATAAATTGGCCCAAATCGGTGTTTAATGGACTTATCATCCGTGGAGTATAGGATCAATAGACTTCATTATCGGTGGAGAATAGCCTCGGTTTGGTTTCGTGATCTGTAGCCTCCAAAATCGAAAGAAAATAACATTTCGGAAAAATCGCCCAAAATCTGTGATGGTACCCCTTTGCAATATGCCAAAAATTGACTTGGAATAAATCCGCCCAAATCGGTGCTTAATGGACTTAGTCATCGTGAAGAATAGTCTTAGGCCGAATCCGTGATCTGTAGCCTTCAAAATCCAAAGAAAATAACCTTTCGATCAATACAAAAATTATGAAAACGCCATCCGAAAATAAATTGGCCCAAATATGTGTTTAATGGACTTATCATCCGTGGAGAATAGGATGAATAGACTTCATTATCGGTGGAGAATAGCCTCGGTCTGGTTTCGTAATTTGTAGCCTCCAGAATCGAAATAAAATGACATTTCGGAAAAATCGCCCAAAATCTGTGATGGTACTTAATGGACTTAGTCATCGTTGAAGAATAGTCTCAGGCCGAATCCGTTATCTGTAGCCTTCAAAATCCAAAGAAAATGACATTTCGATCAATCCAAAAATAACGAAAATGCAATCCGAAAATAAATTGGCCCACATCGGTGTTTAATGGACTTATCGTCCATGGAGAATAGGATCAATAGACTTCATTATCGGTGGAGAATAGCCTCGGTCTGGTTTCGTGATCTATAGCCTCCAGAATCGAAAGAAAATGAAATTTCGGAAAAATCGCCCAAAATTTGTGATGGTACCCCTTTGCAATCTGCCAAAAATTGACCCGGAATAAATCCGCCCAAATCGGTGCTTAATGAACTTAGTCATCGTTGAAGAATAGTCTCAGGACGAATCCGTGATCTGTAGCCTTCAAAATCCAAAGAAAATGGCCTTTCGATCAATCCAAAAATTACGAAAATGCTATCCGAAAATAAATTGGCCCAAATCGGTGTTTAATGGACCTATCATCCATGGAGAATAGGATCAATAGACTTCATTATCGGTTGAGAATAAACTCGGTCTGGTTTCGTGATCTGTAGCCTCCAGAATAGAAAGAAAATGACATTCAGAAAAATCGCCCAAAATCTGTGATGGTACCCCTTTACAAACTGCCAAAAATTGACCCGGAATAAATCCGCCCAAATCGGTGCTTAATGAACTTAGTCATCGTTGAATAATATTCTCAGGCCGAATCCGTGATCTGTAGCCTTCAAAATCCAAAGAAAATGGCCTTTCGATCAATCCAAAAATTACGAAAATGCCATCCGAAAATAAATTGGCCCAAATCGGTGTTTAATGGACTTATCATCCGTGGAGAATAGGATCAATAGACACCATTATCGGTTGAGAATAACCTCGGTCTGGTTTCGTGATCTGTAGCCTCCAGAATCGAAAGAAAATGACATTTCGGAAAAATCGCCCAAAATCTGTGATGGTACCCCTTTGCAATCTGCCAAAAATTGGCCTGGAATAAATCCGCCCAAATCGGTGCTTAATGGACTTAGCCATCGTGAAGAATAGTCTCAGGCCGAATCCGTGATCTGTAGCCTTCAAAATCCAAAGAAAATGACCTTTCGATCAATCCAAAAATAACGAAAATGCAATCCGAAAATAAATTGGCCCACATCGGTGTTTAATGGACTTATCGTCCATGGAGAACAGGATCAATAGACTTCATTATCGGTGGAGAATAGCCTCGGTCTGGTTGCGTGATCTATAGCCTCCAGAATCGAAAGAAAATGAAATTTCGAAAAAATCGCCCAAAATTTGTGATGGTACCCCTTTGCAATCTGCCAAAAATTGACTTGGAATAAATCCGCCCAAATCGGTGCTTAATGGACTTAGTCATCGTTGAAGAATAGTCTCAGGACGAATCCGTGATCTGTGGCCTTCAAATCCAAAGAAAATGGCCTTTCGACGCCCACAAAATTAAGAAAATGCTATCCGAAAATAAATTGGCCCAAATCGATGTTTAAGGGACTTATCATCCGTGGAGAATATGATCAATAGACTTAATTATCGGTTGAGAATAACCTCGGTCTGGTTTCGTGATCTGTAGCCTCCAGATCGAAAGAAAATGACATTCAGAAAAGTCGCCCAAAATCTGTGATGGTACCCCTTTGCAATCTGCCAAAAATTGACCCGGAATATATCCGCCCAAATCGTTGCTTAATGGTCTTAGTCATCGTTGAAGAATAGTCTCAGGCCGAATCCGTGATCTGTAGCCTTTAAAATCCAAAGAAAATGACCTTTCGATCAATCCAAAAATAAAGAAAATGCCATCCGAAAATAATTTGGCCCAAATTGGTGTTTAATGGACTTATCATCCGTGGAGTATAGGATCAATAGACTTCATTATCGGTGGAGAATAGCCTCGGTTTGGTTTCGTGATCTGTAGCCTCCAAAATCGAAAGAAAATAACATTTCGGAAAAATCGCCCAAAATATATGATGGTACCCCTTTGCAATCTGCCAAAAATTTCCCGGAATAAATCCGCCCAAATCGGTGCTTAATGGACTTAGTCATCGTTGAATAATAGTCTAAGGCCGAAGCCGTGATCTGTAGCCTTCAGATTCCAAAGAAAATGGCCTTTCGATCAATAAATAAATTACGAAAATTCCATCCGAAAATAAATTGGCCCAAATCGGTGTTTAATGGACTTATCATCAGTGGAGAATAGGATCAATAGACTTCATTAGCGGTTGAGAATAACCTCGGTCTGGTTTAATGATCTGTAGCCTCCAGAATCGAAAGAAAATGACATTTCGGAAAAATCGCCCAAAATCTGTGATGGTACCCCTTTGCAATCTGGCAAAAATTGACCCGGACTAAATCCGCCCAAATCGGTGCTTAATGAACTTAGTCATCTTTGAAGAATATTCTCAGGCCGAATCCGTGATCTGTAGCCTTCAAAATCCAAAGATAATGGCCTTTAGATAAATCCTAAAATTACGAAAATGCCATCCAAAAATAAATTGGCCCAAATCGGTGTTTAATGGACTTATCACCCGTGGAGAATAAGATCAATAGACTTCATTATCGGTGGAGAATAGCCTCGGTCTGGTTTCGTGATCTGTAGCCTCTAGAATCGAAAGAAAATGACATTTCGGAAAAATCTCACAAAATCTGTGATGGTACCCCTTAGCAATATGCAAAAAATTAACCCGGAATAAATCCGTCCAAATCTGTGCTTAATGAACTTAGTAATCGTTGAAGAATAGTCTCTGACAAATCCGTGATATGTAGCCTTTAAAATCCAAAGAAAATGACCTTCCGACGCCCACAAAATTACGAAAATGCCATCCAAAAATAAATTGGCCCAAATTGGTGTTTAATGGAGTTATTATCCGTGGAGAATAGGATCAATAGACTTCATTATCGATGGAGAATAGCCTCTGTCTGGTTTCGTGATCTGTAGCCTCCAGAATCGAAAGAAAATGACATTTCGGAAAAATCGTCCAAAATATGTGATGGTACCCCTTTGCAATCTGCCAGAAATTGACCCGGAATAAATCCGCCCAAATCGGTGCTGAATGGACTTAGTCATCGTTAAAGAATAGTCTCAGGCCGAATCCGTGATCTGTAGCCTTCAAATCCAAAGAAAATGGCCTTTCGATGCCCACAAAAATACGAAAATTCCATAAGAAAATAAATTGGCCCAAATCGGTGTTTAATGGACTTATCATCAGTGGTGAATAGGATCAATAGACTTCATTAGCGGTTGAGAATAACCTCGGTCTGGTTTTGTGATCTGTAGCCTCCAGAATCGAAAGAAAATGACATTTCGGAAAAATCGACCAAAATCTGTGATGGTACCCCTTTGCAATCTGCCAAAAATTGACCCGGAATAAATCCGCCCAAATCGGTGCTTAATGAACTTAGTCATCGTTGAAGAATAGTCTCAGGCCGAATCCGTGATCTGTAGCCTTCAAAATCCAAAGAAAATGACCTTTCGATGCCCACAAAAGTACGAAAATTCCATCCGAAAATAAATTGGCCCAAATCGGTGTTTAATGGACTTATCTTCAGTGGAGAATAGGATCAATAGACTTCATTAGCGGTTGAGAATAACCTCGGTCTGGTTTAGTGATCTGTAGCCTCCAGAATCGAAAGAAAATGACATTTCGGAAAAATCGACCAAAATCTGTGATGGTACCCCTTTGCAATCTGCCAGAAAGTGACCCGGAATAAATCCACCCAAATCGGTGCTGAATGGACTTAGTCATCGTTAAAGAATAGTCTCAGGCCGAATCCGTGATCTGTAGCCTTCAAATCCAAAGAAAATGGCCTTTCGACGCCCACAAAATTAAGAAAATGCCATCCGAAAATAAATTGGCCCAAATCGATGTTTAATGGACTTATCATCCGTGGATAATAGGATCAATAGACTTCATTATCAGTGGAGAATAGCCTCGGTCTGGTTTTGAGATCAGTAGCCTCCAGAATCGAAAGAAAATGACATTTCGAGAAAATCGCCCAAAATCTGTGATGGTACCCCTTTGCAATCTGCCAAATATTGACCCGGAATAAATCCGCCCAAATCGGAGCTTAATGGACTTAATTATCGTTGAAGAATAGTCTCAGGCCGAATCCGTGATCTGTAGCCTTCAAAATCCAAAGAAAATGACCTTTCGATGCCCACAAAAATACGAAAATGCCATCTGAAAATAAATTGGCCCAAATCGGTGTTTAATGAACTTATCATCCGTGGAGAATAGGATCAATAGACTTCATTATCTGTGGAGAATAGCCTCGATCTGGTTTCATGATCTGTATCCTCCAGAATCGAAAGAAAATGACATTTCGGAAAAATCGCCCAAAATCTGTGATGGTACCCCTTTGCAATATGCCAAAAATTGACCCGGAATAAATCCGCCCAAATCGGTGCTTAATGGACTTAATTATCGTTGAAGAAAAGTCTTAGGCCGAATTCGTGATTTGTAACCTTAAAAATCGAAAGAAAATAACCTTTGGATGCCCACAAAATTACGAAAATGCCATCCGAAAATAAATTGGCCTAAATCGGTGTTTAATGAACTTATCATCCATGGAGAATAGGATCAATAGACTTCATTATCGGTGGAAAATAGCCTCAGTCTGGTTTCGTGATCAGTATCCTCCAGAATCGAAAGAAAATGACAATTCAGAAAAATCGCCCAAAATCTGTGATGGTACCCCCTTTGAAATCTGCCAAAAATTGACCCGGAATAAATCCGCCCAAATCGGTGCTTAATGGACTTAGTTATCGTTTAATAATAGTCTCAGGGCGAATCCGTGATCTGTAGCCTTCAAAATCCAAAGAAAAAGGCCATTCGACGCTCACAAAATTACGAAAATGCCATCCGAAAAATAAATTGCCCCAAATAGGTGTTTAATGGACTTATCATCTGTGGAGAATAGGATCAATAGAGTTCATTATCGTTGGAGAATAATCTCGGTCTGGTTTCGTGATCTGTAGCCTCCAGAATCGAAAGAAAATGACATTTCGGAAAAATAGTCCAAAATCTGTGATGGTACCCCTTTGCAATCTGCCAAAAATTGACCCAGAATAAATCCGCCCAAATGGGTGCTTAATGGACTTAGTCATCGTTGAAGAATAGTCTCAGGCCGAATCCGTGATCTGTTGCTTTCAAAATCCACAGAAAATGGCCTTTCGACGCCCACAAAATTACGAAAATTCCCTCCGAAAATAAACTGGCCCAAATCGTTGTTTAATGGACTTATAATCCGTGGAGAATAGGATCAATAGACTTCATTATCGGTGGAGAATAGCCTTGGTCTGGTCTCGTGATCTGTAGCCTCCAGAATAGAAAGAAAATGACATTTCTGAAAAATCGCCCAAAATCTGTGATGGTACCCCTTTGCAATCTGCAAAAAAATAACCCAGAAGAAATCCGCCCAAATCGGTGCTTACTTGACTTAGTCATCGTGGAAGAATAGTCTCAGGCCGAATTCGTGATCTGTACACTTTAAAATCCAAAGAAAATGGCCTTTCGATCTATCCAATAATTACGAAAATGCCATCCAAAAATAAATTGGCCCAAATCGGTGTTTAATGGACTTATCATCCGTGGAGAATATAATCAATAGACTTCATTATCGGTGAAGAATAGCCTCGGTCTGGTTTCGTGATCTGTAGCCTCCAGAATAAAAAGAAAATGACATTTCGGAAAAATCGCCCAAAATATATGATGGTACCCCTTTGCAATCTGCCAAAAATTGCCCGGAATAAATCCGCCCAAATCGGTGCTTAATGAACTTAGTCATCGTTGAAGAATAGTCCGAGGCCAAATCCGTGATTTGTAGTCTTCAAAATCCAAAGAAAATGACCTTTCGATCAATCCAAAATTAACGAAAATGCCATCCGAAAATAAATTGGCCCAAATCGGTGTTTAATGGACTTATCATTCGTGGAGAATAGGATCAATAGACTTCATTATCGGTGGAGAATAGCCTCAGTCTGGTTTCGTGATCTGTAGCCTCAAGAATCGAAAGAAAATGACATTTCGGAAAAATCTCCAAAAATTTGTGATAGTACCCCTTTGCAATCTGCCAAAAATTGACGCGGAATAAATCCGCACAAATCGGTGCTTAATGAACTTAGTCATCGTTGAAGAATAGTCTCAGGCCGAATCCGTGATCTGTAGCATTCAAAATCCAAAGAAAATGACCTTTGGATCAATCCAAAAATTACGAAAATGCCATCCGAAAATAAATTGGCCCAAATCGGTGTTTAATGGACTTTTCATCCGTGGAGAATTGGATCAATAGACTTCATTATCGGTGGAGAATATCCTCGGTCTGGTTTCGTAATCTGTAGCCTCCAGAATCGAAAGAAAAAGACATTTCGGAAAAATCGCCCAAAATCTATGATCGTACCCCTTTGCAATTTGCCAAAAATTGACCAGGAATAAATCCGCCCAAATCGGTGCTTAATGGACTTAGTCATCGTTGAAGAATAGTCTCAGGCCAAATCTATGATCTGTAGCATTCAAAATCCAAAGAAAATGACCTTTCGATCAATTCAATAATTGCAAAAATGCCATCCAAAAATAAATTGGCCCAAATCGGTGTTTAATGGACTTATCATCCGTGGAGAATATAATCAATAGACTTCATTATCGGTGGAGAATAGCATCGGTCTGGTTTCGTGATCTGTAGCCTCAAGAATCGAAAGAAAATGGCATTTCGGAAAAATCGCACAAAATCTGTGATGGTACACCTTTGCAATCTGCAAAAAATTGACCCAGAATAAATCCTCCCAAATCTGTGCTTAATGAACTTAGTCATCGTTGAAGAATAGTCTCAGGCCGAATCCGTGATCTGTAGCCTTCAAAATCCAAAGAAAATGACCTTTCGATCAATCCAAAATTACGAAAATGCCATCCGAAATTAAATTGGCCAAAATCGGTGTTTAGTGAACTTATCATCCGTGGAGAATAGGATCAATAGACTTCATTATCGAAGGAGAATAGCCTCGGTATGGTTTCGTGATCTGTAGCCTCCAGAATTGAAAGAAAATGACATTTCGGAAAAATCGCCCAAACTATGTGATGGTACCCCTTTGCAATCTGCCAAAAATTTACCCAGAATAAATCCGCCCAAATCGCTGCTTAATGAACTTAGTCATCGTTGAAGAATAGTCTCAGGCCGAATCCGTGATCTGTAGCCTTCAAAATCCAAAGAAAATGACCTTTGGATCAATCCAAAAATTACGAAAAATTGCATCCGAAAATAAATTGGCCCAAATCGGTGTTTAATGGACTTATCATCCATGGAGAATAGGATCAATAGACTTCATTATCGGTGGAGAATAGCCTCGGTCTGGTTTCGTGATCTGTAGCCTCCAGAATCGAAAGGAAATGATATTTCGGAAAAATCGCCAAAAATCTGTGATGGTACCCCTTTGCAATCTGCCAAAAATTGACCCGGAATAAATCCGCCCAAATCGGTGATTAATGAACTTAGTCATCGTTGAAGAATAGTCTTAGGCCGAATCCGCGATCTGTAGCCTTCAAAATCCAAAGAAAATGACCTTTGGATCAATCCAAAAATTACTAAAAATTGCATCCGATAATAAATTGGCCCAAATCGGTATTTAATCGACTTATCATCCGTGGAGAATAGGATCAATAGACTTCATTATCGGTGGAGAATAGCCTCGGTCTAGTTTTGTGATATGTAGCCTCCAGAATCGAAAGAAAATCACATTTCGGAAAAATCGCCCAAAATCTGTGATGGTACCCCTTTGCAATTTGCCAAAAATTGACCCGGAATAAATATGCCCAAATCGGTGCTTATTGGACTTAGTCATCGTTGAAGAATAGTCTCATGCCAAATCCGTGATCTGTAGCCTTCAAAATCCAAAGAAAATGGCCTTTCGAAGCCCAGAAAATTACGAAAATGTCATTCGTAAATAAATTGGCCCAAATCGTTGTTTAATGGACTTATAATCCATGGAGAATAGGATCAATAGACTTCATTATCGGTGGAGAATAGCCTCGGTCTGGTTTCGTGATCTGTATCCTCCAGAATCGAAAGAAAATGACATTTCGGAAAAATCGCCCAAAATCAATGATGGTACCCCTTTGCAATCGGCCAAAAATTGGCCCGGAATAAATCTGACCAAATCGGAGCTTCATGGACTTAGTCATCGTGAAGAATAGTCTCAGGCCGAATCCGTGATCTGTAGCCTTCAAAATCCAAAGAAAATGACCTTTCGATCAATACAAAAATTACGAAAACGCCATCCAAAAATAAATTGACCCAAATCGGTGTTTAATGGACTTATCATCCGTGGAGAATAGGATCAATAGACTTCATTATCGGTGGAGAATAGCGTCGGTCTGGTTTCGTGATCTCTAGCCTCCAGATTCGAAAGAAAATGACATTTCGAAAAAATCGCCCAAAATCTGTGATGGTACCCTTTTGCAATCTGCCAAAAATTGACCCGGAATAAATCTGCCCAAATCGGTGCTTAATAGAATTAGTCATCGTTGAAGAATAGTCTAAGGCCGAATCCGTGATCTGTAGCCTTCAAAATCCAAAGAAAATGGCCTTTCGACTCACACAAAATTGCGAAAATGCCATCCGAAATTAAATTGGCCCAAATCGGTGTTTAATGGACTTATCATCCGTGGAGAATAGGATCAATAGACTTCATTATCGGTGGAGAATAGTCTCGGTCTGGTTTCGTGATCTGTAGCCTCCAGAATCGAAAGAAAATGACATTTCGGAAAAATCGCACAAAACCTGTGATGGTACCCCTTTGCAATCTGCAAAAAAATGACCCGGAATAAATCCGCCTAAATCGTTGCTTAATTGAGTTAGTCATCGTAGAAGAATAGTCTCAGGCCGAATCCGTGATCTGTACCCTTCAAAATCCAAAGAAAATGGCCTTTCGACGCCCACAAAATTACAAAAAATGCCATCCGAAAATAAATTTGCCCAAATCGTTGTTTAATGGACTTATAATCCGTGGAGAATAGGATCAATAGACTTCATTATCGGTGGAGAATAGCCTCGGTATGGTCTCGTATTCTGTAGCCTCCAGAATCGAAAGAAAATGACATTTTGGAAAAATATGGGATTGTACCCCTTTGCAATCTGCCAAAAATTGACCCGGAAAATATCCGCCTAAATCGGTTCTTAATGGACTTAGTCATCGTTGAAGAATAGTCTCAGGGCGAATCCGTGATCTGTAGCCTTCAAAATCCATAGAAAATGGCCTTTCGACACCCACAAAATTACGAAAATGCATCCGAAAATAAATTGGCCCAAATCGGTGTTTAATGGACTTATCATCCATGGAGAATAGGATCAATAGACTTCATTATCGATGGATAAAAGCCTCGGTCTGGTCTTGTGATCTGTAGCCTCCAGAATCGAAAGAAAATGACATTTCGGAAAAATCGCCCAAAATCTGTGATGGTACCCCTTTGCAATCTGCCAAAAAATGACCCGGAATAAATCCTCCCAAATCGGTGCTTAATGGACTTAGTCATCGTTGAAGAATAGTCTCAGGCCAATCCGTGATCTGTAGCCTTCAAAATCCAAAGAAAATGGCCTTTCGACACCCACAAAATTACGAAAATGCCATCCGAAAATAAATTGGCCCAAAACATTGTTTAATGGACTTATCATCCGTGGAGAATAGGATCAATAGACTTCATTATCGGTGGAGAATAGCCTCGGTATGTTTTCGTGATCTGTAGACTCCAGAATCGAAAGAAAATGACATTTCGGAAAAATCGCCCAAAATCTTTGATGGTACCCCTTTGGAATATGCCAAAAATTGACCAGGAATAAATCCGCTCAAATCTGTACTTAATGGACTTAGGTATCGTTGAAGAATAGTTTCAGGCCGTATTCGTGATCTGTAGTCTTCGAAATCCAAAGAAAATGCCATTTTGACGCCCACAAAATTACGAAAAATGTCATCCGAAAATAAATTGGCCCAAATCGGTGTTTAATGGACTTATCATCCGTGAAGAATATGTCAATAGACTTCATTTTCGGTGGAGAATAGCCTCTGTCTGGTTTCGTGCTCTGTAGCCTCAAGAATCGAAATAAAATGACATTTCGGAAAAATCGCCCGAAAACTGTGATGGTACCCCTTTGCAATCTGCCAAAAATTGACCCGGAATAAATCTGACCAAATCGGTGCTTAATGGACTTTGTCATCGTTGAAGAATAGTCTCAGGCCCAATCCGTGATCTGTAGCCTTCAAAATCCAAAGAAAATGGCCTTTCGACGCCTACAAAATTACGAAAATGCCATCCGAAAATAAATTGGCCCAAATCGTTGTTTAACGGACTTATCATCAGTGGAGAATAGGATCGATAGACTTCATTATCAGTGGAGAATAGCCTCGGTATGGTTTCGTGATCTATAGACTCCAGAATAGAAAGAAAATAACATTTTGGAAAAATCGCCCAAAATCTTTGATGGTACCCCTTTGGAATATGCCAAAAATTAACCCGGAATAAATCCGCTCAAATCTGTGCTTAATGGACTAAGGTATCGTTGAAGAATAGTTTCAGGCCGTATCCGTGATCTGTAGCCTTCGAAATCCAAAGAAAATGGCCTTTCGACGCCCACAAAATGACGAAAATGCCATCATAAAATAAATTGGCCAAAATCGGTGTTTAATGGGCTTATCATCCATGGAGAATAGGATCAATAGACTTCATTATTGATGGAGAATAGACTCCGTCTGGTCTCGTGATCTTTAGCCTCAAGAATCGAAAGAAAATAACATTTCGGAAAAATCGCCCAAAATCTGTGATTGTACCCCTTTGCAATCTGCCAAAAATTTACTTGGAATAAATCCGCCCATATCGGTGCTTAATGGACTTAGTCATCGTTGAAGAATAGTCTCAGGCCGAATCCGTGATCCGTAGCCTTCAAAATCCAAAGAAAATGGCCTTTCGACTCCCACAAAATTACGAAAATGACATCCGAAAATAAATTGGCCCAAATCGATGTTTAATGGACTTATCATCCGTGGAGAATAGGATCAATAGACTTCATTATCAGTGGAGAATAGCCTCGGTCTGGTTTCGTGATCTGTAGCCTCCAGAATCGAATGAAAATGACATTTCGGAAAAATCGCCAAAAATCAGTGATGGTACCCCTTTGCAATCTGCCAAAAATCGACCCGGAATAAATCCACCCAAATCGGTGCTTAATGGACTTAGTTATCGTTTAAGAATAGTCTCAGGCCGAATCGGTGATCTGTACCATTCAAAATCCAAAGAAAATGGCATTTCGACACCCACAAAATTACGAAAATGCCATCCGAAAATAAATTGGCCCAAATCGTTGTTTAATGGACTTATCATCCGTGGAGAATAGGATCAATAGACTTAATTATCGGTGGAGAATAGCCTCGGTCTGGTTTCGTGATCTGTAGCCTCCAGAATCGAAAGAAAATGACATTTCGGAAAAATCGCCCAAAATCTGTAATGGTACCCCTTTCCAATCTGCAAAAAATTGACCCGGAATAAATCCACCCAAATTGGCGCTTAATAGACTTAGTCATCGTTGAAGAATAGTCTCAGGCCGAATCCGTGATCTGTAGCCTTCAAAATCCAAAGAAAATGGACTTTCGACGCGCACAAAATTACGAAAATGTCATCCGAAAATAAATTGGCCCAAATCGGTGTTTAATAGACTTATCATCCGTGGAGAATAGGATCAATAGACTTCATTATCGGTGGAGAATAGCCTCGGTCTGGTTTCGTGATCTCTAGCCTCCAGATTCGAAAGAAAATGACATTTCGAAAAAATTGCCCAAAATCTGTGATGGTACCCTTTTGCAATCTGCCAAAAATTGACCCGGAAGAAATCCGCCCAAATTAGTGCTTAATAGAATTAGTCATCGTTGAAGAATAGTCTAAGGCCGAATCCGTGATCTGTAGCCTTCAAAATCCAAAGAAAATGGCCTTTCGACGCACACAAAATTGCGAAAATGCCATCCGAAAATAAATTGGCCCAAATCGGTGTTTAATGGACTTATCATCCGTGGAGAATAGGATCAATAGACTTCATTATCGGTGGAGAATAGTCTCGGTCTGGTTTCGTGATCTTTAGCCTCCAGAATCGAAAGAAAATGACATTTCGGAAAAATCGCACAAAATCTGTGATGGTACCCCTTTGCAATCTGCCAAAAATTGACCCGGAATAAATCTGCCCTAATCGGTGCTTAATAGACTTAGTCATCGTTGAAGAATAGTCTAAGGCGGAATCCGTGATCTGTAGCCTTCAAAATCCAAAGAAAATGGCCTTTCGACGCCCACAAAATTGCGAAAATGCCATCCGAAAATAAATTGGCCAAAATCGGTGTTTAATGGACTTATCATCCGAGGAGAATAGGATCAATAGACTTCATTATTGGTGGAGAATAGCCTCGATCTGGTTTCGGGATCTGTAGCCTCCAGAATCGAAAGAAAATGACATTTCGGAAAAATCGCACAAAATCTGTCATGGTACCCCTTTGCAATCTGTCAAAAATTGACCCGGAATAAATCCGCCCAAATTGGCGCTTAATTGACTTAGTCATCGTTGAAGAATAGTCTCAGGCCGAATCTGTGATCTGTAGCCTTCAAAATCCAAAGAAAATTGTCTTTCGACGCCAACAAAATTACGAAAATGCCATCCGAAAATAAATTGGCCCAAATCGGTGTTTAATGGACTTATCATCCGTGGAGAATAGGATCAATAGACTTCATTGTCGGTGGAGAATAGCCTCGGTCTGGTTTCGTGATCTGTACCCTCCAGAATCGTAAGAAAATTACATTTCGGAAAAATCGCCCAAAATCTGTGATGGTTCCCCTTAACAATCTGCCAAAAATTGACCCGGAATAAATCTGCCCAAATCGGTTCTTAATGGACTTAGTGATCGTTGAAGAATAGTCTCAGGCCGAATCCTTGATCTGTAGCCTTCAAAATCCAAAGAAAATGGCCTTTCGACACCCGCAAAATTACGAAAATGCCATCCGAAAATAAATTGGCCCAAATCGGTGTTTAATGGACTTATCATCCGTGGAGAATGAAATCAATAGACTTCATTATCGGTAGAGAATAGCTTCGGTCTGGTTTCGTGATCTGTAGCCTCGAGAATCGAAAGAAATTGGCATTTCAAAATAATCGCCCGAAATCTGTGTTTATACCCCTTCGAAATTAGCCAAAAATTGACCTGGAATAAATCCGCCCAAATCAGTGCTTAATGGACTTAATCATCGTTGAATAATAGTCTCAGCCCGAATCCGCGATTTGTAGCCTTCATAATCCCAAAAAAATGTCATTTCTTGGACCGAAAAATTACAGAAATGCCATCCAAAAATAAATTGGCCTAAATCGGTGCTTAATGGACTTATCATCCATGGAGAATTGGATCAATAGAATTCCTTATCAGGGGAGAATAGCCTCAGCCAGATTCCGTGATCTGTAGCCTCCAGAATCGAATGAAAATAGCATTTCAGAAAAATCGATCAAAATCTGTGATGGTACCCCTTCGGAATTTGCCAATATTTGACCCGGAATAAATCCGCCCAAATTGGTGCTTAATGGACTTAATGGCCTTTCGTCGCCCAAAAAATTAAGAAAATGCCATCCGAAAATAAATTGGGCCAAATCGGTGCTTAATGGACTTATCATCCGTGGAGAATATGATCAATATACTTCATTATTGGTGGAGAATAGTCTCGGCTTGATTCCGTGATCTGTAGCCTACAGAGTTGAAAGAAAACGGCATTTCGAAAAAATCGCCCGAAATTTGTGTTGTTACCCCTTTGGAAACTGCCAAAAATTTATCCGGAATAAATCTCCCAAATCGGTGCTTAATGGACTTAATCATCGTTGAAGAATATCCTCAGGCTGAATACGCGATTTGTAGCCTTCAAAATTCAAAGAAAATGGCCTTTGTCGCCCGAAAAATTACGAAAATGCCTTCCAAAAATAAATTGGCCTAAATCGGTACTTAATTGACTTATTATCAGTGGATAATAGGATCAATAGTATTCATTCTCGGTGGAGAATAGTCCCGGCCTGATTCTGTGATCTGTAGGCTCCAGAATCGAAAGAGAATAGCATTTCCGAAAAATCGCCCTAAATCAGTGATGGTTCCCCTTTGGAATCTTCCAAAAATTAAACCGGAATAAATCCACTCAAATCGGTGCTTAATGGGCTTAATCATCATTGAAGAATAGCCTCGGGCAGAATCCGCAATCTATAGCCTTCAAAATCCAAAGAAAATGGCCTTTCGTCGCTCAAAAAATTAAATAAATGCCATCCGAAAATAAATTGTCCCTTATCGGTGCTTAATGGACTTATCTTCCGTGGAGAATAGGATCAATAGACTTCATTATCGGTGGAGAATAGCCTTGGTCTGATTCTGTGATCTGTAGCCACCAGAATCGAAAGAAAATGACATTTCGAAAAAATCGAATGAAATATGTGTTTGTACTTTGTACCCCATCGGAATCTGCCTAAAATTGACCAGGAATAAATCCGCCCAAATCGGTGCTTTATGAACTTAATCATCGTTGAAGAATAGTCTCAGGCCGAATCCGCGATATGTAGCCTTCAAAATCCAAAGAAAATGGCCGTTCGGCCAGAAAAATCACAAAATTTCATCCGAAAATAAATTGTCCCAAATCGGTGCTTAATGGACTCATCATCCGTGTAGAAAATTATCAATAAATTTCATTATCGGTGGAGAATAGCCTCGGCCTGCTTCCATGTTCAGTAGCCTCCAGAATAAAAAAAAGTAACATTTGGAAAAATCGCCCGAAATCAGTGATGGTACCCCTTTCGAATCTGCCAGAAATTGACCCGGAATAAATCCTCCCAAATCGGTGCTTAATGGACTTAATCAACGTTGCTTATTGAACTTATCATCCGTGGAGAATAGGATCAATATACTTCATTTTCGGTGGAGAATAGTCTCGGATTGATTCCGTGATCTAAAGCCTCCAGAATAAAAAGAAAATGGTATTTCGGAAAAATCGCCCGAAATCTGTGATGCTACCCTTTTGAAATCTGCCAAAAATTGACGAGGAAAAAATCCACCCAAATCGGTGCTTAATGGACTTAATCAGCGTTGAAGAATAGTCTCCGGCCGAATCCGATATTTGTAGCCTTCAAAATTCAAAGTAAATGGCCTTTTGTCGGCCAAAAAATTTCAAAAATGCCATCCGAAAATAAATTGGCCTAAATCGGTACTTAATGGACTTATTATCAGTGGAGAATAGGATCAATAGAATTCATTCTCGGTGGAGAATAGCCTCGCCTTGATTCCGTGATCTTTAGCCTCCAGAATCGAAAGAGAATAGCATTTTGGAAAAATCGCCCTAAATCTGTGATGATTCCCCTTTGGAATCTTCCGAAAATTGACCCGGAATAAATCCTCCTAAATCGGTGTGTTATGGACTTAATCATCGTTGAAGAATAGCCTCGGGCTGAATCCGCGATCTATAGTCTTCAAAATCCAAAGAAAATGGCATTTCGTCACCCAAAAAATTACGAAAATACCATCCGAAAATAAATTGGCCCAAATCGATGCTTAATGGACTTATCATCTGTGTAGAATAGGATTAATAGACTTCATTACCGGTGGAGAATAGCCTCGGTCTAATTCCGTGATCCGTAGCCTCCAGAATCATAAGAAAATGACATTTCGGAAAAATCGCCAGAAATCTGTGATGCTACTCCTTTGAAATCTGCCAAAAATTGACCAGGAATAAATTCCCCCAAATCGGTGCTTAATTGACTTAATCATCGTTGAATTATAGCCTCATACCGAATCCGAGATTTGTAGCCTTCAAAATCCAAAGAAAATGGCCTTTCGTCGCCCAAAAAATTACGATAATGTCATTCGAAAATAAATTGGCCCAAATCGGTACTCAATGGACTTATCTTCCGTGGAGAATAAGATCAATAGACTTCGTTATCGGTGGAGAATAGCCTCGTCTTGATTCCGTGATCTGTGGCTTCCAGAATAAAAAAAGAATAGCATTTCGGAAAAATCGCACTAAATCTGTTATGGTTCCCCTTTGGAATCTTCCACAAATTGACCCGGAATAAATCCTCCCAAATCGGTGCGTAATGGACTTAATCATCGTTGAAGAATAGCCTCGAGCTGAATCCGCGATATGTAGCCTTCAAAATCCAAAGAAATTGGCATTTCGTTACCCAATAAATTATGAAAATACCATCCAAAAATAAATTTCCCAAATCGGTACTTAATGGACTTATCATCCGTGGAGAATAGGATCAATAGACTTCATTAACGGTGGAGAATAGCCTCGGTCTGATTCCGTGATCCGTAGCCTCCTGAATCAAAAGAAAATGGCATTTCGGGAAAATCGACCGAAATCTGTTATACTACCCCTTTGAAATTTGCCAAAAATTGAACAGGAATAAATTCGCCCAAATCGGTGCTTAATTGACTTAATCATCGTTGAAGAATAGTCTTTGGCCGAATCCGCGATTTGTAGCCTTCAAAATTCAAAATAATGGCCTTTCCTTGACCAAAAAAATATGAAAATGCCATCCGAAAATAAATTGGCCTAAATCGGTACTTAATGGACTTATCATCAGTGGAGAATAGGATCAATAGAATTCATTCTCAGTGGAGAATAGCCTCAGCCTGATTCCTTGATCTGTAGCCTCAAGAATAGAAAGAGAATAGCATTTCGGAAAAATCGCCTGATATCTGTATTGGTACCCCTTTTGAATATGCCAAAAATTGACCTAAATAAATCCCCCCAAATCGGTGCTTAATGGACTTAATCATCGTTGAAGAAGAGCCTCAGACCGAATCCGCGATCTGTAGCCTTCAAAAACCAAAGAAAATGGCCTTTCGTCGCCCAAAAAATTATGATAATGTTATTCGAAAATAAATTGGACCAAATCGGTACTCAATCTACTTATTTTCCATGGAGAATAAGATCAATAGACTTCATTATCGGTGGAGAATAACCTCGTCTTGATTCCGTGATATGTAACCTCCAGAATCGAAAGAAATTGACATTTCGGAAAAACCGATCGAAATCTGTGTTGGTACCCCTTTGGAATATGCCAAAAATTGACCAGGAATAAATCCTCCCAAATCGGTGCTTAATGGACTTAATCATCGTTGAAGTATAGCCTCAGGCTGAATCCGTGATATGTGGCCATCAAAATCCAAAGAAAATGGCATTTCGTCACCCAAAAAATTACAAAAATACCATCCGAAAATAAATTGGCACAAATCGGTGCTTAATGGACTTATCATCCGTGGAGGATAGGATCAATAGACTTCATTATCGGTGGAGAATAGCCTCGGCCTGATTGCGTGATCCGTAGCCTCTAGAATCAAAAGCAAATGACATTGCGGAAAAATCACCCGAAATTTGTGATGGTACCCCTTTATAATCTGCCAAAAATTGACCTGGAATAAATCTGCCCAAATCGGTGCTTAATGGAGTTAATCATCGTTGAAGAATAGCCTAAGGCCGAAACGCGATCTGTAGCCTTCAAAATACAAAGAAAATGGTCTTTCGTCGCCCAAAAATTACGAAAATGCAAATCAAAAATAAATTGGCCCTAATCAATGCTTGATGGACTTAATCATACGTGGAGAATAGGATCAATAGACTTCATTATCGGTGGAGAATAGTCTCGTTCTGATTGCCTGATATGCAGCATCCAGAATCGAAAGAAAATGGCATTTCGGAAAAATAAACCAAAATCTGTGTTGCCTTTGGAGTCTACCAAAAATTGACCCGGAATAAAACCGTCCAAATCTGTGCTTAATGGTCTTAATCATTGTTGAAGAATAGCCTCAGGCAAAATCCGCGATCTTTAGCCTTCAAAATCCAAAGAAAACAGCCTTTTAGCCCCCAAAAAATTACAAAAATACCATCAGAATTTTTTTGGGCTCAAATCAGTGCTTAATGAACTTATCATCTGTGAAGAAAAGGATCAATAAACTTCATTATCGGTGGAGAATAGCCTCGTCTTGATTCCGTGATCTGTGGCTTCCATAATCAAAAGAGAATAGCATTTCGGAAAAATCGCCCTAAATGTGTGATGTTCCCCTTTTGAATCTTCCAAAAATTGACCCGGAATAAATCCTCCCAAATCGGTGCGTAATGGACTTAATCATCGTTGAAGAATAGCCTCGGGCTGAATCCGCGATCTGTAGACTTCAAAATCCAAAGAAAATGGCATTTCGTTACCCAAAAAGTTACGAAAATACCATCCGAAAATAAATTGCCCAAATCGGTACTTAATGGACTTATCATCCATGGAGAATATGATCAATAGACTTCATTATCGGTGGAGAATACCCTCGGTCTGATTCCGTGATCCGTAGCCTCCTAAATCAAAAGAAAATGGCATTTCGGGAAAATCGACCGAAATCTGTTATGCTACCCCTTTGAAATTTGCCAAAAATTGACCAGGAATAAATTCACCCAAATTGGTGCTTAATGGACTTAATCATCGTTGAAGAATAGTCTTCGGCCGAATCCGCGATTTGTAGCCTTCAAAATTCAAAATAATGGCCTTTCGTTGACCAAAAAATACGAAAATGCCATCCGAAAATAAATTGGCCTAAATCGGTACTTAATGGACTTATCATCAGTGGAGAATAGGATCAATAGAATTCATTCTCAGTGGAGAATAGCCTCGGCCTGATTCCTTGATCTGTAGCCTCCAGAATCGAAAGAGAATAGCATTTCGGAAAAATCGCCTGATATCTGTGATGGTACCCTTTTGAATCAGCCTAAAAATGACCTAAAATAAATCCGCCCAAATCGATGCTTAATGGACTTAATCATCGTTGAAGAAGAGCCTCAGACCGAATCCGCGATCTGTAGCTTTCAAAATCCAAAGAAAATGGCTTTTCGTCACCCAAAAAATTACGATAATGTCATTCAAAAATAAATTGGCCCAAATCGGTACTCAATGGACTTATCTTTCGTGGAGAATAAGATCAATAGACTTCATTATCGGTGGAGAATAACCTCGTCTTGATTCCGTGATATGTAACCTCCAGAATCGAATCAAATTGACATTTCGGAAAAATCGCCCGAAATCTGTGATGGTACCCCTTTGGAATATGCCAAAATTTGACCAGGAATAAATCCTCCCAAATCGGTGCTTAATGGACTTAATCATCGTTGAAGTATAGCCTCAGGCTGAATCAGCAATCTGTAGCCTTCAAAATCCAAAGAAAATGGCATTTCGTCACCTAAAAAATTACAAAAATACCATCCGAAAATAAATTGGCCCAAATCGGTGCTTAATGGACTTATCATCCGTGGAGAATAGGATCAATAGACTTCATTATCAGTGGAGAATAGCCTCGGCCTGATTGCGTGATCCGTAGCCTCTAGAATCAAAAGAAAATGACATTTCGGAAAAATCACCCGAAATTTGTGATGATACCCCTTTGTAATTTGCCAAAAATTGACCTGGAATAAATCTGCCCAAATCGATGCTTAATGGAGTTAATCATCGTTGAAGAATAGCCTCAGGCCGAAACATGATCTGTAGCCTTCAAAATCCAAAGAAAATGGTCTTTTGTCGCCCAAAAAATTACGAAAATGCCAATCGAAAATAAATTGGCCTTAATCAATGCTTGATGGACTTAATCATACGTGGAGAATTGGATCAATAAACTTCATTATCGGTGGAGAATAGACTCGTTCTGATTCCATGATATGTAGCATCCAGAATCGAAAGAAAATGGCATTTCGGAAAAATACACCAAAATCTGTGTTGCCTTTGGAATCTGCCAAAAATTGACCCGGAATAAAACCGTCCAAATCTGTGCTTAATGGTCTTAATCATTGTTGAAGAATAGCCTCAGGCAAAATCCGCGATCTGTAGCCATCAAAATCCAAAGAAAACGGCCTTTCAGCCCCCAAAAAGTTAAAAAATGCCATCAGAATTTTTATTGGCTCAAATCTGTGCTTAATGGACTTATCATCTGTGAAGAAAAGGATCAATAAACTTCATTATCGGTGGAGAATAGTCTAGGTTTGATTCCGTGATCTGTAGCATCCAGAATCGAAAGAAAATGGCATTTCGGAATCTGCCAAAAATTGCCCCATATCGGTGCTTAATGGACTTAATCATCGTTTAAGAATAGCCTCAGGGCGAATTTGTGATCTGTAGCTTTCAAAATCCAAAGCAAATGGCGTTTCATAGACCAAATAATTACGAAAATGTCATTCAAAAATAAATGGGCCGAAATTGGTGATTAATGAACTTATCATATGTGGAGAATAAGATCAATTCACTGCATTATTGGTGGAGAATAGCATCGGTGAGATTCCGTGATATGTAGCCACCAGGATCAAAAGAAAATGACATTTCAGAAAAATCTCTCAAAATCTCTGATGATACCCCATTTCGAATCTGCCAAAAATTAACCCAGAATAAATCCGTCCAAATTGGTGCTTAATTGACTTAATCATTGTTGAAGAATAGCCTCAGGCCGAATCCGCGATATGTAGCCTTCAAAATCAAAATAAAATGGCATTTCGTCGCCCAAAAAAATTACGAAAATTCCATTCGAAAATAAATGGGCCCAAATTGGTGATTAATGGACTAATCATACGTGGAGAATATGATCAATAGACTTCATTATCGGTGGAGAATAGCCTCGACTTGATTCCTTGATATGTAGCCTCCAGTATCGAAAGAAAATGACATTTCGGAAAAATCGCCCGAAATCTGTAATGGTACACCTTTAGAATTTGCCAAAAATTGACCCAGAATAAATCAGCCTAAATCGGTGCTTAATAGACTTAATCATCGTTGAAGAATAGCCTCATGCCGAATCCGAGATCTGTAGCCTTCAAAATCCAAAGAAAATGGCCTTTCGTCGCCCAAAAAATTAAGAAAATACCATCCGAAAATAAATTGGCCCAAATCGGTGCTTAATGGACTTATCTTCAATGAAGAATAGGATCAATAAACTTCATTATCGGTGGAGAATAGCCTCGGCCTGATTCAATGATATGTATCCTCCAGAATCAAAAGAAAATTTCATTTCAGAAAAATTGCCTGAAATATGTGATGGTAACCCTTTGCAATCTGCCAAAAATTGAATTGGAATAAATCCGCTCAAATCGGTGCGTAATGGACTTAATCATCGTTGAATAATAGCCTCTGGCCGAATCCGCGATATGTAGCCTTCAAAATCCAAAGAAAATGGTCTTTCGTCGCCCAAAAAATTAAGAAAATGTCATTCGAAAATAAATTTGCGCAAATTGGTGCTTAATGGACTTATCTTTCGGGGAGAATATGATCAATAGACTTCATTAGTGGCGGAGAACAGCCTCGGCCTTATTTCGTAATCTGTAGCCTCCAGAATCGAAAGAAATGACATTTCGGGAAAATCGCCCGAAATCTGTAATGGTAACCCTTTGGAATATGCAAAAAATTTATCTGGAATAAATCCGCCTAAATCGGATCTTAATGGACTTAATCATCGTTGAAGAATAGCCTCAGGCCGAATCTGCGATCTGTAGCCTTCAAAATCGATAGAAAATGGTATTTCGTCGCCCAAAAAATTACGATAATGCATTCGAAAATAAATTGACTCAAATCGGTGTTTAATGGACTTATCATCGGTGGAGAAAAGGATTGATAAACTTCATTATCGATGGAGAATAGCCTCGGCCCGATTTCGTATTCTATAGCCTTCAGAATCGAAAGAAAATGACATTTCGAAAAAATCGCCCGAAATCTATGATTGTACCTTTTGTAATCTACCAAAAATTGCCCCGGAATAAATCCTCCCAAGTCTGTACTTAATGGACTTAATCATCGTTAAAGAATTGCCTCATGTCGAATCTGCGATCTGTAGCCTTCAAAATCCAAAGAAAATGGCTTTTCGACCACCAAAAATTACAAAAATGCCATCCGAAAATAAATTGGCCTAAATCGGTGCTTAATGGACTTATCATCCTTGGAGAATAGGACAAGTAGAATTCATTATCGGTGGAGAATAGCCTCTACCTGATTCCATGATCTGTAGTCTCCAAAATTGAAAGAAAATGGCATTTTGAAAAAATCACCCAAAATTTGTGATGGTACCCATTTGGAATCTGCCAAAAATTGTCGTGGAATAAATCCGCCCAAATCGGTGCTTTATGGATTTAATCATCGTTGAAATATAGCCTAAGGCTAAATCTGGGATCTGTAGCGTTCAAAATCCAAAGAAAATTGCCTTTCGTCGCCCAAAAATTTACAAAATGCTATCCGAAAATAAATTATCCCAAATTGGTGCTTAATGGACTTATCATACATGGAGAATAGAATCAATAGACTTCATTATCGATAGAGAATAGCATCGACCTGATTCCGTGATCTGTAGCCTCCAGAATCTAAAGAAAATGGAATTTCGGAAAAATCGCCTGAAATCTGTCATGGTATCACTTTGGAATTTGCTAAAAGTTGACTATGGATAAATCCGCTCAAATTGGTGCTTAATGGACTTATTATCCATGGAGAATTGGATCAATAGACTTCATTATCAGTGGAGAATAGCGCCGGCTTGATTCCATGATCGGTAGCTTCCAGAATCGAAAGAAAATGTCATTTCAAAAAATTAGGTCGAAATCTGTGATGGTACCCCTTTGAAATCAGCCAAAAATTGACCTGGAATAAATCAGCCCAAATCGGTGCTTAATGGACTTAATCATTGTTGAAGAATAGTCTCATGCCGAATCCAAGATCTTTAGCATTTAAAATATAAAGAAAATGGCCTTTCGTCGCCCAAAAAATTAAAAAAATGTCATTCAAAAATATATTGGCCCAAATCGGTGCTTAATGGACTTATCATCTGTGGAGAATAGGAACAATAAACTTTTTTATCAGTGGAGAATAGCCTCGGCCTGATTACGTGAGTTGTAGCCACCAGAATCGAAAGAAAAAGACATTTCAAAAAAATCGCCCGAAATCTGTGATGGTACCCATTTGGAATCTGCAAAAAATTGACATGGAATAAATCCACCTAGATCAGTGCTTAATGGACTTAATCATCATTGAAGACTAGCTTCAGGCCGAATCCGCTATCTGTAGCCTTCAAAATCCAAAGAAAATGGTCTTTCGTCGCTGAAAAAATTAAGAAAATGTCATTCGAAAATAAATTGGCCCAAATTGGTGCTTAATGGACTTATCATCCGTGGAGAATATGATCAATAGACTTCATTATCTGTGGAGAATAGTCTCTACATGATTCCATGATCTGTAGCCTACAGAGTTGAAAGAAAATGGCATTTCAAAAAAATCGCCCGAAATTTGTGATGGTACTCCTTTGGAATCTGCCAAAAATTGACCTGGAATAAATCCGCCCAAATCGGTGCTTAATGGACTTAATCATCATTGAAGAATAGCCTCAGGCCAAATCCGCGATCTATAGCCTTCAAAATCCAGAGAAATGGCATTTCGTCGTCCAACAAATTATGAAAAAGTCATCCAAAAATAAATTGGCCCAAATTGGTGCTTAATGGACTTATCATCCGCGGAGAATAGGATCAATAGACTTCATTATCGGTGGAGAATAGCCTCGACATGATTTTGTAATCTATAGCCCACAGAATTGAAAGATAATGGCATTTCGAGAAAAAATCGCCCTAAATTTGTGATGCCAAAAATTGACCCGGAATAAATCCGGCCAAATCGATGCTTAATGGACTTAATCATCGTTGAAGAATATCCTCAAGCCAAATCCTTGATCTGAAGCCTTCAAAATCCTAAGAAAATGGCTTTTCGTCGCACAAAAAATTACGAAATTGTCATCCAAAAATAAATTGGCCCAAATCGGTGCCTAATAGACTTATCATCCATGGAGAATATGATCAATAGACTTCATTATCGGCGGAGAATCGCATCGGCCTGATTCCGTGATCTGTAGCCTTCAGAATAGAAAGAAAATGGCATTTCGGAAAAATCACTTGAAATCTGTGATGGTACCCCTTTGGAATCTGCATAAAAAATGACTCGGAATAAATACACCCAGATCGGTGCTTAATGGACTAAATCATCATTGTGGAATAGCCTCAGGCCGAATCTGCTATCTGTAGCCTTCAAAATCCATAGAAAATGGCATTTCGTCGTCCAAAAAATTACGAAAATGGCATCCGAAAATAAATTGGCCCAAATTGGTGCTTAATGGACTAATCATCTGTGGATAATAGGATATATAGAGTTCATTATCGGTGGAGAATAGCCTCGGGCCGATTCCCTGATCTGTAGTTTTCAAAATCGAAAAAATTGCATTTAGGAAAAATCACCCGAAATCGATGATGATACCCACTTGGAGACGGCCAAAATGGACCCGAAATAAATTCGCCAAAATTGTTGCTTAATGGACTTAATCATTGTTGAAAAATAGTCTCGGGCCGAATCCGTGCTCTATGTACTTCAAATTCCAAGGAAAATGGTCTTTCGAAATAAAATCACCCATAAAATTACGAAAATGTCATTCGAAAATGAATTCGCACAAATGGGTGCTTAATGGACTTAATCTTAGGCGGAGAATAGGATCAATAGACCTCATTATCGGTGGAGAATAGCCTCGGGTTGAATCTCTGATCTGTAGCCTTCAAAATCGAAAGAAAATGGCATTTCGGGAAAATCGCCTGAAATCGGTGATGGTGCACCCTTTAAGAGTCTGCCAAAAATTGACCAAGAAGAAATCCACCCAAATTGGTGCTTAATGGAATTAAACATCATTGAAGAATAGCCTCAGCCTGAATTGTGATCTGGAGCCTTCAAAATCCAATGAAAATGATCTTCCGGCATTATCGCAAAAACATTATGAAATGCCCTCCAAATAGGAATTCGCCCAAATGAGTGCTTAATTGACTTAATCTTCGGTGGAGAATAGGATCAATAGACTTCATTATCGGTGGAGAATAGCAACCGGCTCAATCCCTGATCTGTAGCCTTCAAAATCGAAAGATAATTGCATTTCGGGAAAATCGCTCGAAATTGGTGATGGTACCCATTGGGAGTCAACCAAAAATGGACCCAAAAGAAATCCACCCAAATCATTGCTTAATGGACTTAATAATCGTTGAATAATAGCCTCAGGCCAACTACGTGATCTGTAGCTTTCAAAATCCAAGGACTATGGTCTTTCGAAAAAAATCTCCCAAAAAATAACGAAAATGTTGTCCGTAAATGAATTTACCCAAATAAGTGTTTAATGGACTTAATATTCTGTGGAGAATAGGATCAATAGAGTTCACTATCGATGGAGAGTAGCCTCGGGCTGAATCCCAGATTTGTAGCCTTCAAAATAGAAAGAAAATGGCATTTCGGGAAATAACCTGAAATCGGTGTTGGTACCCCTTTGGAGTCTGCCAAAAATGGACTCGGAAGAAATTCGGCCAAATTGGTGCTTAATGAACTTAATAATAGTTGAAGAATAGCATCATGCGGAATCCATGATCTGTATCCTTCAAATTCCAAGGAAAATGGCTTTTCGAAATAAAATCACCCATAAAATTACGAAAAGTCATCCGAAAATGAATTCGCCCTAATGGGTGCTTAATTTATTTAATCTTCGGTGGAGAATAGGATCAATAAACTTCATTATCGGTGGAAAATAGCATCGGGCTGAATTCGTGATTTGTAGTCTTCAAAATCGAAAGAAAATGATATTTCGGGAAAAACTACCGAAATCGGGGATGGTACCCCTTTGGAATCTTCCAAAAATGGACCTGAAAGAAATCCGTCCCAATCTGTGTTTAATGGACTTAATCATCGTTGAAGAATAGTCTCAAGCAGAATTCGTGATTTGTAGCCTTCAAAATCAAGTCTTTCGAAAAAAATTCGCCCAAAAAATACGAAAATTCGGTCTGAAAATGATTTTGCCCAAATCGGTGTTTAATGGACTTAATTTTCGGTGGAGAATAGGATATATAGTGTTCATTTTGGATGGAGAATAGACTCGGGGCGAATCCCTGCTCTGTATCGAAAGAAAATGACATTTCGGGAAAATCGTCTGAAACCGGTGATACCCTTTGGAGTCTGCTAAAAATGGATCCGAAAGAAATCCGCCCAAATTGATGCTTAATCGACTTAATCATCATTAAAGAATAGCTTTATAGATCGAATCCATGATCTATAAACTTTAAATGAAAAAAAAAATGACCTTCCGAAATAAAATCGCTCAGCAAGGCAAAAGAAAGGGTAAGAAAGCTCAGCAAAGCAAAAGCCAACTCAAACTGGGCAAGAAACAAAAAGGCAAATCCTTTTCTTCCATTCTCTAATAAGTTGGCAAAAATACAAACAATCTAAGAACTTGAGGACATCACAAATTGGGTACTACTACAGCTAGGAGTAATATACAAGACAAAAGGGGGTTGAAACAAAAGGCTACACTCCCATCATCCAATGGGCTATTTTAAGTTAGTAATAGCCATGTTGTACTTTGGCCTAGTTTCTAGAATTAGAGCACTCTATCATACACAAACGGGTTGCTACAAACAGAACTGATGATGATGATCATCATCATTACCCCCCAAAAAACAAGGAAAAGAGAACTCTAACCTCCCTGACCATCTGGACCTCTGCTACTTTCCCTACTGCTGCCGCCGAATTCATTGTTGTATCTGTTTTCTCCAACCTTGCTCTTGCTCCAACCCCCCATGGGGAAACTGCCGCCCTCCCTCCTCTGCAACAGATAGAAATTGAATGTTTCATCCTCAAACTCCACTTCCTTAAGGCATTGAAGGTTGTTCTAACTACTAGACATAGGTCAAAAGTATTCGACACTCGAAAAGTTCAATTATTAGATCCATTCGGCATGATTTTATGGGGAAACTATGACCTTCAGTTTACTATTGGAAACACAAAAGGACCAGAAGCTTCTTAAAGGGGAATGATACCAAGTGCCTAGGGTGTGTTTGGTTCAGTGTTTTGGTAATAGATATTATTTGTCTTAATTGCATGCTATTAGGTTGCTTACCTTAGGCCTCGGTGCATCTGTACAAAAGATTGTGCCAAGAAAGTGAAAGATAACACGTGCGACCCAATTCTCTACTGCGCATTTTCAAATACTTCATACTCTATATGCAAGAGGTTGCATTTCGATACATTTGAGATCAATCTCAAATACATATGAAGATTCAAGAGTGTCATTAAGATGGCACAAGGAAAAACGCAGCTTAATTTTAAATCAAAATGAGGATGACTAAGAGATATTTATGTATTACCACTCACACCATTGGAAGCATCTTCAAGCCTTGCGATTGCATCTACAAGAGCTTGTTCATGTTCCTGCAGTAAAACACGCAATCAATCCCACACCAATGGCAAATGTGTGGGCATAGGTGAATTGGAGAACATCAACATTGTAATTTATTTCGGCAGAAATAAATGTTCAATGCTTCCTCTTACTCTCAGCAGTTTCTTCGCTTTCTCAATTTCTGTCGGATCAGGAAGGTTAGCGGCAAAAACTTTTTCCACCTATTTGGAAAACGACAGATCTGGGTTACAAAAAGTTCGCAACTTGCAATTACATCCAAATAACAACTGGAACCAGGATGGATACCTCCTTGATTAGTGTCTCAGTGTGAAGGATCTCGATATCACCCAAAGCCTTTTTCCCAGTGCCATTCTGTGATAGAGGAAACTCCCTTTTTGGACCTTTAGTGTTCCCTCTACCTCGTCCAAGCCCAGCAGCAGCAGCAGAACCACCACGCATCATGGGCTTCTTATTCCCCCGACCATGTCCAGGCCGGCTGCCTTTACCAAAAATGGATTGATCCTCATGCTCCCACCTGATGTCTTCAGGAGGTATCTATAGTAAACAAGCAAGCAATTCAGCAGGTGGTTTATCTTTTACAAATCTAGAGAGTGTATCTCATATGCAGTGAAAATGGGATGACCCAGTGCATAAAAAATGGATGACATGGCATGAGTTCATCAGTAACTACCTCTTTGAGATTGACCCATTCCCATGTTTCATCCTCTGTGTTCATATCATACACCAAAGCATGTGTCCCCTGTCAAGTGTGAAAGACTGTTTGCTAAATCGAGAAACAGCAGGCAAAAGGAAGTTGCTAGGAAAGTGATAAGGTAAGACATACTTCTTCTGGTTTGTAGTCGGTGATAAGAGCCTCATAGAAGTTATTATCTTCAGGCCACCGAGTCCAAACTTTTCTTCCAACCAATGGATTCACACTGGTAGGAGCTGCAGGCTCATTTTTTAAAAATGCTCCTGCAGAATTCCTGTTAGCAACCTGGGCCCTTCCACCTTCATTCATACCAGTAGTAGGAGGGTATTGCAAAGTCTGCACTCAGGGAATAGAAGATAGCATCAACAAGAGAGGAAAACACCCGAGAAACAAAATCTTTCCAGTAGAAAACCGAGCTGACTTACTGGCTGGGGTTTCTTGTTTCTTGATGCAGGTGGAGCGGGAGGCCCTCGTCTTAATGCTGATGTTGATGCTTGCATTGGTTGGTGAAATGCAGGAGGAGCACCCATGGATAATGAAGCAGCCGACTGTGATGTTTTCTGTTTCTTGCGTGATACCGAAATCGAGGGACTAGGGGCACGATCAAGGGCAGGCTGGACGCTGCTCGGCATCCCTGATTGGGACCCACTAGTTCTCCTCCACTCCCTATTAACCTCAGGATATGAAATTTCATTGTTAAATCAGAAGCTAGAAGATTTACGAGGATAAAATAGCCCACACAAGTACTATAAAGACATTTTTAGACCTTATCCTTCGAATCATGTTGTCATTATTGACCCTGGATAAGAGTTCCCTATGCTCCTCGTCCGACACTCTCAACTCCTTTCTGAGTTCTGTTATTAATCCCTCCTTTTCCTATAGGGAACAGAGAACAAAACTGTTTCAAATCAATCACTGTATGGCAACCGTGATATGTACATCAGATTAATCAGAGTAGATACCCAAGTAATAGCATCTGATTGAGCTTTAAATGCCCGAAGGACTGCACTATAGGCTTCTTGTTCGATATTGTGAATTTGAATTTCCATATCGTTTTGCCTTGGCACGGGAGCAGACCCACCCGCTGCCGCTCTCCCATTCCCAGCAGGTCGCATACCACTTTGGAATCGGTTTTGTAGTTGTGGAGGAACATCCTCGTCTGTATCTACATAACACACAAACTTCACCATTAGGCAACCTCAGGAGAAGTATGCAAACAAGAGATCAAACTTCAGAAGCTTCCTAGTTAGTGATCCCTCTGTAAAGTCAGTTGATGAAGTCATGGACAAGTGATTTCAGAATCTAACTTACCACTGTTATCCGATTCCATATTCCTCAACATGAAGCCTCTCACTCTGAACTTACAATGAACTTAACAAACTGCAAAACCAAACAATTTCTTCATTATATTAGTTCATCAACACCCAGCAGAGGAAAACTATGCCTTCCCATCGACAGAGGAACCATTCAAACAATCCGACTTGAATTAAATAACTAAAGTAAGAAATGCAGTTAACAACTACAACGTCTCAGCACCAACTTCAGCAGTCCCAACATCAGTCACATAGAGCAGAAGAAACGTAAAAGGAGATGTCTTCTACCCTAAAGGTCGAAACTTTATTCTCATCCAACAGCATTTAAGAAAACCCGCTCCAGAATCATTAGTTAAGGCAACAGTAGTTAAACCCCACCAAGTTGCAAGAAGGAAAGATCCCATATTATGGTCCCGTTAACTCACCAGTTCCAATGCAATACCGCTAGTGGCTAAACTGAAGCTCTTAAAACCCCAGAAAAGGGCACCGCGGTCCGAAAAGCACAAGCAGCTGCCAGTAACAGTAAGCAAGTCACAGTCTTGGACAAAGATTCCCCAGAAAAAGAAAAAAATCGACCTTCAAACTCAAGAAGCTGAAGAAGGAAAATTTTCCGGCGGAGACAATCCCTAACCAGAAAATGTCAGAAATCCAAGCTCCTTACGACACGGACAAACCCAACAATTACCGGCCAAATTCCTCAAAAGCCCTCGAAAGAGCTCCAGAAACCCGCACCCGACGGCCTGAAACTTCCTCCGGCGAAAGCCTCCAGCAAACCCCAGCGGCCGAGGAATGAGAATAGGGCAGCTCTTCGACGGGGGCAAATTTCTGGTCCGTTTCTTGGAATCTCAATGACGCAGGAGCCGAGATTTCAAGTCGTCAACTGATTGATTGATTCGAACGATGATACGGACAAAGATCGAGGACGAGCAAACGCGGACTTGAAACAATTTCTATGGCGGCTCGGCTCAATAATCGCATCGAGTTCCGCGGCGGCCGTTTTCCCGGTCGGAGCAACATTAGCCGCGCCGTGAAATGGCTCAACCTCCCCGCGCGCGCATAGATGGGCTTAACCTAACCAAAGATTCTGGGCCTTAGTTCAGGCCCAGTCAATGTCATGAAGGTTGCAAAGTTGTCCACCTAACATGGGCTGAGAAGCGTCCACGTCGACACCTCGTCGATAGCCCCAGGGCGTCGCCCTCCACGGCGGCCGTCGTTAGTTCGCACTTTCCGAGGTCCAAAAAACCAAAACCACCGCCTGCTTTTTTTTTTGTTTGTTAAATTCAGCACAAACGTATAGAAGGAGAGATGCTGCTTTCTCATTTCTCTCCGAAGCCTCCGCTTTCACTCCGTTCCTTCATTTCCTCGTCCTCTACTTCTTCTTTTTCCATTCTTCCGCGCCCCAAATCCCGATTATACCCTTCCTCTCTCGGGAAATCCCACTTCCCGCCTTCCTTCGCATGCCGTCGCTGCTGCGTCAGCTCGTGTAGTAGCGACAGAGTCTCCATGGAATCCGCCACGTCGTCCGTCGACGCCGTGACGGCCGATTTCAAGAACCAGAGCCTGAGCGCCGAGGGGAATGGCGCGGGGAAGACTGGAGGATTGAGGCTCGAGGATCTCAATTGGGACAATTCGTTCGTCAAGATATTGCCCGGGGATCCGAGAAGCGATCCACTTCCTCGTCAGGTAACTCGTTCATCACCTTTGTTTGATTGTTCAGATTAAGCAGCTGAGATGCCAGTGGATGTGGAATTTGGTTTAGTTAGGGTTTTTTATTCATTTTGCTTTCGAAGCGTTTCAGGTTTATCATGCTTGTTATACGAAAGTTAGCCCTTCGGCGGAGGTGGAGAATCCGCAGCTGGTTGCGTGGTCAGAGTCAGTTGCTCGGTTGCTTGATTTGGAGTTAGAGGAGTAAGTGTATGGATATATTTGGAATCTCATTGGGCTTCAATGAATCATTTAGTGGGATTGATGGTGGGTTATTATGCGGGATTTGCAGGTTTGAAAGACCAGATTTCCCACTGTACTTCTCAGGGGCATCGCTTATGGCTGGCTCGTAAGTGAACTATTTGGATAATTTGGTTGAAATTGGTCTTGGCTTTAGGTTTATGTCCTTACTGAATGCTCAATTCGGCAGGGTTCCATATGCTCAGAACTATGGAGGGCATCAGTTTGGAAGCTGGGCTGGTCAGTTGGGTGATGGTAGGGCAATAACCCTAGGGGAGGTCCTGAACTCCAAATCCGAAAGATGGGAGCTGCAGCTCAAGGGTGCTGGAAAGACTCCATACAGCCGATTTGCTGATGGTCTTGCAGTGTTGCGGAGTAGTGTTCGAGAGTTCCTTTGCAGTGAGGCAATGCACCACCTGGGGATCCCAACCACCCGTGCACTTTCTCTTGTGAAGACTGGGAAATTCGTTGCCCGGGATATGTTTTATGAGTATGTTTGACTGTTTTCATGCTGAAGGTTTTTTATGATATGCAGAACTTTTTGAGTGAGTATGACATCTAATTGCTAAATCTGGACCCTTGTTCTTGCAGTGGCAATCCCAAGGATGAACCTGGTGCTATTGTTTGCAGAGTGGCCCCATCATTTCTACGATTTGGTTCGTACCAACTACATGCTTCCAGAGGGAAAGAGGATCTTGAAATAGTTAGGGCTCTGGCGGACTATGCGATTCGGCACCATTTCCCTCATATTGAGAATATGACTCAAAGTGAGAGCTTGTCTTTTACTACTGGGGAAGATGAGGATTCTGTTATTGATCTAACTGCCAATAAATACGCTGGTACGTCCTCTTAACATGGTTTAACTATGCTGTTAGATGGCATCTCTATGTATCTTGCTGAATCGTAGTTTGCGTGTTATAAAGAAACAGCCAGACAGATAGATTATAGAGAGATAGTAGAACTTTTCAACTCAGTTATTTGCTGTGCGATCCGAACTAGTGCATTATCATGCTGCAGAATTAGTTCCAATCCACTTCTACCATTTTGTTTGTCTTCTTACCGATTTAGACCTTTCAATCTACTTATTGAGTTGCAATGGTATTTCAGCATGGGCAGTGGAGATCTCTGAACGCACTGCTTCCTTGTTTGCAAGATGGCAGGGAGTGGGTTTTACACACGGAGTGCTCAACACTGACAACATGAGCATACTCGGTCTGACCATTGATTACGGTCCATTTGGTTTCTTGGATGCTTTTGACCCTAGTTTTACCCCAAACACGACAGATCTTCCTGGAAGGAGGTACTGTTTTGCGAATCAACCCGATGTTGGTCTATGGAATATTGCTCAGTTCGGAGCTGCTCTCTCTGCTGCTGGGTTGATAAACGAGAAGGAAGCAAACTATGCCATGGAAAGGTAAATAGATGGAATTTTCATCTAACCAGTGAACTATTGTCTAGAGAATTGGTTCCTTTGGTCTTAGTGTTTTTGTTCTGATCAATCTCAGGTATGGGACTAAGTTCATGGACGAGTATCAAGCTATAATGACTAGGAAACTCGGCATTCCCAAGTACAACAAGCAGTTGATTGGTAAGCTACTGAACAACATGGCTGTGGATAAAGTCGATTACACCAATTTCTTCCGGACGCTCTCCAACCTCAAAGCTGATCCAAATCTCCCGGAGGTTGAACTGTTGGTTCCATTGAAGTCTGTGCTGTTGGATATTGGCAAGGAGCGGAAAGAGGCATGGACTACCTGGGTGCAGTCGTACATTCAAGAGGTACTTTTTTTGTTTTTAATTTCGGTTCAATGTATTCCTTGAGGTGGGATTGGTTTTATTTTGTTTAACCGAACCCAAGAGACGAGCATTTGCCAAACCGAATCAATTTCAGCTTCGGTTTTGATAAACTTAAAGTCATGGATCATGGTTTTAACCAAACCCTGTTTTCCAATCCTAACTCTTAGCCGGTAGAAGAACTAGCATTGTAACCTCTTTTTCCTTGTGTGCAGCTCGCTGCCAGTGGCATTTCAGACGAGGAGAGGAAAGTGCTGATGAATTCAGTAAACCCAAAGTACATCCTCCGAAACTACTTGTGCCAGACAGCCATCGATGCAGCCGAAGTGGGAGACTACTCGGAGGTGAGAAGGCTGCTGAAGCTAGTCGAGCGTCCATATGATGAGCAGCCCGGAATGGAGAAGTATGCTCGTTTGCCTCCCGCTTGGGCTTACCGGCCGGGGGTTTGCATGCTTTCTTGCTCTTCCTGAGCGCTGTTTTTTGTAGCTTGTTAAAAGTGTGACGAGAAAGGGGAGTCTTGTTTTGTTTTGTTGTACTCTGTACATAACATACTTGGAAAGTTGGAATGCTCTGCATATTTTGAAGGCAAAGTATGAATCTCTGGAAATGGTAGTATGTATCTGTATTTCAGGAAATGGCAAGTCTGAATCTCATTTCTCAGGAAAAGCTAGTCCCAGAGTTTGTATTTCCGGCGTACCATACGGGCCATGCCCAAACAAATTGATCCATCCGTTTCAGCCCACAACTTGCCAGCCCAATAGCGCCCGCATTCTTGCAAATGAATAATGAGCCGAAAGCCTTTCATATTGCTTCGTCTTCGCCCGCCAAGCAGGAAAAAACAATTTTCCGGGAAAATGAAAAACCAATCGGAACGGACTTTCTGATTATCCTAATCCTCTTCTCGTCAACCGTCGGCAGTTTTCGAGTTGCTCCTCTTCTACCATTCTTCCTGCTTAATCCTGCTGCTTCAATTTTCCCAATTTGTTATTAGTTTGCCGCAATTTCAACTCCCGCTCCCGGAGAAGACACTGCGCGGTCAGTGTTCGACGAAATGCCGCAGTGAGCTGCGGAAAAATCCTGCAGAGACTTGGAGAGGGGGATGAGGTTGTCGCGGAGTCTACACGTCTGGAAGATGGGGACGGTGAACTACTTGGAGGCGCTGAAGCTGCAGGAGAAGTTGGTCTCGGAGAGGAAAGCCCAGAAGATCGGCGACACGCTTCTCTGTTTGCAGCATCCTCCAACGTACACTCTGGGGAAGCGACGAACGGAGCACAACTTGCTCATCTCCGAGTCCGAACTGAGGAACATAGGGGCTCTGCTCCATTACACCGAGAGAGGTGGAGACATAACCTACCACGGCCCTGGTCAGGCGGTGCTGTACCCGATTCTGGCTCTTCGGGAGATTGGACTCGGGGCTCGGAAGTACGTCGAGCAGCTTGAGCTTACTATGATTGAGCTGGCGTCGCTCTATGGAGTGAAGGCTTCTGCTGGAGAAAAAGGGGAAACTGGTGTCTGGGTTGGAGATGGGAAAATTGGTGCCATTGGAGTTCGTATCTCTGGCGGGATCACTTCACATGGATTGGCGTTCAACATTGACCCGGATTTGAACTACTTCAAGCACATTGTCCCGTGTGGGATTGCGGATAAGCGAGTTACTTCGCTGAGGAAGGAGACAGGTACGGTGCTTCTTACTGAAGACGTTGTTCATGATCAGTTGATTTCATGTTTTGCTAGATTGTTAGGTTTTAGTGATCTTATCTGGAGGGGAAATGGTTTAAGTTCTGAAACCAAAGATTTGTGATTTCTAATTTTATTCACGGGTTTAGATAAGCCATCTAAACTTTGCATTCTCTGTGTGACTTGATCCATTGTAAGAACAAACTTGTTGATACTCTATGCTTATGGCTCGGATTACTTTGATCCTTGTCTAATTGAAGTGTATAATCCTGAACCAGAGAATAAAAGAACATATTTTGAATAAGAAATTGAACTTTATTCCGCATCTTGACTCTACTGTTTCTTGATTAGATCTTGAAAACGAAGCACGCTTCTTGTGAGTAAGTCACATGGAAGATGAGATTTCTCGATATCTTCCTGAACGATACAATATTCGCAGTTAAGCCACTGGATTGCTGAATTCAGCACAATGCTCTTTGTTCCCCCTTTTCTCATTGAATATTGATTGGTAGGAGGTTTCCACTTCCAAGCAGATACTTCTCTATTTTGTCTTCAAGTGACTACTAAATCCACGTTCTATAACTGAAGCATCTTTGAAATTTTGGAAATCTGCAGTCTTGATGGAAATTTTGAATACAAGTACACACATAGCATAGAGTCACCAACTGCTGAACTGAACCTAGTTCCAGACTATGTTAAATATGGATGAAGCGATCAAAATGTAAGTTAGAGAAGATCTCCACTAGAACCAATTACCTACAGCAAATTAGTCTATGTGCTATGAATCTAGATTGTCATTGTGTAGAGACACTGGTTGGTTCAGGTCATTAAGGGCAGGTTATCACAGCTAGTCTTAGCTGGATTTATGTACTCTTCATGAGGTACAGCAGTAATAAGCCATTTAGTTTATCAAAAAGGGAAGGTCAGAGAAAAAGGTGAATTATTTGTTCTCATCTGACTCATCACATGATACTTTCACTTTTATAGTTAGATGGGCTGCAGATTGGTAAGACAAATATAATACTCAATTCATCATCACATGGTTAGCTGCTTCCAAGCTCCTACCTAATCAAAAGGCATACCACTAGCATAATGATACAATTGAACATGTAAATTGAAAATTGTTGAAAATTTATCATCTATGAGAATGCGATCACAGGGGCCAGTCAAGTGAGACTACTATCATAATCGAATGCATATTACACATTGAACACTTTCTGTTATTTTATACCTCATTGACAGAAGCATTGTTAATTTGAACCACATGTTTTCAGTAGACTGGATCTGAGTATCTTTTTGAAATCTGCGAGGTGTATGAACCAATTGTTGTTTGACTTGGTCCAAAAAGGGTCTAGATCTACTTCTTTTACTCTTTGATGTGATATGGTTATACCATCCATGCATTTAGTTTCTTTACTGTCTTAAGCTTCAGAATGTTTGACACCAAGTAAAGGTTAGCAGAGATTAAATATATGGCAGACCGTTTTCGCAGTCTTGGGATTAAATATACTTCTTAAGACCTGCAAGTTGCAACCATATATATGTAACTGGCATACCTTCCTGGAAAGATTCAGCATATCTTGAGCCTAAACAAGACTGCTGTCTCTTTTTTCCTCACAGAAACACAGTATGAACACCAGCTACAGAGCTTTGTTTGCTCTAGTTTCTCTTATTCTTTTCCATTTTCTTGTGTCCTCGTCACTTTCTCTTAACAGAGAAAGAAAGATTCTTCCTCCCCAAAGACTATCCCGGCGATTTGTAGGTTCTGTCACCTTTTCATCACATGAGAGCAAGTCCAGTGTTGCTGATGGAGATCAGCAGAAAGGTCTAGATACAAGTCTTAGGAAGGCACCGCCAAGTTATTCAAATCCCATCCAGAATAAGTAATGTCAGTCTGATGTGTTCAGCAATCCTTGGAAACAAGAAACCAGAAGCATGGTTTCTTCCAATATTTTTGTAGTTTACTATTGGATAGTTAGAGAGATTAGAGGTTGAACAAAGTTAGTATGTTTCTTTTGGACATCATGACCATTTTTTCATTTTTTTCCTCTCATCTCTAATTTACTCATTCTTTAGTAATTCATATCTAACATTAGATTACTTCTTATTGCTGTATCTACGGCAAACATGTCATATTTAAGTGTCTATTGCAGAAAGTTCAAAGTTTCTGTTTCTGGTAGTTGATAATGCACAGAACTGTGTCCTTGGATTATCGTCTAGAAAAGATGCATGTGTTCTGGTTATCCCATATCATCTTGTACATTTCTGTGTTAAAGGCTCTATTTAATGCTTCCCCAAATTCTGGCTCGTAAGTCGTATCTCTCTGTTTAAATCCTTTCTATCATTCTCCACCTGAAAAGGAAAAAGGGAAAAGGAAAGCAGCAAGGAAAGAGCCTTGAGTAACTTACCAAAAATTCTGCATATCTTCAATCAACAAATTGAGATTCAAAGCTGAACACTACCATTGAAAGTTAAAATAGAGTGCCGCTCAACACTAATTGGAAATGATCTTCTCCGGTTTCTTCGTAAATACACCCCTGATTTGTATTTGCTCTTGTTTCAAACAAAATATCATTTCCTTTATAAAAACATACCACTTATTGGAAATAAATTTCGTGTAATAGATCCTGAAATCTCATAAAAGCTGTATTTCTCATGTTGGATGGGAAATCCATTTTTTCCCATAGAAGAAGATATGATACGTGAAGAAAAATGGTGAGGGAAAGTTCCCTTTCTTCCTGTGGATGGTAGTGTTATTGTAGATGTAACGTTCTAGCTTTGCACTTGAAGATTTGTTGCTTGTACACTTGCAAATTTCAAAGTTCTCTCTACTATTTAGAAATATAATTGTGTCGTTGTTAATCCTGTTCTTCCTTTATTATGTTGAGTAATGCTTGTATAGTGTTAAACTAGATACAGCTCAAAGGAGCGAGCGATTGCAAATACAGATCATCCCCCCTCTTTTTTCCTCCGACCCATGGAAAAAGAAAACAGTGGATTTAATGATTTCTGGGTGAAGACATTGTCTACTCAGGAAAAGCCAAACTGGAGGTTTCTCGCAGCTACACGTGTGTGGAATGCAATGGAAGAATGGTCCAGGCACATTCAATGACCGGAAAGACTCTATGTAACGGGCATTTTTTTGTGTTCTGTTCGTGATCAGCAATAAGACCAGTGAATGCAATCAAGAGAGTGGGTTTTATTTTGTGTGCTCTCTTCACTGATCTCTGAACATGAGAATTCGTAAGAGCAGGTCTCCCTTCCCCATTCTGTATCTCAATGCCCAGCAGAACGCTTCAGTATCATCTCAGGATCAGTCTAAGCGAGGTAAGTGTTTCGATTTATCATTTATTGTTGATAAAACCATCAGATCCTTTGCTCATGTTGCTTGATAAGAAAATATTCAGGGCAGGTGATGACGGATCCAGAATTGCTTGATCAGTTGCAACTAGATGAGGCAAAGCAGATCGGTGGAAGCTCTTGTGCGCCAGATATGCAGAAACCGGTAATTTTCCCATTTGCTTCCATCTTGTTTTAGTACAGTCCAATGATATCATCGAAAAAAGAAAATATCGGCGAAAGAATCCATGAATATATATTCTTGTTTTAGGTATCGAAGAGACACAAAGGAACTAGCAATCGGGGAAGAGCCACAAGCAAGCCTGGTATTTATACAAGGTACATGTTGTGGCTTTACCCTTCTTATATCTTCAACAGATTGATCTTACTGCCCTTCAGCAACTGATCCTTCAAATGATTAAATCTCTTCACAACTGATATATAAAATAACAGGAAAAGGCGTAGACCTGAGTATCCAACTATAATTGTGTTAGGACTGAGAGCTCACCTTCCATCAGGTAAACTACAAGATTCATGATTGAATCTACGCCCCTTTGCATGGACTAAATATTTTTGAATCGTTTCTCTCAGATCATAAGAACCCAACTCCCATAAGGAGAAGTAGAAGAAAGGTAGATAAAAATGAAGCTGCAGAAACAAGGTTGGTGTCAGCTGTGTCTCCAAAGAAAGATCCTAGTGGACCTGAAGTTAATAAGGAGGCAAAGTCCAACAATTGCGTGTGGAGGAGTGAACCGTCCCTCCCTCTTTCTCCACCAAATGATACCGTCGAGGATCGAGACAAGGAAGATCAACTATTGTTCTTGGAGGTGGTTGAGGCTCTGTAAGTACCTATTTGCATTTCCTTAGAACCCTTTTATGTATCACCATTTATTGTAGCTGTGTGCTCTGCGTTCTGTCCCAAGTACAGATGTGTTTGCTAAATAATATATGATGGTAATTATAAAGGCAGAGGGTGGAGCCAAAGAGACGAAGGGGAAGGCCAAAGAAGGTACCTACAGAACAGCTTGCGGAGGTAGAAATCGAATAACCATTCAGTGAATCAAAAGGTCGGTCATTGTCCTCTTCTCACTCTCAGTCATCCAAAGAGTTGACTACGTTTCTACACAAACCTCTTCAGATTCTCTGCTCTGATTGCAAGTTAATACCCTCGCCTCTCTTCTTCTTTGATGTTGTGTAGGTATCGGCTTTAAAGAATCTGCAGTGGCCCAAAAAGTTACCAGCTTTAAAGAACAGTACAGCTAAAGCCACCTCTGGTTCGTATTATCCCCCTGGTTATGTTTCAGTTGAGTGACACTGTCTTTGTCTCTCAATCTATCCTTTCGCGCTTCAGTGAATTGTTAAAGCTCGGTTAAACTCATACCTGGGCCAAATGTTGTGGTTTCTGAACTTGATGTAATAAGGTTAGCATAGTTATGCAGCAGCCATCTCAGTGGTGAATCTCAAAGATCCAACCAAGTGCTGCTGCTTATCGTTGACTGTTTGATATTGATGCTGCCCTATATTCGATATTCATGAAGTTTTTCGATCAATGTTAAAGGTTCCGATGGAATCGAATTTAGGCAAGTACAGAAGGAATTAACCCAACCATTAACCGGGTTGGGTGCAAGAGTGAAACATACAAATAATCAAACAGTAATTAAGCTTCAAACAACTGCTGCTAATAAACAGTGAAAGTAAGTAAAGAGAGGCCTAGTTAGAGCTAGAAACTCCTGCCCCAGTAGGTCCACTTCTTCGCTGGCTTCCCTGTGGCAAAGCATAGAGTCCCTGCATGCAAAAATTTCAAACAAAAATCATAATTACAGAGGGGTAAAAGTAAGTGTTAACCACTTCCTACTTAGTTCATAATTAGCAATGCTGCTAGTAATTAATTACTTCCTAACCTTCATGGAGTTCTGGCTGCTCAAATGGAGTGCAAAGGCTCTTGACAGTTCCTCCCTCTTCATCCTTTATTCGCTCTTTTCTCTCTTTCTCCACTTCCTGAAGATCAATACGCAAACAAGCAAGTCTAAAGATCATAAACAAAACGAAAACTATGTAAGCTTTCTTTGTTTCATTGACGAGTATAAGTGTCATCGTTGCAGACCTCCTCGTCGCACCAAGGAGCTAAGATCATCTTCTTCTGGGCTAGTGCAGCTTTGAATCATCCCACGTCTTCACAACCTGAACACAAGCGTCTCTCTTCTTCTTAGCAGCATCAAACATGCTTTGCTGAATGTCATCCAGCAATTTCTTCACTTCCTCCGCCAAACCCTCGTCTCTCTTTACAGATGACTTTGAATTGTTGTCACGACGAACACAACAAACCTACACAGATAAGCAATCAAATCAATCAAAACAACACATATATTAAAATAACCATATTAGGCGCTTATTGATGCACTCTTTCGATCATGATCACCTGTTGTTTAGCGAGTTCGTTTCGTCCGATCTCGATCCTTAGAGGAACACCCAATAATTCATAGTGAGAGTACTTCCACCCAGGTGAATAGTTATCTCTGAGGTCAATCTTAACACGCTTAACACCAGCATTTTCCAAAGCCTTGGCAGTTGCAGCACAAGCATCAAATATCCCTCGAACATCGGCTGCATCCTTGGAAGGCACAGGAACCACTACAACTTTGTACTTTGCCACTCTAGGTGGGATGACCAATCCCTTTGTCGTCTCCATGAACCATTACCATCACTCCGATCTACACTTACACGCACAAACAAATTGACATAGTCAAAACTCAAAATTAAAGGCTAGCTTTCTTCACATGAATCAACGAACGAATATACGAAACAGAGAGCTCTTCGAATCGTTCGATATAGCTCACCGTCCTTGTACTGTAACCCCACGAGTTCTGCCACACTATTTTCGTCTCTCCCTTTGCATCTTGAAACTTGATGTCGAACATTTCAGGTTTGGCAAAGTTGTGCCCTAATGAATGGGACGTCGCGCCTTGGATGCCACGTCCAGCTTCAGGGATGAACGCCTGTATGGGGAAATTCATCAGTTCATAACTGAATCATATATGCACATGCAGCAGCAGCTATAGCCTTACCTCGACGCTGGTTGTGTAATCCGCACCAGGAAACGTCTCCTTCTCAGTTTTCTGACCCTTAACTACGGGGACTGCCAGAAACTCTTCATAAATCCTTCGGTACAGCTCCAATATCTGAAGGACCTCTGCATCTGCTTCCTCCTTGGTTGCAAAAGCAGTATGTCCTTCCTGCCAGTCGAACTCGCGGCACCTGATCAATGGAGTAGGGTTGGTGGTCTCCCAGCGGGCTACTTTGCACCACTGGTTCACTTTGAATGGCAGGTCCCGGTGGCCTCTTATCCAGTTGGAGAAGTGAGGGTATATTGCGGTTTCGCTCGTTGGCCTAACCGCAATCGGAGGTGTTAGCTCCGTCTCACCACATCTCGTCACCCACGCAACCTATACAAGCGAAACGATCAGTTCGTCGCGCAGGAAACATCGAACATTGTTCGCGAAAAATGGATCAGCTCGCTCACCTCGGGCGCAAAGTCCTGGAGGTGGTCCTTCTCCTTTTGCAGGTTGCTGTCTGATATAAACATAGGGAACTTGTACTCTTCGACTTCCATCTTCTCGATCTCGGCCTCGAAGAAATCCTACAAACAAACTCACCATATATGAACGGATACAAGGAAAGATTGTAGTTAACTTGGGAGACAAGGTAGGTTTTGCAGAAGCTAAATTACTTTCATGGTTCGCCATACACTAACTGCAGATGGACGCAAAACATAACAGCCAGCGATTTTGCCGTCGTAGTTAATCAACTCGCCATTGACAACCACCTGTGAGTACCACTCTCCGAACTTATCATCCTTCGTTACAGACAGCCCCAAACCAGTCTCTTTCTTCTTCTCCTCCTCCTTCCCGTCTGCATCAAATCAAAAAGTGTAAGTTTAGTACGGAATCTGAACTCAAAATTCAAAACGAGCTATAAACCTAGTTAGATATAATACTGACCACACATTTTTCGGCAGCCGGAAAACTCAGGAAAAAGGGGCGAGGTCTGTGCCGGCGGGAGCTACTCTTCCTTTTCTGGCGGGTGTTAATACTGATATTTGTGAAGCTAGTGCCGTAAACCCTATATATATATATATATATGCAGGGTTGCTGTACCTTTCCTTGCAAGAAAAGGAATAGAAGGAAGCAGGGTGGGCCTCGGTTATGAACAAATAAAAGCCCAACAGAAACAAAATAGAAGCGGAGGAAGTGAGTGGGCCGAAAGCCCGGGTAAATAATCCCATCATCTTCTCCCATAGATCGTTGATTTATGATACGGAGAAATTAGTGTTCATATTAATTTGTTTTAAATACAGATTTTTTTTTTCCTTCCGGCCAAATGGCCAATCGAACTGGTCAAAACTCAAAAGCTAGTTTTACAATCAAAATTGTCAAACCGGTTTAAGTTATTGAGCCGATCAAATAAGTGGTTTGAGTTTTAATTATATGATCGAGGTCTGACTTGTTGGAATAATTTATACATTTTTTAAATATAAATACAAATAAGGTAATAATATAAAATTTTAATGACGATAATGAAATTTATCTTACATGTATATATTATAAACTCAATTCCCACACAAGAAAATCCACTTAACCCCCATAAATCATCCACCATCTTCCTTCACTCTGTCCTCCTCTTCCCTTCCTTCTCTCTTATTCTCCCTGTTTAAGAGTCAGACCTGAGAGTTTTCTTAAGACCATTTTGAAACATGATTTTGGTCGGATCGAATCCAATTGAGGAGGATGGATAGGAGTTTGACAACCTTGCTTACTATCTAATATATTACATTGGCTTGTTAGTAGTAACCGAGAATCAAACCAGAAACAAAGTTATCTAAAGAAAACAACCAGCAACCGATCCTATCATGTACTGAAAATTCTTCTCAAATTTCTTATTCTTCTGCTACTAATCGCATCCTTTTCTTCTTGTTCTTCCACTTCCTCATCAGACTCCATAATTTCTTGCTACTTAACTCTTCCTTCCCTTCGCTTTTCTCGATCTCAATGTCTTTTTCCTTCAAGAACTGGACCAGCCCGTTCAGAGCAACCTCCGGTTTGCCGGATACCATGAGCTGCTGCGCAACTTCGGCCGGAGTGGCCGGAATCTTAAGCATCAAATCCTCAATTCTTTTGAAAAGCTCATGGTCCTCAATCCCCAGGTATTTTCCAGCCAGCAGTTTGAACCCTGCTGTCGTGCAATGGCCCATATAGACATGAACATCCATTCTTCCTGGCCGGAGCAACGCCGGATCCAACTTCTGCTTATGGTTCGTCGTGAAGATGATTATCCTCTCATCTCCGCAGCTCGACCACAACCCGTCGATGAAATTCAGCAACCCAGATAGCGTCACCTGCCAGAATAAAAGAGTCAATTTTTTAAACAGCCGAAAAAGGGGGAAAACAGAGTAATCAAGAAACAGAGTTGCTCTGTTTATTTACCCCTTTATCAGAAGAGCGCTTCTTATAACCAGGGTGATTCTCATACCCATCATCATTCAAATTTTCATCAACAGAACGGGGTTTTGTGGAATTGGAGCTGCAGTCCACGTCCTCAATGAGGAGAATGGACCGATTGGTGGTGGCGGTGAGGACCCTGCGAAGCTCGAAGTCACTGTGAATCCCCTGAAGCTGAAGATCGTAGATGTGGAACCTGAGGTGATTGGCAATCGCAGCCACAAGTGTCGATTTCCCAGTCCCAGGTGGCCCCCAAAGAAGGTAACCTCTCTTCCAAGCTCTCCCCACGCTCCTGAAGTATTCCTTCCGCCGGACGAAGAGATCGAGATCGTCGATGATCCCCTGTTTCTGCTCTGGCTCCATAGCCAGAGTCTCGAAAGTCGCAGGGTGCTTGAAAACGGTGGATTCCCAATAGAATTCCTCCCGGTTGTACGTGTAGATGCTGAGAATCTCCCGCTCTTTGAAGATCTCCTCTGCAGTCCTACAAATGTGGGGGATGTAACTGGCGACGACTCTATCTCTGTCGCTCCTCTTGCACCTCAGCTGGAACCTTTGTTTTTTTGGGAATGTAGTAGTTTGAGCTCTTGCTCTCCTCCTTCTCGTTCAGCGTCCACTCCAGCTTCATGCCTTGGAAGTGGTCGACGATTCGGGTGTAGACGGAGACGCCGGTTTGAGCCTTTGCGAGGATGTTGTTGTTGTCGTTGTGGCCGAGGAGGAGGCAGCCGGTGTCGGGCCCAACCATGGTGGGGAGGTAAGCCTGCACGGCGCGGAAAGTCTCGTTGTCGACGGCCTCCCAGTGGTCCTCGATCAGAAATGTGAAGTCTCGGGAGAAATAGGACGAGAAGAAGTCGGAGGCTTTCCAGTAGATGAACTCCCGGATCGATTCGGGGATCATGTCGCTGAGGATCGTGCGGACGATCATCGCGACGGCGGAGAGGGAGGCGTAGAGGGAGAGCAGGGTTGACATGGTTGGTAGCTGGAGGCCTCCCATTTTGACCGGTCTTTTTGATCTCTCTGGTTAATTGGATTTTTTTGCAGAGTCTGGCAGAATTCGGAGAAGGAACGAAGATGCTCGACTGAAAAGAGAGGGGGAGAAATGTATAGAGAGGAGAGCTTTTACTCGAGGGGGTGCTCTTGGCCCAATGAATATCGCTTATTCTGGTGTTTATCAGTGGTGGTATACAATTGGTTTACGTACTAATGACTATGGTGATGAATGATGATGAAGATACTAGGGTTCTGATCCGATCACCCAATTTATATGTAGAGTGGATAGAGTTTGAAGGATCAACCATGTGATTCTCGTTCTCCATCTTCAGGAATATAGTATTTGGAGATCTATAAAGAAGCTTTCGGCCACATGCAAAAGCGTCAAAAATTCCTTAGCTACGCGGTTCGTAGCATTTTCAAATGAAAAAGAACCATTGGTTTCGCATTGTTGTTGACGGAGGGCCACCACTTGCCGGGACTGAGGGTATCGCCGGCGACGGTGGCTCTGGGCCTGTATTTGCATATGGTTGTTTTTTTTTTTTTTTATATATCGGACATGAGAATTGAGAACCCTGATTTTGTTTGGCAGTGGAGTATCTTATTGATGATGCTCAAACAGGGTCGGATAAGTTGGGGACTGGTTCTATTCATGATGTCTCCGGTGGGACTATCTTGTATCTTACCCGGCTGACCATCACTTCTAGTTCATTTTACAAGTCGACACATGAGTCGGGTTGCTCATTTAGTGACACCTAAAATATATGCGTGATTCTAATCTTACTAATTTTGTCTATGACTTCACTTATCTATTACGTGGATAAGTCTACGAGATTGTCGTAATTGTTGCGTCACTCCGCGCTCTTACCTAGGTTATTGGCAGGGTTATCTATGACCAAGAAAAACTTTTTTGATTATCGTGTATGACCGTACGAGTCTGGTATTGATAAAACTTGGATGAATAACTCGTTATACTAATGAGACATACCAAGTTGCTTTCTTCTTTTACGTTACACAACTTTTTTTCTCAAACTTTGTCTAGGTCATCTGGTAGATGCGTATTAAATATATCCAAACATCGTCCAAAATGCATTATCTATATCCTTACCCTTCTCAAATAAATAAAAAAAAGATACAAACATTTTATTGTTGATGTGTCATTTGAACTATTTAAAAAATATACACACAATATTCCAAGTATTTTTAAGAGACATGTGTTACAAATAATCATCCCTCAACATACTCTAATCCACTGAGTACCTAAAAAGGAAATTTATTGATCTCTAAATTTCCACTGGGCACCTGGCGGTTCTTCATTGCGTGATGGTTAAGTAGCAGATTCCTCACGTTTGTCTTCTCATGAGATCTTAATTAATCTCTTGCTAGTGGCAGAGTCAGATTAGTGCTCCGGCCAGCCGCTTTTTCTTTCTTTTGAATATTAATACCTTCATTAGCTTGGGCTCTAGTATCTCTGCCAAAGAGGAAAATGGGATTTAATTTTATTATATACAAAAAGAAATTTGAGGAAGAATGTACAAGGAAATAGCAGTGGACCAAACACAGTGCCACACCACAAAGCTTGAAACAAGAGGGAAAAAGAGAAGGGAGATGAAACAACAACAAGGTGGTTTACAAGAAGAAGGTATCTCAACATCGTATTCACACTTCAAAGAAGAGGTTTATCTAGAGATGATTTCATCACCAACAACATAAACATTGTTTTCAAACCTTAAACCAATCGTAATCGATAAAAAAAGAAAAGCATTCTACTAAGATTTTAGGATGGGATACAGAATACACGAAATATTCCGAAACTATATGCTCGGGCTGATTCAAATGGTGCCTAGGTAGGATTCAGGATCCGGAGGATTAGGGACGTGAATGGATCCTTCCAGCATCTGAGCGACCTTCTTCATTTCTGGCCTCCGCGTGGGATCTTCCTGCAAGCACCAAATGGCAACCTTCAGAAATCTCTCCACTCTCTCCATGTCAGCCATGGCCTCCTCATCGTCTTTCACCAGCTTCCCCAATTTACCGTCACTGAAACAGTCGACTGCCCAGTCCGCGAGTATTATCTCCTCTTCGTTCAACGCCTCCATGTCCAAGTTCTTCCTGCAGCTGACCAGCTCCAGCAACACGATCCCGAAGCTGTGGACATCGACCTTGGATGTGATCGGCATGCTCTTGAACCACTCCGGAGCCACGTAGCCTCTGGTTCCTCGAATCCCCGTCATGGTCCGAGTCTGGTTCGCCTTCAACAGCTTCGCCAGCCCGAAATCAGAGATCTTAGCCGTCATCAACTCGTCGAGCAGAATGTTCTGTGGCTTGATGTCACAGTGAATGATGTGGGTGCTGCACTCCTCGTGAAGGTAAACGAGACCCTTGGCGACGGCGTAAGCGATCTCCGTCCTCGTGTTCCAACCAGGCCTCGAACGATCCCGGTCGAACAACAGATCAGCCAGCGACCCATTGCTCATGTACTCATACACCAGGAGCCGGTGCTGCCCTTCGTTGCAGAACCCCACGAGTTTGACCAAGTTCTTGTGGTTAGTCCCGCCGATCACCTTCACTTCAGTTGTGAATTCCTGCTCCTGGGTTTTGCTCACCATCTTGTCCAGCATCTTCACGGCCACCACCTGCTGATTACGGCCGAGAACCCCTTTGTAAACTGTTCCAGAAGCACCACTCCCAAGTACTTCCTTGAACCCTCCTGTCGCGTAATCCAACTGACCATACGAGAACTTCTGAAGATTGGTAGTTAAGCTATCAGCTTCTCGATCTGAATCGATTCTTCCGCTCCTCTCATCGTTCCTCCTCTTCCTTAGAATAAACATTGCCGTTACCAAGAGAAGATTAACCAATGCTGAACTACACAAGAGCACCAACACAGAGATGATCAGAGCCCAATGGTCTTTCTTCCTCTTGGGAGCTGGACATTGCCCAAGAGGCAAAGTGGAATTGGATACCCTCACTTTGATCAGCGCCTTGACTTCAATGCTGGCACCCACTCTTCCATTGGACAGAGGCATCCTCTTCTTCCAGCAATATCCTCTGCCGTAGATTGCAACATCACAACGACAATCACTCAGACAAGCCTGTCGGCACATAGCCTCGGAGTAAGACTCCAACGCTGTGTACTCTGCATCAACGTAATCCGTGTTAGGCATCGCCACGAGATCGAACTTGTCGCTCTCGTTTAATCGGCAGTCCTGTGGCGCGAAGTCCTGGATGCATCCTTTGTACTCGTCGAGCGGATCCATGAACACATATCTGTTTGATCCATGAAACCAGTTACGATTCTGATATAGTTAACTAGATACTACCATTTAATCAGATGAAGATGATGGAAGGAAATTTTACCCTTTGGGGCACTTGCAGATGGGATTCTGATTACCATCCATTTCACAGTAGCTATTGTAGCCACAAGCTCCACTGCCTATTTTACCCATCACGACAATGCAGAAATTTCTTGGCTGGAAGAACAGAGTAGTCCATCCCGTCGTTCCCACTCTTCCGCTCGAGTTACGATTACCTCCATTGCCATTTGGAGAGGCATAGTACCTTAGCACTCCATCATGATCGAGAGTTACCCTCTGGTAAAACTCTTGGCTGGATTCTCCATTCCTAAACACATAACTAACAACCGTCCCATTGCTGGAAGCCAGATACAGCATCCCCGTCTGGTTGAAAATCACCCTGTAGCCCAAGAAACCCATTAGTGAAAAATTCGAGATCTTTCTCCATAATTTTATGAACAGACTGCAAATTTTCATTTGCCTTGTAGCAGTCGTTGTTGAGCTGGCCCAATACGGAAAGTTGTTACCCATTTGAGGATAAGTTGTGGTGTACTGGACCAAATTCCCATCGGGTTGCAGAGCCAACTTGAATCTCCCTTCCGAGAAATTCGATCTCGAGTACTTGGAAATCAGTTGCGCGCCTCGAGTCAGAAACTGGGTCGGCAGCAGAGTATCTGTGGGCTCGTTGAAGCTCGCCCACAAATATGACAAATCTCGCCCTGTCACCACGAAATTGCCGGTGTCCAACATCGCCGCGCCGGTGGCAGGGGAGCCGGGGCCCGGGTTCCGCGTCCAGACAACCCGGCCTGATGGGTCAGCGAGGACCAACCGTCCGGAGCCAACTTGGCCGTCGGCGGTCAGCTGAATCGTCGATCTATTGGGAACCAACTCGTTTCGGTTGGCCGACCACACGACGGTTCTCTCAGGCATTTTGTCGAACACTACGCAGAGCAAATAGCCGTCACCTTCGCCGCGGCTGTTGTTGATGCGTTGGAACCCAAATGCGAAATCGCCAGAAGGGGATAGCCAGCGGTCGTTGCTCGATGCTCCGGCGGTGAGAGTTGTGCCCAAGGTTACATTGCGGTAGCTCTGCGAGTTGGCTGAAAACGGCAGCATGAACAGTAGCAGAAGGAAGAGATCAAGCAGTGAGTAGTGGAAAGCCATTATACAAAACAGACCCGGTTGCAGATATGGACCAAAACCGTTACTTTTCCTCTACCTCTGCCTCTATAAATGGAAATCGCTTGCTGGGTTATAAACAGAAGTCTAGTCAAGATGATGAATCGATCACCATTGTACAGTTTCAGTAGTCTTTGTCCGAGTTTAATAATCTCAACTACCAGAACAGAAGCCAAGTTCAAATGTTACGCGCTAGTGAGTGATGAGATTGAGACAGTCTGAAAAAGTCAGCATCTTTGACTTGAGGTGCATTTTGAATTTATGATATGGTGGTCTGAATTTGGATGATCCTGATATCTGAAATTTCAGCAAAATTTTTTGGATGGTGATAGATATGCCATGGAGTAATCTAACATGATCAATGATTATACGACTTGTAATAAAAAATCGTATAATTTAAGAGCATCTATTGAGAAATTAGAGAAGAAACTAATTGTTGTGAGAAAAAGTCATGTATGAACAATTCGAAGTTTATAATTCATATTGATTTTTGAATTCTCAACAAATTTATTTTGACGGTGATTGATTTAGCCAAGGATGATTAGCCTAAAATCTAACATCATTATGACGAGTCATGAGTTTGAAAGAACCGATCGTTCTCTGTCATTTTCGAACCACAGGATAACATGAACAATTAACAAAACTTATACTTTTTGATTTGTTTACTTATGTTGATGAAGTTCAATTATTTAACTTCATATCGATGATCTAACGATTTCATAATTAAAATCACTTTTCTAAATGGTGAAATTCTCATCACAAAAATCGAATAATTCAAAAACCTATTGAAAAATCACCAATGCATTATCCTTTATTTCTTTTTTCTCGATGAATAGTGTGATCAATATTGAGCTCAATCATGGGACGTGTCTCTATTAAGAGGAGGAATAGTTACTAGTTACTACTAGCCTACTCTCACCATAGAAAATTTCAGCGGAGAACAATTTTACCCTTGTCATGGTTTGCATGCATGAATCTGCCGTATATCAAAAGTCCTCTGCTTGGAAAAGAATGGTAGCTGCTCCCTAAGGACAGAAACATGGGGTTTGTGGCCAAAGACCAAGTCACAGCTTTCTTCCCTGTCTACTGTTCTAAGTCAAGATCACGGCCTGGTAGACAAAATCATTGAATCGGGATCGTCGGAATGATAAATTCTCGAAATAAGATGTAATGTTGAAATGGTTAGAATTCGAATTAGCTAAATCATCAACATGCTGTTATTTGAATAGATAAATTTGAAATTATCGAGCTGATACAAGGATTGTTTGAATAAGAATTGTGACTCCTTGAATCCTTAAATATATGCAACAAGTAACATAAAACTATGGATATGACTCGAACAAATGAAACGAAGTAACAATCTTTATTCGACTTCTGCCTAGCTACTTGCAACTTTCTAGTAGTTGTATTTATTTTGAAGGGTTAAGCCTTCGAGATCGTTGTCACGGTGAAACCGCTAGGGCACGGAGGATCGGGTACTTCAAGGACTCCTTCGAGCATCTGCCAGACCTGCCTCATCGTAGGCCTGGCGGAAGGTTCCTCTTGAATGCACCACAGGGCGGTCATCACAAACTCCTCGAGCCTCTCCCTGTCATTCAGCGCCTCCATCTCGTGGTCGACGAGGTCGTCGATGCCTCCTTCGGCATAACAGTCGAAAGCCCAGTCTGTCAGGATGGCTCGTTCTCCGGCGCCCTCGTTGCTGTCCACGCCCTTCCTGCAGCAGATGAGCTCTAGCAGAAGGACCCCGAAGCTGTAGACGTCGACCTTCACCGTGATGGGCGAGTTCCTGAACCACTCGATCGCCACGTACCCTCGAGTGCCCCTTATCGCGGTGTGCGTCTGGCTTTGGTTCAGCTGCAGCAGCTTCGCCAGTCCGAAATCCGAGATCCGCGCATTCTGGCAATCGTCCAGGAGGATGTTCTGCGGCTTGATGTCGCAGTGGATCACCTGGGTGCTGCACTCCTCGTGCAGGTACAGCAGTCCCCTCGCGACTCCCAATGCGATGTGGATTCGCTTCGACCAGCTCGGCTTCACCTCCCCGAACAGGTAATCGGCCAGAGTCCCGTTCAAGTACTCATAGACCAACATCTGCCTCTGCTCTCCTTCCTCGCAGTATCCGACCAGCCGGACCAGATTCTTGTGATGAATCTGTCCGATCACGCTGACTTCGGTTCTGAATTCCTTCGCCGTATCGTTGTTCACCGAGGAGTTGAGCTTCTTGACGGCGACAACGCGGCCGTTGTCCCGAATCACGCCTTTGTAAACTATGCCAAAAGCTCCCCTGCCAAGCTCTTCCTTGAACCCATCCGTTGCTTCTTCTAGCTCCCTGTATGTAAAACACCGCACATTCGGCTCGATTGCGCCGTCGTTTTCTCTGGAAACTGCAGCAAAACTGTTCTTCTTCCTGTAAACGAAGTGAAACCCTAAACAGATTGCGATCACCAGCGCCACATTCACGAAAGCTGAGATCCCAAAAAGAACCGAACCCATCACGATCAACCCTTCCCTGTCCTTCCTCTTCACAACATCCCCTGCCTCCGGCGCAATCGGCCACCCGCTGCCGCCGGTTCTCCGGCTCACATTCCCCCTCCTGACTTTCAACAGTGCCTTCCCGTTCAGGTTCCCGTCCAGCCTCCCATTCGACAGAGGCATCTTCTTCTTCCAACACATGTTCTCTGACCGGAAAATCGCGGCGGCGCACATACAGTCGTGCAGGCAGGAATTCCGGCAACCCTCCTCCGTGAAAGGCTCCAACAGAGCATAATCGGAAGTTGGCCAATCGGTATTCTCAATCTCCTCGAACCCGTACAGCTCTTCAATTCGGACCCCGCCGTTGTCTTCTTCGCAGCCCTGTGTGTAGTTCGCTCTGCAATTTCCGTACGGATCGTCGGGATCCATCAACGAATACCCTGTCGGGCACCGGCAACTCGGCCGGCCGTCGGATTCGAGGTCGCAGATGCTGTTAAATCCGCAGGTGCCGCTGCCGATGTCGGTGTTCGCCGTACAGATGTTCTCCGGCTGGTTCCAGAGATGAGTCCAGCTACGGTTACTTTCCCCCGATTTCGGGTAATAGTACTGAGTCAAAACTCCGTCGAACCTCAGAATTGCTCTTTGGTAATGCCCTCCGTTTGATGACGACGGCACCGACTCGGTCAAATTGAATCTGCTGCCGCCGTTAGTTCTGACCACGGAGAGAAATCCCAATTCGTCGAACGCCAGCTGGGTTCCGGGATCGGTGGCGGAATTCGTTCCGGCGGCGTAGTATGCACCGTTGACCTGCTCCGTCGGGAGATTTACAGTGGTGAGGACTAAATTCCCGTCCCCCTGGAGAATTAGGCGGAATCTCCCCTTTGAGAAATCGGATTCGGAACGTCGGGAGGAGAGGATGATGCCGCGGCCTAGCGTTTGCGAAGGGAGGATCGTGTCGGTGGGATTGCCGAAGGTTTCCCACAGAGGAGAGGAATTTCTAGCTCGGATCACGAAATTGCCGGAATCGGTGAGCGAGGCGGAGGCCACTCCGCCGGAGAGTTGGCCGGACCGCCAAATCTCGGAGCCTTGTGGGTTCGCGAGGACGAGGCCGACGGTGCTGGATAGCTGGACGGTGGAGCCGGCGGGGGCAGGGGAGTCGCCGTTGGCAGACCAGACGATTGTGCGGTCGGGGATGTCAGCGTACCAGATGCAGAGGAGGAAGGTGGTATTGGTTTCGTCGAGTGGGCGGAAGCCGAAGGCGAATTCGCCGGATGGGGAGAGCCAGGCGGTGGAGTTGGATGCGTCGGCGGGGAGGGATTGTCCGACGGTGATGTTTTGGGCAGCGGCGAAGGCGGGGAGAAGGAGGAGGAAAAGGAGGACGAGGAGAGGGGGAGAGCGGCGGAGGATCGGAGACAAGGAGGCTGCGGTGGCCGCCATCGAAAAGGTTTGAGTGAGTTTGCTGAGGAGAGGTAAATTGTGAGTGTGAAATAACAGAGTGCCGTGGCCGGAGGGTAGAAGAGAAGAAGAAGAAGTCAACGGAGATGGTAATCGTCCAAGTAAACGGAAAAGTCTTTGGCGGGACTTATAAGTTGGCGGGAGCGGGACCATATGTTTTTTTTTCATTTTTAATCCTTGTTCTTCTGAAAATGACACACACGCCGTTCATTTAAAAAAAAATAACATTTAACCCTAAACTTATATTTATTTTAACCATAATTAGTTTATAGAACTTAGTGGAATAGAGTGGACGACCTTTATTTAATCAAAGCATAAAATGTAGATTAAGTATAACCCATTTCAACTAAATACAAAAAGAAAGATTACGCTTAAAAATAAGGTATGCATATTTTCTCAAATGCGTAGGCTGAAATATTCGATGGTTTTTCTTAAAAAAATCTGGATGGACATAATAAATGGTTTGTTATCACTTTTTGTTTAATATTTATGTCCACTTTTTTGTTTAGTATTTATAAAATTTATAGTGACCCAAAAGTTTAGGGACCATTATGTAATTTATAGGAGCTAAGTGTGGAGAAGACGCAAATGCATGTCAGCTATCTAGTCCAAGTCCAGCCAAATTCTGTCATTTCTTGATCGAGTCTCTAATCTATGACTATTCAATTCCACGTCTTTCTTACCCTCTAGAGATATAAACTCAAAATGGGGTTTCGTTTAGGCAGTGGCGGAGCCAGGAAATTGACCAAGGGGTGTCTTTATCATATCATAAAAAATCACTTATACAATTGAAAAGTCAACTTTAAATTAAACAAAAAGTCAACAACGCAATACTCTAAATTCACACAATTACATTAAAATAGTTTCACGTACACCGGTTACAAAGTCAAACAAATAAGTTCAGTACATACAAATCAAGACTTCCATTCATCAAATATTACAAATTAGAACTGAGAAGTACCTTGGAATTGATTTTGTGAAACAAACAAGTGAACTTCAATTGGTACTTCTTCACTTTCAACTTTGTTTAAACAAAAGACAAGAAATTTCTCTATTGTAGAGCTACAAAAAAAATGAGCGAGTTTAAACAAAAGACAACAATTTATTACTATAAATAAAAATCACCTCATTTTCATACTTGTCATGCCACACTATTCCTCCCATTACTTTCCTACTTTTGTCTTAGTCTCAATATTAATAATAAACAGAGCCTAATGTTGCAACCACAACAACAAAACTGTATTACATGAATTTAGCATCTGTTATCTAATAAGTCAACTGAAAAGTCTATGGCGGGACTAATAAAGTAGCGGATTAGATTGCCAAATGTCACATAGTCCAACTGGTAAAACTCTTCAGAGCCCCTCGACTGGGAAGTGTGAGGTCCCGTGTTTGACCCACCTCAAGGCCACACTACAAGAAAAAGTTCTTTTTGCAACCAATAAAATTGGTCCCAAAAAGTATAAATTTGGTTATTAATATATTTTTCGAGGCTAAAATTTTTTGGTAGCAGAATTGGTTGCTATATCTGCGGTACGAATACCTAACGCAACCAAAATGATAATTGGTAGCGAAAATAAAGCTATTGCAACCAATTTTGTCAATAGTAAAAAACCTCAGTTTTTCGTAACTATTTTAATTTGGTTGTCATTGTCCATAGTATTGGTCGGGAAAAGTAGGTGATTGATTGCCATAAATACAAATGATAACCAATTTATGTGACTATTAGTAACCTATTATTTTGGATGTAAAGTCTTATAAGTGATCATTAAATGTGGTTGGGAAATTAACATATGTCAACCAATAATATTATTATAATGATCAATTTTTTGTATGAAAGTTTATTAACACACCCATTAATTTTGGTCATGAAAAATACATACGTAGACCAATTATGCTATTTAAACTGGGTTTTAATAATTTGGTTGATTCACACCCACTTATAACTTAATTAATAGCTAGCCCTTTTTTTCTGTATGAACTATAGTTATTCCAACAAATAAACCTAGATATTTATATTAGATTCGTGAGATATCAAGTTCAAACCTTAATATTCTTCATTTCTGTGTTGCCCCTTTGATGACCATAGAAAAAGCCATCGAAATTCGAACTCATCATTTCAAAAGCGCCAAAATAAAGGGTTGCTAATTATCGCCCTAGATTTTACTATAATCGTCCTAACTTAAAACTTAAAATTACATTTATATCCTTTTATTTTTTAAATCTTTTAATTAAACAAACAACCCTTTATTTCGGAAAAAAAGCAACGCAAATTCTCACCTCCGTTTCTCATTCAAACAAAGATTTTCCAGGCGGAAACAAAGTAGAGAAGAGAACCAGAGAAAGAAAAAAAAGGAGGAGATGTGTGCCCTAGTTGCCGCTTTTCATTCCCTTCCTCCATCTCCTTTTCAATTAAATCGTGATACACTAGGGCAATCCAGGGTGGGGGATAACGGCGACTCCCTGCATCTGCCCTATTTGTCGTCACGACCGATTACTACTGCCGGAAACCGAAAGTAAGCAAGATAGTCGTCCCGAAGCTGGACCTGGCGGCGATGGAGTCCGAGCGCGGCGGCAGGAAGGTGGAGAGATTCTCGCACTACGTGGTGAGGCAGCTAGGGTTGTCAGAGATCCGAGATCCGCCTGCTCTGTTTTGCTTTTTAAGCAAAAAAAAGGCGTGTGTATAAGAGAGGAGATGAGTCCCCTGCAGCGGGTGATGAACGGTCAATTTGACTGCTCTGTTTTTCTTCCATTGCTCAAGTGATGAAGGGTCAATCGGAGAAGAAGCCGAAGCTAGACGTCGATCTCCCTTGGAGCTGTATTTTTCTCGCGATGCGAGGAAGGAGATAGGGACTGTTTGATTTGTTTATTTTGTGTTTAGTTCTTTAAGGATACTTAAGTAATTTTACACTTTTAAGTTAGGGCGATAAAATAAATTAGGGCGAGGTTTAGCCATTCAGAAATAAAGACCAAACGAAACAACATTTCTGGTTTGAATTTGGCTCCCTCCTCCGCTATATCCCAGCCCAACCTGAAGCTAGCTATTTGCCGATAAAACAATGTAATAATTGAACTATACTAGCTAGTACAAGGTTTACAATGACGTTTCTCATGGTTCATGAAAGAACAATAAGATACTGCTCTAGGGTTTGATATGGACAGGCAGGTTTATAGCATGAATCTGTATATTGTTTTCATCGGCAAGAAACTGTTCAATAGCAAACATTATTATTGCCCTCGTCTCTTGTCTCTTTCTTCCTAAGCTTTATTCCTATTCGGCAGATTCTTCTCTGCTCTGTCTCCGTCCACTCTTTCTGGCCGGCCGAAGCTGATCAAGCTTATTACAGCCTACAATGTCATTCCAAGTTGGCCGCCGGCATGCTTGTTTAACAATGGTCAAGTCTTGTTTATGTATAATTAAGTTTAGACCAAATCACCATAGCAAAAAATCATTAAGTATCCCTTATTTTCTTACATTCCGATGGCTAATACTCTCTTTCCACCCAATAATATTGTAGCATAAACAAATTATGTCTTACATATTTGAATTTTGTTTAATAAATAATCTCTAATCGTTTCGTTAAAAGGGTGGGAGACTTTAATAAAGTCATTATTTCGGTTCGAAACATATCTCAAAATTTGCATTATGGTAATTACTAGCAATATTTTCGACAACATTTAATTAAAAATTAATTTAACCCTAAACTATACAACTAGTCGGTGCAGTTTTTAGCTTGAAAATTATGTTCGTGATTAACACTTTAAGCCAGTGCTTTTGATTTATTTTGAAAGATCAGGTAGCAAATTATATATTATTTACTATTGAATATCATGTAACACTTTGTGATTAACACTTCAAGCCAGTGTTCGATTTTTTTTTCTTCATATTGTATAGTTTTATTTGTTAAGTTATTTAATTCTAAAATAATATAAATATAAATTGTATTTTTGTGCAAAAACTTAAGGATATTTTCAGATTTTCTAAATCATTTTTTACTAGCTCCATTATGCTATAAAACACTTTTCAACTTTTTTTTATAAATCTAATTTATAGAATCGTTTGGTCACTATCCTTTTGTCTTCAATATTTTGAAAATCTCTTGGACTTCATTTCATATAAATCTTAGAACCCAATGATCAATCCCCAGAGGCAAAGCCATTCCCACAAATGTCTAATTGCCAGCCGACACTCTGCCTCTCCTTTTCACTTCTTCTTCTTCTACTGCTGGGTTCCAAACCAGTCAACTCACAGCAGCCTCAGGCCAACATTTCTTTAGGCTCGTCCCTTGCCGCCGGCGCATCCCAAGACTACTGGCTCTCCCCGTCCGGCGAGTTCGCTTTCGGTTTCCAACAAGTCACCGGCGGCGCCAGAGGCAACAGCTTCCTCCTAGCCATTTGGTTCAACCGGATCCCTCAACGAACCGTCGTGTGGTCCGCCAACCGGAACGAGTTGGTGCCGGGCGGTTCAACCATCAAGCTCAACGAGGACGGGAACCTGATCCTGGCCGACCCGTCGGGTCGTCCAGTCTGGAACCCGAACTCGGTCGGGTCTGGAGTTTCCTACGGCGCCCTTCTCGACACCGGGAATTTCGTATTGGCCGATCGAAACGCAACCGTTTTATGGGAAAGCTTCGATCAGCCCACTGACACAATACTACCGATGCAAACTCTACTGAGAGGTAAAATCTCAGTTATGTTTTTTCGTTCCGCTCTACAAGAGATATGCCCTTCTGTGACGGGTAATGCGGTCGCTAAAAGTCTTAATCGGTCACATTTAGTGACCAGTGAGTTTTGGTTGCGACTTTTTTTCCGACCAATTTTTGGCTTTAGTCACACTACCTGATGATTTTCAAATTGCGGTTACATCCTTACCTAAAATGAATATTAGATATTTACCTGCCAAATTACACATTACATATCATTTTTAGCTAATGTAATTAAATATTGGACCATCTCATCGTTTTTTTATAAGGGTGAAATTCATTAGAAAAAAAAAATGTAAATTTTTTTGATAAGTATTGGACCATCTCATAGTTAGTAAAGCTTAAAATAAGTCGTATTCGACCATTCATACTCATTTCGATACCTTAATTATAAATTTACATTTTATGCTCTGATTTTCGTGATTTCACGATAAATTATGATTTTTTTTTTACTACATTGAAGGTACTGAGCTGATAGCCAAATACTCCAGCACGAACTACTCGAACGGGCGATTCAAGCTCGACTTTCAAACCAACGGCAATCTGGAATTCGAAACGACCCACTACCCACAAATGCGGAGCAACTACCCTTACTACGAAAGCGCGACAGTCACAGCCGATAACTTGTCCTACAACCGGTCCGGGTCGCTGTTCATAGCCTCTACCAACGGGACAATCCTCGGCAACGTGTTCGACAACCGAGAGTCGATAAACGATTTTTACCAGAGGGTAACAATTGATCACGATGGAGTTGTGAGGCAATACGTTCACCCAAAGCGAAACAACATGTCGCGATGGCCAATGGAGTGGACCGTTTCGGATTCCCAGCCACCGAATATATGCACTGGAATCAAAGGATTCATAGGCAATGGGGCTTGTGGGTTCAATAGTTATTGTCAAATGGAGAGTGGCAGGTTCCCTAGATGCAGTTGCCCACAAGGGTACGTTTTTATGGATCCAATGGATCATAGCAGTGGCTGTGTGAGGAATTTTGCTCCTCAAGATTGTGCTGTGAAGGAGGGACAAGATGATGATGGTGACCAATTCGATTTCGTGGAGATGGTCAATACTGATTTTCCGAATGGGGATTACCAATTTTTGAACTCGGTTTCGGAGGATATGTGCCGGGAGGCTTGTTTGAGTGATTGTCTTTGTGACGCCGTGCTTTTCAGAGGTGGGTTATATGCTCTACGATTCTTAGGAGTTTGTTTGGTGATGATTGACTAACATTGAAAGTTAATTGGTTTGATCATCATAATGTAGATGGGCAGTGCTACAAGAAGAGGATGCCGATGTCTAATGGGAATGTGGATCCAACAAATGGAGGGAAAACCCTATTCAAAGTCAGGAGGCAGGATTCCACTTCCATTACAAACAAGAAAGATCACTCACATCTTAACACAAATGTTGGATGGTTTCTCTTGGGAGGTTCAATTTTTATTAATCTCATCTTTCTCTTGGCTAGTTGTCCATGGAGGAAGAATCCCCCAAATAGCATAGATGGTGAAACCCTAGATCAAGGAGCTTTATCTTCGAACCTTCGAAGATTTACATACAAAGAGATGGAAACAACTACAGGAGGGTTCAAGCAAGTACTTGGTAGTGGCTCTTCTGGGATAGTTTACAAAGGGGTTATTAGTGTCACAACTCGAAAAAACTAGTTGCGGTCAAGGTTCTCGAGAAAATGCACGAGATGGAAGGCCACGATGTACGAGAGTTCACCACAGAGGTCACTATAATCGGCGAAACTAACCACAAAAACCTGGCAAGACTTGTGGGGTTTTGCAACGAAGGGCAACACCGTCTTCTGGTTTATGAGTTCATGAGCAATGGGTCTTTAGCCGATTTGCTGTTTAGAAGAGAGGTGAGGCCTAACTGGTATACGCGAACCCAAATAGCTTATTCGATAGCTCGAGGACTCGCTTATCTTCATGAAGAATGCATCACCCAGATAATCCATTGCGACATCAAGCCACAAAACATCCTCCTGGATGGCTCAATGACGGCCAAAATCTCGGATTTTGGCATTTCGAAGCTCATGAAGGCGAACCAGACACGAACCACAACCGCAATTCGTGGGACTAAAGGATACCTAGCGCCAGAGTGGTTTAGAAATGTTCCTGTGACGGCTAAAGTTGATGTGCACAGCTTTGGAATTTTGCTCCTGGAGTTGGTTTGTTGTAGAAAGAACTTTATGATGGAAGTTGAGAAGGAAGAGGAGATGGTACTTGTGGATTGGGCTTATGATTGCTATTGTAAAAGGAAGTTGCATAAGTTGGTGGAAGAGGACGAAGAGGCAATGGAGGATATGAGGAGAGTTGAAAGGTTTGTGAAGGTTGGGATCTGGTGCATTCAAGAAGATCCTTCGTTGAGACCTGGAATGAAGAAAGTTGTTCATATGTTGGAAGGAGCGCTTCTTGTTTCCAAACCACCCGATCCCAGTTCCTTCATCAGTTCCATATGAAATGCCAACATTTTTTTTCCCACACACTATAGGGAACTTGGTCTTTTGTGTGTACTTGTATAATATTTTGGATTCTAATGTTGTACATATGGAGTAATAGTTCTTGGTGTACTGCTAATTGTAATTAAGATGGATTATTGGTTCATTTGAGAGTTAATCTTGCTTTTAAGTTCAGTTGATTGTTGGTTTGTTAGTGCTTTCTTCCTCTACATAGATTATCAGCTTTTTTTCACCTTCACATGATCTAGTTTTGGGTAGATCATGATAAGTTAGATAAAGATATGTTCTCTCTTGATAAAATTTCAGTTACCAATTAAAAAAAAGGAAGTTTAAAGACTGTCTAAAATGTTCTAACCATTTCATTTTTGGCATGTAACGCGAGGATATAAGTACGATATTAGTATATTTGATCATGTTTATACAAAAACTCAAAAAAAATATAAGCTCAAAATTTAGGAAGAAGCTCGAGGGTTGTAATGGTTTGATGGATATCACGACGCATTTGGAGCTGAATTATGTTTACTATACATAACAAAAGGTCGAACAAAGAACAGTAAATTGATATTCGAACTCACAATCACGAAAGCATACTATACATACTCTCTCAAACACTAAGACGTAACAATATTTTTCGGTTTTTGGATTTGTTAATGAAACAATATAATATAATATAATCACTAATTATTAATTATATTAAACTACATACTAATTCAAGTTACGGGGCATTTGTCTCATCATTCAGGAAAACAGATCAGTAAGGCATATTATTCTAGGGTTTGATATGGACAGGGAAAATATAATGTGTTTTAAGATATAAATTTGATCGGCAGGAAACTGTTTAATTTGCAATATTTGCCAGTCTCTTTGTTCCCGAGTCCCGACCTATATCCGATCCCTATTCGGCAGGTTCTTCTTGCTCTCGTCTCTATTCAAACTTTTTGGCCGGCCAAAGCTCCGGTCAAGCAAAGTTTTTCCAAGTTGGCCGCCTGCAGGCTTTGTTAATTAACAGCGGTCACGTCTCACTAATTCCACTTATTTATCAATTTTAGTGTCTATAAAGTCGTTTGTTGTTTGATGCACAAATGGTCGATCATTGCACTTTGGAATCATTGACAAATTACTAACTGATGAGCTTCGTGTGTTAAGTATAAACAAAAATTATAGTTGCTTTGGAGGTTGGGCTGACTGGCAGGATACTAGGATAGTACCTTTAATGACATAAGGGTAATCTCCAAAGTAAGAAAATAAAAGCATGCACATATTTACGTGATTTGTTACCTGCACGATGTATGTTAGCTTGTTCATGACCTAGAAGAGATTAGTTTGTCAATGATTGTATTGAGTTTGTGATCAAAAGAAGTTTATTAGTTACCTTCTCCAAACCATAAAAAAAAGGCAAAAAAATTATGTAGCATTAAGTGTTATTTAAGGATTAGAGTCTGCGACCTTGAGAGTGAATACCAGTAGTAATACCACTACACCAAACCATGTTCGCCAAGATTAAGCTTTAGTCATGTAAATACGATTTAAATTTGCAACCCATTTTTGAGCTAGCATAAAAAAAGCTCGTGCACCATCAAAAAATTTATGACTTTCAATCGATGATGGACAAAATTTCAAGTCATAGGGCTCTCATAGCAACAAAAAATCTGTCTATACAAACATAATGACAACTACATACAATAATTGGTTAGTTTCATCGTTAGACATCAAATCGAGTCCGAGTTCGGGTCCACAACATGATGCCTATAACGTTAATTAAATTCAGTAATCGAGGTGTTCCTAAGCCATCCCGCACCAATGGAGAAAAAAACACAGGACCATCAGCAATGCAGCCATATGGCCTTGGAATTGCGCCGGCTAAGCTCCGATCTCCATAGCACTCGAGCTGTCTTTATATAAAGCATCTAACCCAAACATCAACCTCCCCCAAAAAGACCAAAAATCATTTCCGGCAAATGGCTAATTATTACTCTCCCCAATCCAAATTCTACAACTACTACTACTCGTCGTTATTACTCCTCTTTCTATCCTCCCTGCCGTCCACAATCAACTCCCAAAACATTTCATTAGGCTCGTCGCTCACCGCCGGCGCCAAGGACTACTGGCTCTCCCCGTCGGGGGAATTCGCGTTCGGGTTCCAACAAGTCGCCGGCCAAGGCGACGGCTTCCTCCTAGCCATTTGGTACAACAAAATCCCACAACGAACCATCGTGTGGTCCGCCAACCGGAACGAGTTGGTGCAAACCGGGTCGACGGTCAAGCTGACGAAGGATGGCAGCTTGATGCTCGCCGACCCTTCTGGCCGGCAGGTTTGGGGCCCGAACGGAGTTGGGCCCGGAGTTTCCTACGGTGTTCTGTACGACACGGGAAACTTTGTACTGTCCGATCGAAAAGGTGTCGTTATGTGGGGGAGTTTCGATCAGCCGACGGATACCATATTACCTACCCAGATCATAAAAAAAGGTAAACAATAGTTTATGTTGGAATTGATCTAGTGATAGAAATTTCTGATATGATTCGTGCGATCAAATTTGTTTCGATCTGTTTGAAGTGAGTATTATCCTATCTGCAATAGTATAGGGTGGAGCATGGGTATTGTTTCTGATATTTCCGTTCAGTCTAATTCCTCTCGATCCTATCTATCAAGATTTGCATCAATATCTACGTGTATATCTCCTCTTATGATCTTTGTAAATTTTATATTTCTATCCCATAAGGACTCTACCTTTCAACTTATTAGACTCAATTATTCATTTTACTATATTTCTGCTTCATTTATGAAAGGTTTTCTCCAATTGATTTTGTAAATATTTTTTATTATAGTTCTTTTTTTTCAAAATTAAAAATGGGTGGATTCGGTCCGATCCGTACCGTCGCGAGTATTACTCCACTAACCCGCACTTATTGTCGGATGGATATAAATATTGAGGTGATCGCCTGTCCCATTATCATCACTAAATTTGATGGGTTCCAACTCATTATCTTTTGAATATGTTGGATTTGATAATGTTTTTTTTTTTTTTTTTTTTTTTTTTTTTTTAAACGAAATTACAATAAGTTGATTGTTATTAGGAAATGAATCTATATATTCACTTTTAATTTTCTTTTAACTCCTTGATTTAACTTATTTTCAAATTTAATTTCTTTCTCTACGCCAAAAACAAATTACCCTACTATTCACATTACAAACATTTTTGTTAATTTTTCTCTCTAAATTCTTGATCTTTTACTAACTTGAAGGTACCGAATTGCTATCCAAATACTCGTCAACGAACTACTCCACCGGGAGATTCAAGTTCATGTTCCAAACCGACGGCAACTTGGTGGCCTACACGACTTTCTACCCACAAACAGTCCGCAACTACGCGTATTGGGCAAGCGCGACGAAATCCACCGGAAACTCCGTCACCTTCAATGAATCCGGCAGCGTCTTCCTCTCCTCCGACAACGGAACGATCCTCCTCTACGTCTTCACCAACCAAGAACCGACCCAAGATCTGCACCAGAGACTGACAATCGACCACGACGGCGTCATTCGCCTCTACGCCTACCCAAAACAGAGCAGTACTTCCGCCGGTAGGAGATGGCCGGCTGAATGGACGGCGCTCAGTTTCATGCCGGCGGACATCTGCAGCCTGATGCGAGCAGATACCGGAAGCGGGGCTTGCGGGTTCAACAGTTACTGCCAGATCGAAGATGCCCAGTTTCCCAATTGCAAATGCCCAAATGGGTATAAGTTCTTGGATCCTTCCGATGAGAGCAGGGGATGCCTGAAGACTTTGCCCCCGCAGGATTGTTCTTCTTCGGCGGGAGAGGAGGACGGGCAGTTCGATTTGGTGGAGATGGTGAATACGATCTTCCCCTCGGGTGATTACGAGTACTATCAATCGATATCGGAGGATATGTGTCGAGATCTCTGTTTGAGCGATTGCTTGTGCGATGCGGTGACTTACGAGAGCGCGTCTTGCTGGAAGAAGAGGGCGCCATTGTCTAATGGATACATGGATCAGGAGAACACAGGGAAGACTCTGCTCAAAATTCGGAGGCAGAATTCGACTTCTTCGACGGCGGGGGAGAGGAAGAAGAATGATCAATCGAGGAAGCTAATGTTGACTGCGGGATGGGTTCTTCTGGGTAGCTCTGTTTTCGTTAATTTGATGTTTATTGTGGGTAGCTGTCCATGGAGGAAGAAGAACCGGAGGATGAACCGAGTTGGGGATGAGTCGGATGAAGCGATGGAATCGGCGAATCTCCAGAGGTTTACGTACAGAGAGATGGAATCGGCGACGGGAGGGTTCAAGCAAGTGCTCGGCAGCGGTGCCTCCGGCACGGTTTACAAAGGGGTTTTGGGTGAAAGAGCAGGGGAATTGGTTGCAGTCAAGGTGCTCGACAATATGCCTGAGAGAGATGGTCACGACGTGAGGGAGTTCGCCACTGAGGTGAAGATAATCGGCGGGACTAACCACAAGAACTTGGTGAAGCTAGTGGGATACTGCAACGAAGGGCAGCATCTGCTTCTGGTTTACGAGTTCATGAGCAATGGGTCGTTGGCCAATTCGTTGTTTGGTGGTGGAGAAGGGACGTTTCCCAGGCCCAATTGGTATACGAGGACCCAGATAGCTTACTCGGTTGCGAGAGGACTGGTTTACCTTCACGACGAATGCAGCACTCAGATTATTCATTGCGACATCAAGCCACAGAATATACTACTGGATCAAGGAATGACTGCCAGAATTTCGGATTTTGGAATATCCAAGCTTATGAAGACGGATCAGACCAAGACCACTACTGCGATTCGTGGAACCAAAGGTTATCTGGCGCCAGAGTGGTTCAGGAATGTGCCTGTGACGGCTAAGGTCGACGTGCACAGCTTTGGCATTGTGCTTCTGGAGCTAGTTTGCTGCAGGAAGAATTTTCTGCTGGATTTCGAGAAGGAAGAGGAGATGGTACTGGTAGACTGGGCCTATGATTGCTACAGCAGAGGGAAGTTGTATAAGCTGGTGGAGAAGGATGAGGATGCGATGGAGGATTTGCAGAAAGTGGAGCGATTTGTGAAGGTTGCGCTTTGGTGCATTCAGGAAGATCCTTCGTTGAGACCTGGAATGAAGAAAGTTGTTCATATGTTGGAAGGAGCGGTTCTTGTATCTGAACCTCCCGATCCCAACTCCTTCATGAGTGCCATATGATATGCTCGATATTGGTCCTGTTAGGATTTTCGTTATTTAATTTGTGCATCTTTTTTGTGAAATTTTTTAGAATTTAAGCAAGTACATATGTATAGAAATAATTAAGTTTATGAAACAACTGTAATATGGATACAAATGGTTAAGATTCTTTGAAGTCGTGAACATTAGGAAAAGACACAAAAGAATTTCTATGGTCAATCTCGAGTCTTTGACAATTTGAATGATGGAGACAAATCAACTATTTTCAAAATATAAAAGCTTATGTCAATTGAATAATCTCATATATGAATCATAGTAATGTAAAAAAAAAAAAAAAAAAACTTTGCACAAAAAAGTGGAAAACCTATGCAAGTTCGCAGCGCTGGAAAATTAATTATGTTTCAAACTTAGAGGTTGTTTGGAGGTTTTGATTTAAAGTGGTGTATTTAGCCAATACTGCAATGTGGAGATTCAGTCGTTTTATTTTTGTTTAAATTGATTTATAATACATGTATTTACTTTTTAAAGGCCCACCTCTAATTCTTCAAAATGAAGGATTGACAATCTCTAGCAAAAGCTGAGATTGTAAACGAATGATTGTATGTTTGTCTTTTATTCCACTTTTGTCCCTTCTACTTTTTGTTTTTCCAACATTACCTCACCCATTGCTCCTCTCTCTTTGGATAAAAGAGTTAATGAAGGACAAATAGTCTGTAAACCGAAAAAATATAGTACTGTTTTAGATATGTGAAAAGCACAATCTACACCTCCAAACAAAGGATTTTTCAAATACAACCATTCAAGCAAAACATTAATTTAGAATGCATACATTAATAGAATTCATCAATTTAAAGAATCCCAACTTCCAAACGACCCCTTATTTAATGTTTCATTTGCCACAAAATTACGAGAATAAGATGTCCCTAAGTTGTACGTAGGATCTTAATTATCATTTTGATAACTTCAATCCGTTTTATGTAGTGTCTTAATTATTAAAGAAGACTTATGTATCTATACATAAGAAATAACTATACCTCCGTAAGTTTTACGTAATGCATTTGTCATTTATGTAACTATTATACAATGTTGTTACGTAAATCTTCCATAATGTGGTCTAATAGTAAAATCAAGTCATAAAAAGTATCAAAATTTATTAAATTATTATCTAAACGTTAATAGACATTATGAAACGTTTGTGTAATGGAAATTGCTGACATGATAGTTTTTTTTTATAGTTAATAATCAAGGGATCTTAGTTAATAATAAACAAATTAAGTTACGAAAAGCATCACAATTTACTAAATAGCTTATGCTTAATACAAAGTGATGAGATGGTTAAAATTTAAGTTAATAACATATGCCACTTTTGTGTAATATTTGCTTAATTTATACATATGTCACTTTAGTATAATACAAATTTATTATATGGTAAAATATTTTGTAATAAAAAAATTTTCATTCAAAGTTTTTTTTTAATGAATTTGAGTTCTTTCATTTCATCAAAGTACCATTAGTACATGATAAATTTGTAATTTACGATATAATAGTATTATTAGGTAAATCTCATTTATATAAGCATCCCCAAGAATTTCATAACATTTGATTAATAAATTTTATTAGCATCCATAAGGATATTTGTGGTAGTGGTGTTTATTTATGACTTGTTTGGGGCGGATATTACTCGACCCGCAATAGCATGGAGCGGAACATGATATTGCTTTCGACCCGCCCTGGCCAGTTTTCGACTCGTTTTATTACGATTTGCATAAAAATCAACTATGTATTTCAACTTATATAATCAATTATTCCTTATATTATATTTGTCATTCATTTATGAAGTTTTTCTCTATGCCTTATTGTAAAAGAGTTAAATATCGACGTTCTACTTTCAAATAACATCTAAGTATGGATCGACCCATCCTACCCTGTACCTGGAGCGAGTATTACTCGACCTGGCTCACACCATTCCTTTGCCATCAATAATTACTGATAATGTAGTGCATAACAATAAGCCCCCATCTAATAAAGTTATCAAGAAATGGGCTAATTATATGATCCATCCAATATCGACGTTCTATTTTCGAATAACATCTAAGTATTGATCGACCCATCCTGCCCTGTACCTGGAGCGGGTATTACTCGACTTGTCTCACACAGTTCCTTTACCATCAGTAATTACTGAGAATGTAACGCATAACAATAAGCCCCCATCTAATAAAGTCGCCAAGAAATGGGCTAATTATATTATTCATCCAACACATAATAATAATCACCCGGTGAACTAATCCCCCATCTAATAAATTTACCAAGAAAGGAAATGGGCAAAAATCTTATACAATTAGAGGTGGCAAATGGATTGGATTGGTGGATTGGTGGATTGGATTGGTGGATCCATGGATCAAATGGATTGGATCTAATGGATTGGTGGATTCATGGATTGGATCAAGTGGATTGGTGGATTATCCATGAATCCAAATGACATCCTCAACCAAGGACCAATATGTAAAATGTAAAAAGTTTAGGTGCTAAAATGTCATAATGAAAAATTTTAGGTACCAAAACGTAATTTTCCAATGATATTTTTCACATAAAAAATTAAATTTTAAGTACCAAAATGTAAAAAATAAAAATTATAGGTACTAAACCGTAATTTACCAATGATCCATGGATCCAATCCATGAATCCACCAATCCAATTGGATTTGGATAAAATAGATTGGATTTAAATGGATTGGATTAGGTGGATATTTTTAATGGATTGATGGATTGCATTGGTGGATTGGATTGAAATTGTCACCTCTATATACAATGCATCCAACGCATATCAATAATTCCCCGGTGAACAGTAACTAAAGAGTTATGCGAGCGGTAATTTCGTGAGGAACAGTAAGTTCCCTTGGGCTTTTAATTAATTGATAAGCCAAAATGTGTGTGGCTAAGTTACTAAAAGGTTGAGCGATCACTAGAACTCATGGGGAGAGATCGCTCATATTGTTGAGAGTGGATGTTGTGGATGTGGTATACACCGCAAGAATTTGGCGATTGCGATTAGGAGTGTGTAACGGTTTGGTTCTCACCCGATTGTGTCAGATCAAGCCGACATTTGTACCGACCATATAGTCATTGATATGAGCTTGGATTGCTTCCATTCCAAGTTAGAATTGTTTGTTCAAGAAGCTAAGTCAACTCATTTGCACAATCTAAATTTTTGGCCAAGTATTAAGATGAGTTCAGAGAGCCAACTTTGTGAGCTCGAACCTTCCAATTGGGTTGATAGAAATGCGAGGTTAAGGTGTTGTCTTGAAGATAAACACTTCCTCTATAATATGGCATGGGATTCGGGTTCATACAAGGTCGTTAAGGCTGTGTTTCAAGGCCTCAAAGTAGCTGTCTCAAAACTGGCAAACTGCCAGAATTTGGCCAAGTCTGGAGGCATGGTCAGGAAGGTCACTTTGGAGCTCCATTCAGGGAAGATGGGTTCGAATCAGGGAAGGATCTTTGTACCACATGAAAGTGTGTTTGTTTTTCTACAGAAGCAAGGTATTGGCTAAGGAGATAGAGACCTGGAGGGATGTGAACGTGAGGGTCAAAGTTGCTATGGAACCTGTTTTGGAGGCAGCTTACATGAGCTACAAGTTTTGGGTATTATGGACGAGTCGGAATTCCTTTTCTGTTTAGGTTTGTTACCTTTAGACGTAGTAGGATTAATTAGCTTCCCTTGTTTGTTTTGTACTCGAATTAGGTTTTAGTTTGCTTATTTAAAGACCTACAAACTTCATTGTAATAGTTAGACGTTAATCAATTAAGAACTTGTTCATTGAGTTTTCAACTCGTGGATTGTCCTTGTTGCTTGGTTCAAATCGCCAACGACGAGCGAGCCTTGTATCGATTGAGTCGTCACCTCAATCGTGGTCAGATGAGTCAACATATTTATTAGATATGATGATGAGTCGATTTATTGACTAATTTGATCCAATTGTCATGATTCGTATAGGTATTTAGACGGACCCAGAGCAATATACTTAATTACTACCATCTGGAAGAAAAACTTAATACTGATGTAGTGGTTCGGATTATCATTCTAAGTTTCAAACTGCAAAGAAAATTTATTTTTGGTTGAATGACTGAAATTTTAGTGCCCAAAAGTATAGAGACAAGTAGACAACTAATCTTATTGGCTATCTATTTCAAGCTGGCAGGCTTTGGTTGACAGTCCATCACTAACTGGACCCAAGTTCTGAAGCAAGTGCATTCTGGTCCTGCCCAATAAAAGCCCATAGATCAATCAAATCCTTCACTTTTGCTCTAAAAACACTTTGATCCCCCACCTAGCATATTTATTCCTTACTAACTCCTAAAGTTCTTCATTTTGTTGTTTCTGGTGTGGCTGAAATTCTCAATCTTGAATATTGGTAGATGGTCTTGCAATTGCATCCATTTATATTTTTACAATGATAGAAATAGAATCGTCCACTCATAGGCATGTCAGTTTTGTATTTTGACTCTGTACTATGTAGCCTTTTCAAGAGAGAAATTGGATTGTTTTGGAACTTTCAATATTAGTTCACATAATTTCAAACATTTTTTTCGCATAATATTTAATTCTAAAGTGTTTGAATAACATCTTTAGCATTTTAAAAGAAAACGCATAAAAAATTGTATTTCGATTAGAAACATTACTAATGAGCAATTTTACAGAGTGGCGTGGTAAAGTACAGAACACCACACATGAGCAAATGACTATTTACTGACACGATACTGGACTTCCCATTTCTACCCACATACCCCCTTGAATACAGCCTTAATTACACATATTGCCACCCACTCGCATACCCTTTCTCAAATCTCGCATCAAACCACACTACCATTTTCAGATTACATTGCAATCTGAAAGATACACAGTAAGACGCACAGAGGCGACGCAAACACAGCAGCCAAGCAGTGTCTCTGCTGCACAAGAGAAAACCAATCCAACAATTATCTCTATCCTTTACTCTCCCTCTCTTTTTGCCTTTGTACCCTTTTGCTTCTTTCCTCTGCTGCTGCTCTCTTTCTTTCTTTGTTTCTGCTTCTTCTTCTCCTCTTCTCCTGCACTCTCTGGTCTTTGCTTGTGCCGTCAATGCAAATCCTCAACACAAAATCGAATCTCCGTGTTTCTTGATCTGGGTATCGACTGTTTCTTCTTAGATCACTGATTTTTGGGGAGAATCCACCTGGGTCTTGGTCGTTTTTCACCTTCACTTCGGCAGATTCAAAGAAATGGGCCTCCAGCTCAGTATGCAAATAAGCTTCCTTCAATATCAGGTTTGGAGTTTCCCCCCTCTCTCAAACGTTTTTTGAAGGGAGAGGAAGAAAGTTTGTTGCCTTGTCGCATATTTTGCATTCCTTATCTTCCGTCCTCGAAGCTCACTTGGTTTTCATTTCTGTTCCTTCCAAGTTCTGTGTGTTGATGAACTGAAGTTCTCTACTTCTCTTGTATTTATATCTCTGGATCTTATTTTCTATTTGGGGTTTTTGTAAACACCTAGTATTTTATGGTTCCCAGATATCGAATTGGGTACTTGTGCTATTTATTTGTTATGTCTTTCTCTTTGATTCAATCTCTCTTTTCCTGCAAATTGGAAACCCCATGCTTATGTCAGTTCTCTTTGGTGGGTCTCTGCCATTACCTTCTTATGTCACTCTTGCCTGCTTATAGAATCTTCTGATTTGGTCTAGCAGAAGCAAGTTTTCTTTTGCTGCTGAAAAAATTAGTACTTTATGAGGAAAAGTTCATGAGTTGGGACTTGAAGAGAAGTAGGCAGCCTTGTTCTGTATACTATGATATAATCCATAAGCCAAAGCTTGTCTTTTTATTCCGAGTCTTGGCAAGATTGAGACTTGGCTTATGTTACCATTGCTTTGAGGTAGATAGATCATGCATTGGGGTTTTATCAATTCCACTCAACTTTAAAGTTGGTCTCTTTGGATAATGTGACCCAAGAGAGTAAAGTTTCAAATTTTTTTATTGGGCTTCCTTGCATAACTGTGAAATTAATGATCTTGGCTAGCTTGACTTTGCATGGAATGTAGGTGTAAGAAGATGGTTCTTTGTGGCTACATTGGGATTGAATTAGTAATGGCTCTCTTATCTCTGGCTTTGCAGGGGAGTTCTTCTTCTGTATGAGCTTTCTAACTATTGGGAGATAATAAGGAAATTATGGGTAGAGGTAGGGGAAAAGGAAAGAGGTTGACTGTGAGCAATCACGACGATGCTGGTAGTGGTGAAGAAGAAAAGATTCCTGCACAAAAGAGAAGAGGGAGACCACAAAAGCCATTGAAAGATGAGTTCGAGGAAGAGGAAATGGAAATGGAGACCATGATGGAGGAGGAAGATGTGGTGGAAAATGGGAAGGCAATGAATAACACTCCTAGCAAAGAGGCAAAAAGTCCAACGGCATCAGAGAATGGGAAGAAGAGGAGACGCAATTCTCAGCTGCAGGCTAAGGGAAAACTGCCAGATTCCGTAATGAAGGAAGAGAATGTGGTAGTAGCAATTACCAATGACCCGATCAAGTCTAACGGGTTTAGGCAAAACGGGAGCAGGCGGAAGAACAAGCCTCGTCGAGCTGCTGAGGCTGGAGTCGAATGCAAATGATAGGGCCCCATTGAATGATTGTCATGTGTCAAGATTGGTCCCGGTTTTAACTCTGGCGGATGAAGATACAAAGTGAGGCCTTAGGAAATGAAATCTCTATTAGTTTCGCGATGCTGGTTTTTGATCTAATTGTTTCTTTTTCTTCCTTTTGGGGTTGATCATTCGAGCAGGCATGCAACTTCATTACTGTTAGTTTCTCTTCTTGCAACCGTTTATAAATGCTGATTTTTCTGCCTGTAATTTTGATTGTGACGGTGTTCATGGCTTCATACAATCCAATCCAGTGGTTTTCTTGTATCATATGATGTTCATGCCTTACTGTAGTTTTTCGTTCTTTCGGTTATACGAAATGGCATCTGCAGGAGGTAGCATTTTATAGTTGATCACTCAAAAATCTACTTGCCAACTGCTTTTATGTTTGACCATGCTTAGTTTAGAGGCTCAAATGTTCCACCTTTAATCTTTTTCTTGTATCACTCGTACTTTAATGACTAGTGCAAATGGCGTTTTCATTGAAATGGAAGCAAAATGGGATGGTGGGTTGGTTGAGATTATGTTAGTTATAGATAGGTGTACCTAGATCTTTCCATTGTAATTTGACATGGTTTTTATAATCAACAGATTAATTTATCTCTTGTTTGTGTCCAAACTAAAGTTTGGTAAGACTAAGAATTTTGGGGGTCTTGGCCTTTTAGGTTTCTTGTTTCAGACTCAATGTTCTCTCATTGAGAGGTTGTTGAAGCAGAACAAAGGGGTTGTTTCCTTTTGTTGTAATGATACTGCTAAATATGAGTTGTTGAAGGACTCATGCAATGTCTTTATAGTAACTTAAGGTGGTGGGATGTTTTTGCTGAAGTTAGAAGAATGGCAGGTAGGTGTGGTTATGATGAGGTGGAAGAAGAAGGCTAATTGTCCATTTTTATCATTCATTCCCGTGACAAGACCATAAAGATAAAATTAAAAATCAAGACTTTAAGATCTAAGGTAATAGTCCATTCATAAAAGTGGAGTATGGTTAAGATCTAAAAGGATGAGTATAGAAGTAGGGGCAGCAAGGAAAACTAAACACACATTTCTTTCTCATTCTTACCCATTATAAAGCTAAACACACATTTCATCCTCTTTCCTACCCATTATATTTATAACGCATCTTCATACAAATCTCATGTCTGGTTCTCACATATTAATTAGGTGTGAGCAAGTTAGTTGTGATTTTTACCCTCCTTTTTTTTTCCTTATGATGATCAGTGTACAATGATTAATTTTACATCTGTCCGAATTAAATCATTTCTAAATCTAATTCAGCTTTTGTAAATCGTCTTAAGAATAAATTAAAAAAATCATCATGTATTGAAATTAAACTTTATTATATTAGATATAGTGCGATTTTGATTCATTCTGAATCTTCATTACCACCTGTCCACCTCGTTCCCGTCGTCCCCATAGTAATCTCATATCGAATAAATAAACCACTCAATTGCTTCATATTAACTCGGTACAAGCTAATCCTAGGCATAAATCATTCAGATCCAACTCTGGAATCCGTCCAGGTTTTAACACGGATGTGGAAGACACTATAAAGTCTAAACGTTGATTGTTGACTGAAAGCAGGGGCATCTTATTGGGCCCGGGGCTCCGACTAGGCCGGCCATGTGGGCCTGCTGGAATATTTGCTGCTGCTGCCATTTTCTTTAATTATTCAAACCTTCTTGCTCAAGTTGCTGCTATTTTTTTTATAAATTTCATCCTCCATTAGTATATAGTAGAGTTTTGTAAACTTTTCTCCATTTCAAATTTCCTCCAATGAGAGTGAAAGTAGGAAGGATATTTCTGTCTTTACAATTAATTATTTATTTCATAAAAAATATCAATATCAAGACTCGAACCTGGGTCTCTTCAAACAAAGATAGCAGATATAACCAATTATACTAAGTGTATTTATTGTCCCTTTTTTAATACAAAACATACATGTATTGAAACTGTGAAATGCAGAGAACTTTTTCATCATGATTAACAAGGGCACTAAGTCTACCATATGTATTTTCATGGTGCTTAATACTTCAATTTTCATAGTAGAGTTTCATTTAATTTTATCAATTTTTAGAATTCATGCTCTCTCCTTAATGTTTCGCTAAAGGTATATTGGTAATTGGCTAACATGGAAGAAACTATTTCCTTTATTACGTGTTGTGTCCTTGCATTTTTCAATATAAATTTAAATTTTGTGCCTTTTTATCTTTGTTCTTATCTCTTTCTAATTTTCTCTGAAATTCCCTCCATCGTGCAATAGTTTGCGTGCTTTCACTTCCTAGTATAAGGAGCATTTGAAAATCAACATTCGGGTATCTCTTGGCACTGAAGTTTTATTCTTAGGAATTTAGGCTGGCAAGTAGAAGATTTCAACTCTCATATCAATCCATGGCGAATAGAATGGAGTTCAATCAAGTAGTTATGGTCTGTCCTTGATTATCTCGCTTGATTCCTCTGCATTGGCATCACCCAATGGTTCTGTCTCTCCTCGATGTACTACCAGAAGAACTATTTTGTTGCTTCTATTGCTGAAGGCAATGTTTGATCAGTTATACCTTTCGCCTTTACTCATCTTCATATACCAGGCATTGACCTTTAATAGGTTTTCGGTTTCCGGCCAAGGTTAATCGCTTTGCACATGTAAGTTATTCATTTCTTCTCTATGTCTCATGGTTTTATCTTTCTGATTAATAACAAAACGACTTTTATTTCACGTTGTCTCATGAGCACAACATGCAGAATATCTATTTCTTTTGATATTATTGCCTAATACGATGTTTAAAGCTCGGGGGATCTCCTGCGTCATTTCTCCTCTTTCTGTTATTAGGTTACAACTTCAATGAGTTTCTATCTACATATAAGGTTCATCGACTTGAACTGGTAGGCTATTATTTCCTTCCCGATTTATCTAAGTTTGTTGTTTATGAATGATTTTTATAAAATATAGAAAATGAATTTGAACGATGGTTTGGGTACTATATTTGTTTGTAAGCAAAAGAGATGTTTGTGTAGAACAGGGCAGTTGTACTTTCCTAGAGCCCTGTCTAATTTTTTGTTGTTTGTTTCCGATACTTTATTTTTGTTCTTTGCTTAGCTATTGAAATAATAAAATAAGATCAAAATTAGAAGAAAAAAAAGTTTCTTTTCAACTACAATATTTTCACTCATATTTGATTTTGTGATAACTAATGTTCTCCGCAACCATAATTTTCCTCATTAATTTTTATTCTTATGGTCCAACTCACTAATCAAATTTTGATATTGTTTTAGAATTAGTTAGAAATTGAGCTTTCATGCAACAGTCTAGGAGTTTGGGGTGTTGAACTTGGAGTAGAAGAGTTAGGATTGAGTTTGAGAATGAGAGTGGTGGGGGGGGGGGGGGGGGAATTCAACTGTAGCAGGTTAAGGCAGAGAAGAGGGAGTTACTGAGGGTAGTGATCGAATTGAGGAGGGTGTTGAAAGACGCGGAAGCAAAACTGGAGCAGTTGAAGAGAGAGAAGTGAGAGATGATGAGGATATTAATGAAAATGGAGAGGATATTGAAGGACATGGAAGTGTGCTGAAGCAGGTGAAAGCATGCAATGGGGGAGATGAGCATATTTATGGAATTGGAGATGAGTTTTGGTTTTAGCGAACTTATTAGAATTGCCCCTGAGGAAGATGAGTTGGCAAAACACAGGAAGGGGATTGAGGAGTTGAAGAGCGAGTTGACAAGAACCCCAATTGGAAGAGAAATTGAGGGCCGCAGAGAGAAGGTCCATCAAAGTAGCAAAAATGGAGTTGCAGAAGGAGGATTAGAAAGTGAATGTTTGGTTGAAACATATGCTTCTTGAGATTGAAGATAGAGTAGATAAAAATTTGGTCGTTCAATGGAGAGTGGTGGCTATTGGATCATTAGGTTTATGGTTTTTGCAGCTACCACAACCTAATTCTATCTTAAAACGAGTAATTATTGACTGATTTAATGAAGTAGGTCGATTCTTTATTCAGCCTGCTGGAACTGATAGATAAGAACTGTCTAATTTTGCGTCATATTACTTTGATCGAGTCTATTAGTATATTGGAGGTAATCCAATTTTGTCGTTTGCTCTCAAGTTTTGATGGTCCTCTCTTAGCTGAGTTGTTAGTATATAGTTGACTTTAACCTACAACCATCCATTTCTTTTTTATTAGTGGCATATTGCCCCCAAAATGAGAGCATTGAACCATTTACGTAGGATTGTGAGGTTTTAGATTCAGTTTCAAACTATCTATGGGTCGTGTGGGAATTCTAGTGAGCTTTTATACTCTATCTTTCTTAACAATCAACTAACTAATAACATATTAACTGGGCTTAAATATCATTATGAAAATGAGATGTTTTATACATTTTTATATTTTATTTTCTCAAATGATGATGATATTTCTCTGAATGTTTGACCTATATATTCTTTCTTTATGTTTCATCTCAATTGAAAGATTGTCAATAAAATTAAACGGGTTGATAGACTTTAACGTAACATAAAAAGTATAAAAAAATCAAATATAAACATTCCGGCCAACGGGCCGGGTTATAAGCTAGTACATTATAATGTATGAAAACTTGAAAGGATGGTCATTTCCAGCCTATGATTATTGCTATCGTTTGGATGGATCAATTGTAAAACGAGACAATTTGACCAATTGTTTCATTTTACAAAACGAGTCATTTAAAACGAGTCAATTCAGATTACCTGCCAAACCCAAACTCAAATTCATGGATTTATTCATGAAAAAACTCGGGATAAATACACAACTAGGATTATGCCAAATTGATTAAGCAATGCAAGTTTTGTAATTAAAGTTTTTGTTGGCCTTTAATATTTCATTTATTGATGCATTTAGCCTTTCAAACATTGTTGTTTAAGTCTATTTAATTGCCTTTATGACTTTCTTTCATTTAAATTAACTTTTGATTAATCGAGTTAGCCAAGCATTTGGAGAAGGATCCCCTTCAAGAATAAATAAAATTGCAAAATAAACAAGAACGGGCGGGGTTTCCGTTACATAGGTGGATGGCTCTATGTATGTTTAGATCGCATTCGTGCAACTATCCAAGATCGCGGTTCATCGGTGATGTGCCTTTGCCCTCTTGGCGATTAGGATGCTCTTTTGGGATGCATTTCGTTGGTGTTTGGCTCATTCTTACAGTAGTGCTTTATTTTGTGGTGATGCGCAGGTGATTGTCAGGATGATCAATGCGAGGGACTCGTCGCACATAGTGAGTGGAGTTTTTCTGCAAGGAACTCAGGTGTTGCAGACTTCATTCCTTTATGCAACATTTCTTTTCGCTCCCCGTGGGTATATTAGGGCTGTGTTCATTCTTTGCCTGATCCAGTGCTGGTGGGAAATATGAAACATGGACTTGACTTGATTGGGCCCTACGCGGCTTCTGGTCTTAATCTTTAGCCCATAGGATTTTCAAGAAAGAGCTCGATCATCTACAAGAAGAAGAGGCTCTTCCACAAGTGGGCCGGGCCCGAAAATAGATAATGAGGGTCCAAAGTATGGTCGTCAACGGTGGTCCTAGATTCTATTCTATACACAAAAACATATATACTCAGACCTCAGTCGGCATACATGGGATAAGAGGATGCCCTAATTTCAATTAATCAACGTCTTCTTATCTAATTGCTACGTACTCAAAGTCATTTGCATTGTTTCTACTTGGACAAATTAAGGTCAACATTTTAATTAGCTAATTAAGGTTTTCTTTCTGCCATGAGTTTTGACTTTGACGTCTAGTGGATAGATTTTCTTTTATGACTAGTAGATAGTTAGTTCATTACCAACCAATTAAGCATGTGTGGATTTCGAATTAACGTGGATGAGGTGGATATATTATCATATAGTGGTATGAATGTTATACTATTCTCGATAATTTGAATTACTAGACCAATTGAATCTGGACATACCACATATAAGAATTTGTATTTAAAAAGGTTTTTTATAAAAAAATCAATTGGTTCTAATAATCTAAGTTATTGAGAAATGTTCCGTACGAATCTTACATTATTTACTAACATGCTCCATCAAACGAAAGTTCATTTATGTTCCAACTATCACGTGATTACATTGAGATCGTTGGAATTTGAATACAGTAAGATCTTATCGAAGCCTTTGATATATATATATAATACCAATAACCATGGAACGGTCTAACTTCCACTCCAAAATTGTATCCGGATTTCCAAATGCATGCACGTTTGCTTCCACACATATTGGATAAACTTCTTCATTAACAATAAGTATACATAAACAAGTAGGATAATATATGGCAAGCTGGTTAAGCAATGCAAGTAGTGGAAGTTGGTCTATTTTTCAATATTTTCTTCCTCCTATATGTATGGTGTATACTTTTCTACGTGGAAATTAAGCCAGTCTCTTGTAATCTTGTTGGTCAACTTTGCTGGCCGGTTTTCATGTGGTTTGGTAACGTTTGAAGATTTATTTTGATGGCTGATTTTGGCCTTGAGATTTTAGAACTCCGATCTTAGAATAGATATATGATTTCATTCATGCTATCACTGTTAAAACTTGTGAGAAACCCCATCATATAATCATCTTCTAAAATCCTAGTTGTTTAAGTAGATAATGTACAACGATCAATTAGATGATTACAGTTTAATAATTTTTTATATTTAGAATAGATATCCCGAGAACAGTATAATGATATTAAAATTAAAAAATCTACCTATACGATAGGGAATGAAAATAGAGTTTTCGAGCCTTTAAATGAACTACCGTAGCTAGGACTGTTAGTTTGGCTTGGTTAAGCAACCATAACCATTAATCATGAAAAATGAAAATAAATCAGGTGAATTTCCCAAAACCAAAACCAAATTAGGGGAACCCATATGATAAGTCCTTTGACGGGTTTGATTGGATAAACCAAACACGTAGTTCGGTAACTCCAAAATGAAGTCAGAAAAGACAACGAGAAACATGAAGATAGAAAAAGTCCACTACACATAACTAATAATTGGTGACGACACGTGTAATTGATAGGAATTGACTTGGTCAGGGTGTTATTGATTTTTTCTTTTCATCATAACCAATAAGATGCTAAACAATTTTAAAATGCACAACCAAAATTTTTTTTTTTTGAAGAACACAACCAAAATCATTGACGTTCTTATATGTTCAGTTTCCGTTAAAACCGAAAACCAAACTGAAAGCCCTAACCTACCTTCATCACGAACAAAGCACCACTAGAAACCTTGGTCTAGCTAGATAGTCCCTCTCTTATTTTGATACAACATCCCATGTTGGTTGTTAGTCCTCCTGTATATTTTGATACAACATCCCATTTTGGTTGTTGATACTTGGTCCATTCTCTTCCAGTTTCCTGCTATTTCGTCTCTGTTTTCAGCATCTCCAAATCTGAACAAGTGGACAAATCTTCCAAAAATTTGATGCGTTTGGTTCAAGTTCTATTGCACCAAAACCATCAACCATATATAACTCGTACATCACATTTTGATACATGACTACAAGATTTTCTTAACATACTTGTGATTGCCGAACTACCTACAAAATGTTTGGGTAGTTTACTTTTATGCCTTCCTAACTAACTAGTACATCAATTAATGAAAGGCGTTAAAGATTTGAATTCACACATGGATTGGAAGGTTTGGCATTTCATTAGTACTCCTACATACTGTCATCGTAGTGGCTACGGATAGAACCATTGTGTCCGTCTGGAATACTCTACATGGACTTTTGGGACGTTCATAATCCTCGACGTTTGCCGTCTTTGATAAATCTCTCTCCTCGTAATAAAAATTAATCAAAGGATAAATTATAGACAACTCAAAATTATCCATCCATTTGAATGAAAATACAATCAATCTACAACAATGTATAGATATGTAAAGCAAAAAATACTAATTGTCAAGTCAATCCAAATATTTACAGATTCGCATGGCGTACGTGGCTTTCCATTTCTCTCCTAACCAATACTAATCCTCTTTTATGGACTTCCCTAAACCAAAAACAAAAAACCAAAAAACAAATTTAATAAATTATAAGTTTGTTACGTGATGATAATATCAGAGAGGGAGTAAACAGTAATTTACGGTGCACACCACTCTCTCTATAAATATAGGGGGAAAGAGAGGAGACGAGAAGCTACAGATACCAATTAGTTACTCTCCCCTTCATCGGCGGAAAATCAGATATGGCGACGGTTTTCAGAATCGGTGACGGTTTATTCGCCCTTATCTCCTTAAAACTACTCTTGTTGCTTGTTGTTGCGGTTGTTTGCCTTCCCGGCCGCGGCTCGCCGTCGCCGTTGCTCGACGGTGGTCATCAACATAATATTTCGACTGATGCGTCGGCGTTTAACCGTCGTAGCTTCCCGCCGGGATTTCTCTTTGGGACTGCGTCGTCTGCTTATCAGGTAACGATAACTTCCGATCGTCTTTTTCATTTCATAATTTATTTTTTTATGGATGATATATATATTTTATTTTATTCATTTCAGTATGAAGGTGCGGCAGCTGAAGGTGGGAGAGGACCCAGCATTTGGGATACTTTCACTAAGATTCCAGGTCATAATATTTTTTTTTACAGTCTCTATCTCCCTTAAAACACTCAGTACAAAATAATTAACCGTCTCATGATCTCCATTTGGTCACGAATACAAATGTTACAGTATGTTATTACCCTTGTTATTAGAACCGAGCCGGATCGGCTGACCGGATCAATAGAATCGTCGACTCGAGTAATGATAACGAGTTGGTCCGTCTGGTCAGTTGTGTATTTTTAATATAATCAACGAAAAAAATATATAAACGACTAACAATTATATAACATTAATTTGTTTGAATCAACTCTCGGTTCGGTTCTGAAAACAAGACGGTGTTATACGGTAACATTTAACTGATGGCAAATGTTGATGATTGGTGAAAATGGCACAGGTAAAATTGGCGACGGCAGCACTGGGGACATTGCGGTTGATTCGTATCACCGTTACAAGGTACACATGAGAACTAATCTTATTATTGAACTTTAGTTATGCACCACTAATTCATCTATATTTACTTCTTAATCCAATATTATTGCAGGAGGATGTTAAAATTATGAAGAACATGGGTTTAGATGCCTACAGGTTTTCAATATCTTGGTCTCGAATATTACCTAGTAAGAATGCCCACCCTAACAGTTTGATTTTTCTTCTATCTGACCCTTGAGATGATTATACCTTGGCTGATTAATTAGTCCTAATTAATAATGATTAATCAGATGGAAAAGTGAGTGGTGGTGTTAATCAAGAAGGAGTCGCGTATTACAACAACCTCATCGACGAACTTCTGGCTAATGGTACATATAAAGAGTACTAATGATCTATTTTTCATCTGGTGTTTGAATTTCCAAATTAATTTTGTTGTTTTCCTAATTAATTACTCAACGATTACTTCTTGCAGGCATAAAACCTTTCGTAACCCTCTTCCATTGGGACCTTCCTCAAGCTTTGGAAGATGAATACGAGGGCTTCCTCAGCCCTAAAATAGCGTAATCTCTCTGATGATATCTGTTTCTGTTTGTTTTAAATATGTTCCAACCTAAAATGTATATCTAGAAGTGAAATAGAGACGAAACATGGGTTAGATAATTATTTTTTAATATAAGTGAACTTCCTCTCTAATTATGTGTAATCAACTAATCACGATTCATGAGAGATTACCTGCAACAGGGACGATTTTGCTGCATACTCTAATGTTTGCTTCAAACTATTCGGGGATCGAGTTAAGCATTGGATCACACTGAACGAACCACTCACCTACACCCAAGGCGGTTACGTGATGGGAGACTTTGCACCGGGTCATTGCTCGAAATCGGTCAATAGTAAGTGCACGAAGGGCGACTCCGCGACAGAACCGTACTTGGTAACACACAACCAGCTTCTTGCTCATGCGGCCGCCGTGAAGGTGTACAGAGAGAAGTACAAGGTAATCAATGAATGCATAGCAATTATCTAATTAGTTCATGTATGGTCAAAATCCACATTGCAATCCTAATTGGTTAAGGAAATGAATGGGATAGTTCATGATTGTAGTTTCTAATGAAAAATTAATAACGCAGGCAAACCAAAAGGGGATGATAGGGATTACACTAGTGTCATCTTGGTATGTCCCCTTCTCTCAGTCCAAACATGACCACGAGGCTCAACAACGCGCACTCGACTTTTCGTATGGATGGTACGTAATGACAATCTATGCTAGATGGCTGTCAGTGGGTGACGATTCTTGTATTTTGATCCGGTACATAAGCAATTAACCGAATTTGTAGGTTTTTGGACCCGTTGATTAGAGGGGAGTACCCTAAATCCATGAGGACCCTCGTAGGGAACCGATTGCCCAAGTTTTCCGAGGAGGAATCGAAGCTAGTGAATGGCTCACTTGATTTTCTTGGGTTGAACTATTACACGTCTAGCTATGCAGCCAATGTGAATCCAGTCAACTCCCTGAATGCGACCTACTTGACAGACTCCAGAGCCAAGCTCTCCAGTAATTATAGCTCGATATTTAATAATTAATTTATGTTATAACTATAGCTTGATATTTAACTAAATTATTCGTTTAATTCGATTTTATTTTAATTTTATGGATGAAGGTGAAAGGAATGGGGAACCCATTGGCCCTCGGGCGGCTTCCATGTGGCTGTACATTTACCCTAATGGGATCGAAGAGCTGGTAATGTACACGAAGGAGAAGTACAATAACCCACTTATTTACATTACTGAAAACGGTAAGAAAATTGTAGTTATTTAATTACCCTATATTAATTTCTTGCTTAAATTATGTTGATTAATTATTACTTATGTAATTTAGGTGTGGATGAGGTAAATAATGAGGGTTTGAGCTTGGAGCATGCTCTTGCCGATGAAACCAGGATTTATTACTATCACCAACATCTTGCTTCCCTCAACAAAGCAATCAAGTGAGTTTACTAAAAGAAAAGAGAACATTTTATGTTCTCCCGTCTTTGTTAATTAGATTTTGGGTGGATCTAATAAGTTCTTTTTTGTGTGTGTTTAATGTCTGTGTTTTTGTTTTGCAGGAGAGGAGCGAACGTTAAAGGATACTTTGCGTGGTCGTTGCTCGACAATTTCGAATGGGCGTCGGGGTACACAGTTCGGTTTGGAATCAATTATGTGGATTACAAAAACGGGTTGAAAAGATATCCTAAACATTCTGCTCGTTGGTTCAGAAGCTTCCTGAAAAAAGAATAGGGTTAGTCATATATACCCTAGATTCATTAGGTTGATTCTGTAAAAAAATAAAGATAGGCAATCAACTTGATGTCAAAGGAGTCGGATAATATTGTAGGTAAAAACTTTAGGCAAGACGTCATTAATTGTCTTTACTTCATCTATCTCTTCGTCTAATACATGATCTCACCATATAGTGGCAATGATAGCGATGATCAGGGCGGCTTCGTCGGCTTTGCCAGGTGATCGTGGATTCTAGGCTCAGCTTATTGTATATTCGGCTCATTAAGTTTACCAATTGGGTCTACAATCTCTTGGGCTATTCAGACTTGGTTAGCCCAATATTCCCAACAACCATTTTGCACGTCTTGATCTTGGGCTCTTCATGCTTGGTATAGGAAGGGCCAGACCCTGCGGCCCATGTATTAACAAGGAATGCCAACGAGTCGAGTTTGTGGCGGATAGTACTAAATTCAGGCCTTGCTCCACCCTGCAGATCGTAACTCTTACATACTTTGATACATATCTCCATTTTGGTTGTTGATACTTCGTCCATTTTATTCAATTTCCTGTTGTTTCGTCTCTGTTTTCCAATATCTCCAAATTTGAACAAGTGAACAAGTCTTCCAAAGATTTGATGCGTTTGGTTCAAGTTTTTACTGCACCAAGACAATCGGCCATAACTCATAGATATATCATATATCACATCTTAACACATGACTACAAGATTTTCTTAACGTACTTGTCATTGCCGAACTACCTACAAAATGTTGGGTAATTAACTTTTTGCCTTCCAAACTAATTAGTACATTAATTAATGAAAGGTCTTTATAGATTCGAATTCACAAAGCCACGAACTGGAAGGTTGGCAGTCATCATTCCTACATTGTGGTCGTAGTACTGACAGGACCACTGTGTTCGTCTATAACACTCGTACATGGACTTGTGGGATGCTCATAATGACCGAAATTAACCGTCTTCGATAAATCTCTCTCCTCATAACGAAAAAAAATTATGGACAACTCAAAATTATCCATCTATTTGAATGAAAATAAAATCAATCTACAATATATATATATATATATATATATATATATATATATATATATATATATATATATGCGAGTTGTACGGTAAATAGGGTGAAATCCGAGGTACCGCATACCTTGAGTATGGAAACGCCATCCAGACCTTGAATTGATTGATCTTTTGGACATGATACTATACTCTAACCCTTAAAGATCAAAATCTAGGTATTAGTTCCCTAAATCTTATACCCTAAGATCAATTTAATTGGAAACAATAATCGACGTCTATGATTCGTCCAAATATAAGCGCAAAAAAAAAATATGAATGCTCCGTCTTAGGCTTTATAGTTTATGATTTAGATAATTAGGACCTAGGATTCATTCATTAAGGGTTAGGGTATAGTACCAAGCCCAAAAATTATGCTATTTCAAGGTCTAGATAGTGTTTTCATACTCAAGGTATGCGGTACCCTGGATTTCACCTGGGGTACTGTAGAAGCCATCATATATATAGAGGTGGCTACTTCGATGCACTCACTTTTCTTAGTGCGTTGAATGCACCCACCTCTAAAAGTAGCATACTACATCAAAATTTGAACTTTAATTAATAGTATTAGTATAATATGATGATATAACATAGAATCACAAATAATAAATCCATTACCCTAACCCTTTAACCTTCAATTTTGAATCAAAACCCAAATCCCCAAATTTTAAACATAAACCCTAAATAATCATTCAAATTAAAGTAAATCTTTAATGATTTTTATACAAATTCATGTGCTTCTTATCCGTAATACCACAAGTGATGATTGATATCGTTTTCAAATAAATTACCTGCTCATAATGGCGATTATAAGGCGAGTGCATTGAATGCAAAAAAAAAGTGAGTAACACCACCATATATATATATATATATAATAAATTTGTCAAATCAATCAAAATATTTATACATCCGCATGGCGTACTTGGCTTTCCATTTTTTTTTTTTGCCACTGTTTGCTTTTGGAAGGCTGTTTGGTGGGATCTTCTACCCCAAATGTATGGAGATTTTGAAAATTCGAGAAACCTTGCTCCACAGTCCACACCTTGTGGTAGTAAGTACGTGCGGATTTCAAGTGATGCTATCAATGTGGTATGTCAATTAGTGGATAGTGATAATAATGATGTACTTTCGGGGCCCTCTTCCGCGAAGTGTCGTCACTCCTCTCTCTTATGCTATTCTGGTTTACCGATTGTTTTGTTTAACTACTTTTATTTGGTTTGGTTTTGAGTCCGCGAGGTGGGCGTAATTGTTGCAGCTCCACTTGCGTTTATCTGGTTAATCCGCAAGGATTGCTATGAGAAAAAAAAACAGAAAAAATTAGTTACGAGATGATAGTATCAGAGAGGGAGTGAACGGTAATTTACGGTGCATACCACTCTCTGTATAAATAAAGGAAAGAGAGGAGACGAAGCTGTAGAAACGAATTAGTTACTCTCCCCTCCATCGGCAGAAAAATCCGAAGAATTAACGATATGGTGACGGTTTTCAGAATCAGTGATGGTTTATTCTCCCTGCTCTCGTTGAAGCTACTCTTCTTGTTTTTTGTTGTTGTTGTTTGCCATCCCGACCGCGGCTCCCCGTCGCCGTCGCCCTCGCTCGACGGTGGTGATCAACACAATATTTCGACTGATACGTCGGCGTTTAACCGTCGTAGCTTCCCGCCGGGATTTCTCTTTGGGACCGCGTCGTCTGCTTATCAAGTAACGATGAATTCCGATCGTCAAATCATGTCATATATAATTATTTTTCTTGTGAATGATATATATTTATTTTCTTCATTTCAGTATGAAGGTGCGGCAGCTGAAGGTGGGAGAGGACCCAGCATTTGGGATACTTTCACTAAGATTCCAGGTCATAATATTTTTTTTTTGTTTTTAACCGATTATAATAACGGGTTGGTTAAATCTTGCGAAACTCGAATCTAAGTGGTTCATGATTCAATTATTTTATGAAAAAATTTAAAACTAAAACAAATATTATGAGAGGCAGAAACATGGAGAAAAGTAAACCATAATTAGTTTTTTTTTTCCTATTTAAATTAATTGTTGCTTCATTTTCCAATAGCCCTTCGTCTTACTCTTATACATCCTAATCTATAATCGGTAAACAGTTAGTTATGTGACACAAATTTTCTGAGTCAACTTCCAGTTCGGTTCTAAAAAAAAAAGAGATTATGACACCATTAAAAACAACTAATGGTATATAGATGTTGATGATTGTTGAAAATGGCAGGTAAGATTAGAGATGGTAGCAGTGGGGACGTGGCGGATGATTCGTACCACCGTTACAAGGTACACTAATCAAAGTTTATGTAGGATTAGAGCTTTCATTTCTAATCGACCTTTTAATTATGCACTACTAATTCATCTCTATTTAAATCCTAATCCAATATTATTGCAGGAGGATGTTAAAATCATGAAGAGCATGGGTTTAGATGCCTACAGGTTTTCAATATCTTGGTCTCGAATATTACCTAGTAAGTATGCGCAACCTTAATTACAATTTGATTATTTTTCTTTCTATTTCACCCTCGAGATAATTATACATTGGTTGATTAATTAATCTTAATTAACAAAAAATTAATCAGATGGAAAAGTGAGTGGTGGTGTGAATCAAGAAGGAGTCACGTATTACAACAACCTCATCAACGAACTCCTGGCTAATGGTACGTAAAGAGTTACCAATTTTTCATCCCGTGTTTAAATTTCCAAAATTAATGTTGTTGTTTCCTATTTAATTACTCCACGATTACTTGCAGACATCAAACCTTTCGTAACCCTTTTCCATTGGGACCTTCCTCAAGCTTTGGAAGATGAATACGAGGGCTTCCTCAGCCCTAAAATAACGTAATATCTTTGACGATATCTATTTCTCCGTGTCTTTAAAATCGATTAAAATTTTGAACTGTATATCTACGAAAAAATAGAGGTGACAAACAGGATAGATAAAAAATTTCTTTTAATAAGGGAATTTCCACTCTAATTATGTGTAATTAGTAATTACAAGAGATTACATGCAACAGGGGCGATTTTGCTGCATACACTGATGTTTGCTTCAAACTTTTCGGAGATCGAGTCAAGCATTGGATCACATTGAACGAACCACTAACCTATACCAAAGATGGTTACGTGACGGGAGACTTCGCCCCGGGCCGTTGCTCGAAATCGATCAACCCTAATTGCACGAAGGGTGACTCCTCAACAGAGCCATACTTGGTAACACACTACCAGCTTCTTGCTCATGCGGCTGCTGTGAAGGTGTACAGAGAGAAGTATAAGGTAATAATCAATGAATGCATTAACATTTTGTAATTTTTGTTTTGGCAAAGTCAAGATTGAAAAAGTTAGTCATGATTCAAATTCCACATTGTAATCCTGATTGGTTAAGGATTTGAATGGGCTAGTTCATGATGAAAATTAATAACTCAGGCAAACCAAAAGGGGGTGATAGGGATTACACTAGTGTCATCTTGGTTTGTCCCCTTCTCTCCGTCCAAAGATGACCTTGAGGCTCAACAACGCGCACTCGACTTCTCGTATGGATGGTATGTAACTACAACCTATGTTAGATGGTTGTTGATGAGTGATTCTTGTATTTTGATTCGGTACGTAACTAATTAGCCGAATTGTATGTAGGTTTATTGACCCGTTGATTAGAGGGGAGTACCCTCAATCCATGAGGACACTCGTAGGGAACCGATTGCCCAAGTTCTCGAAGGAGGAATCGAAGCTAGTGAAAGGCTCACTTGATTTTCTTGGGTTGAACTATTACACTTCTAGCTACGCATCAGCCGACACAAATCCAGTCAACTCTCTGAAGGCTACCTATTTGACAGACTCCAGAGCCAATATCTCGAGTAATTATAGCTCAATGTTTAATAATTAATTTATATTATAATTATAGCTCGATATTGAACTAAACTATTCATTTAATTCGATTTTATTTTATGGGTGAAGATGAAAGGAATGGGGAACCCATTGGCCCCCAGGCGGCTTCCAATTGGCTGTACATTTACCCAAATGGGATAGAAGAGCTTGTAACGTACACGAAGGAGAAGTACAATAACCCACTTATTTACATCACTGAAAACGGTAAAAAATAATTGTAGTAATTTAATTACTCTGTATTGATTTCTTGCTTAAATTATGTTGTAATTATTAGTATGTAATTAGGCGTGGATGAGGCAAGTAATGAGGATTTAAGCTTGGAGCAAGCTCTTGCCGATGAAACCAGGATTAATTACTATCAACAACATCTTGCTTCCCTCAACAAAGCAATCAAGTGAGTTTACAGAAAGAAAAGAGAACATTGTTGTGTTCTCCCGTCTTTGTTATAAGATTTTGGGTGGATCTAAGTTTTTTGTTCGTTTGATGTCTGTGTTTTTGTTTTTCAGGAAAGGAGCGGACGTTAAAGGATATTTTGCGTGGTCATTGCTCGACAATTTTGAATGGGCTTCGGGATACACGGTTCGATTTGGAATCAATTATGTGGATTACAAGCTCGGGTTGAAAAGATATCCTAAACATTCTGCTCATTGGTTCAAAAATTTTCTGAAAAAGGAATAGGATTAGTCTTATACGCCCTATATTCATTATGCCGATTATGTAGAAAAATAAAGCTAGCCAATCAAACTCATTGAATAAGACTTTCCTATGATTGTACATCATGATGATTGGGATGAACGAGATTATATAATTATTTGTGTCACAAAAGAGTCGAATGATATTGTACGCAAAAATGTGTTCTCGTCACAATAATAGGGATGACGATCATGCTCCCGATGTGCTAAACAGATAAATTTCTCGACGGGCTTGTTATTCACTCTTCATGGATTCTAGGCGCAACTTATTGTATAGTCGGCTCGTTAAGTTTACCAACTGAGTCTACACCCTTTTGGGCTCTTTAAATTTGGGTAGCCCAATATCTCCAACAACCATTTTGCAACCAGTCTCGATTTTGGGCTCTTCTTTCTGGTATGGAAGGGCCAGGCATTGCTGTCCATGAATGATATCCCGCAATATAACAAGGAATGACAATGATGCTTTCACAATTTGAGAAATTTTACAATGCTTTAAAGTATTGATGTTTTAATTTTTTTTTTTTATCATTATGGTACAATTTGATGTTGTACTTTTAATGTTATGGTACAACTTCTGGTACAATTTCAGGTTATACCTATAATTTTTTGTATAAATTTTTTTATGGTACAGACTAAAGTTGTACATTTATATTATGATACAATTTAAAGTTGTATCATAACATAAAAAACCCAAATCTCTTATGGTTCAAATTCAATATACATTTAATATTTTTGTACAACTTAAAATTATATTTTAAAACACCAATACTTTGAAACATAATAGAATTCTTTATAATTTACTCAAATACTATTTCTTCCCCTCGTTCTACCATATATATACGAATACACCATCAATCGTTAAATAAAATAAACACCACATGAAACACAGGCATGAATGTGAACCCATTCGTCTCAATCTGATTCGTAAGTCAGAGACCCATTTTTTAATTAATATTATGATCTCAATCATTATCTCCAAATTTTCTATTGTCTTCTCAATTATCAACCAAAACTTTATTCTTTTCAAAGGCAATTTAACTTTATAACACAAGGTTGTTTGCATTGTTAAATAGATGTATTGTTGTGACTTGTGAGTACATGTATAATATTGTTAGAGAACAATATAAGATTCATAATAACCTTCTCTCAATAACCAAGTTATTGGGACCAACTGGTTTATGATATAGTATCAAAGCTAGTTTGCCAAGTGGTCGCATATTCGAATCTCCACGACTCTCAATATTAACAGTTCATTACAACACAAGGTATGTTGGGCCCGTGCAAACTTCAAACCCGTGGATTGGGTTTCGTTAGAGGGGCGTGATAGAGAATAGTATAAAATCAACCTTCTCCTAATAACTCAAGTTATTGAGACCAACTGGTTTATGACAAATATTATATATATATATATATATATATGGCAAAGGCTAGCGTACGTCTGGCGTACGCTCTACGCCTGTGTTCACATTTGGTTTTTGTACTTCAATATATTTCGCTGAATCACAACCATCGATTTTTTTTTTATAGATTAGATGAATCTTGTGGCTTGAGTTAGAGAATTAGAGACTGGGGGTTCACCCATTAGAGGTTAGGATATAGTATCATGCTCCAAACTCCGGTTAATTCATGTTAGTTATACACCTTGACCCTTCCCTGAAGGGTCAGACAAGTTCAGGGACGGGTGAAGGATTTTCAACCCTATCTAACACGCCTCCTCAAACGAAAGTCAACCCATGGGTTTGAAGTTTGCACAAGCTCATCATACTTTAAGTTTTTAATCAACTGTTAATATTGGGGGTCGTGGAGATTTGAACACACGACCACTTGGTCAAACCAAGTATGATATCATGTAATAAACAAATTGGTCCCAATAACTTGAATTATTGAGTAAAAATTATTATTAATATTATATCACTCTCTAACAACTACTTTATGCATGCATCATAATATTAGCTATGATATGATTTATTAGTCGCCGAAGTTTCACACAAAATTACAGTTCTCATATATATATATATATATAGACATGACATATATAGATAACCCACTTCTTAGAAAGCTTACATGACATGGAAATAACAAAATCGTATCCCTACCACATAATTAAATAAAAAATCTTGATCTTTTATTTCTTTGCATTGTATAGTATTTTTCAAATTGAAGCTCTCCACACTCATTTTCCATTCGTTGCGTGCAGTGGTGGAGTCACGTTAATCCTGACAGACTATAACTTTACTCAACCTATAAACATATGTAAATTTACATTTAAAATTGTGACAAATTTTGAAAATGGAATTTTGAGAAAGTGATGTTTTTCCACTTTTTCCTCTCCAACCCACCTAAAAATTGGCTTGCAAATTTGGAGAAGTGGGCTTGGGAGTGGATAGATGGCAGCTGAAATGGAGGGAGGTGCAAAAATGCGAGAATGTGGGGAGACTCTGCGGTAGCCAAGCCCACACGCAGGGGGCACGACGGGGCCCTCTACTTTCGAGCTGCTGTTTTTTTTTTTTTTTTTTTTTTTTACTTTCTTAATTTTAGATTGGCTAGTTTTGAGTTTGAAAGGCAAATTTAGAAGGTTTAGGGTTGGAGCAAAAAAGTGTTTTTGGAAGGTAAAAATGCACATTTAAAAGTTTGAAGGGCTAACTATAGCCTTTTGGGTTGGAGTTAATCTTATTGGGATAATTTGATCACGTTGTTGAGATTGCAAAGGACTGGGTCAAAAAATAGATACGATTGGATCACATGGAGATTCTGATTGACTGGGACAGGTAGGGTTCTGGTGTCTGGACACATGAAACATGCAGGCACCAATAATTTATGCAGATAAGAACCCTCTCTCTCTATAGATATTTATGGATAGTTACTGTTTATTTTGCGGTTTATGGATTATTATTTATTACTATATGTGGGCAAAGACATTTCAAATATAATTACACATTTGTAACTAAAAAATGCGTTAATCATTGATTGGATACTGCCAACTTATCCAGCTGCCAGGATCTAAGAAGAGACAAAAGGCCGATCAATCGATGAAGATATTCCGACGCGGGCTCTGCACCTGTATGGGCCGTGGCGAGTAGTTATTATTATTATTATTATTATTATTATTATTATTATTAATAATAGTAGTAGTGTATCTCTTTTGGCATCTTCGATCAGTTCTCTATACCCAATAAATATGGGCCATTCCTTATCTTTTCTTCTCGCTTCCATTTCTGATCGTATCACCGGATACACTGTGAAATCAGTAGAATATGTATGAGTGATGCGCTATTTGGATGAATTTTGGGTATTTTATATCATTATGACATTATTAAAAAAATTACTATTTACATTTTGAATTAATTGAGTTTTTGGAGTATTATGTTCTCCCTGAACCGTAATGAGTGAATTCTCGATTCTAATTCTCTAAAGGATGTATGACTATTACGTGTTGTCATAGATACGATTGGAAAACATGGAGATTCTTATTGACTGGGATAGGTAGCGTTCTGGTGGCCAATGGATCCTTATCTCTTTCGGCATCTTCGATCAATTCTCTACGACTTCCAGCAAATATGGGCCATTCCTTATCTTTTTCTCTCTCTGCCATTTCTGATCGTATCACCGGGTACACGATAAAATCAGTAGAATATCTATGAGTGATGCGTTATTTGGATGAATTTTAGGTATTATATATCATTATTAAAAAAAATATACTATTTACATTTTGAATTAATCGATTTTTTGGAGTATTATATTCTCCCTGAACCGTAATGAGTGAATTCTCGATTCTAATTCTCTAAATGATGTATGACTATTACGTCTTGTCATTGGTTATTCAACAACTCAATCATCCCTCTACATTGGCAGAGCCACTTGTAAGGACAAGTGGTTTGATAATTTTTAAAGGGGCATGTAAGAAAATATTTAAAATCACTTTCAACCATTCAAATTGGTGCGATAAGTTTAGGCCATATTTTACTTTAATTATTCATACCAAACCACCCTTTAATATTGAATTAGCCCGGCAGGTCTCAAATAATTCTCTTCCCTTCACAGTTCAGACGAAGGCTAGCTAAGTCTATATATAATATTAGTGGATGGTCGTGAAAAGCAAACCAAGAAAATCAGAGCAGAAGAACCATCTCATCAATGGCGATTCTCCCACTCTCAAGAGCCACGCTCCTTCATCTTCTTCTTCTGTCTCTCTATCTTTTTGGTCATGCCATCTCATCTTCAGCCACGGGCACCAGCAGTGTGCCGGCCACTACATTCGGCGACGATGTCCCGCCGGCCAACCGTTCAAGTTTCCCGGCGGGATTCATCTTCGGGTCGGCCTCGGCTTCTTACCAGGTAAATTAACTACCATCGCTTGCTTCTTCTATGGCATTTTATCCACAACTGAAGTTTTTGTTACCACTGAAAATCCCGCCGCTAATGTTAGGAAAAGGCGACGAATATTTGATTTATCGTTCGAGGGGTTAATGTTTTATTTGGGTTCAGGTTGAAGGCGCGGTTGCTGAAGGTGGGAAAGGACCTACCAATTGGGATGTTTACACTGCAAAATATCCAGGTTCTAATTACTTCTAGTCCTACTTATTTTCATAACCCAATTTATAACCTATTATGTTAATGGTTTAAGAGATGACAAATTCAACTAAACATAAAACTACCACAATTTTGATGGTTGGCAGAGAGGATAGCCGATCGTAGCAACGGGAATGTGGCCGTCGATGCGTATCATCGTTACAAGGTAATTAACAGTGACAGTGACAACTTATATTATATTGGTTTACGTTTTATATTCGACGATCTCATTCGAGATGTACGATGTATCGATTAGGTATAGAAACAAAAACATATATTTGCAGAGATGAACTTCGATTCACACTCTAATTAAAGCGTAAGCAAGTTTGAGATTAAAATGCAAATCCAAGTCGAACTAGTAATATAGAGATGAAATAACAAAGGCATATTCATCAAAGAAGGAATAATATAGAGATGAAATTTGTCATAAGGGGTCCACTATATATGTCCACACAACAATAATTGTGTTTATGTATATTATTATTTTATTTCAATTCAATGCTTATATTATGTATTATAATATAGAGAGGAAATGTGTCATAAGGGGTCCACTATATATGTCCACACAACAATAACTGTGTTTATGTATATTATTATTTTATTTCAATTCAATGCTTATGTTATGTATATAATACATTTTTTTTTTACAGGAAGACATCACAATCATGAAAAGTTTAGGATTTAATTCTTATAGATTTTCTCTCTCGTGGGCTCGAATTTTACCAAGTAAGTAATTTAGCTATAACTTGCTATCTCTATTTCATCTTTTTTCACTTTTTACGGTGCAGTAGTGATTAATTAGCGATTCTAATAAATTAACGTGGCTATACACGATCATCAGATGGAACGATCAGTGGAGGTGTGAATAAAGAAGGAATCGCGTATTACAACAACTTCATCAATGAGCTATTGGCTAATGGTAAATAAAATGCACTCAACATCTCCTAGTATACTTTATGTAAATAACACGTTAGTACGTATCTCGATTTATTTTGTTACTTATTATGTCGTCGTAACACTTTGGTCTCCTTATTATTAATTAACGAATTCCTCAAATGGTGGTATCTCCAGGCATTAAACCTTTTGTGACCATATTTCACTTCGACCTTCCTGAAGCCCTGGAAAAAGAATATGCCGGCTTCCTTAGCCGTAAAATTGTGTAAGTGCCCTACCACTCTCATTATTATGTATATGAAGTAGTGGTTTACTTTACTGATTCACATTAGAAATCGATATGATATTAAGATTTAAGAACCAACGAATATATAGCAGTGATTAAAGAGTAAAATACTTTCTCTTTTTCCCCCTAACAAAGGAATACTATGAAACATATATCAGGAAGGATTTCGTTGCCTATGCGGATCTTTGTTTCAAGCACTTTGGAGATCGAGTTCAACACTGGGTCACAATCAACGAGCCTCTGTCGCTTGCTTTGTTTGGCTATGGCCAGGGGACGTTGGCGCCTGGCCGATGCTCGAAATGGATGAACTTGAACTGCACTGGGGGAGACTCAGCCATCGAGCCATACATAGTTGGACACCACCTCCTTCTTTCCCATGCCTTCATCGTCAAATTGTACAGAGAGAAATATCAAGTAAAACATTAATTTTGTAGTACTACTTCATCCTCCATATTCTCTAACGATGTGATTATATATATACAAGGTCATTAAAAGATATACTTTGTCGCTCTGCAGGCAACACAAAAGGGCAAGATCGGCACCGCCCAAGTGATACAATGGCTTCTTCCACTCTCCGATTCGAAGGAAGATCACGAAGCTAGGCAACGGAGAATAGATTTCACGCTTGGATGGTACGTACGTGTTTTTAGCTAGTTTTTTTGATAGGGTTTGGTTAGAATCAGTAAGTTGATCAGTCACTACATGACCACCCTTGGGTTTGCAGGTTTCAGGACCCATTGGCCACCGGAGACTATCCGGCATCGATGAGAGCTAATGTGGGGAAACGATTGCCCAAATTCTCAAAAGAGGAAGCCGAGATGTTGAAAGGCTCTGCCGATTTCGTGGGCTTGAACTACTACACATCTTACTACGTTTTCAATGACCCTCCTCCGGCTAATGCTCTCAAGAGCGCTGTGACGGATTCTCATACCAATTTTTCACGTAAGTAATTCCCTTGAATCTAAAACCTCTAAACTACTAGGAAACGTAACTAATCTTATGTATTTTTTTTACTAATTACCTAACTTGTTTCATGTCGCTAATGAAGCCACGAAGAATAATGTCGATATCGGCCCAAAGGTATGCCATATTCCAGGCCATCATTAAATTGTTCATGAAATTAATGGATGGTTTATTAGTTAGTATGGTCACCACAAACTCACAATAACTCCAGCCTTGATGGTCGAAGAGGTTTATATTTAAGATTAATAATACCAAACAGTACTAGCATTATGTGATCTAATTACCTTTCCATCAATTATTGTGATGCAGGCAGGGATAGTTTGGCAGTACATTTACCCCAAAGGGATTCGAGATGTTGCTCTCTATGCGACAAAGAAGTATCCTAACACGCCTATTTACATCACTGAAAATGGTGAGCCTACATCTTATATTTATTTTTTATATAGCGATGGCTTCATCCCAATGAATTAGAAAGGTTTTTTTTCCCTATTATGTATGCTAGTAATTCTAACAATTTTTTTAATGATATTTAGGCATGGGGGAGGTCAATAACGACACCTTAAGCATCAAGGAAGCTCTTAACGACACTCTGAGAGTCTTTTTCTATCGTGAGCATATAGCATATCTCAACAGCGCAATCAAGTAAGATTAATATACCACGATTTAATTTAATGTTTCACATGCTTGTCTACAAACTATGGTTATTAAGTTTTCAAATGTCTTGACATTTCGTATATATAATTTTTAGAATGTATTCATGCATAACTAAAAATTAATAAATAAATAACTTTTGCACAATTTATCTGGTCATGCAGGGATGGTGCAAATGTGAAAGGACATTTTGCTTGGTCAATAATGGACAACTTTGAATGGGCGGAGGGCTATACGATCCGATTCGGCATAAATTTTGTGGACTACAAAAATGGGCTTAAACGATACCCTAAACAATCTGCCATCTGGTTCCGTAACTTCTTGAGAAATTAGTCAATGATCTATCCGACTTTGATAATTGTACTTTGTTTGAGTTTTCATGTTGTTATTTCTGAAAAGACATATTCTGTGAGAGATATGAGTATGTTTCTTTTCCAATAAAATTATCCATCAAGTTTTCGTTTGTCTTAATACTCTCGGCCTCTTGTCACTCGCCTTATATATCATTTCGCAACAATATTTTAGCGATAATGAAGTATGTATGTACATAACTTTTTGTTGACAAATGAGTTCATAATCATCTCCTCAAATTAGAAACATCTCCAATTCGCCACCCCTCTATCCACCCAATGATCGATGATCTCAAATCACGAGGCTAATGTTGTTGCCGATCATTTTTGCTATATCATTAATCTAAGTATCTAACCTATTGATTTAGTCCGACGGTTATCCACGTTTCTTTATGCTAATGTGTGCATAATTTACCTTGTATTGATTTTTGTATAACTCTATGAAATTTAAATTAAAACCAATTACTGTCCCCAAATCTTACATGAGCCATATCCTTATCTTCTCTTCTCATTTCCTATAAGAAAAGTCTTCTCTTCTCATTTGTTTTTTAAAACTCAACCATTAATTTTTACTTATTACTTGGCACATACTGATTTCTAATAAAGATTCGTATCTACATTAATTGATGAGTCGCACGTGGGACAAAAAATTAATGTTGTTGATTATATTATCTTGACATAGGTAATGCTTTAACATGCATATTAAACATAAAACTTCACAAATATGACCATTCAAATAAAAAAAAAATACGGGTTGAATCTAGTCCTTAAACCCCATTCCTTAAGAAGTATCTTAAATCCATTCTAATTAATAGGAGAAGGAGAGAGGTAAATACCAGTTTGTGGGAATTTTATTTTCCTCTTGGTATCCAAACTCGAAAGTAGTAGAATAATTCCTCTCATGATATAATGGCTGATGTAGAGGTAAGCCAAAGGCAAGCCACCGTTGAACTCAAGATGGGAAAGAATTACACACATACTCTATTTTCTAATTCTGGAAGAGAAGAGACATCATAAAGAAATTTTGGCCGAGTTTTGGTGTTGTATAAATTTCGTGGGAAAATAGGGAGGGCTGGTGGTATTTATAGAAAGTAAATGGTTGGTACAAATATGCAAAAGTCAATTGATTTGCCTAATTGACTTGATGCGGGTTGGATAAAAAAATCTAAAAAAAATATATATAATCAATTTTATTTGGTCAAGGACAACGAGGCCGAGAAGAGCGAGCAACAAAGACGGCTCGAGAGCTCATTTTCTTCTACTCTTTTTACTAGTCTTAGTGAGTTTCTCAACTTAATACCCATTTTAACTTCCACATTTCTCCAATATAGTACAAGTGAGATGTCTTTAACTCCCTTCCCTTTCCTCCCCTTTTCATTCACCCTACTAAAATCCAACAAAAAATTTTGAAAGAACAGGGTTTTTGAGGAAGTCTCAACTTAAGATCTTCGTTTTCTGTATTGTATCTTATGTAAATCTATACGTGAGATAAAACATGAAATAAGCAACGACTAATTTAAAATTATGTTTAAGAGAAAGCAAAACGATCAATTAGGAAGAGTGGTTACAGTTACACGATGATTAAAAAGGAGTAGAAGACAAATTGTAAAAGACTACCATTTAAATATCTTATAATTGATGTCAAACTTTTACGTTTCAAACATACTGTTTACATAAAGTTATATATAAAATTTTGAAATTATTAATGTTGTAACATACGCGATGGCATTTTACTGGGCTATGATTAGAAGTTAAAAAGCACCTTTGGAGATTAAGTCTACTTAACAAACAATCCCTACTCAATTTTATTGTAAGCTCATGATTATGTTTACCAATTGGACCTATAGCAAGCTGTAGAGACTTCATTTGCCCGATATCTCCGACAACCATTTAGCACTTGCAGCTAGCTAGATTTGCAGACACTCTTTTTTATAATGGAGAAGTGGCAGACACACTTGGCTAGATTTCAAACCGTGGAGCCTCCTTTGTTTCGAAAAATAACTATTTTTGGGTCATAAAAGGTTACAAATTGCTGTTTGGAAATCCAATTAGTCTCTAGTTTGTGGGAGTTTTAATATATAGATTGGGTTCATTTGGATCTGAAAGCTTCTATTTGTGATTTGGAATGAAAAAATGTTGTAATAACTTGTTTGGAGGCGGATCGTAGATTTTGAATTCTTATTTTTGCCTCGTGGTGAATTTCAAATCGGGCTAGCTTATATGCCCCGTTTAGAGATCATGAACCCCGAAAATTTTCATGCTTATATGTGCCAAAGACGCATACTCAAGGGGGCCGAGGTGCAGTTTGAAGAGTCAACATGATTTTAAATGTTTTTCGCAAATCTCCAAATGTTGACCGTATTTACTTTTGATCATCATATCGTTCACATATGATTTCGATATTCCGACCTTGTTTACCAGTGAGTTTCAAATTCATGATCCATTCCGATTTTAATATGTATTATTCCATCTGTAGTTTAAGAGATGACAAAACAAGACATAAAACTGGCATTTTGATTGTTGGACTTGGCAGAGAGGATAGCGGATCATATAAAACTAATAGCAACGGGAATGTGGCCATTTAATGGGTAGCCGGTCGCATATAGCAACGGGATGTGGCTGATTCCCTTTAAGGCCCAGGTCATCGTATATGCGCCTGATTATGTTTAATTACCAATTGGGCCTGGAGCCCTGGAATCGCTTGGGCTCGATCTTCATGCTGGGACCGGTTATTGTAACAACACCCATTGTGTTGTTATTGTAACAACACTAGTCCCCAACCAATAGGAAGCTAGAGATGTGATGACTTTTTATTAGTTGAGTTGACCTAGTGTAAAATCAAAACAGGGGTATAATTGTCATTATGAAAAATATGTTTAAATAATAAAAAAATAAAAATAATAAAAAAATAAAAATAATAATTTTTTTTATTTTCTGCCCAAAAATTTGGTCGTCGGAAGTCTGCCACCGGTCGCCGGAAAATGGTCGCCGGTCACCGGAATATGCTTTTTTGTCGCCGGAATATGCTTTTTTGTCATCGGAATATGCTCACCGTCGCCGGAATATGCTTACCGGCGTCAGAATATGCTTACCGGCATCGGAATCTAGTCACCGGGCCGGAATATGCTTATCGGCGCCGGAATCCGGTCACTGAAGGTCATCGGAGGTTGGTCAACGGTCAACGACCACCGGATGTATGGTCTACATTGTGAGATTTATGGTTTGGTTTCACACATTTTTGTATGCCTTTTGTGGTTTGCTTTATTGTGTTTGTGGTTTGCATTGAGAAGTTTCTAGTTTACTTTATCGTGTTTATGGTTTGCATTGAGAAGATTCTGGTTTGCTTTCAAAAAATTTGTGTTTTGCATTGTGGGGTTTTTGGTTTGTTTTAGGAGATTTGTGGTATGCATTAGGAGGTTTCTGGTTTGTTTTTGTGGTTTGATTTAACGTGTTTGTGGTTTGAATTATGAGGTTTCTGGTGTGTTTTTTAAAATTCTGTGGTTTGCTTTGTGAGGTTTCTGGTTTGTTTTAATATATTTTTGGTCTGCATTAGGACATTTATGGTTTGTTTTTTTGTGATTTGATTTACTGTGTTTGGGGTTTGCATTAGGAGATTTCTGGTGTGTTTTCGCAAATGTTGTGGTTTGCTTTGTGAGGTTTGTGGTTTGTTTTAGGAGATTTGTGGTTTGCATTAAGAGGTTTTTGGTTTGCTTTTTTGTGGTTTTTTTTATCACTTGTATGGTATGCATTAGTATGTTTCTGGTGTACATATGAAAGACTTGTGGTTTGCTTTTTTGTGTGGTTTGCTTTGTGTTTGTGATATGCATTAGGAGGTTTCTGGTGTGTTTTCGCAAATGTTGTGGTTTGCTTTGTAAGGTTTGTGGTTTGTTTTAGGGAATTTGTGGTATGCATTAGGAGGTTTCTGGTTTGCTTTTTTGTGGTTTTTTTATCACGTTTGTGGTCTGCATTAGGAGGTTTCTGGTGTATTTATTAAAGACTAGTGATCTGCATATCGATAACTCCTAAATGCATACGATAAACACAATAATACACTAAAATACATTAAAAACCCCTTCACAATGATTCATAGTCTCTCGAACAACCTTTACATGTTAAATAGGAAAAAAGAATCAACCCAGAATCCTCATTTTTCAATTCCCAATAAAAATTCAGATAATTACCAAACAAAATAGAGTATTTGTTTGAAGTAATCCGGATTTGTATCGCGTTCCTTTGCAACTGCTTTTTGGATTGAAAACAAAACTGTCAAGATCGAGCAACTCTAAACCACCAATATCGCTGCATTTAACAATCAAAAGTGTCAATTATTACACCTTCTAAATGCAAACCCATCACTGCTTCACACATTTCCATACCAACCATAACAAAACTAGAAACTCCATCTATGCTAACGCCATAACCCAAGCACCATAACTCAGACCAAGAGCTCTAATTCAGCCTTTCACAAACACAATACAAACACCCATCATCCAACGACCTCCTCTTGCTACTGCTCCTGCATTATTATTATTATTATTCTTCTTCTTTGTTGTCCCAATCGACCAACAGAATTGGAAACCTTTCTCTTCTCTTCTCTAGATGTAATAAAAAACAGAAACAAAAAGAAACAAACGGCCAGTTAGTACTTAACGGCAGCAATGAGCAAACAATAACAACACCTAAAAACAAACCATTTCTTGGAACAACAAGCAACCACCACGCTGCCTGGGTTCATCCCCAACCAGCCAGCCAGCCCGACGCCAATCCCTCAGCCTGCTTCCCACCATTCATTTTGCTTTCTTGTCGAGGACACTACATGGAACCCTAGCTTCAACTTGTTCTTCCCATCTAGTTGCTTCCCCGCTGCCGCCGTAGATGGAAATCGCCATCGGCCACTCCTCGGAACGCTACAGCAGTGCCCTCGCCTGAGAAGACTCTGTTCTAGCCATTTTCGGCGATCCAGTCTCTGTTCTTGTCGTCAGTCCAATCATCATCGATGACACAGCCTAAATAGCGAATTTGAGGGGAGACAAAATTGAATTGAAGATTGCGCCTTTGAAATCAATCAATTGGCGTCGGCGCCAGAAGGAGGACGATACGTCTTGGATGGAGGAGGATTGAGTGGCGGCGGAAGAGAATTGGGCGGCCGAAAGAGGATTGCCGTCGGCGCTGGAGGATTGCCATCCATCCGTGTACCATCGGCGGGTATGCCATCCCGAAGAAGGCGAAATCATGGTCAACGCTTGGGCCATCCACATGGATCCGTAGCTGTGGGAAGAGCCTTCCGAGTTCCGACCGAAGAGGTTTCTGGACAGCGGCGTGGGAAACGGGATCAGGAGGAGGCAGAGATTTCTCACGGGCAGCAACAGCGAGAAGAGATCGAGAGACGGAGAGGAGAAGGCTGGGGATTGAGAATCTATTTATTTAATTTTAATTTGCTATTTTGTGTTAGTTTACCCTTTTACCCTTAATGAATCTTGTTGTTAGTATAACAACACTATGAGTGTTGTTATACTATCCGCACCCTTCAGGGAATGCTGTAGCCTCGGCTTAGCTCATCTGCAATAAATATTTTGCACCATAAAAGAAGTTGCGAAATTTTCATACGTTGATGGGAGATGCTAAAATGTCGTCATAGTCTTGTGCTTACAATTATAAAAAAAAAAAACTGGTTAATTTTGTCCAAGTGTCGATTGTATTAGTGTCGCTAAAAGTTACTGCAATATTTACAACAACAACAAAAAACAGTACTTACATTTTTTGACATACGAATATGGCGATTTAAAATATTGTGACATTTAAAGTTTCACCAACCATATCTTCGTCGACATATGAAAATTTCCCTTTAAAACCCTGCAACACAAGAAGTATTGGCACTTATATCTTCCGACATATAAAAATTTCAGTGTAAAACCTTGTGACATTTACGAAAAAAAGTCGATACCTATATCTTTCGACGTATGAAATATTGTTATAGAACCTTGTGAAATTTGAAAAAAAACTGGCATTGGTATGTACATTTGTCGACATTTATTTTGAAAAATAGCATTAGGTAGTTAATTTTATGACTATATATATATGGGGAGTTCTACAGTACCATGGGTGAAATCCGGGGTACCGCATACCTTGAGTAAGAAAGCGCTATTCAGAACTTGAATTGACTGATCTTTCGGACATGATACTATACTCTAATCCTTAAAGATCAAAATCTAGGTCTTAATTCTCTAAATCTTATACCCCAAGATCAATTTAATTAGAAGCAATAATCGACGGTTATGATTCGTCCAAATATAGGCAAAAAAATCAATGCACCATCTTAGGGTTTATAGTTTATGATTTAGATAATTAGGAACTAGGGTTCACTCATTAAGGGTTAGGATATACTATCATGCCCAAAAATCCTGCTAATTCGAGGTCTAGATAGCGTTTTCATACTCAAGGTATGAGGTACCCCGGATTTCACCCGGGGTACCGCAGAAGGCACCATATATATATATTGTTACATTTTGGCAAGTACACAATGAAGTACTATACCAGATTACCAGTAGATGAAAAAGGTCAACATGTTCTCAGAGTATTTGCACAGGTTTGGTCCGATTCAAATATTGTCGATTGGCTCCTTTTTCTGTAATATTTAGAGAATTCATAAGATTGAGAAACATATGCATTATGTTTGGTTTAGTTTGGATCGGTCCAAATTTTGATTTGGTCCCGTTTTTTGGACCAAGCTAGTGCACATAGAACTCGAATTCTTCATATAGATGCCAAACAGAAAGTTTCCATTCCGATTTTGACTTACCACATGAAATCTCCATCCAGCTGCAATATAACGACATCAACTTACGAAATGATTCACCAACTTATTGGGATTGGATATGTTGACTATTCTTTGCTTCTTTACTTTCACATGCTATATATTACATATATATGTTATTTAATCAAAATTATTATATATGCGTTGGGATATGTTGACTGCTCTAGCTTCTAAGTCATCAAACTTCAGATACAATTAGAAAATACATATATCGGAGACCGAAGATCCGTATCTGCACAAATAGACCACACTAGCTTAAAATAATCAATTCAACAAATCCACCCACCTACTCTGCTACTCTTTGTTCAACACGGATTACCTCAGTCAACGAGAAGTCTAGGCTATAGAAGAAAACACAAAGGCAACACCACCATGGTTGTTGTTGTTATTTGGGTCTCCCTTGATGGGACGATGTAAGAAGCAACTGAGGGAGTAATGGGAATCATTGGATTCATGTCGAATGATCGTTAGTAACTCAAGGCATAATTTAAAAGATGATATGTAATATGACAATAATGTTAGAGGTCGTGATTTGGAAGGTTGGCTGCGATCTTTTTCAGCTAAGTTTCTTTAGTTTTTATCTCTGATAGTTTTGATTTTCTTGATTAGCAGAAGAAGATAGTGTGCATGTAAGTGTTAGAGTATTGGTGACCACAGCCTCGCTAAGTTCCTTATATACTAATTTCACGAGCCTCCCATAAAAGTCTATAAGTGAGTAAGTACATGGTATCCACTCATTGGGTCCGTATCGAATTCGAGTTGCCTTAACTTTATAATTTGACAACTTATAATTAGCCCAATTAAACGAATAGTTTGTTTATGAAACCTGCATTCCACATAACACTCGCGTGGGAAACTAATTTCTCAATCGTTCTCAAATTTTTAACTTCATTTTCTGCATCACAACTTATACGTACATATAACTCTATGTATTGTTGATATGTACTTTGATACATATTTGCGGGCGGTGGGCACAAAATCACCAGAGAGTAGTCTCACTACGTACCCAGTGGCGTAGCCAGGATTTTATTTAAGGGGGTGCCATAAAAAAATTACATATGCAGTCTCGTATTTTATATTATGAAATTATTCTATAACTATATATATCGACCAAACTATCAAGATTTCACACTTAATATATCCCACCGAATAACCATTCACTACTTTAGTTCACTGGATGAGAAGGATGATCAATCGTTTCATAGCATAAAATGTTATCAACTTGTGCATTGACAGATGATAGCAGCAAATCAAATCCATTCTCACAAGCAAATACATTGATAGAAACTAATTTTCATGTAGAAATTAGTAGATAAAATTAATTTAATAGTTTGTTGTGATTTAACGGCAGAAGATTTGACGATGGGCATTGAAATTTAGGATTTAAATATCATCATTAACTAACTAATAAATACTACTAATATTTTGTGCTTTCTCCAAATCTAAGGGGGTGCCATGGCACCCCCTTATTACACTCTAGCTACGCCCCATGTACGTACCACCATGATTTCGCTAACTAACACACATCACATTAGTGTTCAATAAAAGAACAAAACAACACACCATACCAAAAAAACACTACCACTTAATAATCAAAATATTGGTTGGTGCTGATCCGTAGTCACTGACTCACTGTTCTTCCGAGTCTTGGTTTGAGTAAACGATAATGTCTGTGTTCATTATTTAAGTTTGGTACCAATAGGCCCACGTTTTTCGACCACAACGAATTGGTTTGGTTGGTGCTGCTGCCTACGTGTTTCCTAGGAGTTTCGACGTTGTCTGCAATGGAGAATTTCTCTATATATATATATATGTGCCCATATCGTACGTACGCTGGTCAAGTTCGACGAGAATATCAATATTGTATTCCCCAGCCAAGCCATGGCACGTGGACCTTATGACTATTATAATTCTCTTATACAAAGACTTTGCTTAGCCTATATATATGTGTGTGCGAATGGTTTCGACAAAGAACAACAAAACCACCAGAGTACACAGAAGCACAAATGGCGAATCTCCCACTCTCAAAATTCACAGTAGCACTTTCCCTTTCGCTCTATCTTCTTGTTCACGCCATATCGTCTTCGGCGACGACCGGCGGCAGTACAGTGTCGCCTTCTGCTATAATTAGCGACGATGTTGTTCCGGTTGCTGACCGTTCGAGTTTTCCGGCGGGCTTCCTCTTTGGTTCGGCGTCATCTTCTTACCAGGTAAGCAGTGATGACCTGATGAAGTGATGATTATCTCAATGGTTTATATTTATTAAAAAAAAAATATTTAGCAACCATCGTGGAGTCCGTCGCTAATGATGAGAAAGGTGACGAATGTTGACTTTCGCTGACGGGGTAATGTTTTGTTTGGGTTCAGGTGGAAGGCGCGGTAGCTGAAGATGGAAAAGGACCTAGCAATTGGGATGTTTACACCAACAAATACAGAGGGGAACAAGACGACTCATCGTCTACCCATATTCGTCTTCGTGGTGCCGAAATGCGTCGACCATCTCGGTTTCTCATGAGCTCTGATGATCAGGATTCTGATTCGAAACCCAAAGGTAAAACCATATTCAAGTTACCTATAATCCTAGCTATTCGAAAGGTTTCCCGTTAGTGGTTTAAGAGATGAGAAAAACCAACGCCCTAACACGACCCATTTTGATGGTTTTTGACAGAGAGGATAGCCGATGGGAGCAACGGGAATGTGGCCATCGATGGGTATCATCGCTACAAGGTAATTAATGGCGACTAACCTATGGTACTATCATTTTTCATATTGGTCGTTGAGTTTTCGAATGATGCTAAGCAGAACCTAGGGAACAAAAATGACCCTTAATTAATTTTGTTGTTTTGTGCTACAGGAAGATGTTGCAATCATGAAGAGTATCGGATTGCAGGCTTATCGATTTTCTCTTTCATGGGCTCGAATTTTACCAAGTATGATATTTATCACTCTCTAATTCCATTTTTTCACTTTTTTACCATGCAATACTGATCATCAATCGCCAAAATCACTCAGTTAGTTAACGCGCTATTATATAACCTTCATAATCAGATGGAACAGTCGAAGGTGGTGTTAATCAAGAAGGAATCGAGTACTACAACAATCTCATCAACGAACTCCTAGCCAATGGTAAATTACATAAATGCATTCAATTCATTTTGTTAATTATGATCGTTCAATTTATATCATCAGTTGGTCGATCTCCTTATTAAACTAATTCCTCGAAATGGTGATTTCCATCCAGGCATCAAACCTTTTGTAACCATTTTTCATTTCGACCTTCCGGACGCCCTGGAAAGAGAATATGCCGGCTTCCTTAGCCCTAAAGTTGTGTAAGTACTAAGTACCCTATACCATGTACACTCATTATTACGTATTAAATATTTATGTTACCAATCCATATTTTTTTCATCTAGCTAACGAAAAGTTACATATATACTATGAACAGGAAAGACTTCGTTGCATATGCGGATGTTTGTTTCAAGCACTTTGGGGATCGAGTTCAACACTGGGTCACGATCAACGAGCCTCTGTCGTACAGTTTGTTCGGCTATGCCCAGGGGACGATGGCTCCAGGCCGATGCTCGAAATGGATGAACCTGAACTGCCCTGGGGGAGACGCTGCCACCGAGCCCTACGTAGTAGGACACCACCTACTCCTTTCTCATGCCGCCGTAGTGAAACTGTACAGAGACAAGTACCAGACAACACAAAAGGGCGAGATCGGCACCGCCCAGGTGGTGCAGTGGGGACTTCCTCTCTCCGATTCGAAGCAAGATCTCGAGGCCACGCAACGAAGAATCGATTTCACGCTCGGATGGTTTCAGGACCCATTGGCCACCGGAGACTATCCACCGTCGATGAGAGCCATCGTGGGGGAAAGATTGCCTAAATTCTCCAAGGAGGAATCCGAGATGTTGAGAGGTTCCTTCGATTTTGTGGGGTTGAACTACTACACAGCTTACTACATTTCGGATGCGCCTCCTTCGAATTCTATGCCTAAGAGCGCAACGACGGATTCTCAAACCAGTTTTTCACGTAAGCAAATTTACTCCAACTATACACACTACTCGTAAATGTAACTTATCTTTTGTATTGTCACTAATAATTACTAGCAACGAATTTGTTTCATGTCGCTAATGAAGCCGAGAAGAATGGTGTCGACATTGGCCCAAAGGCAGGGATATCATGGCAGTATATTTACCCTAAGGGGATTCGAGATGCTGTACTCTACACAACAAAGAAGTATAATAACACGGCCGTTTACATTACTGAAAATGGTGAGTAACTTAACTGAGTATATATGTGCATGTGTTAGATATATATAGCCAGCTTTTGACAGTTTCATCTCAATGAATTACATGTTTGTAATGTGCTTGTAAGGCTAACCGATTTATCCTTATATTTGATTTACAGGCATGGGGGAGCTCAATAATGAAACATTAAGCATCAAGGAAGCTCTTAATGATACTCTAAGAGTGGAATTTTACAGCCAACATATCGCCTACCTCAATAGTGCAATCAAGTACGATATTGATATACCATGATATTATTTAACACATTCCTTCTAATGATATGTACTTATTAAATTTCCAACATCGTAACATTTCGAATATAATTAAAATTGAGTATGCCATACTCTTAATTTTTTTTAATGATGTTATCCTAGAATTTATTTAGTCATAAAAAAAACATTAGCTTACACAATTTATCTTGTCATGGTTACAGGAGAGGTGCAAATGTGAAAGGGTATTTTGCTTGGTCACTGATGGACAACTTTGAATGGTCGGAGGGCTACACAATCCGATTTGGCATTAACTATGTGGACTTCAAAAATGGATTGAGACGATATCCTAAAAGATCTGCCATTTGGTTTCGAAACTTCCTCAAGAACTATCAATGATCTATTCGACTTTGGTAGTGATTTATTTATTGTTTGAAATTCTTTGTTCTTTGGGAAAATGGCATACCATATGAAATATGAGTATGTTTCTTTTTTGTATTTTTCCAAGGAAATGTCAAAGTATAGATACAACCTCAACCCTGTAACCCCCAACAAACACAATGGTAATTAGCCCAAATTATACATCATTCTTTGGATCATTAGAGCTGTTTCCTTTTCCCCACATTGTAATTGCTTGTTGAAGGACGGCTAAGATTAAATTAAAATTTTCATTTTTTATGCGAGAATTTGAAATAAAGATACAATATTAATATGTTTTATTGATTGATCAACGGTCGCATATCCATATTCCTTCCAATCAGATCCAAAATTTATCATTATATATGCAATAAGATAGATAATTGGGCTAGGTCTAGTCATAGTGGATTGAACCTTCGGCCACGTGTCACATCTAATGCGCTGTATTCTGAGGGTTGTTTTGTTTATTATATGTATGAGAAATTACTACTTATTCAAAAGAAAAAAATTACTACAATACATTAATATACTACGAATTGTTTTTTTAGTAATATATACACATAAATGGTTTTCTTAATTAATGTAACAGAAACAATATTTAATTTTTGAATGAGTGTACATTCACCCTCTCAAGGTGAGATTGTTTTAGCTTGTATTATTTCCTCTTTTTTTTCCTTCTAATTTTATCCATTGTTGTTTGCTTTTGTGTTGAAAGAAAGTGGTAAAAGGTGACATTTCCAAGTGACATCACCTTTTTATAGGCTAAAGATACAACAAATGTATTCATCATTACAAGGGGAGGGCAGCAATCGATAGAATTGTATCGAATCTATAATTAAATTAAATGGAATTGAATATTTTTCGATTCGATTTCGATCTCATAAATAAGTGCAAGTATGAAAAAAAGTGAATTGAATTTGGATTTGAATCGAATAAACCAAACATATTTTTTTTATCATATTATAATCCACAATTTACCTTTGATTTGATCCAATCTTATCTCGATTATTTTGAATCAAATCGATGGATGTCCACCCTTTACAATACATCAGCTTTAACATTCAAAGGAAACAAACGACCCGGCCCCTTAGATCGTTATTTATTAACTTAGGTGTCTATTTGTTTATTTATAGTGACAATGAACTATGTAGCCTTTTTTGTTTTCTTTTATCTCGGCATCTCCTTTCCCCGCTATTGTTTACAGTGACAATGCAGTATATACCTCCGTTGCCAAATGTGCGGTTGGCCTCGTTAGTCCACCCGGTCATAATTGGGCAGCTGTCTTAGCCGGAAAAGGCCGACAAGGAGATTTGATTAATTAGACCGTAATTTGCCTTAATATTGATTTGTTATGTGACTCTTTAAAAGTAGAAAGACCCGCTTAGTATTAGGGATGTCAGTTCGGTTATTTCGGTTATAACTGGTAACCGATCGGCCGGTTGTCGGTTAACAGAAATAACCATTTTCTCTACCGAAAACCGACCGAAATAGGCTTCGGTTTCTCGGTTATCTCGATTATCGGTTAACCGAACCACTTTTAAGACCAAAAACATTTTGTCCAGCCTCCGGTTATCGGTTTCACCGGCCGGTTAACCGATAACCGAACGGCCACCCCCTACTTAGTATGGTACGTTTGTAAATATTCTTTTGTACAAATTTATTTATAGTAAACTGAATTTGTATCATAGCATTTATGATACAAATTCAGTTTGTACCTATACATTCTTCGTACTAATTGTTTTACAGTACAAACTCAACTCATACCTTTAAAATTAATGATACAAGTACATTTTGTACCTTTATATTTTCATACAAATTCATTTATATGAACTTATACATTAACGTTACGATACAAGTTAGTTCATTTATGAGCCATCTAATATAAGTATATACCACCTCACATTTTTTTCCATTAAAGAACAAACGTCTTTTTCTTCAATAGTTCCAACACCATTGCATTCGTCCAAAAGAACCCCTAGAACAAGAATTTAATTACTTAATAATCCGGGGGCTTCTTTGGATTCATGTTAAACGGCGGCACTTAGCTAGACACATTCAACATCCCACATCCGTATATATAAAATGGCAGAGTTGGAGTATTATATCTTTCGCCGCCGGCAACATGGACCAAATCACTATATAGTAACGGGGGGGAAAAAAGATAGTTACATAGAGAGCCAAAATGACGATTTCATTTCAAAGCTCTAATCTTCGTCATATGGGTCTCCCGCGGTCAAAATCCACGCTTCTACTTCTTATCCTGCTTTCTTTCCATCTTCTTTGTCATGCAACAGGCGCTAGCTCAAGTTTAACGCCGTCTACAATTAGTGACGAGCACAATAGCGACGACCACGATGATCGTCGTGTTCCCGTCGCTGCTAACCGCACGAGTTTCCCGGCGGGCTTCCTCTTCGGGACGGCATCCGCGGCTTACCAGGTACGTGATCATGATGTGTTGTTTCAAACGGCATTTATTTTACAAGCAATTTTTAGCGACGGATTACAGAAGTCGGTCGCTAAAACGGATCTTGGTTTTTCGTGACCGGAGGTAATGTGAATTTCAGTATGAAGGCGCGGCGGCTGAAGGTGGAAAAGGTCCTAGCATCTGGGATACTTACACTTCCAGATACCCAGGTTCGAAGTTCTAAAATCTAAATCCTATCCCAAGAGATTGTGCGGCTCGTGTTCACTGATAAAAATCCTCTATCTTAATGGATAACGATCACTTAGCTTGTTGGTCAACTCTTGCATTATCAGTTTAGCACTATAAATTAGTGGGAGGAAAGAGTGGTAGGTGGCGATTTAAGTATTGCAACTTGTTGTATTTTATTTGGGCTGATTGAGTTACCAATTGGGCCTGCCATTTCTGGGCCCTCTGCTAACAATGGGTTTGCTTGATGTGAGATTTCTCTCAAATTTTTGTTAAGATATTGTGTTGTAAATGTGATTAGAGAGAATGAACAAGGTACCTGTTTAACAGATAATTATAAAACTTGAAGGGATATAGATAGTTGAAGTATTGAAACAAGTGAGTCTAAATTATAGTTGTAGTACATATTTGGGTGAGTTCGACATTGCAGATACTTAAAATATCAAAAATCACATCACATTTATTGTGGTCTTTATTGTGGTTGGCAAAAATCTACCCAAAAATAATATAGATTGGATTTTCTCAAACACAATCAATTCGGATTCGATTTGATATTACCTCGATTATGGGTTGTTTTGTCATCCCCAAGTAGCTTAATATAAAACAAAGCATAGAACTGCCGTTTTGATGGCAAGGTGAAATGGCAGGTAAGATAGCCGATCGGAGCAACGGGGATGTGGCCATTGACGAGTATCATCGCTACAAGGTAATTATAATGCCAAGATGATTTAATGTATATAATAAATATAATGGAAAGACTTTGTGAATGGTCAAGCAATCATATAAAATGTTTTTTTTTTTTCAAATCTTTTTTCTTAATTATCATGTTTATGATATTTGCAGGAAGACGTTGCAATCATCAAGAATATGGGGTTGAATGCTTATAGATTTTCTATCTCATGGCCTCGAATTTTACCTAGTACGATATTGAACTTGCCATCTATTGCATTATTCACTTCTTTCTTACTATGCTTATTAATTAATTATCACTCTGATCCATTTTTCACTATTTACCATGCTATGGTGATTATTATAATATCAAAATTCAATCATTTAACATGATTATATATCATTATTATCGTCAGATGGGACGGTGAATGGAGGCGTGAACAAAGAAGGGATCACGTATTATAACAACCTCATCAATGAACTCTTAGCTAATGGTAAATACGTTTGTATGGTTGTCACTAGACTAACTCCTTCATATGAATATATGATAGATTGTTAGCAAGCTTTTGTTAATGATCATGATTATGTAATCGGTGGTATATGGAAACTGATATTAGTTAAGGCTGTTAATATAGTCTACTTGTGGCTTAATGAATTATATATATTCCACAAATGGTGATCTACAGGCATTAGACCTTTTGTAACCCTCTATCATTGGGACACTCCTCAAATCCTAGAAAATGAATATGGGGGCTTCCTTAGCTCTAAAATTGTGTAAGTACCCTTTCACTCTTTGTCATTAATTAATATTTTAACTATTTTCCTTTGTTTTGATTATACTTGAAATTATTTGTGAATTATAGGCTTCCTTAGCAAAACGGCGACGTTATTGAGATTAAAGAGTCAAATCGATCTTTTTGTCTTTCTAACAAGAAAATATTATGAACATATATATCCCAGGAAAGACTTTGTCGGGTATGCGGATGTTTGTTTCAAGCACTTCGGAGATCGAGTTCAACATTGGGTTACATTGAACGAGCCCCTAGCATCCAGTTCATATGCCTATGGCGTTGGTATGTTGGCACCTGGTCGATGTTCAAAATGGATGAATTTGAACTGCACTGGTGGAGACTCAGGCACTGAGCCATACGTTGTCGGACACAACCTTCTTCTTGCTCATGCCACCACAGTAAAACTGTACAGAGAGAAATATCAAGTAAACAATATATATACTTGATGCATCCTTCTAAAATTTTGATTACAAGCTCATTATATTGAAAGAGATACGTCAAAATGTTCTTTTCATCGTTTCAATCAGTTATGTTTCTCTGAAGGGGTGATACGTTTGAATTTTGAAAGTTAGTTGATGTCACTTATTTCGCATGCAGGCAACACAAAAGGGTAAGATTGGCATTGCCCAAGTTTCGCAATGGGGTATTCCTCTCTCTGATTCTAAGCAGGATCGCAAAGCTACACAACGACAAATGGATTTCATGCTTGGATGGTACGTGTTTTCTTTAATGTATATGATTCGATTTTAAGGATGATTAGATGATAGTTCATCTAGTATCTCAAACCTGGATCATTAAGGTCAATCACATTATAGTTCACTGGATTTAAATATATGACATGCTATTTGCCGTCTATAGTTTTATTATTTGATCGTCTGGACCGTTTGTTCGCAGGTTTATGGACCCACTAGCCACGGGAAACTATCCACGATCGATGAGATCTATTGTGGGGAAACGATTGCCCAAATTCTCCGAGGAGGAATCCAAGATGTTGAAAGGGTCCTTCGATTTCGTGGGGTTGAACTACTATACAACTTCGTACATTTCCAATGCACCACCTTCTAATCCTATCTTCTTAAGCTCAACGACTGATTCTCAAACCAATGCTTCAGGTAAGCAATTCACTGAAAATTAACCCTCTACACACTACTATTAAACATAATTCCTATCCTATGTAAGTATTTTTATCACTAATTATGTGTTTCATGTTGCTAATGAAGCCGTGAAGAATGGTGTCCCCATCGGCCCAAAGGTATGCATTCTAATCAATAATTAACTTGTTCATGAAATCGAGGGAAATTAACTAGAGTGGTCACAATATCTCGATCACATCGATCGTACTTTTTTTTTCAATAACTGGATCGCGTTAATCGTACTTAGGTTGGAACAATTTGTTAATGAAGTTGGAAAATAGATCTTATGTAATATATGTTATATCAAACATCTAATCACAAGACGAGTTAAGTAAATGATGTAATATATGTTATTGAATATAAGAGCATGGGATAACTCAAAGGTTATTATTAGAATTTTGACAATACCCAACATTTTTTTTTTACCCTTTTGCACAGGCTGGGGTATTCTGGCAGTACATTTATCCAAAAGGGATTCGAGATGTTGTGCTCTACACAAAGAGGAAGTATAATAACCCAGTCATCTACATCACCGAAAATGGTGAGCCTATATGATATGTATCTAGTGTCCATTCGGGTTCGGTTTTTCGAGTTTACCCGAAACCGACCCGATTATATACATTTTCGGTTTTTCGGGTTCTGGTTTGTTTCGGGTTTCGGGTTTTTCGGTTTCGGGTTCGGTTTTGCTTATCGGTTTTTCGGGTTCCGAATAAAAACCTCCAATGAATAGAACTCAACCCGTATTCTTAGGCGTTCGGGTTTTCGGTTTTGCTTTAACCGAACCCGAACCCGATAAGGAATTTCGGGTTTCGGGTAACCGGAACCCGCAAGTCCTTATCGGGTTCGGGTTCGGTTTTAGTGGTTTTCGGTTTCGGGTTTTTGGATTTTTTCGGGTTTCGGTTCGGGTAGACCCAAACTGACACCCCTATATGTATCCTAAAAATTAGGATTCCATGAAAATCGTTGTATTTATATATTATTACAATGTTAATAATTAATTTCTCTCTTTTTTCTATATGTAGGTATGGGTGACATCAATAATGAAACATTAAGCCTCAAGGAAGCTCTTAATGATACCCTAAGAGTTGATTTCTATTGTCAACATCTCGCATACCTGAGCAGTGCAATCAAGTAAGATATACCACGATATAACTCGAGGATTCCACTTAGGGTGTTATGTGCCACTTTCTTACCGAGAATAAATAAGATTTTTTTACAATAATTTCATTCTATAAAAAATTCACATGCTTTGGTTACAGGGAAGGTGCAAAGGTGGAAGGGTATTTTGCTTGGTCACTATTGGACAACTTTGAGTGGTCGATGGGCTACACAATACGATTTGGCATCAATTATGTGGACTACAAAAATGGATTAAAACGATATCCTAAACAATCCGCCCTTTGGTTTCAAAGCTTTCTTAAGAATTATTGAGTTCTCTTCATGTATCCTAAACAATCTACCCTAAATAATATCAATTGCATCACTTCAAATTATTAAAAGCTCATTTGAGTTCTCTCTATATATGTATCCAATGGCAACCTTGATGAATCTCGTGACTTTAATGAATTCAATGGATTAAATTACATATTTGATCACTCATATTATCAAAATTTTCACGTTTGTCTAGAATTTATTTTTCCATCGTTACTAGTCTCTCTCTTTTAAATCTCATTTCATCATTGACCATTGGCCGTCCAATTCTATTAAAGCTCGCCCTAGCTAACAATCAACAATAAAAATTTTTGTGAAATAACCGGCATATCAATTAAAAAAATAAATGTTAAAATAAATACTTTCTAATTTTCCACCCTGCCACCACCACACCCAAAATACCTCAATCACAAATATTATTACTAGATGTAAGTATCAAACGCAATCGATAATTCGTAGATGTTTGCTTCATCTAATTACATAGCGGGAGTAGAAGTGACAAATGAATTTGATTCATGGACTAGATTATTTGAATTGGTGGGTTGAATTTATGGATCCAAGTGACATCCAAATAATAGATCATTGTGTAAATTTTCAAAACTTTAGGTACTTAAATGTCATTATAAAAAAATCTTAGATACCAAAACATAATTTATAAATGACATTTTTCAAGACTAGCTAGCTAGTGATGGAAAAAAGATAAAAAATGAGGTATTTTTAAAACTTTATTTATTATGATAAAATCAACTTTGAATATAATTTTTGACGTATTTATACTCAATTTTTATAGTTTACTCTAAATTAGACTCGTGATATTAGGTACCTAAAAGAAAATGAATACTCGTAGGTTTCCCATTTTTTTTGTTAAAAAAGTAGAAATGTAAAAACACAAACATTGAAGGTGCAAATTAGATTGAAAACATTTAATGAGATTATCGATATTATATTTTTGTGTGTACATCATGTGACTCAAATAGATCCATTTGGACATACCCAAATAAGTTGATTCAAATTATTTCCAACTCAAACTCAAAACCATAAAAAATACATATATATGAACCCATATAGAGTTATGTACTCAATCCATTACCATTGCTATATAGAGCTAGCTAACAGAAATAACTTCATAACAACTTATTAGATTCCATATTTAGTACCCCAATATATTCTCGCAAATTGTTTCCTAGTCAATTGAATAATTCCTCCGTCATCCTCGATTCCCTCCAAGGCATCTGCCGAATGCAGATGGCCCTTTTTCCCCTTTATTGTATAGTCCATGAAACCGTACCGGAAAAGTCAGTGATAGGGTATTTTATAACAAAACCGTGGTTTAACCGTAGTTCAACCGTTAGTACCGTTAAATACCGCCTATCGGTTTAGCCTCCGATACTGTTATTTTGTGGTTGAACCGTCGGTACGGTACGGTTTAATGGACCATGCTTTATTGTACAAGAAATTAACAGGAAACTCTAATGGTAGAAAGAAAGCGAGGTAACCAGAAAACTAAGAGGAATCAGTAACCAAAAGATCCCTCTCTGCAGGCAAGAACCGTTGGCAGATTACTTCAATTGTTTTGATGGATATATATGGCATGATTCTTCATTCAATTTGGAAAGAGCTCTTTGTCCTCTTCAAAACCTATCGAACTGCCGACTCAAAGTCTCCCCCAATAGTCGTTTAATGGGAGCCGAAACTATATATAAGCCAACGAGAATTTTATAGATAATATATATATATATATATATAGATTAATCTTTGGCCTATTTGGGTTTTTACATTGTTTGACTCTCTGTTTTTATTTATTTTTTTGGCTAAAAAATTAGTGGTCGTGATACTCACAGTTTCAGGGGAAGGGCAAAAACTTAACTAAGGGTGATAAAGCTCGTGGTCCGGATGGTTTTTTCTTCGCTTTTTCCTAAGAATTGTTGGGATGTCATCAGTGGCAGAGCCACCTTATGCCCAGGGGAGATTATAGCCCCCCTTTCAACTCGCAAAATCACGAAATTACATGTAATTTCGGTTAAAATTTTGAAAAATATAGTAGTTAGTAAGATTTTAGCCTCCCTCGTAAATTCGAATTCGCTACGCGTAGATTTTTAGCCCACCTCGTTTAGCTTTCCTGCTCCGCCACTAGATGTCATCAAAGCTGATCTCATAAAGGCTTTTAAAACCTTTTTCAACACAGAGAGTTTCAAGTAACATATTTTAAAATTCCAAGATCAGAGATTCGTAGAAGTCGACCCCAAAGGAACATCTACGTAACAGAACGGGTCACTAGGAGTCTAGGATTGATTCTAATCTGCATTCCTTTTAGTTCATCACCTCCACCTCTATAAATCCATCAAAAGGAATTTTAACAATGCATAAAGTGAAAACTATGGCATCCTACTTGCAATAACTCCGGGAAGCTCTCTTATGGTGTGTGACCAATGGGCTCCAGGATGTGAGGTTTGAAGGCGATGCCAAGGTCATCATCGATAAAATCAATTAAGCTGAGACTAGAGATAGTAGGATTGGGATGATCTTGGAAGAAATCTGGCAATGTATGGAGAATCAATTGGGGTTTAGTTTGCGATTTGTAGGACGGAGGAACAATAGGGTAGCCCATGCGGTGGCTAAAAATGCCCTTTCTTTGTACCCGTCTACGTGTCGCTCTTTTAATTTTCAGGTCTGGCTATTTTCCAGGATGTAACTGTGTCTATCTTCAATCAATATATGATTATCTTTTGTAAAAATAAAATAAAAATCCGTTGTTAGATATTCAAACTGATTATTAATTCCTGTCACCCTAGATACCCTCCAGGCTCCAAGGCTCAGCCGGTGTTTTTTTTTTTTTTTTTTCATTTACGGACGGTTTTTATTGGAGCATCAGCCGATCTATAGCAAACAAATGCAAGAAATTATCAGGGAATTATAATACATTATAATTATTCGAGGAAAATACCATTGTTTGGATCGGACCTTAATATCTCCCATGACTCCGGTAACACCAATTCCTAAATGCCATTTTTTACCCTTCAATTATTATCTCCCGGAGTGTAACTCAGTTAGATATTAGACTAGACCTGGAAAATTACAATCCAACCCGACCCGAAACCGCCCAAAAACTAGAAATTTTTGTAACTCGAAATCCTAATGATTCGAACCCGATAACCCGTTATTTTTTGGTCGGGTTGGGTGGGTTAGCGGGTCGACCCGTTAGACCCGTTTCATTTAATATATTACTCCCAAAATATGATAAAATCACTCATAAATTGATGAGATGTTTTAAGAAAATAACAAATATTTGAATGACATGTTTGGAGTTTAAGGATAATCAAATATCATGTGTTTCTTGTATAAGTATTACTCTTGTGATTGTTTTTTGACGATGCGCAATTTATATTTCATTTCATTAGCGTAGGAGGATTTGAGAATATGTTAATTGACATGTGTTACGTAAACTATTGTCATGCATATGTGAAAATTTGTGTTCTTTAAGAAAATATCGTTTCTGAGAACGCTCATAACCCGAAATGACCTGTAATCCGACCCGAAACCAAATGGGTTGGGTCAATATTTGACCCGAAATAAGCCAACCAATTATGACCCGACCCATAACCGAAGTTCTCAACCCGTAATTACCCAACCCGATCGCCAGGTCTATATTAGACAAAATTAAATACTTTTATTCCTCAACATAAGCCATGGCATAGAATTCTTTTTAATGAACCATGAAAATTAAAAGTCCGGATGCTATCATAGAGGGTAATTAATCGTTTGTTTGGTATTCATCATTTTGAAGAATCCCAAAATGGAGATCGTCAATCGTTTGTAGAATCAAAGGTCAACGGTCGATCGTCGTTGTTGGTGATTTATTTGCAGAATTGTTTGTATGATGGATTAATTCGTAGTTAAATGAAGAAAAAAATTATGTTTATGGTTTGTTGGCTTTTCATGTTTCTGCTTCGCGTAATGATCGCTAATACCCTTTTCGGTTCGCTAATAATCGTCCAAACACACAACTCAAATCGCTGTTATATATAGTCAACAATTCTACTGGTCCGACCCATAAATTCGATTAGGTTCTAATGCCAAGAGTCAAGTCTATTAAGCCACACCCATCTATGAACTGTGACATCTTTATTGCTCGACCAAAACATGTTTTGGTCCGTAGATAGGAAATTACAAGAGAGTTTATATGTCAGATTCAAAATTTTGAAAGTTGAGGGGGCTATAGCTCGTTAAGTTCAAACTTGACAAAGACATTTCGACCGTCTCTTCTGAATATTCTTTTTTATCAGGCCGAAGAGAAAGTGAGATAAGTGAACCACTAGAGGGGTAACGTACGTTGCCGCCAAAGAACCCTAGACAAGAGACTCCATGACGAAACCCTGAAACCAGAGACCGAGTTCCCCAAAAGAGATGGCCGGTAATTAATTGATACTTAATTAATATTCACCACGTTGTCTTCGGGTGAACCCTTGCTTGGTAATTTCAATTCACTTCTTTCTTTGTTTGATAGCTACAATTACTTCTATATAAATCACTATTAGGTACCATTTTCTCTGGACAAATCGGCAGGGAGGTTTCTACAATTTTATAACTCCAAAAAGATTAGTCTGATTCAAGTGTCATGGGACTGTTCGTGATCAGCTGCTGCCTCCTCGTAGTTTCGTCGCTAATAGTTATCGATGGAGCTCGAGTTATGATCAATCCCTCTGCCCGCGACACTACTACTACGATCAATGGTACTAGTACAGCTTCTTCCTTCAGCAGGAGGAGCTTCCCTGCCGGGTTCGTATTCGGCACGGCTTCGTCGGCATACCAGGTACGTTAACAACTAGTCATGAACATGTATTGGTGACGAAGAGATGGAAAGTCGTCACTATGTTTGAAGATCGGAGGTTTTAACGACGAAAGGTTGTCACGAAAGCGCTGAAACTCATTACTACAAAGAGCTTTGAGCCGTTGTTGTTTTCAACGTCCAAGAAGATCATCATTTGTTTAAAGAGTCTCATAGTATCCCATTTACATTTATATAGTGATATAATAAACTAGCTAGAGGTGGGATCGTCGTTAAAAGTGGTGTTCAAATTCGTCGGTGAATTTATAGCGACGGAAATGAGTTACTCGCAGTAAGAAGTTACAAGAGGAGAAAAGCTTGTCAATGAAAAAAAAAAATCACATATGAGTACTACAAGATGAGTATAGTAATTTTTGATTTAGAGGATTGAGGAGTACAAGTTTTGATTTAGATGGTCACTATTTGCATAATTTTGGTCGTCATTAATGTGTTGCGCATTGCCAGTATGAAGGTGCGGCGATGGAAGGTGGCAGAACTCCTAGCATCTGGGACAACTACGCTCATCAATTTGCAAATAAGATAGCTGACCATAGCAATGGAGATGTGGCAACGGATTCTTATCACCGTTACAAGGAAGATGTCAAGATCATGAAGGATTTGGGATTTGAAGCTTACCGATTATCGATATCATGGTCTCGAATTTTACCCAGTAAGTCAATCGAATACACAATAAATGCGCAATAAATTTGGTTATTAATTTTCGACACTAACTATGTTGATTCATCAGATGGGAAGTTGAGCGGGGGAGTGAACAAAGAAGGAGTGAAATATTACAACAATCTCTTCGACGAACTCCTTGCAAACGGGATCCAGCCCTTCGTGACTATCTTTCACTGGGATCTCCCTCAAACACTGGAATCTGAGTACAGGGGTTTTCTTAACCCTCGTGTTGTGTAAGTAAAAACCATATCCCGATCAGATCATAATATTAAAACATTATCTTAGTTCGAATTACAAAGATATTTCAATCATAAAAAAACCTCAATAGTTAGATCATGTCGTCACAATAACTCGAGTTAAAATTCGATCTTCTGTCTATCCTCCTTATCACTTGGTAAACTTTCGCAGGGATGATTTCCGAGACTATGCGGAGGTGTTGTTCAAGGAGTTTGGCGACAGGGTGAAGAACTGGATCACTATAAACGAGCCACTGAGCTACAGCGCCGGAGGGTATGCATATGGCTATCTTGCGCCGGGGAGGTGCTCCAGTTGGGTGCCCATGAACTGCAGCGGCGGAGACTCCGCGACCGAGCCTTACATCGTCGGCCACCACATCCTCCTCTCTCATTCCGCCGCCGTCGACCTGTACAAGCAGAAATATCAGGTTTTTTTCTCTCTTCATCACTCTCTTACACATCTTTTCAAACGAAAGTTCAGGTTTTTTCTCTTCATCACTCTCTTACAGGTCTTTTCAAATGAAAGTCAACTCACGAATTTGAAGTTTGCACAGATCTATCAAATCTTGTGCTTAAATGAACTGTTCACAATAAGATCTTTGAGATTTGAACAGACAACCATTTGACCAAACCAGCAGCTGATATCATGTCATACACGAACTCTATTTGAGATTTGTTATTTTGCTTTGGTGAATGGTTCAGGCAAGCCAGAAGGGTCATATAGGGATCACATTGGTGTCGCCATGGATAATTCCCTACACCAATTCCACCGAGAACAGGAATGCACAGGCCAGATCTCTTGATTTTAGTTTGGGCTGGTTTTTCGAACCTTTGACGAGCGGCTCTTATCCGCAATCGATGAGGACTCTCGTCGGCAAGAGGCTGCCCGAGTTCACGAAACAACAATCAAAGAAGATCAGAGGTTCGTTCGATTTCATCGGGATGAACTATTACACGGCTTCTTACGCAGTCGATACGCCTCTGTTTGGCTTCGCACCCCGAAGCTACATGACCGATTCACTTGTGAACACAACAGGTACATCTAACCGTCAAGTAGGCTTTTTTCATAAATCGTTTGATCGCAATAGCTCGAACTATTAAAAGAGGTCATCAGTGTATGGATCTTATATCACTTCTTTAGATTCACCTCGAACTTCAAACAAATTCATGGAATTCAAATTAGCACATATCACGCTATTTAAACACGAGATATCCCTATCAAATTGGTTCTCAGCGTTCTTTCAACAACTAGAATTATCAAGACTAGTCATTTTTTTAGACTATTAACAACGAGTAACATATTCAATTTTATTTTTTATGATGGTATATTCAATTAGAAGTTAGTTGATGAAAGTAACTCCTTTTCTTTCTTTCTGGCAGACAACCGTAATGGAGTCTCAATTGGACCAAAAGTGAGTATAATTGAATTATATTTTGGTCGTCTCATCATTAGGTTATGTGTAACGATTCGATTTTTTGTTAATCGCAGGGAGCTTCGAGTTGGCTGAATGTGTATCCCAAAGGAATATATGATATTTTGTGCTACATCAAGCGCAAGTACAACGATCCTGTTATTTACATCACAGAAAACGGTAAAAGGGAATCTATATATCTGGAACTGAAACCCTCTCGTCGCTAATGAGTTTGCCAGTTAATAGCGACGAAATTTTGGGTTTAACATAAGACCGTTATGACATATATATTCTTGATGCCAGGGATTGACGAGTTCAATAACGACAAGGTGCTGCCGGCGGCAGAATCTCTCCACGACAAAATGAGGATCCATTATCACCGCCGGCATCTGTATTACCTCCAAAAAGCGATCCGGTAACTTTCATATACTTCTACTTCCTTTTTTCCGGTAGGCCAGATTATCATTCCGTACACCGTTAATTTTGGGAGTATATACAAATGTACAGTCTAATTTAATCATCCATATTTTTGTATTAAGCTAATCAAAGTCTAGAATTGTCTCTGGCTCATGCATTAATTTTTATTCATAAATTTCCTAGAATCATTTCATAATCCTTCAAGTAACAAGCCAATCACGGTGTAAATTAACATATTTTGTTGTTCATTATTATCCGATTGAGAATTAATAAGACTGAAAATTCACAACGTAAATCCAAATTCGAAAAATACTATAGATCACGCACCTTGGTTGGTGGAAGTATTTTAGAATTTCACTTATCTAACACCGAATTCTTATAGTTATAGGCCAAACACTCTAAACTCTAACAATACATGCGTTCTTAGAGTGGTATTTTTCTAATATGAAAATCAAATTTTAAAAAATGTACATGATGGTGTTATATCAAATTCCATTCATCAACCCCTAACTCAGTTTGGAAAGAAAAAAGAAAAAAAAACCCTAACTCAGTTTGGGCTTGTTTTCCATTTGGCAGTGATGGAGTGAACGTGAAGGGCTATTTTGCTTGGTCGTTGTTGGACAATTACGAATGGACAAGTGGATACTCTACTCGATTTGGACTATTTTACGTGGACTTCAAGAATGGGCTTACCCGCTATCCCAAACAATCCGCCAAGTGGTTCAAAGGCTTCCTATCCCAATAGTGTTCATCGTCCACCAAAAACCCTAGAATTCCACCCAAACCTAAGAACTATCCCTGTTTCTTACATCTTTGATTTTTTTATCCTTGAATCAAAGTTGTTGCAGTTTCTAATGGCATTCAGAGACAATCTTCCTTTTTTTCCTAACTAGTAAGCTTTAGAAGTAGGTTTAATTCGGTGTAATTGGAAGGGTGAAATTCACGAATCGTATGCAATTGAATGCAACGATTTTTATCAATACATTGGTTGCAATTACAATTGCATCAACATAAAACAATCTCAAATGCTTAGGATATGAAGTATTTGGAAACTCACTACTATAGAGTGGTTAGAACATGGCTCGTTTTCACTTTTATTGCACGAATATCTCACATGATAACATGCAATTGAGACGGGAAAAAACAACTATTTACAAATACACCAAACCACACATACCAATAAAAATAAAAATAAATACTTCATTCAAAATTACATTAGAATTGACAAAGATACATACTAATATATTGTCCTGCATTGCATGATGTGGAATAATTAAGTTCAAACATAAAGCATTGAAGAAACTAGTCTTTTGAATACCATTCCACAATTCATTATTCTTCATTGTGTGATGTGTCCTATAAATAAGGTGTACAAGAAAGAAGACAATAAAATACCGGAGCTTGATCGTGACGACTTCCAGATCAAGAAGTTGTGTTCAGCTCTTTTAATCGAATCGTGTCGTGTTACATTGAGCATTTTAGATACGTTATTCCTCCCTATCCAATGATTTATGCTCCATACTATTCTACATTTTTCACTGTGCTGATAAATTGGTACACAAGATAGCAGTGGCGGATCCAGGAATTTTTTGTAGGGGTGTCATCTTTCAAAAATTAAATTAATAATTAAATAATTAAATTAAATAATACATAAATAATAAAATATCCAATTAGTACAAATGTTGACAAAAAACCACGATGTGTTTTCATATTTCGAAAAAAAAACATAAGATAGATTTGGTGTCTACACTGCTCAACAAATCGGTATATCCTACTAAATCGCGTATTCTATTTCTAACCTTGTTCATGATGTAATTCAAAGTTGAAAAGACTGTTTCAACACTTGTAGTGTAACCATAAAATCAATTCAAATTAGGGGCACCCCTGGCGATAAGAAATCGTGTTTTTACCATTACATATCATGATGTAATTCAAAGTTGAAAAGACTGTTTCAACACTTGTAGTGTAACCATAAAATCAATTCAAATTAGGGGCACTCCTGGCGATAAGAAATCGTGTTTTTACCATTACATAGCATTTAAAATCGAACAACAAATGAGTTATAACCTAATGGAGAAGATGTTTATTAATAGGAGTGTCCTAGATTTGAATAACACAGAGTGCCACTTATATTTTTTTAATTATACGCAAACTACTATCGAGGGTAAGATAATCGTTTATTAAAATTTTAGTGGTGTCCCAAATTACCAGTTATATTTTGTTTATCCATACGAAACTACTACTAGGAGTTGGATAATCGTGTTCCCAAAATTTAGGGGTGTCCCGGGACATCCCTAAAGCATCATGTATCCGCCATTGCAAGATAGTGAAGAAGAAAAAGAAGAAATCAGATGGATATGCTGTTGGGAACTCCCTGCCCTGTAACTCCAGGCTTAGAATGAGGCTTCAAAAGCTCATAAGGCAAAACCCCAGCCCCACTCCTATTCTTCAGCTCTTCATTAGCATTCCTCTCATCAATAATACCTTCCAACACCTTCAACCTCCCACTGAACTTCTCAAAAGCCGCCTTTATCAACGGCTCGTCGCTCCAGCTCCTCTCCATCTCATCTCCAATGTACTCCTCGTCGGGGGAATGATTCGACAGCACGTTAAGCACGGCCATCACTCTCGTGGCTTGCAGCTTCGAAGGGAAGGTGGCTAGAAGCACGGCCTCAGGTTTTTTCAGGAAGAACTTCCATTCTTCTTCGGTTGGATCCTCGTTCGGCATCTTGATTCTGGTTATGGTTGGCCTGTTAGGGAAGTAACCTGCAAATGCATACTGTCCGAAGTTCACCGAGGCGTGGTGCCCTGAAGCCACCCAGATAATGATGGTGAGGATTTCGATGAGGTCGTTGGAGGTCTCGAGCTGTGGCCACCATGGTTCGTTCTTCTTGTCTGCGTGGCCCTTGGTTCGTATCTCTGTCCACCATGCTTGGAGCTCTGAGTCGGCCTCCACGAGGTCTGGCTCTGGGTAGTAGTGAGTGACGTAGTCGGTGACCCACTCTTTGATTGTGTCCCATAGAACGAGGCCATCGTTTGCGAAAGGGTAGTCCTCTATCGTGAGTTTCAGGCCGTGGGGTGCGGTCTTGTCTTCGACAGCCATTCCCCTGAAATTGAATGAAATGACCAAACAAGGGATGATGTTCATGAACGTCTTTGTGAATGTGAATATGGTTAGGTTGGTATAAAAGTAGCAGGTTACCTGTGTATGAGGTCTTTAGGTAACGCTTCGTAGTCGAATCTCCAGAGCTGATCGTATGCAGCTGAGCAGATCTCTAAGGAGTATTTCCCAGGTGAAAATGATGATTCAATGATACCGCCTGCATTGATGAGTGATTCTCGAGCGAGGGAGTTGATCTCCATTGTGTATCTGAAGTGAGGATGGAGTAATCTGTAAATGGGATGCATCACACTAAGCTGTCGATTCGTCGCTATGATGTATGGTTCAGTAGCGCAATGTGTTCTTAGCCTGCAGAAGAAAAACAAACCATTAGAATGCAATGCTCCGAGAAGGTTCTTCGCCTCCATACGAAACGAAATCTGTCCACACAACAAAATGCAAGATCAGACATACCAATGGCTAACGAGCTGGTGAATGCCAGAATCGTGAGCAAGCACATGTGCCTTTGCTAGCCTCCAGAGCCAACAACCTGTGGAATTCCAGCACGGTCTGTACACATGTTTCCACTCGGGCTTCCCGTCCATGGGAGGGCGACAGAGCTCTATGGCCAGCGGCCTTAATGTGCCTTCGGGAGTGAGAAAGAAGATGGTCCTCGACCCGTATAAAGTCGTGCCCTTGAGTTCCCTGACTTTGCTCACAAATGGCAACAGGATGTCGTGATAATCCAGGATGAACAGCTTCTTCCTTTCAATTGCCTGTGGGGGAAAAAAAAGAGAGAAACAATCTTCACTTTCTGAACCTCAAACCTCAAATTCTGTTATTGGGTATGTTGCCTGTTAACCTCTTTAACAGTCATAATCCCTCCAATTTCCGATTCGATGAGTTCAGTGGTGATTGCTGATTCCGGTGGACCATAGATTTCGGGGTCAAGCTTGCTCTTCAATGGCCACTCCTGCACGACATTCGAGCAAAAACCGTCAAGCCAGAGTTCATTTCCAAGTCATCAATGGTGAAATGAGAGGCTCTGTCAGTTTACATACCGTGACCAATTGCAAACAATATGGGTTGAGTCCAGCAAGCGTCTGCCTCGCAAACTCCTCATCCTTCATCCAGAAAAACTTATCCCCTGCATAAACAAAAGGGCCGGGGCTCAGTGAGACAAAACGTCGAACACTTGACCTGCAAACTAACTAACAACTTTCTTTCCCCCGAGCCCTTACTTTCCAAAGCGCCGGGGGGCTCGAACCGCATGACGTTGCCGGTGCCGGCGAAGAGGCGAGGCAGGAGGGCGTTCCAGAACCCTTCTTTGGAGAGCTCGGGCACTTCGAACCCTACGCTGAAGAGGGAATCGATGGTCTTGAAGTGATGGAACCCTAGATCGGCGTCGACGAACACGTTCCCCAGCGACGGGATCAGCGTGTTGAACAAGGAGTAGAGGGTCTTGGCCGAGAACGTCAGTTGCTTCACCTCCGAGAACTCTTCGTCCCGCGGGACGTAGAAATCCCGCGTCTTTTTCTCCGCCGACGGGTCTGCAGCGTTTCATTTCATTCACCCGCCAAAATCAATCCACTTTTTAAATCATGATCCCTATTTATATACTACTTATATGAGTTTCGTAGTATGATCCCTGAACTATTATTTTCCTGTTATGATCCCTTAAATACAGACTTTTTCCTAATGTGGCTTATAGTTTGAAGTCCGTTAGTCTACGTTAAATTGAGACTTAAATATGTTTTCATATTTTTAATTCGCTCCCCAACTAATCAACCCTACAATTTCCAATCAAAATCAACAAATCAGCTTGTTTTTTTTTTTTTTTGTTGAAAATGAAAAAGGATTAGAATAGCATGGGTAAATTTGTAATTACATGATTTTTTACTATATCAACACCTAGTTCCAGTTATTCATGACACGGTATCCAAAACTACATCCTACATATATTGATTTGACCGATAAAACCTGAGCAATTGACCGGTCTCCGTTTAACAGAAGATTAACAATCTTTTACCGCAAGAACCACAACAGAGAAATATTTATAATTAAAGAACTATGATAGGGGGGAAATAACAGTACATGGATCATAATAGAAAAACTTCAATAGATTAGTGGTCAAATATATTGTTAACTCTTCTTATGGCTTAGGTAATTAGCTCTTACCGGATTCACAACGGGGGCGACCAGTACGGCACCGTCTAGGAGCGGGGAACTCCTTGCCGCCGAGGGACGGCCGGGCCAGCGCCTGGTCGGCGTCGGGATCGCCGAGGTCGTTGTAGACGTCGTAGTCGTAAACCCGTTCGCCGTGCTGCCGCTCGCCGAGCCCATTTCCTCGCAAAGTGACCAGCTCTTCCGCCCGCAGGCCCACGAGCCCAGCTGGCGTGCTCTGGGGCAAGTACGACTGTAAATGACAAAAGCGGGGCAGGCCCACAAATTCCAGCTCATTAGGTCCACAGTCATGGTTTAGTGGTCACGACGACTCTACAAGTCAATCTGGAAAGCTTATTCGAATTGATGGACCGTCCCATGAAAACAAATAACGTTAAATGTTTAGGACCACAAAGTACGATGATGATGGCCAATACGTTGTTATGTGTTTCAAGGTACAGATTTTTATTAGAAGATCATGAGGTGGAGAACAAACGTAAGCTTAATCATGATACTCATTTAATGAAAAGACTAATTAACTACTAACCTTGCTGGTGAAGAAGACCCTCTTCCGCTTATCAGTGAACTTGGAGTGGATCCAAGAGTCGCAAGCAAAACTAACGGGACCATTTGGGAAACCCTCCAAAACTATGTTCCTCAGGAACATCTCCTTGTGGTGCTCGTTCTCCACGACGATGGCTCCCACCGCCCCGAACTCCGCCGGCACCTCGAACTCCGCCTCGTACCTCACCTCGCCGTCGACGACCTTCCCGCCGCCTCCCTTGTGCGCGAAGGACTGGAGCGTCGGCTTCTCCAGCTCCGTCTCTTTCAACACACAGACACGTACACAACAACTCGAATTATTGGGATCAGCTGTTGGTTTATGACGCAGGCGGATAACTATGAAGAAAGAGATGATGACTTACTAGGGTCCAACTCGGAGCTGACGAGCTCCAAGAGGAGGGTTTTGCCGAGAAGGTCTTGGATGTCATCGATTCCTCGCTCAATCCCGATGCCCGTGAACATGGCGGTCATGGTTTGCTTCACGGTCACCACGGCCTTCACTTTTATGGGCTTCTCGTGTATGAGATAATCGGCTATGGCGCTGGCATCCTCGAGCTTGTTCGACGTTGTATCACTGGCAGCCCTACAACGACGACGTCGGGTTCTTGCGTGGTGAGTAGTTTTGGGTCTGGGCTTGGAGATGGAAAGAAGGGAATGGTGAAAATGGCTGTTGCTTCCATGGAAGAAGGGCTTGTTGGGCAGGGAGAAAATTTGGTTGGGTATGTTTTGCTTCAGCATGGTACTCTTGAATTCTTGATTCTTAACTTAGTTTTTGTTGCTGTTGTTGTTGTTGTTCGACTTTGGCACTAAACGATTGAGTTTGTGTGGGTGTGGTGTTGAAGTATATAAGATAAGTTGTCTGATAAGTATGGTTATATATAGATGTATGGAAAGGGTGGGAAGAGAAGAAATTAAAGCATGTTGAAATTGCTTCATAATGTCAATAAGGCACGAGTTAATTTCATGCTCGAGAAGTGGTGTGTGTGAGTATTCGAATTCTGATGACCAGTTATATTTTTTTTTTTTATAGTTGTTGATCACAAGTCACAATAGTGTCAAGTGTTAGTGTTGTGGTATATGATCCACGATTGAACCTCTCCCAACAACTCGAGTTATTGGGAGCAACTGGTTCTTGACACTGAGTTGTTGGGAGAGGTCATATAACTCGAATTGTTGGGAGAGGTTATAGAAGGCTCTGATACCATGTCAAGAACCAGTTGCTCCCAATAACTCGAGTTGTTGGGAGAGGTTCAATCGTGGATCATATATCGTTTACTAACAGATAGATGTTCAATTCTTTGGGTTTGGCCTTGGCCATGAAAAGGGAATAGTAAGCATGGTTGCTTCATGAGAGAGTAAGATTGGTTGGAGAGGTTCTGCTTCACCATTGTCATGATGAAAGAAAGTGATTAATATATATATATATAGATCTTTTCCAACAACTCGAGTTATTGTGATCAATTAATGTATAATATAGTATCAAAATTGATTTGTTCTTGATGTCAGATATTAAATCGTCACAGCTCTAATATTAATCATTGTCTTTCATCGGATTCACTTGCATTGTTGCACATGCTTTTGTTGTGTTGTGCTACTGAAACGTGCTACTTAAACTTCATATGTCATAGGATTTAACTCGACCAGCTAAAAGAAATTTTGGCCATGATCGAGATGTCGTCGCGAAACGATAGAAAATGGTCGCTAAACCATTAGATTTAATAGTGACAATAAGAAAAGGTAAGTTAAATTGTTAACATCATTTTGATTATTTCTCAATTGCATCTATACGTAACATGTTATAACTTATATCTAGTCATATAATTTTTCTCTCGTTAAAATTTTAGAAATCATATTTAATTTTAAAAACCGCAATTTACAGTGACGGCCGAGAGGCCCATGTTTGTGTTAGTGGTTATTGCCCCATTCAACTCTCAAAATACGATTTTTTTTTTTTACGAAGGATGTAAGTTTGTTTTTGTTATTATAAATTTGAAAAGTAGAGTAGCTTATATGACTTTGATCTATATTTTTTATTATTATTTTACTCCAGTACTCATTCAAATTCCTAATTCCGCCACTAACCAATTTAGATAGCGATATAGAGATACCTTTACTCACCGTGCAACCCCGTTTTCATTCTAAGATGCTTGATAGGGATGCGGGATCTTCTACCATATAGTATCGTTTTCATCAAACAGATGTAATTTAGATGCCGATCAAGTCTAATCAATGGCTCAATACCTTCCAGACTTGAGCTGTTTGAGCAAGTTTAGAAAATGCCAATCTTTTGTCATTTGAGCAAGTTTCCAAAACCATGGTAGGTTGGATATTTTCCAATTATTTTCACAAGGGCATTTGGTGGCTAAAAACTCGTCTTTCATTTTTGCCACGACTTGTTGGTCACATATCATGTGGTCCTCCCTCGGTGACGCTGACTAGTGACTCGCCAGAAAATCCGAGTAATCAACAAATTAGTTACCACCAAAAAACCCCAATTCACCTAATTGGGTTGCTCGTAGAGTGACTCACAACGTCAAACGTTTTTATGTGTTCGAGTAATTAGAATGACGAATTTCGTCTCTTAAAAATATTGTGTTTGTTCGAATTTTATCGGCTCACGTTACATCAATCTCTGTAATTAGTGGGGGACTGACAATTGGGTTCGTTGTAAAGTCTCGCACCGTGGGAAATCGTTTCGTGTGTTTACATATTTGAATGACACATATTGTCTCTTAAAAGTTAAAACAAAAGTATGCGTCCAATTTATGTTGGTTTATTATCATAAATCAGTTATTGTGATTTTGTAAAGTCTCTTATGTTAACAATCTCACAATGTGATTTCATGTTCAAAATAATCTGAACGACGAGCCTTATCTTATCAAGTAGAGTATTTGTCCAACTTGTATCGGTGTGGTATACATTTGTGATATTGTATTTCTAATTTAAGGAATTCAATAAATAACAAAACTGAAAACTTCTCATATTTGGTCAGAGATGTTGATGCATGAATCGAACTTTATTCGTAATTCATATCCGATTCCATTGAAATCATTGATTTGTGACCCAATCCGAATCGAAGTATCTGTATACGCATAACCATGCGTAACATCATCGAAACACTGATTAATGAAAGGAGTTTTTTTACCAATTTGTCAACCAAACCATGAATGTCCTATATCTATATGGCTGTTCTTTAACCAACATCTATATTGTTGCTGTTAAATTTTGGACACTTACCAATTGGACAAATTTCACACTCAATTATTGAACAAAGAAGACCAAAATAGAAATTCATAAGCATTTGTCAATTATCAATTCATACCTTATCTTTTAGACCCATATCGACCATTCACTTGCACATCATTATATATGTATAGTAATAGTACTGTGCCTTAAAAAGTTAAAATAGATAATCGTCACAAAAAAGAAATCGTTGTCCTTTGAGACCTCGTACAACGAACAGTGAGACTTTCTCCCTCCATGTTATGAGAGATTAGTTATATATTTGTTTGTTTCCAACTTTCCATGGGGTTTGCCAAATAGTTGGGCAGTATTAGGATTCTTGAACCCTATCACATATATTAGGGTGAATTCGCAATCGAATGGTATTCAACTTCTGTCATACTTAAAATCGATACGGGCTCAATGGGTGGAAAATGGAAATCATATACTTGCTCACCTAGAATTTTATGACAGTCCTTGATGAGTTAGTGTATAAAGAGTTTTCTTGGGAAGATATTCAGAAAGCTTGGTTAAGAGGTCGTGCTCTAAACACATCATTCAGCTATAGACCGTTCTATATTTTCTGAATCAAGCTCCGGACAATCAATCCAAATGAAATCAAGTGACTCTATTAACCTATGATAATCTGATGGGATATTTCCTAATTTAATTCAAACGATTGTGCCTAGTATAGCAAGTTCCATAAATGTCGTAAAGTGCAACCAAACCGTTTGATTTTGGCACAGATTGACAAGTTTTCTCTTTCGTATTGTTATAATTGAAGATTGAGAACTTTTTCAAAAGATCAAACCGTCAGAATTATGAATACAGAACTAGGCACATAACGTAATCTCAAAATCGTGAGTGTGTATTATAGATACGTGTAGTGGGGGAAAATGGAGTGAAAATCAGTGGTGGAGCTAGGCTGAAACCAAGAGGGGATGTAGTCCTCCTCAACTTTAAAATATATGTAAATCTTGTACAAATTTAAAAATTACAATAATCGGTAGAGCTTTACCTCTTCTCTCCCAATTACCGCAATTCAAGTTAACCCGTTAAAATTTTTAGTTCCGCCATTGGTGAAATTTATAGAATTATGAGAGGAGAATCTTTGTTCTAAGTGGAAGAAGGCTCTCCAAATTAACCCAACACTTACAAAAGCGTTTATTAGTTTATGGTTTGGCTACATAATAAGCCGAGTGGCAGTACTGATTCACAGCTAATGATGTCACCACCACTCTTGTCATTGGGTAACCCAACAAAATCTTATGTTGCAACTTGCAATCCTCCATTCCAGCGGTTGATTTGAGTTGCTTCTCGTAAATATTTTTGCTGAGTACCATAGTCGAATTACCGAATCAAACCAATTATTCAAATACAATCGATTAAAATGATTACCACGACAACCACTTCATTTGAACAACCAACCTAGCAGACCCAATTATCATGACTGACTACTAGGAATTTACAGTGGTAGTTAAAACTAAAAAAACTGGGTGGGATTCTTCATGAACTGAACTACATTGATTTAGTTACATCGGACAAACTGTTTACATTGCAGCAATTAAAAACGAATTGAGATCAACAAAATTACAAGACAAGTGAAATTGCAATCGGCCTCTAACCCTTATTACATATACACAGTGGCAATCTGGAAGCTATATGCAGAATCTGGGAGTTAATGGAGGTGATATCAAATGGAGGTACTGTAAGGGACACCTTTACCTGTAACACCAGGCTCAGAAAATGGTTTCAGCAGCTCATACGGCAAAACCCCAGCACCATTCCTGTTCCTCAACTTCTCATTCGCATTCCTCGCATCAATCACCACTTCCAGCGCCTTCATCCTGCCGTTGAACCTCTCGAACGCGGCCTTGATCACCGCATCGTCGCCCCAAGCAGGCTCCATCACCTGCCCGATGTACTCCTCGTCGACCGAATGGTTCGACAGGACGTCCAGGATGGCCATCACCACCACGGCCTGGAACTGGGACGGGAACATCTCGAGGAGCACCTTCTCGGGCGTGTCGATGAACTGCTTCCACGCCTCGTCGGTGGGATCCTCCGTCGGCATGTTGGTTCTGGCGATGGAAGGCCTGTTGGGGAAGTAGCCACCGTAGGCGTACTGGCCGAAGTTGACTGCTGCGTGTTGTGCTGATGCAGTCCATGCTATGGTGGTGACGATCTCGATGAGGTCGGATGGTGTGGCGAGAGATGGCCACCATGGCTCGTCTTTCTTGTCACCATGGCCGACTGTGCGGATTTCTGTCCACCAGGATTGGAGCTCTGCGTCGGAGGTGATGAGGGATGGGTCAGGGTAGTAGTGGCTGACGTAGTCGGCGACCCATTGGTGTAAGCCGTCCCAGAGGATCAGGCCGTCGCTGGCGTATGGATAGTCCTCGATTGTTAGCTTCAGGCCGTGTGGCGCTGATGGGTCTTCCACGGCCATTCCCCTGAAATTTCAGCAAGACAAAATGATCTATGGTGAGTAATAGAAAGTAGAAACCACAAGTTAGACCAGAGAGGAACTGTAGGGATGGCGATTTCGACATGATTCATTCGCACTAACATATTACTCTAGCCAAAGTATCCAATTAGTGCGATACAGATATTAAAGTACTTGTCACACTATGTCCCATTGCATTGCCAAGGGAAAGGAAAAGGTTACTTACCGTCTGATTAAGTCCTTGGGAAGAGCCTCATAGTCAAACCGCCACCTCTGGTCGTAAACTGCAGAGCCGAGCTGCATGGAGTATTTGAGAGGAGAGAAGGCCAATTCAATGATGCCATCCGCATTGATCAGAGCTTGGCGAGCCAAAGAGTTGATCTCCATGGTGTAACGGAAGTGAGGCAGCAATAGCCTGTGAATCGGGTGCATAGCACTCAGCTGACGATTCGTCGCGATGATGTATGGCTCCAAGCAAGCATGCGTTCTCAGACTGCAAAAAATAATTGCAGAAATCCCATCAGAAATCATCAACACAAGCGTTGTCAACTTCCATCTGCCAAACATTAATGTGTTTTCATTTGGGTCCTTACAAGTGGCTAACGAGCTCATGGTAGCCAGAATCATGAGCCAGGACGTGCGCTTTCGCCAGCTTCCATAGCCACTCCTCAGTGGCAGAGCAATTCGCTGGTGTAAAGACTTGCTTCCATTGCGGCTTCCCATCTTCCTTGGATGGCGGCCTGACCAGCTCGATTGCCACCGGCTTCAATGTGCCTACCGGAGTGAGGAAGAACAATGCTCGTGACCCATACAGTGTAGTTCCTTCCAGCTGCCTCACCAGTCCCACAAAGGGTAGCAGTAGGTCATGGTAATCCAACATGAATAGCTTCTTTTGCTTCATAGCCTGCCCAGCAATCAATCAATCAGTAAATTGCCACATAAAAGTTACTACGAAAACTAGATATTGATTAGCTGTAGAGTGCAATATACCTCATCAAGGGTCATGAAGCCACGAATTTGCTGCTCAACAATCTTAGTTGTGATTGCAGATTCTGGTGGACCATAAATCTCTGGGTCAAGCTTACTCGTCAATGGCCATTCCTGTAAACGATACATTCATTCGAGTTTATGAACAATTTTTCTTTCAATTCAATTTGAGGACCAATACCATCTACCAATTGGAGATCATGAGCAGAAAAAGGCATTACCTTGACCAGTTCTATGGAGCAAGGATTGACACCAGCAAGAGTCTGCCTGCCAAACTGCTCGTCTTTCAACCAGAAAAATCTGTCCCCTGCAGAAACATGACGATCAATCAATAACAACCCAGAACAACCGAGCTAAAATGAAATTGATTGCAATGTTTCATGCGCCCGATTGCTTACTCTTCATCGAATCAGGGACCACGAACTGCAGAATGTCATCGGCGCTATCAACGACGGTCCTAACTAGCCTGGGGACGATGTCTGTCCAGGGCGAATCGGCCGTGCGAGGAGGCAGGTTGATGCCTTGATCGTACATCGAATCAACGGCGGTCAAGTGAGGAAACCCTAAATTCCGGTCGATGAATATAGTCTCCGCCGCCGGAACCACCGCGCGGAGCACCGCCGACGTCGTCGAGGCCGAGAACGCGGACTGCTTCACCTGCGAGAACTCCTCGTCTCGCGGCACGTAGAAATTGGAGCTCCCCGTCTCCGACAACGGATCTGCACACGCCCAATTGGAAATTAATATCTCCGATAGCTATCCAAAGGTCGGCGGTAAAGCACTGGTTAGGAAAATTTACGTACCGGATTCTGTTCGGGGACGACCGGTGCGGACCCGGCGAGGATATAGGTGTTCTTTGCCGCCGAGGACGGGTCGGGCGAGATCCGGATTGCTGTCCGGGTTTCCGAGGTCGTTGTAGACATCGTAGTCGTAGATCCGGTCGCCTTGCTGGCGTTCTCCTTCGCCATTTCCTCGCAGGAGGCTTAGCTCTTCGGCGCGGTACCTGGTGAGACCGTCCGGCGTCTCCGACGGCAAGTACGACTGTCCCGTTGACAATGGAAAGCGATGTCAGAAAATAATCAATAAGAAACGCTTCTTATTTTTGGGCTTAAAAGTGGGCCCATCAACAAGACTGAAAACGGGCCTGGCCAGCCACAATGCTCAGAACCCAATGACTCGTCAATGAACAAATTGGTTCGGCCCAACCGTTTTAGAAAACTCGAGGGAGTAATTAACTAGGGGTTTGAGCTAACCTTGGTAGTGAAGAAAACCCTGTTCTTGGAGTCCTTAGACCTGGGATGAACCCAAGAGTCACAAACCACATTGACCGGACCGTTCTCGAAGCCATCGAGCACAATGCTGTTCAGAAACAGCTCGTTGTAGTGCTCGTTCTCCACGATCACCGCACCAACTTCGCCGAAATCGTCAGGGACTTCAAGTTCTGTCGCGTACTTGACCTCTCCGTTCTTCTCGCTCAATTTCTTCGTACGTGATTGGATAACCGGTTTCTCCAATCCCGTCTCTTCATTGTTCCAATATGCATACGAAACAAGCAACAATTTATTAAGTATATGGGGGATTAATCTGGTAAATATATTAGATTATTGGTTTCTAGTGAAGGATCAGACAAGCAGTAGCTAGGCAAGTCCTTTTGATAACTACAGAAAATATGGTTTATGAGAAGGTAATTATTTGTACATGATTTAATTATTTATTGCTTAATTATTTGGTGGAGCAGATCGATGCATACGTAAGGCGGCTGTGAATTAATAATTATATGTAATCTGGTCACAATAAATCCACATAGTTTGTAATTATGTGTGTGTACTATCTTGTCAAGGGGGCCAGCTTTTTCTAAAGTCAAGTTTTGATTAATTAAGTGGCCCAATCAAGTTGTTTGCCCTTGTGGGGAAAAATATCTCATTGGTGTTAAAATTGAAAAGTAAACGGTTTTCATAAGTTCAAAATTCCAACTTCTCAAACAGGGCAGAAGAATATTCATTCCTTTTGTTACTCGAAATTCGACGTGGTGAAGAAATTCTAAATATAAATTAAGATAAACTTTAAAGGTTATTCGATAAATTAGATTGGGCTTGCATGAAATTTCATGCATCATTTTTCTTCTCTTCTTAATTTAATTTCTGAATATTGAATCTAGTTCTAATAAAAAATCTCGAGTTTCAAATATTCGACGATTAAAACTTACAAGTAATAGTATAATATATATCATTATCAAAAAATAGTATTATATATGTATATTTAAACCCTAACTGAAAATTAAAAAACAACATTCAAGTTTCAATTTTTACTGATGGTTCGTCCAACTACGTACTTACCACGATGATCCAAACGACCTTTTCTATCCTAAAAAGTCTATAATATACTATACGAAGTATGAAATTGCCCCGATAATTAATTTGTATACATTCCCTACATATAGCAACCCCTTAATACCACTCTCATGCATAATATATAATCCACATGATTAGTAAATATCATCAACAGCTAACTACAATTAATTAATTAGTTAAGTTAAGTTAAGTACAAGATTGTATACTAACCGGGATGAAGTTGGGCGCTGACGAGGTGCAACCGGAGGGATCTCCCAATGAAGTCGGAAATATCGTCGAGCCCTATCCCAAGGAACCCGCCCGTCGTCTCTTTCACAGTAACCACCGCCTTCACTTTCACCGGCACCACCTTCCCGCCGGTTCTACTTCCAACCGCAGAAGCCCCGGCGGCAGCGGCAGTCCTCCTCGGGGAGAAGGACGGCGACGGCGGGGAAGCAGTCAGCATTGTTGTCGAGCTGTTAATTACTATTATGATCTAGCTATTACTGTCGTCTTTCTGTTCAGGAACAATGAATTGATCGAACGAAGCTACGAAACAAGAGAGTGAGCGCTAGCTGCTGGGAGAAAAAGGGTTTGTTCGAAATGGGAGGTAGATTGATGGGTAAGAATTGGATTTTGTGTTGGTGTAGTTGAAATGGGAAGAAGAGGGTGGTGGTGGATTTATATATATAGGAGGGTTGGTAGAAATTAAAGCTGAAGAAGAAGAAGAAGAAGATAATAATAATAATATATATGGAGGAATGGGAATTTTCAAAGGGTGGTGGTGGGTTCAATGCAAAGCGTAGACGACCGAGATGTGACGACGACTTGGGGTTGGGAGGGAAGGTGTGAGGCAGTTGGAGGCGTATTTGTTCTTTTGATCTTTTCTCGTCGGCACGTTTGATAAATAGTTTTACATGTAATAATAATAATAACACTTCGAAATGTGGTTGACTGACGAGAAAATTCCAACGCGGGTTGGGGAGAGGAAGAAAGATTCTCTATCGATCTCCTTTCTCTTGTTGAAATCCGATGGTTTTCTTTTATCATAATAATGAGTTTTCTTATAAGTATGCCTTAGATTTTGGAATCTTGTGAAAATAAACTAGAGGTTTTCTACAGCTAAATAAAAATTTTGAGTTGTTTAGGATCATATGTATGAATAATGCAAAATGGTACAAAACAATTATGTGTTACGATAAAAAAAAATGAACGATAAAATCTTTATAGAGATTGATTAGAACTCGAAAACTCAAACCAACCGCACCATGGATTGTCATCTAAATAATTGAAATTCTTAGTATCCATATGGTGTCTTGGGTATAAGAGGTTAAAATGCATAACCATTCATTTCCCAACAACTCGAGTTATTAGGACCAAGTGGTTAGTTCGCTAACATAGTATCAGAGTCTAGAATCAAAACCTCATGACCGGTTTCGAATCCTCATATAAAGACCTCCATTTCATGCCGATTCGTTTAGCACAAGGAATGATATGTCCAACCTGTACAAACTAAAACCTCGTGTTTCCCAACAACTCGAGTTATTGGGACCAAGTGATTAGTTCACTAACATAGGTCCAAGATTTACATCGTGGTTGTAAGCATGGTCGGCAATCTTATAATCCTTTCCCAAACGAGTTGAATTTTTTTGGCATTCCCCATTCGAGCTATCCATAGTTTTGTTCTTTGATAGAAGGAACATGGGTCAGGGTGGACCACGTACAGGAAAAGTAGCACTCTGCCGATTGTAGACCGGTTCCCATGCCCTATAATTCATGAATAGTCTACTCGCAGCATATACATATGCTTTCCCTTTTAGACAAGACACCGATCGAGCTTACAGGTTTCAGAGAAGGAAAGAGAGATTTCTTTCTTTCCAAATATTCAACCACTAATGTTGAGATTTAGTTTCTGTAAATGGTGCGTCAGAAATCAGTTTGTCGCAAGCAACAGTCTCGTTTTCTGGCAATGAGCTAGTCGTCGTTTCTTTTTCATATCTAAAGCAGAAACCTGCTGCAATTCGTTTCTTTTCATCATTTAGTAATTAATTAAGAGCTTTATCACTAGTTTAAGTACATCATCGTCACATCAGACATATATCCACATATCTGTCTGTGTCAGAAGCATAGATAGTAAGATTAGTTGGAAAGTTTGATGCCCGGCGGCTAATGCTAGTCATCAGGAATCTGCCCAACTTGGCTTTGCTTTCTATGACTATATATCCACTACTGGTCCATCATATTCAATTATTTACACAATATATAGAGTATATCTGTCTGTCTGTTAATCTGTTTCTTTCTATCCAAAAAAAAGAACGAATTCTTTTCTTTGGTGTTATAGGGATAGAAATCAAAATTGGAGGTATAGAGCTTAAGGTAATTCGTTAATTAGTTGTTATCATATTTTATATCATCTTATTACACTAATTCTACAAATTAAAATTCAAAATCCGACACCTTAGACTAGTTTTTGAGTTGAGCGCATTGAACACACTCATTTTTGTGAGTGCACCGAAGTAGTCACCATATATATATATATATATATATATATATATATATATATATATAAGGTGCCTTCTACCATACCCCGGGTGAAATCGGGGTACCGCATACCTTGAGTATGAAAACACTATCTAGACCTCGAATTAGCAGGATTTTTGGGCATGATACTATACCCTAACCCTTAATGAGTGAACCCTATGTCTTAATTATCTAAATCATAAACTATAAACCCTAAGATGGTTCATTGATTTCCCTCTTGTATTTGGACGAATCATAATCGTCGATTATTGTTTCTAATTAAATTGATCTTGGGGTATAAGATTTAGAGAATTAAGACCTAGATTTTGATCTTTAAGGGTTAGAGTATATTATTATGTCCGAAAGATCAGTCAATTCAAGTTCTGGATAGTGCTTCTTACTCAAGGTATGCGGTACTCCAGATTTCACCCTGAGTACCGTAGAACTCCCCAGATAAATACCTTCATTCTGACTAAGAAATATTGTTTTTCTTTGAAGGAATAATAAAGACATTATCAATGTAGGTTTGTTTGCATGCAGAATAATCAAACGAGGCGCCTAATTAATCTTTAATAACATCATTTTATCATGTGAAACGTTAAATCTTCGTCAATCCAAATGTTATAGCAGCTTTTGTTTACTGATTGATAATTACCTTCATACTTTGAATTACTTTATTGAAATTAATCCGTGCTTGCTTAATCACAAAAGCTGACTAGTAATTAAGCAATGTATATCCTTACTCATATATATCCCATATATGTAAAAAAAATTAGTGTTATATATTATTAAAAACCCAGTCTTGGACTTTCCGAGTGGTCCATTCTATTATCTTCAGTCTATTCTTCCCAACCGAAAGAACCATCCTTTCTTTTTTCTCTATGCAAAAATGCAAAAAATATGAATGATATAAAACATGATCAACGTGCATGTGTACGTTACCAATCTACCTAACATGTATGGCCTCCACATACGAATTTCTCCTTCCACATACGCATCACGACGAAGATGATATAAGTTGCTCGACTTGAAATACATATTAGCGCCTTCCAAAGCCCTCGTTCGAAGACATTTTCTTGCTAATCTCGTTCATTCACAAGATGAGAGACTAAATAAATAGGCCTTAAAAGTTCAAATATGTTGTATTAAAAACATAATACAAACTTACTTCTGTCTCTTCTAATTTTACATTGTCAAAAGTTCATAACCTAATATAGAAAAAGGATGCAAAAATAAAAAAAAACATTTCATCGTGCAAAACTAAAAAACCGATAGACAGCCTATGCCGAAGGAAAAAAAAAAAAAAAAAAAAAAACCCCATCTCTCTCGCCTCTCTCTATCGTGGTGAGTGGGGGCGCATTGTTCGCCGCCGTGCGACTTGCCGGTAACGGCCACGCCGCCATCGTGCCCCGCCGGATTAGGCCTGAGGCGCAGATGGAGGCTTTAAAATCCCTTCGTTGGGCTATGCGATTCCATTCGCCCCATTGGATTTCCTCCCTCTCGTCATTTCTTCTCCTTGCTCAGTTGCCGAACCCTAAATTGGTTTTGCCCAGTATGGCGGCTCTCAATCCGGTGTTGTTTGGAGACGATGATGTCATGGCTGGAGTTGAGCGCAGCGACCTGTCTCTCCTGGGCAGGATCGTTGGGCCTTCGCCCCCCATCCGCCATCTCCAGACCACCCTTGGTCGACTGTGGCGGTGTCTCGGGACGCTTTCCATCCTCCCAGCGCAGGAGGGGCTGCTGCAATTTGTCTTTCCGACGGAGGCTGCTATGAACGGAGTTTTGCGTGAGGCCCCCTGGTTCCTCCCCAAATTCCTTGTCAACCTCGCTCCCTGGGTGGCGGTTACCCCTGAAGTGGCGGAGCAGCTTTGGCGCGTCCCTCTCCAGCTTCAGTTTTGGGATATTCCCCCCTCCTGCTGCACTCGAAAAGTGGGTACTTTGCTAGGCCTTGCCCTTGGCAGGTGCGAACCAACGGCAGTCCACAGGGAGGTAGTAACCGGTGAGCTGTACATACACGCCAAAGTTTGGTTGGATGCCAGATCTCCGCTCCCGGTGTCAGTGCCTGCCTCACATGAGAAATCCAGTAAAGGAAGCTTCACGGCCACTGTCAAATACAAAAGGCTCTCTCAATTCTGCTTTCTGTGTGGGATTCTTGGTCATGTCGGCCAACGCTGCCCTCGACGGGAGGAACTCGCTGGTACGGTTACCCCGTACAGTAAAGATCTGGTGTCGACGAGGTCAGGGCCAAAGGTGAACGAGCGCTCGTTATTGAGCCGCAAGCAGTTCACTTGGGTTCGACAAGCTCGCGAAGGGACAGAGAAGAGCCTAGGCCAGCCTAGTCGAAGCCGTCCATTGCCTTTGCCGCAATCAACTGCTGCTGCCTCCCCTGCAGTGGGGGCTGCTCCTCTGTTTTTGCCGGCTGAACCATCTCCGCTCGAGGCAGAGGCACAGTTGCAAGGGGGAGGTCATGATCCCCATCAGCCTGCTTCTCTGGTGCGCTCCAGGCCTATGCTGGATGGTGCGGCGGACGTGTCTATGGCATTGAAGAAAGCTCGGGTGGACTTGATGGACACCTCTGGTGACAAAGAGAATGACTCAGTGGTGGAGGAACCCAGCCCAAACTGGTCCCAGCAGCCGCGATGAGCATGGTGGTGTGGAATTGTCGGGGTTTGGGGTCCCCCCTGACGATTCCCTCGTTGTTTGGGGCCGTTTGCCGCTTCTCCCCGTCGATTGTCTTTCTAAGTGAGACTAAGCATGATGATGATTTTGTACATAAGAAGCTTAGGCGTCTAGGATTTCCATTTACTCATTGTGTTTCTCCTATTGGTAGAGCAGGTGGTTTAGCTCTTGCGTGTTCTTCTTCCGTTGATTGTCGAATATTAGGACAGGCTGGATTCTTCTTGTTTGTAGAATGCCAGCATGTAGTTTGGGGTACATTGGGCATCTTGTTTGTTCATCTTCACTGTGATGTAAATATTCGTCTTTCTCAATTCAATGAACTTTTGCATTTGTGTTCGTCTTATCATCTTCCTAAGATTGTGGTGGGTGATTTTAATTGCTTACTTCAGTCAACAGAGAAGCTTGGGGGCCGACCCCCAAACCTTCAAGCCATGGATCAATTCCGGGACTTCGTCAACTCGGCAGGTTTGCTAGACGTGGGATTTAAGGGAGCTCCTTTTACTTGGTCTAACCGCCAAGGAATAGCAACTCATATCTTAGAACGATTAGATAGGGGTTTGGTTTCCTCTAATCTATTGACTACCTGGCCGAATTTGCAGGTTACTCATCTTTCTGATTTAGGATCCGATCACCGGATCCTCTTGCTCCAATTAATCCCAGCAGCAGGGAAAGGAAAGCCGCGCTTCCACTTTGATCTTCGCTGGGCGGCTAACACTGAAGCTCGAGAGATTATAGCTCAGGTTTGGCAGCTGAATGTTTCAGGTACATTGCAATTCCAACTGTTTTCCCTCTGTAAAGAGGCTCGCCATCAACTTGTACAATGGGCGCGGCTTGGTACAACCAATTCAGCTCGCCATATCAGAGAGCTGCGGGAAGCAATACAAGCTGAACGAGATACTCTCCAGACTGATTGGGACATAATCACAGGGCTGGAAACCCAACTTTCAGCAGCCTATCTTCAAGAAGAGGCCTACTGGAGACAAAAATCTCGTACTACTTGGCTGCAAAAGGGAGACTCCAACACTAATTACTTCCATATTACTACCACTCAACGCCGCCGGCATAATCTGATCGAGGTCCTGCGTGATGACCATGGGCAGCCACATTATGAAGAGCCTGCCAAGGGAAATGTCTCTGTAAGTTTTTTCCAGCAACTCTTTCTTTCTAATGGGACATCACCAGGCTTCCTTGTGCAGGCGCTGGGTCTACCACATAAGGTCACGAGCAGTCAGAACATGTTTCTCTCGGCGAATGTGACTAGAGAAGAGATAAGAGCGGCAGCCTTCAGCATAGGAAAGGGGCAAGCGCCGGGCTCCGATGGCCTAACGGGGGGCTTCTTTCAGTCTTATTGGGACATCGTGGGGGAGTCAGTGTGCCGGGCAGCCCTCTCATTCTTCAGAACAGGCCGACTCCTGCAGAACTTCAATCACACTATCATCACCTTGATTCCCAAGGTAGTAAATGCAGATCTTATGCGCCAGATGCGCCCCATCAGCCTTTGTCAGGTCTTTTACAAGATCATCTCCAAAGTTCTTACTTCTCGGCTTGCGGTGATTCTTCCCTCTGTGATTTCGGATACTCAGAATGGGTTCATCAAAGGTCGAGATATATCTGATAACATTCTGATAGCCCAGGAGGTGATGCAATATTTGAAAACGAAATCGCAGGGTCGGGATAGGTGGATGGCCTTAAAGCTGGACATGGAAAAAGCATACGACAGGGTCGAGTGGGGATTTCTCTTCGCCGTAATGGAGGCTCTTGGGTTCAATGATCATTGGATGAAGTGGATCAAAGCCTGTGTCACCACAGTCTCTTTCACTGTTCTCCTAAACGGTAATGAACATGGTTACTTTCGTCCCCAACGTGGTCTACGACAAGGAGACCCGCTCTCGCCTCTGCTGTTTGCTATCTACACTGAGGCTTTCTCGGCTATGCTTACTAATGCGATGGAATCTCAGCATCTTCATGGCCTCAAGATCCACAGGTTGGCTCCGACTCTCTCTCACCTCTTCTTCGCCGATGACACTTACTTGTTCTTGCGTGCAACGTCCTCGGAGTGCCATAACCTGCTCCAATTGCTACATTTGTATGAAGAAGTTAGTGGACAGCGAGTCAATCTTCAGAAATCATCGGTTTGTTTCAGCTCAAACATGTCTGATCAGGAATCGGTGGCCATGGCAGCCCTGCTTGGGGTCACATCCATCGGTTCTATGGAGAAATATTTGGGATTGCCTGCCCAAGTTCAGCGTTCAAAGGTTCAAACGTTCAGGTTTGTGGAGGATAACTTGGCTGTCCGTATCCAAAGCTGGCGTTCGAAGTCCCTTTCACTAGCGGCTAAAGAGGTTGTAATCAAAGCAGTAGGCTCGGCAACTCCAGTGTATGCTATGTTCTCTTTCCGGCTGCCGTCCACGTCCTGTCGCCGTCTGAATGGCCAGCTGAGTCGATACTGGTGGGCAGGTCAGGATAAAGACAGGGGAATGCACTGGATTTCATGGCCTGCGGTCTGTGTCAGCAAATTTCATGGCGGATTGGGGTTCAGAGATTTTGATCTCTTTAATGTTGCCATGCTGGGCAAGCAAGCCTGGAAGATCCTGCAGGATCCAGCTTCTCTCCTCGCGCGCCTCTACAAAGCTCGTTATCATCCCTCGGCTGATTTTCTCAACGCGTCAGCAGGCTCCCGTCCGTCGTGGGCTTGGCAGGGCGTATTGGAAGGGCGGGCACTCCTTAAGCGTGGTTTGAGGTGGCAGATAGGGTGTGGGACGGCTGTTCGCATCCTTGATGATCCATGGTTACCTTCTTCCCCTCCTTCTTCGCCTATGCTGCTGCCCGGGGTTATTCTGCAGAATCAGTTCGTTGCTTCGCTCATTCATCCTCTCACCCGGACCTGGAACAGCGAACTTATCCGCGCTTCATTCGAGGCAGAGAGTGTACAGTGGATTCTCTCTATTCCATTGCCATCTGCACCGCGACCAGACAAGCTTATATGGCATTTCTCGGCGACGGGTCAGTACACTGTCAAGACCGGGTATCACCTACTCTCATCTGGCCGACACCTTGAGTTTGATCCCTTACCCCCTTTCCTTAATCAACAATTCTGGAAATTCTTGTGGAACCTGCCTATTCCCCCCAAACTTAAAGTCTTCTTGTGGCGAGTAGTTCGTGGATTCCTTCCAATGCGCCAAATACTGAAAGGGAAGTCTTTATGTGACACTGACACTTGTCTCGTTTGCTCAGCTGCCGTGGAATCGATCTCTCACTGCTTCTTTGATTGCAGGATCGCGCGAGGGCTATGGACACTAGCAGGGAAGGAGCATATCCGGGCTGCCATGGCTGTTGTTAATTACGATTTGGCCTGGTCCAATCTATTTTTCTCTATGCAGCTTTCCAAAATGGACATAGCAGAGGTGGTCTTCCTGGTTTGGAGATTATGGAAGGGGAGATGCTGGTCTACATACGACTACATTCAGTATCTACCAGGTCCATTGCACCGCCAATTCACTAATCAAGTTACCGAGTGGAAAGAGGCTACAATTGATCAGCATGGCCAGGCCGCTTCGGTACGAGTTCCTCGCAGCCTTCCTCCCCAACCTTCCTGCCCGCCAGGCGGTATCCTCATGAGGTTTGATGGAGCGACAAAGAAGGGAGTCGGGGGCAGCGTCGGATTTGTGGGTTTCAATGGGGACCGCGCAGTGATATGCGCCTACGGTAAGTACTACGAAGGTATCTCCGATCCATTCTTACTTGAATTACTAGCCTTAAGGGATGCAATGGTTTGGAGTTTACACCGTGGCTACTCATCTGTTTGCTTTTGTGGGGATTCACAATTGGTCATACGACGAGCAATGGAGGACGACGTCTGCCATGATAGAGGTGGAGCGGTACTGGAAGAAGTGCGAGTCATGAAGACCTCTTTTGCAGTTGTTTGTTTTGTTTTTGCTCCTCGTAGTACTAACAGGGCTGCCCATCGCGTGGCACAAACGGCCCTTGCATCGGTAGCAACCCAGTTGGTTGACTACCGCATTTATATTTCCAATGCATTGTAAAGAACTATCTATTACAAACTATCTATGACAAAAAAAAAAAAAAAAACTAAAAAACCGTTTTTTCTCTAAGTGGTCTTTTTATCCATGTTCCGAACGAGCTGCTTCATCTGAAACCTCCAGAACAAGAAGTAGGCCAGGCCCAGCCCAATCATCACGTACAAAATTACATTCTCGTCCTCGCTCTCCTTCGCCGACCGAACCTCCTCTATCCTAAACCACTCCCTCCCTCCACCCTCCGCATTCCCCAAAATACCCTCCATCACGCTGCCATATAACACGTACGCCCTGTCCTCCGCCGCCGCCACCACCGCCGTCGCGAACCCTTCCCGGTCCTCCAGCTCCACGGAATCGAACACCGCCGCCTCCGCCCAGCTGTCGTCGCTCTTCAGGAACCACACCTTCTCGTGCGACACCACCAGCGCGGCTCCGTCCCGCCGCCGCACCGCGATCCCGTCGGCGTGCATCAGATCCGCCGGCAGGATCACCCGCCTCGCTCCGCCGGTCACCTCGTCGACCTTGAACACCTTCCCGGTGTTGCTCTGCACCACGAGCAGGTACCCCTTGCTGACGTATGCCAGCCCGTTGAGTCCCGATTCGCTGTACGGCAGGTCGCGGTCGACGGGGTAGTTGGTGAATTGATTGGATCTGGAGAAGATCGACGCGTTTCCTTCCGGATCTACTTTCCAGATGAAGTTCCCTTCCTCGGTCCCCAAGGAATTGGTGACGTACGCGTTGCCCTTGAAGTCGACGGCCACCGCGTTGGCGACGGGGCGGCCGGCGGTGGCGCCGCCGTCGGGGAGGGGGGAGAGGAAGAGCTGCTGGCGGGTGCGGAGGTCGTAGGCGGCGAGGGCGTTGAAGATTGGGAGCGGGGCCATGGAGTGGACGGCGGCGAGGAGGCGGTGGTTGACTGAATCCACCGCTAAACCGAGGATCGAGGCGTTGGGAGGGAGGGAGAGGTCGGTGATGAGGGTGTCGACGACGCCCGCGTCGGAGACGGAGTGGATCGTGCGGTGGCGGAGGGATCCGACGATGAAGTGCTGTCCGGAGCGGTCGTAGGCGAGGCCCTCCGGGTAGAGATTTGGAGATCGGAACTTGATGACGTGTGGCTTTCCCGCCGTGGATGGGATTGGCGCCATCAGGAGGATGAGGATCGAGATGACGAACGGGATGGGAGAGATTGCTGCCATGGCGGATTGAATTTGATTGAATGGATTGATTTGGGGGCCGCTAGCTAGGGATTTGGAGTTGGCTATGGCGATGGGATTAAGGAATTTTGTTCGGAAAGTGGTCAACTGACGTCCGTCGCTGGCCACCAATTATTGGATAAATTAAAGCTTAAATATTAGTTTTTATTAAGACATTGTAGTGGAGTTTTAACTAATAACTAGGGAACATTTTTTCATATTTAACTATATTTTTGCTTAATAACTAATAGATTAGTTAATATCTTGCAATTCAAATACTCCAAAGCTCGGATATATCGATTAATCGATTTGTAGATTCTGGGCCTGATCAATGACGTAACAGTCGTTTGAATGAACGAATTCAATGACGAAAATGGATATAAACTGCACTAAGAACATTTGTAAATGCAATTAGTTGATTGATTAACCATTTTGGATGAATTCGATTCTATAAGAATTGGATAGATTTGGAGAATACATGGTTTCTTAAGAATCTCTTGTTTCTTGTTTTGTTGCAAGTTGCAACCATCCAAGATGAGAGCTGTGGTCCTTGTGGATGGAGGTTCCATTTCACCAATCTCTTCATCCAAACTTACCAATTCCCCAAATGCCTCCATTTTTAGAATCACTACCTCCAAACGAGGTGATTTATTTGGAGAAAGGAAGCATTCCAAATGAGCCTTCAACTGACATGCATTGCCCTTATTTTACAAGCCACACCAAACTAGACTACACACAAACCCAGACCAAGCTCTGTAGAGTTTGGTCCAACATTTTATTCAACGAGAAAAACTCCAAGCAAACCAGACTCCAACTTCGTCGCTTCAAATCGAGATGCTACATGGAACTCCCCTGCCAGTAACTCCACGCTCCGAGAACGGCTTCAGGAGCTCATAAGGATAGACACCAGCTCCGCTGCGATTTATCTTCTCCGAGTCTGCATTCCTCGAATCGATCTCGCCCATAATCGAGTGCATCCTGCCGTTGAACTTCTCGAAAGCCGCCTTGATCGTTGGTTCGTCCGCCCACGCCAGCTCCATCTTCTCCCCGAGATACTCCTCGTCGGGACTGTGGCTCGACAGCACGTTCAGGACGACCATCACCTTGGAAGCTTGAATCTGCGAAGGGAACATCGTGAGAAGCACCACCTCGGGCCTCTGCATGAACAGCTTCCACTCTTCCTCGGTTGGGTCTTCGTCCGGCATCTTCAGCCTGCTGGTGGTCGGCTGGTTGGGGAAGTATCCGCCGTAAGCGTACTGCCCGAAGTTGACCGCCGCGTGGTGGCCTGAGGCTACCCAGATTATGGTCGTGCAGACGCTGATGATGTCTTGTGGGGTTTGGAGACTCGGCCACCATGGCTCGTCCTTTTTGTCCTCGTGGCCCCTGTTGCGAACCTCGCTCCACCAATCTTGGAGCTCTTTATCGGAGGTGACGGTTTGGGAGTCTGGGTAGTAGTGGCTGACATACTCGGTCACCCATTGTTTGATGGCGTCCCATACCAGTAGGCCGTCGTTAGCGTAAGGGTAGTCCTGGATGGCGAGTCTCACACCGTGTGGCTCAGATGAATCCTCTACAGCCATTCCACTGGAAGCACCAAACAGAAAAGAGGGTTTCAGTTGGGTTAATGGGTTTCTACAAGAATTATCATATAGTACTTTTCATGTCTTGCATTCTTTAGTATCTAATCCTTCCATACACTTACCAAAAGGCCAGAAATGGGCAATTCAATGTCTTGGTACCTAAACATTCAGTCATAACATTGTAGTACATTTACAGACGTTAAAGCCAGAAAAGACCATACAATGTAGAAATCACTCACCGGTTAATCAGATCATTAGGAAGTCCCTCGTTGTCGAATCTCCACACTTTATCATAAACTAGGGAGCTAGCTCCGATAGAGTACTTGAGAGGAGCGAAAGTTGACTCGATAACTCCATCGGCATTAATCAGGCCTTTCCTTGCTTGTGCATTGATCTCCATCGTGTATCTGAAGTGAGGCTTCAAGAGACGATGGATCGGATGCATCTCGCTGAGCTGGCGTTTCGCTGCAATGATATATGGTTCTGTACAGCAATGAGTTCTCAACCTGCAAGATAATCAAGCAAACTTTACGAAACAGTGCTTGGACATGAGAAATGCCAACACTCTCCAAGTCATATCAAAATTTCAAGAGAATGTCGCCAACGACGCATCAAGCCATTAATACCCAACCCATTGCCACCTCAACTCTGTTGGATTAAATGGAAGTTCCATATTGAGCACGTCTAATACCCTGCACCAAGTCAAGAGGCTAGGGGAACCAGCAAACACATACCAGTGACTAATAAGCTGGTGATACGAAGAGTCATGGGCCAGAACATGAGATTTGGCTAGCCGCCACAACCAGACATCTGTAGCAGAAGCATAATTTGGTGTGTAGACACCTTTCCACTGTGGCTTTTCTCCCAATGGTGGCCGAGTGAGTTCGATTGCTAAAGGCCTCAATGTGCCAGACGGGGAGAGGAAAAACACTGTTCGCGACCCATATAATGTTGTGTGGTCGAGCTCTCTGGCTTTACCCACCAACGGTAACAAGATATCGTGGTAGTCAAGCATGAACAGTTTCTTTTGTTGAATTGCCTACATAAAGCAACAAACTCAATGTCAATGAATCAATAGGAACTGACTTAATTGCAGAAGTGGAGGACTTTCAGCAATTTCGGATCACAAGGTTCCATTACCTCGTCCAGTGTTGTGTAGCCTCTGATTTCTTTCTCGATGAGTTCTTTGGTGATACCAGACTCTTGAGGACCATAAACGGCAGGGTCCAGGGTACCCATAATTGGCCACTCCTGAAAAGATTCCAAATGGGGAGAGAGGAGAGGCATAAACTTGGTTAATTCACATTTTTTAGAAACATGATGAATTGCAAATAACATGGGGGTGGTATCTATTTCTTCATGCTAAGTTTCATCCCACCTTAACCAGCTGTATGGTACATGGGTTGACACCAGCAAGTGTCTGCCGAGCGAATTCCTCATCGGTGAACCAGAAAAAGCTGTTTCCTGAAGCGACATAAAATCTTGGAGTTATCAATTTGCAGGTGACAAACAGATCATAAAGCTAACGAAGTTAGATCTATATGGGAAAGAGCCATAATCTAGATTGCAAGACTTGGACTAGATAACATTTATCGCAATATTAACAACAGACTGAGAGCCATTGGGAAACCAGAAAATGTAAATGCTTCAAGTCAGCCACTTACAATTAACATGCAGGGAAGAGATCACAAAAGCTTTAATTTTGGTAGCAAAATCTAGCTTTTTTTCTCGATCAAAATACTCTGGCAGTGGGAAAGAACCAAGACACAAACCTAACACATTCTCGCAATAGCAACAGGACACTTACTGAAGGAGATGAATTCATCTCCTCAAGACAGACTCAACTCCTACGTTGGAGTTGGACCAGATCAGTTCATCAGCCGAAACTGGACTTGCCAGTAGAGTATCGTATGAGAGAGATCAAAACAGCATATTGCATTTGCTCTCCACAGAACATTAACATTCAGAGGAGCAGCAGGCGAAGAGTTTTCTTACTATCCATTGTCGGAGGGACGTCGAACTGCAATACGTCATTGCTTCCTTCGACGGAGTTCCTGATGAGCATAGGCAGGAAAGCTTTCAAAGACGCTTGAGAATAAGGAGGCAAGTTAAGCCCTTGGGCGAACATCTTATTGATGGCTGTGAAGTGTGGGAATCCAAGGTTTTTGTCGATAAAGACAGTTTCCAGCATTGGCACCAAGCCTTGTAAAAGCGTGAAAAGTTTCTTCACCCCAAACTCTAAACCCTTAATCTCTGAGAACTCTTCGTCGCGAGGCACATAGTAGTCACCACTATCCGTTCTCTCCGACTGCGGATCTGTAACCCAGAAGCGGATCATATCATCGCAAGTGAGTGAGAAAAAGAGTATATGACACTGCCATGGAACTGAACTTGGCAAGTTTGGTTTAGTACCTTTTGATGACCGCGGTCGTCCTGTCCTACAACGCCTGGGGTAAGGACGTTCTTTGCTACCACCAAGCACCTCTCTTTTCAAGTCGGGACTTTTATCAGGGTCCCCAAGATCATTGTAAACGTCGTAGTCATATATCCTGTCACCTTTCTTGCGCTCGCCTGAACCATTCCCGCGAACAGCCACAAGCTCGTCATTTCGCAACTTCTTCAACCCCTCTGGGGTATCCGATGGCAAGTACGACTGGCAGATACAAAAGGGTTAGTAAAAATTAGAAACACACAAACCCAGTTAAAATATGGATTTCTAAGCGACAATTCATCGAACACCTGGTGAGCAACGACATAGAATTGGAAAAAAGAAAAGAAGATGCCACGGGAAGGAAATCCCACCTTGGTAGTGAAGAAGACCCTTTTCGGCCTGCCGGTGATGCTAGCTGGAACCCAGGACTGGCAATCGATGTTGACGGAACCCCCGTCGGGTAAGCCGGTGACGACAATGTCCTTGAGGAACATCTCCCTGACGTGCAAATTCTCGACGCGCATGGCGCCGACCGGCCCGAAATCGGCGGGGACGTTGAAGTATGCTTCATACTGGTACTGCAACCCATTTACGCCGGTCCACTGAGCCAACGATCCCACCGCCGGCTTTTCCTTTCCCGTCTCTTCCGAGATTGTGAAGAAAGCGAAAATGTTCCAGTCAGTCACCGGCAAAAGAAATGAGTTAGAGGCTAATAAGCTGAGCGGGCCTGGGCCTATAAAATGTGCGGCCTTTTCCCTTTTTATATGAATCGAATCCTTAATCCTTATTTATCAAATTCAGCATTATATTAATATGTAAATAATTGAGTTAATAGCATTTTTGGCGATTTAACTATAATACCTTTTCTATCATGGTCTCTGAACTATTTATTTTTCATTATGGTCCACGAAGTACATTTTCTTTCCTAACCTTGTTTTTAACTTTCATTATAGGCCAGGGACCAAATATACCATTAACTCTAAATAAAATATTAAAACTATAGTTGTAGAAATGGTGTTAAATATGACCATGCACTCATCATTTTGTATTTTTGGTAAACTAAAGTTTAGTGTTCAATATTTTAAGCAAAATAATTCAGAGACTACATCAACGACATTGTGTGAGTGTGACATATATATTATAGGACATTACGAATGAAGTGTGAAGTTATTACGAAAGTCTTACTCGTGTCGAGCTCGGCCGAAATAAGCTCCAAACGGAGGGACGCGCCGATCAGGTCCTGAATCGTGCTGGGAACAAGCAGATTGTCCTTAAGGAACCCTCCGATCGTCTGGTTAACGGTCACAACCGCCCTCACTTTGGCCGCGGGCGAGAATGGGTTCAACCCGCCGAGCCCAGTACCAAGCCCAACACCTAACCCACCGGTGATCCCTCCAGCGAGCCCACCGAGCCCACCGCCAAGCCCAAGTAAAGCCTTCACAGTTCCCTTTCCTCGCTCCGCCACCCGGCCCCTCCCTCTCACACCGCCGTCACACTTCCTCGTCCCGGCAACTTTGAACAACATGGCACCGCCACCGTCGAGGAACGGAGTCGGAGAAGCCGGTCGGAGTCCCGACGATTGATGAACCCGAAGGCTCTGCATCTTTCATGAAATGAGATGAGAGAGACCGGGAAAGATTGGTTTTGCATGCATGTGTTTGTGCTTCTTCTATTTTTTTTTATAGATTGTAAACGTCTTTTGTTTGGTTTTGGGGGTATGATGGTGACACATAATTTGGTGGGTTTGCATGGAGAGCAAGTTTCGAGCTTTCACTGACTTTCCTTTCCATTTGTAATCCATGACCAACAATGGGGAACACATAGGCAGTACACATGGCTGATATTGATCTAAATGTGGAGCAAAAACCAGAGGCTCAATTATTTTAGAATTGAAGGACGATAAAATCATCACTATATAGACTTCTCCGAATCCAAATAAATCTAAACACTGATTTTTTTTAAGATTGACTCGTCACATTCAAATGCCTAATCAAATTACAGACGTGTTGAGCGTCTGACTAGTGCAATTAATGAATAAGTTATCGTAAGGAAGATGATAAGTGAGTTAGGTTCCACGGCAACAACAACGTGTTAGGTTCAAACAATTTTCGTATCCTTAAACGAGTGAGTTGTTGCAAAGCAAACGAATTGAATAACGATACCAAATATTACACAATCGAGATAGAACAATAAATATTACAACACAAATATTACAACTCGTATTGAAAAAGTTGCACAACTCTTGAAGAGGACACCAACTGCCTGAATCATCGTAAAAAAAATCTTCTATTTACCAAAATGAAACGACCGAAGCGTGTCCTCTTTCAATCATAGACCAGGAAACCGGATCGTACCGGCTGATTCAACCGGAAATTGGACCAAAAGCGGTACGGTGGGCTGATTGTGCTGATTTTACCGTGTCGGCCGGTTTTTTCGGTTTGACCGGTTGAACCGGCCGGTACGATCCGATTTCCTGTCTATGATTCAGCTTCATTTCTCCGTATTCTCGTCCAATATGTGGAAAATAATTAAAAAGAATATTATTTTGCTATTTTTCTATGTTGAAAATGGGTCACCGTGGTTGTATAATGCTCTATTTGGTTCATTTTTTGATGGATTATATTTTTTTATACTATCGCATTTCATTTCTCTATCAATAGTGAAAAACGATATTTACCGATACAAAACGGTTGAACCACGGTCATACCACAAAATACCATACCAGAAAGAAATCCGGTATGATGTCCGGTACGGTTTCCTTTACCATGCTTTCAATACATATTTGAGAGGGAGAAAATTGTTTAATGAAGTTGGAGATGGTACATTGTTAACAAAAAATGATTATTTGTTACATGATGATATTTGATGGTGAAAACCTAGCACATTGGGCTCATTTGCTAAAAGAAATAAATAATAGAGCGCTCATTTTGTTATATTCAAATAGTATAAGGACTTATATAGTTATTAACCAAGTATCAAATTCTGGCCCATGGATCCTCTTCGCTAGTGGGCTTTTTTGCCTTGGCTGGCCCTTATTTTTGTTGGCATAGTAAAAGGTAAAACTGTAACACACCTTCCTTCCGCGCGAGAATCCATTTAGAGTTAGAGCGGTCCATTTCTGCCTCTTGTCATCAATTTATTAATCGTGTTTTGTACATTTCCCGGCGAGAAAAAGGAGAACGACGAACTCTCTGGCACTCAGCTTCGGAGCTTCAAAAAAATTCCCTCCATTCATTCTTTTGATCGCTTCCTCCATCGCATTTCTCAAACAGAAGCGTTCACTCAACAATGGCGAGTTCGCCCAACATCGCGATTATGGGAGCTGGCATCTTCGTGAAGACTCAGTACATACCTAGATTGGCCGAGATCTCCAATCTCATCGTCCTCAAAGCAATCTGGAGCCGTTCCGAGGTAAAAGCAATAGCCAATCACTCCATTTCCGTAGATTCCCTTCTTCCGCCCCATCTTCTCATCTCGTTTCTGTGCGGGTCTCAGGAATCGGCGATGGCGGCCGTGGAGATAGCGCGTCGGCATTTCCCCGACGTGGAGTGCAAATGGGGGGACAAAGGACTCAACGAGATTCTCAACGACGAGTCCATCATCGGCGCCGCCGTGGTCCTCGCCGGACAAACTCAGGTCACTCTCTCTAGATTTTTTTTTGTCGTTATTTTGCTGCTGGTGTGATTAATGGGAGCTCTGGATATGTGGTAGTTTTAGTCATGAACTTAGTTCTATGTATTATAGGTTGAGATGTCTCTGAAGCTATTGAAGGCAGGGAAGCATGTTCTTCAGGGTAATGAAACTTGGTATATTGTAGCATTCTCTAATCGTCTATGTACGTCCTCGTCAGTGAATTCGTTCGTACTGACTTTTGGGTTCTTGTTCTTCAATGCCATCTGCAATTGCTTGGTTTAAACTTGGTTGATCTGAAGAGAAACCTGCGGCAGCTTGTAAGTGCTGATCTCCATTTGAGAATTGAGATGAAGTGCTGCTTATGTTATTCGAAATGTGCTGTTTACATTACTTATGCGAGAATGGTTGGTTGTTTTTGTTGATGCAGCGGCGAGAGAGATTGAAGCTGCACTCTCAGGCTACAAATCCATCTGTGCTAAAACCCCTGGGCAGCCAATCTGGGCTGTTGCAGAGAACTATAGGTTTGAACCTGCTTTTGAAGAGGTATATTTTGTATTCCAATTGTCTGATCTTCTATCCAACTAGCAGACACTGTGATTTGATTGTGATTTGGTTACACAGGGTAAAAGGTTGATGGCTGAAGTGGGAGAAATGATCAATGTACAAGTCATCATTGAAGGATCAATGAACAGCACAAACCCCTACTTCTCGAGTTCGTGGAGACGGAATTTTACAGTAGGTCCTTCTCAATGAACAGTCATACCTGTTTTCGTATCTCGCATTGAGTCGGTTTATTGACTATAGTTTGTGTCCGAATCGTGGGATATAGCATTTGGGACCAGATAAAGGTGCTTGGTTCTCTCTTCTACATACAAAGAAAACCTTTTTAACTTTCGAAGTCTGCAATATACAATCAACAGTTCTCACAAGTTATAATGTGGTATTCTTTCTTCTTATGGACTGGTGATCAAACCGGAACAATCCAGATTCCAGAATGACTTCTAGCTTCTGCTTCAGAGTTCCTTACCAAGCATTTCTTGCATTTTGCAGATAGAGCTAGTTCACTTACCATTCATTTCATTCTTGAGATTGTCTTCTGTCCAACTTATTCATTGGTGCCTCACTTGCAGGGTGGTTTCATTCTTGATATGGGTGTTCACTTCATTGCTGGATTGAGGATGGTAAACTTGAGAACCTTATTTGATTATGTTGTTTGAACATTCTCCATCAATTGACCAAAACTCGCCTTTTATGTCCATATGATATGACCAGCTGGTTGGATGCGAGGTAGCCACGGTGTCTGCCAGAACCTCTCATGTGGATACCATCTTACCGCCACCAGACAACATATCTGCAGTCTTGTAAGCTTCTTCTGTGCTAAACTCTTTATTTCTCACAGTTATTACAATACCCCGCCAAAAATCTGAAACCTATTCTACGACATTTGCTTTTCTTAGCCAGTTAGAGAATGGATGTTCTGGAGTTTTCGCAATGGTTGTCTCATCACGATCACCTAAGGTTTGTGAATGGTGTCTGTTCCATTTTCTGTATTGTGCTAAACTATGTAATCACACCTCATTTGAATGCTGTGAATTGCAGGTAGTCTGGCGAGTTGCTGGCTTGACAGGCACGCTTCAAATCCAGCGTGGTAGCGAAGATGGACGCCATGGTTACCTGGTACAAAGAAAATCCCTTACCTATCAGCACTGCTCATGTGTTTCCATTTTTTTTTATGTCTTCAATGTAGCCACTTCCGATGTTTCAGGTATCCTTTTTCGGCGGCGATGGACAAAGCAAAAGCAGCTTCCACGCATTCAGCGGCGTAACAGAAGAGTTGAAAGTATTCATACGTGACATAACACAAGCTTCCCTTAAGGTACTGGCAGAAAGATGGTACTACTACCACTTCCAATTCACAACTATCTGCTTCATGGCTCTGTCGATCATGTTTGTCTGTAATGTGCCCTTTTCTGCAGAAGGAATGTGGGTATGATGCCGAGCCACGACTCACTTTCTTGGAGGGTGCTCGAGACGTGGCTCTACTAGATGCAATGCTTGAATCCGGGAGGCGAAATGGAGCCCAGGTCGAGGTCAAGCAGTTCTAGATTCTTTAAGCATAGAAAATTTTCAATTTGTCAGAGGAACGTTTTGTGTGTAGTTTTTGCTTCAGACTCTTTTTCCTGTATTGTATAGATGATGAGCATCAAAAGCGATCTAGTACTGCAGTGTGCTACGGTACTCCAACTGTTGTTAACTACGCTGTTCGTTTGGTTTTGGTGATACTTAAATCAATGCATTGTGATTAATGCGTGCATTGTAATATACATGTAATTAAGAAAAAAAGAAAAATGATGTAATGTATTTTGCATTGTTTGGTTTTGTTGGTAGTTCTTTTAGTATTCTTCAACAAGTTATATTACTTTTTTGAAAAAGATCACTTTTGCCCTTACTTTTATTAGAACATATTTATATAACTAGGGGTATAATTGGAACAATAAAGGAACCCAACAATCTTCTCAAAACTATCTCAACAATCTCAAGTTTTAGTAGAGATATTTCTATCACTCATTTTAAGTGATAGTTTTCATCACATCAAACAAACAATGCATGTAATGTTTGTGCAGAATATTAAAAAAAAATGCATTTGTGGACAATACATGCATTGTAACCAGATAGTGATCCGTCGTCATTAATTTAAGAGAAATTTCGTTATAGAGTTCGATACTGGCATGGCGACAATTTAACGATAAATTTAACGATAATTCAACGAGTTTAAACCTTCGTGAATTCTAAGACGAATTAAATAGGAACTTATATCGGATCAACACTAATGTATTTCCCCTTATAACTGACGATTTTCACACATTTTTACATCTTCTTGTCGACCAAGGAAGGAATCACTCTCTGCTCATTCATCATCTCCACCTAAAATTGGTGGAACCCCAGTGGAAGGCTTGGCATGAGATAAAAATGGGGGAATATTGAAAGTGAAGGGAAGTTGGGGGAAAGGTCAGATTCATAGTGTGGCTGGCAATTGCCATGGCGAATATGGCATCCCATCTCGGCCATGCTTGCTTCTGCGCCCGCCCATTGATGGCTAAACACTTAACAACAAGCATGTGTGTTATTCTGAAGTTCCAAAGCTGAAATTAGCCAAGCCAGATCGGAAATACCAATGAAGGGAGTGTACACCTAACCTAATTAGTATGAGGTCTCTTGTGATTTGTGAAGGAACTCGAGAATGAATTTGTGTGAGCTTCGTCTAAAACAGATAATATCATTACTAATGAGAACTATTCGATTTCGACAAATGATATTAAAGGCTGGTTTGGAATTCGGATCCGGGGTGCAGGGCGTTAGTTTGGTGGACCCTCGTATGGTGACCTCGGGATAATTGAGAGCTGCATCTCATCCTTGTGGGAAGAGCCTGTGTCATGTCCAACAAAGGCGCAACTTGGAAGATGCAAGCATCTTTGTCAGTGAAACCGAAAGAGCCCTGATCACCACCTCCTGCACATTGCATTTTCATCAGCTAAACTAAAATAATGGCATATCTTTTGTAGGGATTTTGCTGAGCCATCTCATCTGACGAAAGAAGTAGGTAGTGCATATGATATCGTGGCAAAACAGAGAGGAGAAGAGAACAGGGCAGGTAGTAAAGATTATAAGTAAATTATTATAACCCCAAACGGCAAACCTAACACCCACCAATATGACAGAGACTCTATGAAGCAAGTGAAGCTCCCATCTTAATTTACTCTCCATTACCATGAATGGTGGCGGAGCCAGAAATTTAAATGAGGGGAGGCTAAAAAATATAAACTAGAGTGATTTGAACCATGGTCATTGGTGAGGGGAGGCTAATGACTTACCAACTAGCCAATTTATAGAATTTATTACACATTTTTCATGTAAATTTACCTATTTTTGAAAGTTGAGTGGGACTATAGCCCACCCTGTGCTTAACGTGGCTCCGCCACTGTCCATGACGACGATGGAAGTTATTAGTTGTTTTCAGCAAACTCTATACACTCTCTGGTTTTTGTTTAAAAAAAAAGTCTCTGGACCCATTCCTTCATCCACGATCTCTAGCTCCCCCATCAAAATTAAACTACAAATCAAATGGAGAAACAAATGATTCAGACTATTCGAGATGATACGATTCCGCATTCAGTGTTAACATTCTCCACCACTGTGTTGCGCATTCAAAATCAAACCCCCCATACCTAAGAAGGGACATAGATACGTATTAATTAGTTAGACGTGAAACACATTACATATATCTTCACCGCGTACGTATTTTTAATATCGATCAATTACGAAACTTTTGTTAGAACGAATGATTATGTAAATGATAAATGAATGATATAACACTCATTTATTCATCTTTTATCACCTTAATTTCCAAGACCAGACCAAATACACTTTTTGGCACTTGCACTCATCAAGCTAAGAATTGAATCTTGGCGATGATGCATGGAATATTACAATATGCATGCCCAAGTACTAGTTAATGATCAGCTTTTGATTAATTAATTTCCATTATGATGAACACATGGTCTCCCTTACACCTTTCGAGAGAGGCTGCTGCTAACCCTACAGATTTCAGTTCAAGTACTCCTACAGAGACAAACTAGTCAGAGAGAAGCAGAGGGCAAAAGGAAGGAAAGGCATTTCTAAACTAAACAAACAGAGCACAACAGGAATGCCACTTTGCCCGCCGCTTAGTACGTCGGGATCTTCGTACAAGAGCTCCGGCAGTATTACTATTTTTTGTTTTGTTTTTGTTTCTGACTCTGGACGTGGCTCAACTGTGAACGAACACGTGAGGTTCTGATCGCCGGTCGGCTTGGCCGGAGAACCTTTTTACTGTATTTTAGATGGCATGGGGACCATTCGAACGTTGGAGTCGATCGGAAGTGCACTGATTATTTATTAGCCACTGAACCAACATGCCTGACAAACAGCCACGTGTGATAGAGGGGAAAAAAAAACAAGGTAGGTTTAGATTTAAACCCAAGATTGGTAAATTACCTTCCCTTGGTCAACTCTTTGCTTACTGTTAGGGCAGGAAAAATAAATTGGATCGTTTCCTTTAAGAATTGTAGACCACAGTCGAACCATGCAATTTGGTTCAAACGGTTAAATCATTTAAAACTGAATTAGTTTGGTCCATAATATGCATTATTACGAGCCATTTTAATTACTTAGTGATCTGGTGTGGATCATGGTTTATCGGACCATATCAAAGAGTTAACCCATTTCTCATATGTGTAATAGGAGAAAATCAAAAAATAGTAGATTGTTAGATTACCTTTTCTTGCTATTTGGAGTAGCTATCGATGATGATATTATTCTCAATGAAATAAACAATAGTATATAAAAAAAAAAATGAGAGAACGAGTTAACTCATACTGGAATTGTTTCATACATTTCATAGAAATCTGTTTGTTAAACTTGAACAATTTAATCGAAACAAGAAGCAAATTTTGCCTACATTAATTTATGTTGCTTTTCTTTTCACCTTCATTTTCTCTCCCCATTCCCTATTTCTCATATGTGTAGTTAAGTCTTGAAAGAAGCAAAATTGTGTTAGGGAACCAAGGAGGGAAGAGAGGAGGAGGTAGTTTTGGATTAATGGGCCATCGCCGATCTCCAGGAAGATGGAAAATTGGGATTATCATCCCCTTAACACCCTAACGAGAGACTTTGATATCTAAAGTAAAGACTCATTTTACGATCATATGTAATTAGACTGCGTAAGAGTTACGTGACTAATTTAATGTTTGAAAAATCTTATTGTATCTATCGGCTGGTCGAATTGGAAATTTCGGATATCGAATACAAAATGATAGGCAGTTTTAATCAGGGTCGTCCCATGATATTTGGAGGCCCTGTTCGAAAATTTAAAATGTGGCTATAAATTTTTTTCTCTATAAATTTATTAAAAATAAAGATTATTAAATAATTATAAAATATACATAAATTCAGACAATGATTTTAAAATTAATAAACGATCTCGCTTCCAGTTTGACCAAGAAATCAAGACCAAATTCCAACCCTAGTAGGGAGGGAGGAAAGTAAATCTAGAGGAAAGAGAAAATGGACATAGCGCAAAAATTGAATGGAGAAATGAAAATTGTCTAAATTGATCGAGAGGTGGGTGCAGGGTTGTCTAATGGATCGTGGAGGGCCTGGAGGCCCTATTTCAGAATGGAAACGTGGTCCAAATTGACTTTTAACTATAATAAAACTAAAATGATTTATAATACCATTATTCAAAATGTAATATCTTTCTATATTGTTGAAATTAAAATTATCTATTATATCTCTGATTTTTCGTATTCTCCATGAGATCATTTTCAATTGTTATTATAGCTAAAATTATCTATTAAACTCGTCATCACACTCATAATCAATCAATCATACACTAAAAATACAACCTACAAATATTATATCGTTAACTAACGGATCTAAGTGGAGACCCTAATATCGGAGGCCCTGTGCCGGAGGGCGGGCTGGCACACCCTCTAAGCCGGCCCTAATTTTAATAGTAGGAAACGATTGAACCTCAATTTACTACAAAATATCCTACCATTTACTTTTCCAATATAATCTCCAATACGATTTCACAATCTACACTAATCCCACCATACACAAGAATATGACTTGTTCTTGCTAGAAGAAAAGCTTCAACATCTCTCTTTTTTTCTTGTTAGAAAAAGCACAAGATAAAACAAAAATGGATCCTTTCCTACCCAAATTAAACTCGAAGAAATGTCTCAAGTATTCCTAGCACTTGGGTCACCATTGAAACTATATCCCTTGAAATCGAATAAGAACAAAACAAACCGCCTCGCCCTCGTCAAGTGCCCAACCCCAAACCGACCAGATTCCTCGTAACACACATCGATCTACCCTTCTCCTATAGCTATAAACCAAAATCAAATTTTCTAATTTTCTTAAACACACCCACCAAGGTAAAAAAAATAAAAAAAAATCAAGGACTAGTCACGGGTTTATAAAGGGTAGCAGCAAAAATTTACTGCTAATATTCAGATTAAGTAAACAATAAAGTGGGAAAAGGTGGGCTCTCAGTCGGTTCAGTACTGTGCCTGTCCCTCTTTCCCTCTCTTTCTTTCTCTGTACTGTTTCTTTTATAGCGAGAAGAGAAAAGATTCAGTCTTTCATACAGATCTCACTTCATAGTTCACATGCTCTCACTTTACTTACTCCACTACCCTCTTCTACTAGCTCAGACCCTTCCATTTTCAAGCTCCAGCTTCAACTTTACACATTGCAGCAGCTCCCAGCATTGGTGAGTGATTGAGGTACAAAGCTTGTGACTTTTTTTGGTTCTTTTGTTAAGGAGAGTACTCTTTGCTGATAATGATGCAGTCCAAGTGTTTGTTGGTTTGCCTCTGTGAAGGTGGTGTGGGTTGTTGTTGGCAGAGGAGAGTACGGGGAAATGGAATGGAATAGTTAGCTAGCTTTGTTAACTCTGGCAAGCAAACCAGAGTTGAAGAAATGGCATTAAGTTTAGGTTTGACTAAGTGAGAAAACTTGGGGGGTTTCTCTTTTCCATTATTGATCTTGGGTTTGAATTGTTCTGGCCATTCTGTAGCTGTTCTGTTCCCCGGAAGTAGATCCGTTAGCATGTATATGTAGATGTGGGTTTTGATCATTCGTGTTTGGTTGCTGTGAAAGTTTTGGATAAAGACAAATTGTAAAGGAGAACACTTTCTTTTTCCTATCCTTTGTAGTAAAAGTTTGGATCTTTGGCCATAAAAAGAGGGGAAAGGTAAAGTTCGAATCACTGGCAACATTTCTTGACAGCCTAGTGGCACCGCCACTTTGAATAGTGGCCAGATTGGGTTTACCTGTACTGTAGTGTAAGTTTAAGTATCTATCTTCGCACAACGAGATGGTTTACAGATGAGCTCGAGCTTCCATCATTAATGCAGAGAAGATTACTTGTTGATCATGCACTGAGAGCCATTAAATACATGCCTGCGTTATTATGCGTTTGTGTCTGTCATTGTAAAGAAATGTCATTTTCTTCATTTAATCTCTTGCCTTATTTCTCAGCTACCAGGAATCATGCTAATATCATGACTTCTTCTTTGGTTCAGGTTAACTTGAGCTTTCTGGCATCACCCTTCTCTTCTATTCCGTCAACCAAGTTTAGCAGCTTCTGATTCTTTAGCCGAGTCTTAGATCAGAAGAAGGCAAAATGATGCAGAAGCCACCACAGAATGTGGACTTTGCACTCAAAGAGACCTCCCCTAAAATTGGGGCAGGAGCCATAGCAAGCGACAAGCTAGCTTCAACATATGACCTCGTCGAGCAAATGCAGTACCTCTATGTCCGAGTGGTGAAAGCCCGAGACTTGCCTTCCAAAGATGTCACTGGGGGCTGCGATCCTTATGTTGAGGTCAAGCTTGGAAACTACAAAGGAATCACAAGACACTTCGAGAAGAAGTCAAACCCTGAATGGAACCAAGTCTTTGCTTTCTCAAAGGACAGAATCCAAGCATCGGTTCTCGAAGTCACGGTGAAGGATAAAGATGTTGTTGTAGATGACTTGATTGGCAGAATGATGTTCGATCTCAACGACATCCCGAAGAGGGTCCCACCAGACAGTCCATTGGCCCCACAATGGTATAGGCTCGAGGATCGGCACGGGAATAAAGTGAAGAATGGTGAGCTAATGCTTGCTGTCTGGATGGGTACTCAAGCTGATGAAGCATTCTCCGATGCTTGGCATTCCGATGCAGCAACTGTGGGCCCAGATGGTGTAGCAAACATCAGGTCCAAGGTATATCTCTCACCCAAGCTATGGTATGTGAGAGTGAATGTGATTGAAGCTCAAGACTTGATACCTAACGATAAGACCAGGTTCCCTGAACCTTATGTGAAAGTCCAATTAGGAAACCAGCTGATGAGAACTAGAATATGCCCAAGCAAGACGATTAACCCGATGTGGAATGAGGATCTAGTGTTTGTGGTAGCCGAGCCCTTCGAGGAGCCCATGATTTTGTCTTTAGAAGATAGAATAGGTCCCAACAAAGATGATAACTTGGGGAGATGTGTCATTCCGTTGCAGCTAGTTCAAAGAAGGCTTGACCACAAGCCGGTGAACACAAGATGGTTCAACCTCGAGAAGCACGTGATTGTGGACGGTGAGAAGAAAGAGACCAAATTTGCTAGCAGGATTCATTTGAGGGTCTGTTTGGAAGGAGGGTACCATGTTTTGGATGAATCAACACATTACAGTAGTGATCTTCGACCAACTGCTAAGCAGCTGTGGAAAACCAATATCGGGATCCTGGAAGTTGGAGTCCTGAGTGCAGTTGGATTATCACCCATGAAGTCGAAAGATGGGCGAGGGACGACTGATGCTTACTGTGTGGCAAAATACGGGCAGAAATGGGTGAGAACAAGGACTATTGTCGACTGCTTTACACCGAAATGGAACGAGCAGTACACGTGGGAGGTCTTTGATCCATGCACCGTGATCACCGTAGGCGTCTTTGACAATGGACATGTGAATGGGGGGTCTGGAAGAGACGCAAGGATTGGGAAAGTGAGGATTCGACTCTCCACACTCGAGACCGATCGAGTCTACACGCATGCTTACCCTCTATTAGTCCTACATCCTTCAGGAGTGAAGAAAATGGGTGAGCTTCAACTAGCTGTGAGGTTCACCTGCTCATCATTGATCAACATGCTTCACCTGTACTCACACCCTTTGCTCCCCAAGATGCACTACATCCACCCATTATCGGTTATGCAGCTCGACATCTTGAGGCACCAAGCTATACAGATCGTATCGATGAGGTTAAGTCGAGCTGAACCACCACTGAGAAAGGAAATAGTTGAGTACATGCTTGATGTCGATTCGCACATGTGGAGCATGAGAAGGAGCAAAGCTAACTTCTTTAGGATCATGAATGTCTTGGGTGGGTTGATTGCAGTGGGGAGATGGTTTGACCAGATATGCATCTGGAAGAACCCTTTAACCACAGTTTTAATCCACATCCTCTTCATCATTTTAGTTCTCTACCCTGAGCTGATCTTGCCTACCATCTTCCTTTATCTCTTTCTGATTGGGATATGGAACTATCGGTGGAGGCCGAGGCACCCACCTCACATGGACACCAGACTCTCACACGCCGATGCTTGCCACCCTGACGAGCTGGACGAGGAGTTCGACACATTCCCCACGAGCAGGCCGTCTGATATCGTGAGGATGAGGTACGATCGCCTGAGGAGCATTGCAGGGAAAGTTCAGACCGTGGTGGGCGACCTGGCTACTCAGGGGGAGAGGTTTCAGTCGCTGTTGAGCTGGAGGGATCCAAGAGCCACAACTTTGTTCGTGACATTCTGTTTGATTGCTGCGGTTGTGCTGTACGTGACCCCGTTCCAGGTCGTGGGGCTTCTGATCGGGATCTATGTGCTGAGGCATCCCAGGTTTCGGCACAAGCTGCCTTCTGTTCCTCTCAACTTCTTCAGGAGGCTGCCTGCAAGGTCTGATAGCATGCTTTGATGACCGTACATTCCATTCCGCATTTCTGGGATCATAATGTGACAGCTGAACTGCCTTAGTTGTAGGTTTTTTTTTTTTTTTTTTTGTCTCTGGACATTGTGATCTCTTCTTCTTCTTGCTGTCTGAGAAATTCAGGTTGTTTTATTTGTAATCTATAGCTAGTTATGACATTGGTTGATCAATTTGCAGGTTTCAGCTTTCAATATGCAGTAAATTCTAGTTCTGCACATTGTCATTCTGCTTGATAGTTCAGGCATGCTCCCCAAAGATATGATGAACCTATACGAACCGGTTTTTCGACATAAAACTATCTTTTCGATTCGGTCATTATACGAGTCACTTCTAGTTAACAACGAGATGCTCAACACAAACATGTTACAACTTACTATAACACTGGAAAGAGGCCCATTACGAATCTTGGCCGCCAGTTCACATAACAACATCATCCTCATCTTCATGCCAGAATGCAGAAACAGAAAATGGAAAAACTTCCAGATTCCTAATTGGGAAAACAACATGCCAGATTGGGACCTGTACAGGCTGTAGCCGCATGCCTGCATGGATGCCATATGGCCGGTTGATTCTCCGCTGCATTGGAAGTATTTCGGACGGCATTATTCTGTTTGCATTCTTCTTATCTGCTTCATCCCAAGTTTCAGAAGCATAATCCCAAGCCAGCCCTTCAATTGGTGGTATTCTCTTTTTATCCCAATCAATAGTGTCCACATTAGTACTCCCGTTACAAAAGGAGGCACAACTACATGTTTGGAATTCATCAAATCCCGATTTGGGTCGGTGTAAAAAATGAGTAAATTTAATAAAATAATAAGATAATAAATTTTGAGAACCAATCTACATAAATACATGTATTTTCAATTCTATAAATTAATAATTGTAAAAATATCATTCATAAAAAAATTAACAATATAACTAGGATAATCGAGAAAAATATGGAATCTATAATTGTTTGTTTCTTCCGGAAGGTCAAGTCTCCATTTTGAATTTTCATCATTGCACTGAACATCGCTAGTGTTGTTTTCTCTAATTGCAACAGCCAACGAATATTTTTGAAACAAGTAACTGCAATAATTGTGTATAATTTGGATGATTAAGATAATATAATGAATCTTAAAATTTAAGTTTATCAAAATATAAAAAATTATATTTGTACTAAAATAAAATTAATACACCACGTTTGAATCTAATTTTAAAGTTATAAAGTTATTTATTTTAACAATATACATTATAAAAAACCTCATTGAATAAATAAAATATTAAAATATTTATTTATTAATAAATACGATAGTTTAATAATTTTCACGGTCCCGACTATATTAATTTATAGAGATTTTATTGCATTTGCGTGTAAAATGATTGGTGCGAAAACTGTGTAGTGAAATTGGTAATGAATGAATTCAGATAATAGGTGGATCCTAAATCAGTATTTTGTGCAGTATATCTCATTAAGAGCATGTTATGATGCATACTATTTAGATCACTAGTCGATTTGAATCTCACATATTTTTACTTCGTCGTTTCTCTCTTTTAGTAGTAGTGTAGATTAATATTAACAAAAAATGGTAATAGTGCAATTTCAATTGTCGTAACAAAGTACAGTAATTTCGAATGATTATATAAACTTTTGTGAGATTTCTCCTCTCATCACCTGCAAAGAAGCAATTGCATTATTGCAAAAAGGGTGGCTGACTGTTTCCTCATATTCATAATTGAATTTCTACCAATTGAGTTGCTATCCCTACATAATTTTTATAATTCATAAATATACAATTGGATTAAGAAAACAATAAACTATGTATTATATATGTGGAGTATAATACATAGTTGCCTTTTGGGGAGCAAAATTTAGTATTAATGTATATGTTCTTGTTTCTTACTTATAGGCATTTGTCATTGTTGCCTTTTGGTAACAACAGAATCTGAACAGTGAGCAGTTAACATCAATCGAGATGTTCAACGTATGCTTTTCATTTCGTAGTAAATTAGATAAATGTTTTGTTGTTTGTTGCGACTTTTAACCCAATTTAATTAGGGTTTAGTAGTTATATATTGGATTCCCCTTTCGGTTATATCAATCAACGAATGACGTGCAATTCTTGTTAATTCTTATGTTTCTATAGCTTAAGAAGAGTTGTCCTTTTTTTAATGCTCTCTTATAGTTTCTAAGTTATACATATTAGGATAATATAATACTAATGATTGGAATTTACAGTGAAATGGATCGATTATGACTGCAATTAGGGTTTAGTAGCAAGTCATTTTCCGATGAGATGTGATTTCCATTCTTAATTATGTTGCCTTCCCACCGTGAAAACGATATCTAGAGTTTGTATCAATAGGATTTTGGAGTATGGTATTATACTCTAATTCGTAATGAGTAAACTTTAGGTTCTCCATATTCTACAACCTTGAACCCGATCCAGAATGGCACAATCTAGTATGTAGGACCTAATTAATTAGGTTTTACTCATTATTTATGATATAGTAACATATGCCCTAAACTTCGGTTATTAGTTCATGATGTAGATAGGGTTTCCCACATAGAGGAAAATATTTGCCGGAAATTAAATCACTGAATTTTGCATGGGAACTCAACTTTTACATGCACTTACGTGAAGCCGTGTCTCCAATATATCAAGCTTTTCCTTCAATCCTCTTCTTATCTTTAGTTACATTAAGTAATTACGTACCTGACTTTGAGACCAATGTTATAACAAGAGTAATAATACTTAAAATGGACATATGAAGAATGGATATATATAATTAATTACTTCAAGTGCTGGTTTTCAACTTGAAGATTCTAAATTCAAATCCTGTAACAATAAAAATTAACCAATATCATCATGTAAAAATAACAAAATCCATCGTTCAAGTTCAAGTTTCAACCCACTATCTCTTTCCCCCTCACAAGACTAATCAGTTTTTTACTAAATGGAGCATTTTTATCTACTTATTTATAATTTACCCAATTCAGAATACATCGTTCTTCGAAATATATAGATTCATTTAAAAAAATAAAATTCAAACATCAGCATCTTATATCTCATATACAGAAGCGGAGCTACACTCAAGCTAGGCTGGGCCCAGCCCCCCCGGGATTGGTCCCGGCCTCTAAGATCGTAAGGATATTTAGTACATATTTTATAATTAGAACTTGTTCCATAAATTTTATTGTGTAATACCCATGTGACCTAATATATAGTAGCCAAACTTGACTCGTGTTTGTTTAATTATTTTCGACCCCTCGGTCTCGAAATCCTGACTCCGCCGCAGCTCATATACACACCGTAAACAATTCGATCGCCTCACAAAATTTATTCACTATCGACATTGTCTTCTTGTATTCATTTGAAACAATCGGTCATAAGAAAGAACATCCAACTTCTTGTTTTTTTCAAGCCTTATTCCTCTGCTAACTTACAGCTAAAACAAACAAATATGACAAGAATTTGATAAATAAACCGGTAAAAGGGGAGAAAAGAAAAGAGAAGACTTAATAATATATATGAGTATAATAAATAAAAAAGAAAACGATCGACAACCAATGAGGAGACATGGAATAAGTATAACGGCTTCCCGGCGACCGGCGAAGTATAAGTTTATAGTTTAAACGACTCGAAGGATCAGAAACGACGGCCGGAAGACAGCACATCGCCATGGATATACCACAAATCCTGGAGAATATAAGAGAGAATAATGCTTTGGGTATATGGATAAAACTGGCCTTTTGATTACATTGTATTGGAGCTAATTGTGACCCCTCAACTTTGTGGCATTTTTTAAATTTGATCATTTTCATTGAATTTGACAGATTTTTTCTTATATGATGTGATCCAGTTTAATCCGCAAATTATAGTTGAATTGGCATTTTCGTGTTCTCGATCTATAAAAGCGATCATGTTGATTTTCTCAAATCGTGTTATGTTGGTAATATATAATAACTCGAGTTACTAAAAAAATTGAAAATAATGAATAATCTACACATTCCCTTACACTCTTTCTGCACATATCGCGGCATACGATGTGCTTAACTACGTAATCCTTTGATCTTTGGAGCCGTCAGAATTTTAATACGGGATTCCTTAAATAAAAATAATTTATCCCCAATAACTTAACCGGTTGAGAGAGATTCAATAAATGTGTGTATCATTTCATTACATGAGGCGCTTATTGTAACGTTCGACATGTTTACTAAAAAGGTGACAACCAATTTCAAATTGAAGAGATGCATATATCAACAAGAGTCCTAACTAGTTGTGTTACTACACAATGATAAAAAGGTGTACCGGATCATGAGAATATCAAACTTATGGATGTGAAGATAGTCTTAATAAGTGTATATTGATAAATAGTTTCTAGAAAATAGAAGGCGACCAACAATCTATATTCGTTAGCCTAATTTCAATAATAATTAGTTGTAAACACTATTTTTTTTTTCCGTGGAGGTAAACACTAATTATTAGTCAAACCTTTCATGCATTCTTTTTATTAGTCAAATTTATTGAATTACTAATAATTAGTAAAATGTTAGCTTTCAGTTAGCAACTTTGTTAGTAATGTTGAATTTGTATAGAGATCAACATTCCAAAATTTTAATATTTTGACTAAGAAAAAAGTTATAAAATTATTAGTTGTAACATAAAAATGACTCATATTTTTTTATTTTATAAAAATGACTAATATTTTTATGCATTACAAAAGACTTGACTAATTATTAGTAATTTAATAGGTTGACTAATAAAAAAGAATGCAAAAAAGTTTTGGCTAATAATTAGTATTTATCCCAATAATTACTTATGGTTAACCTGAGTCACATTAACAAAGACCTATATATAAGCTGATTTTTCATTTTGATTAGTATGATTGGTTGAATAGTGTAACTTTCCCTAACATAAACCCCCTTTTCCTCTCACAGAAAAAAACTCGAATCAGTTTTGTAAGTTTGTTTTTGATAAACCCATTGCTTGTAATAAAAAAAACTTCCAATCATTAATATTGTATTATGTAACCTTTAAGCCTCCAGTTACATATAAAAAGAAATAAAACATAAAAAAAGAACAAAATCTACCCTATATAAATATATCATCCTATTTGCCAAAAAAAAAAGTCAATGCCTAACAATTCTTGCTAATCAAGTTGAACTGAATATCGTGCCAACGTCCTTGCCTCATCATTAAAAAACTCGACAACATGACCCTTTTGCGTAACAATCAATTGAGCGCTTACCAAACCAAACACCCACATCTTCCAACAACATGATCTCTTGAGACTCTTTTGAATAACAACATAATCATATCTTTCTTTCTTCTTACTTTCACCCACTTCACATAAATTACTTTACCCATTTTATTAGAGTATGAGCAGCACAGGTAGTATTGTTATCATAACAGTACCCACTAGTGAGCTCAGCCACTAGTATTGTTACACATAAATTATATAATTTTCACATTAGTGTTATTGTTATTTTAAAAGACGGTCATTGAACATAATAATTTGTAACTTCAATAATAAGAGACTAACAATTTCCACCGTATTCTAATTTATCAAAATGATACGAGAGCCTAGTTCCCGCCAAGAAAGAATCTCTCCGCGACTCATCCACTCTACATTGGACCTCGACATTGAACTGCGGTGGAATAATACCCTGTCATAAATATGCTTTTATGCTTAATTACCGTGGAGGCGTAATTACCAAAGGACTCTCGATCGAGACCTCCGCTGAGAGAGCATTTTTTCTTTCATTTTTGGCTCTGTCGTCTTCCCCGTTGGATCTCTTCAGTCTTTGCAGTTTAAATACCCACAAGTGAGCTCAGCCAGATCTTCATTCAATCACTCAGAAAATGGATCGGCTTTAACTTTCTTTTCCCCCTCACTGGAACTCCCGCCATCTGGCAGCAGCCCGTTTCACCGTCTCCCCTCAACCCCAACAGAGGAAAAAGGTAAGCAGGAAATCGACCCACCAGCCATTTTTATAAATTTCATCAGGTTTCACTGTTCCTGCCGGTTGTTTTCCCCCCATTTACTGAATAGACAAAACTAGTGGAGGGGATTATAAAATTGCATAAGCAGGCTGCAGGCGGGAATTACATCACATTGTGTTTTTCCCCCTGATAAAAATACTCTGTTTCTCCATCTCTCTGTTTTACCATCCCCTGAAACCATTTTCTCCTTCCCCTGTATCTACGGTTTAATTTGGTTTCCGTTAGTAGATGTGATAGTAACAATGGAATTACAGGAATCGGAGGCAGAGAGATTTCAGCCTTTCAGGGCATTGGATTAGGAAAATAACGGAAACAGAGGAGAAAAGAAAGAAATGGACCCGACCGTTCCAATTGACGATCAGTTCTCCAAGCTGCATCCTTCTCTGCCTGTGAGCACCAGGTTCTGCATAATAGGAGCCGGACCGAGCGGCGTTTCGGCGGCGTATGCACTCACCAAGATTGGATACAGAAATGTAACCGTACTTGAGAAGCATCACACCGTTGGTGGGCTGTGTGAATCTGTGGATATCGAAGGTAAACCTACAAAACAGAGCATGGCAAAAAAGAAAGAAAGAAAGAAAGAAAAAAAAGAGCATAAAGCTACTTCCTTTCTGTTTATCATCCCCTGTTTTGACGTTCTCATACGATTTTTATTTCTGGGTTCGATTTGACAGGGAGGGTTTATGATCTGGGCGGTCAAGTTCTCGCTAAGAACAGCGCGCCGGTTATATTCCACTTGGCGAAAGAAGCTGGAGCTGAATTGGAAGAAATGGACTCTCATAAGCTTGCTTTGATTGATAGCTCTACTGGGAAGTATCAGGACAACAAGGTTGCTGATGACTATGTCTCTGTAATTACCCTCACATTGGAACTCCAGGTAACGGAACAAGTTTCTATTCTGAATCACATGATTAATGAATTCCTCGAGTCCCCCTTCTGAGTTTTCCATTTTCCGCGCGACCATTCAGGATAAGGCCAAGGCTTCAGGAAAGATTGGGGTTCATGCTGTGAGCGAGCTAGCGTCAGATTTAACTCCGGCGTACCTGGAATCCCACGGCTTGAAATCTGTTCCCAAATCCGTTGCCTATGGATACACAGCTTCTGGGTACGGGTTTGTTCAGGACATGCCGTATGCTTACATTCACGAGTTCACCAGAACATCCATGGCGGGGAAGATCAGAAGGTTCAGAGATGGGTACACTAGTCTGTGGAAGAAGCTGAGTGAGTCCCTGCCGATTGATCTCCGTTGCCAGAGCGAAGTGCAGGCGGTTCGCCGCGATTCTGATGGGGTTAGGGTTGATGTGAAGAGGAATGATGGTGGAGGAGTTGAAACCTTGGAGTTTGACAAGATCGTGATCTCTGGCTCTTTCCCTTTCAGGATTGGGACAACCTACAGATCACCAAGTGTCCACTCATCAGGTTTTTACTTAAAACTGTCTTCAGAGTTGGTCAAAAGCTTATTCCTTTTGTATTGTGTTCCGTTTTTAGGTGCCAAATGGGTCTAGTTGGATTGTCTTGACAAATAATGAATTTGTCCCTAAATAGTAGACAATTATAATCGAGTTGAGTTCTTGTTTACTTATAATGATTATGTGTCAAATTTGTCATCTTATAATAAGTCCACTTACATGAGTTAGTAAAGCTTATTCCTTTCTCATCATGTCTCCTTTTTAGGTGCCAAATGTATCTAGTTGGGTCATAATTGATGATAGGTAATTGTGAGTACAATCAAAACGAGTCACAGGGCATCACAAATTATCGATTTGTCCATAATGCTAGATAATCATAAATAGGTCGGGTTACAATGATAACTTGTCAACTGGTCAACTTATAATCGACTCATATATAATGATCGGGATCGAGTTTCAATCGAGTTAGTGGGTTGGACGAAACAATTTTGTACTTCTTCTACTAAAGATTCTTTCTTTTTCCCCTCTACATGGCAGCAGATGAAGATCAAGTGATGGATCTCACTGACCTTGAAAATGAGTTGTTTAGCAAAGTCCAAACGATCGACTATTACACAACGGTTATGGAGATTAAAGGGTTGGAGGATATGCCGGTTGGGTTTTACTACTTTGGGGAGTTCATGGAGGACCCTGCCACGATTGGACACCCGATCGCGATGCAGAAGTACTATGCTGATTCGGACATTTTCTTGTTCTGGTCGTATGGGAACTCGACAGATGTCATGGGACCTAAAGTCACCGAACTTGCTCTAAAAGTGGTGAAATCTATGGGAGCACAAGCACAACAGGTTGTTTTGCAACGTAGATTCAAGTACTTCCCTCATGTTTGCAGCCAAGGTAATGTTTCTCCTAATACTGACTATTTTTTTTGTGGGAGCTTAAGGTCAAGGAAGGTCATTGAAGTCAAATAATTAGGACACATCAAGTATTGAATTCGTTTTTAGAACAAAGAAAGCATTGAACTTCTTGACATTTGGGACGTGGTAGGCATCCTCTATATTTTTAGTTACCTTTTGATACTCTTAAGGTTCTACTCAAACTCTATCCTGAACTATAGGTGGACTAAATTTTCTCATGCACATTTCGAACTCCATGGTTTGGTAGTATTATTTTAAATTTGGTTAAAGCCTCCCAGAGATGTCAAATTTTGGAATGACAAAAAGGATGAGATTCCAATTGTCTGTCTTTGATCATGATATGAGCTCAGATATGAAGAATGGATTCTATGAAAGGCTGGAGAATGAGCTTCAGGGACAGAGTAACACTATTTATGTTGGTGGGCTTATGGCATTTGAGCTTACAGAGAGAAACTCATCTTATTCCATGGCTACCATCTGCAAGCACTTTGCTAGTAACAACTCCTTGCCCACATTCCCTTATGTTAAGGTGATTTACTATTTCCTCCCTAAACAACATGATCGAGCAAATGATCATATCAACTCAATATTATAATTCTAACGACTTGTTGTCTCTTTCTATTCCATTTGTCAGAGCTTATTCTCACTGCAGCAAGCTAATATCCAAACCAAGAAACTACAACAACTAGGAGAGATTGCAGGAGTGGAGTTCCCAGATCTGCCCAGCCTCGACGCTTACCTGAAACACTGGGGGACTCTGCCATCAACCAAGGACAAAACACTCTACACATGGATCAACGAAGAAGGCATCGTGGTTTGCAAGAGGACTTACGCCGAATTGAATGCCAATGCTGCCTCCATTGCTCACCACATGTTGACCAGCCGGAAGCCAGTCATCAAACCTGACGACCGTGTGTTGCTTGTGCATGTCCCGGGCTTGGACTTTGTGGATGCCTTCTTTGGTTGCATACGAGCCAGAGTCATCCCGGTTCCAGTCCTTCCACCGGACCCGATGCAGAGAGGCGGTCAGGCTCTATTGAAGATCGAGAACATCGCTAAATCCTGCAAAGCAGTGGCGATCCTCTCGACTGGATTTTACCACACTGCGGTTCGTGCCGGTTCTGTCAAGCAGCTCATATCGTTGAGTGGGAAGAAGAATAGGAATGAGGTTCAAGCACGGTGGCCTAATCTTCCATGGTGCTATACAGATTCATGGGTTAAGAATGGCACTACTAAATCCATGGCTGCTGCTCAAAACAACTCACCCGAACCCGAACAACAACAAGACGACTTATGCTTCTTGCAGTTCACCTCAGGATCTACTGGAGATGCCAAGGGGGTCATGATAACTCATGGTGGACTCATTCACAACGTGAAGATGATGAAGAGGGTTTACAGGAGCACGTCGAAGACGGTTCTGGTTAGTTGGTTGCCTCAGTACCACGACATGGGGCTGATTGGCGGGCTTTTCACCGCCATGGTTAGTGGCGGAACCGCTGTCCTGTTCTCTCCATTGACGTTTATTAAAAACCCACTCTTGTGGCTGAAGACAATGAGCAATTACAAAGGAACTCACAGTGCGGGTCCGAACTTTGCTTTCGAACTGATGGTGAGGAGACTAGAAGCTGAGGAGAAGGATAATAAATGTGGTGGAAGAAGAAGCTCATCTTATGATCTTTCTTCCATGGTTTTCCTAATGGTTGCCGCTGAGCCAGTGAGGCATAAGACGTTGAAGAGGTTTCTCGAGCTGACTCGTCCATTTGGGTTGTCTCAAGAAGTGATGGCGCCTGGGTATGGCTTGGCCGAGAATTGTGTGTTTGTGTCATGTGCTTATGGTGAAGGGAAACCCATCTTACTTGATTGGCAAGGTAGGGTTTGTTGCGGGTACGTGAGTTCAAACGACGACATTGACATGGATGTCAGAATTGTTGATTCTGAAAGTGGAGAAGAGGTTAAAGAATGTGGGAAAGAAGGAGAAATTTGGATCAGCAGTCCAAGTGCTGGGATTGGGTACTGGGGAAAGGAAGAGTTAAGCCACTGGACTTTCAAAAATGAAATCATCTCCAACGACGACAAGCAGTCCGAGAAGAGGAGGAGAATTTACACAAGAACAGGGGACTTGGGGAGAATCATTGATGGGAATCTTTTCATCACCGGAAGAATCAAGGATCTCATCATTGTAGCTGGAAGGAACATCTACTCAGCTGACGTGGAAAAGACAGTTGAGAACTCGTCAGAGATACTCAGGCCAGGTTGTTGTGCTGTGATTGGTGTTCCTGAAGAAGTCTTGTCGGCAAAATCCATCCTAGTCCCAGCAGACAGCTCTGATCAAGTAGGGTTAGTGGTGATTGCAGAGATCAGGGACAATGTTAAGTCCATCGACAAGGAAGAAGTAGCACGACAGATCAAACTTAAAGTTGCAGAGGAACATGGTGTTACAGTGGTTGCCATCAACTTGATTAAGCCTCGAACGATTAGCAAGACAACGTCGGGGAAGATAAAGAGATTTGATTGTCTCAAACAGTTTACAGACGGAACTCTAAGCTTGGTTCCGGAAAAATCTTTCTCCAAGAGGAAACTATCCTTCAAGCTGAGCAAAGATCAGGAAAGATCAATGTCTCGATCAAACACTATGGTCCCAGCTGGAAATGCTGGCAGATTGAGCAACAAACAGATTGTGGAGTTTTTGAAGGAAGTTGTCTCTGATCAGACAGGAATTGCTATCAACAACATATCCACAAATGAGAACTTGTCGTCATATGGGATCGATTCCATTGGCGTCGTCAGAGCTGCTCAAAAGTTGTCGGATTTCCTCGGAGTGCCCGTTGGAGCAGTAGATATCTTCACCGCAACTTGCATCGGTGATCTAGCAACCTTTTCGGAGAATCTCTTGATGAAATCTCAACCAGCAACTGGATCGATGATGAATAATTCTTCACCCTCAGAAGAAAATAATGAGGTCCTTAACTTTGCAGCAGAAGATTCTTCGACGATGTCAGAAGCTTCCACGACCCGCAAAATCCTTGTATGGGGCTCTCAACTTCTTGCCGTCATTTACGTGGCTACCCTGTTGAGCTTCCCAGCTTACTTCTCCATCTCGACATTCACAAGTCTCGTTTCTAATGTTGATACATTGGTTGGCGGGGGAGTACATGTTTGGCTGACCACATTAGCTTTGGCACCTCTTGCCTGGATTCTCTGCATGGTCGCGACCTGTGTGGTCATTGCATTATTTGGCAAGCCTTTCCTGCAACCAAACTATGCTCTGTCGCCAGAAGTTTCGATTTGGTCGATGGATTTTGTGAAATGGTGGGCGCTTTATAAAGTCCAAGAAACTGCTTCAAAAGCACTTGCCGTGCATTTGAGAGGGACGGTGTTCTTAAACTACTGGTTTGCCATGCTCGGAGCTCGAGTCGGGTCAACAGTTTTGCTTGATACTATTGATATAACGGACCCATCATTGGTCTCGATTGGAGATGGTGTTGTGATCGCCGAAGGTGCGCTAGTACAAAGCCACGAGGTAAAAAATGGAGTTGTTAGTTTTCTTCCGATCAGAATTGGTCGGAATTCCTCTATTGGTCCGTACTCTATGATCCAGAAAGGGAGCGTTGTGGGAGAAGAAGTTGATGTTCCGCCATTGCAGAAGACTCCAGCTAGTAAGACTGTTTCTAGATCAAACAAGGTAAACTTGCTCATTACATGTTAAGATTATCTTACAATATGAATAATGTATAATTCTATGAGGTTTATATACATTGCAGGATAAAGTGCATCCCGATTGTAATATTTTCCCGAGGAACGCCATGTCCCACTTGCTAGGAATCTACATGGTCGGCCTCCTCAGCAGTTTCTCAGCAGTTATCGTCTACTTGGTCTACATCTACCTATCTCAACAACCACCTTCATTGCAACAATTCTCCCTCTCTTGCATTGCTGGAGCTTTCCATTGGCTTCCATTCACAATCATTGCATATGTCACGATTCTCCCGGCCGGGAATATTCTCCTTACTAGCCCACTCACCTTCGCCACATCACTTGCCGTCTTTTACTTGGCACATGGTCTGATCCTCATCTTCCTCACCGGAGCCTTCACTCGCTCCCTTGCAGCTGGGAAATTACCAGACAAAGCTGAGAACACGCCTGATCTCAACACTTGGCTTCGCCACCGCCTCACTGTCTCTTGCCACTTGAGATTCGCCAAGCTCCTGTCTGGAACAGAAGCCTTCTGCATGTACTTGCGCATATTGGGAGCAACGATTGGGAAGCACTGTTCGATTAGAGCCATCAACCCTGTATCGAATCCCCGACTCATGAGGATTGGGGATGGTGTTCATCTCGGCGACTTTAGTAGAATCATTACAGGGTATTACTCATCATCATCGTCTAATGGGTTCACTTCAGGTAAAATTGAGGTCCACTCTAACTCTGTGGTCGGAAGTCAAAGCTTGATCCTTCCCGGTGTTGTTATCCAAGAGAATGTCATTCTTGGAGCACTTTCAATCGCTCCGGTGAACTCCACTCTCCGGTGCGGTGGAGTCTACGTTGGTTCTCAAGCTCCTGTAATGATTAAAAACACAATGCATGCCTTGGATGAACGGATTGAAGAAATGGACACCAAGTACAAAAAGATCGTCGGCAACTTGTCAGCTAACTTAGCTGCAACCACTCTGAAAGTGAAATCAAGGTACTAATAATTCCTGCTGAAAACAAAAGCAAGGTGGTGTACTAATTTCCTACTACTAACTAATAGTTTCCATGTATGTACGTACTTTGACAGGTATTTCCATCGAATTGGAGTGAGTGGAAAGGGACATCTTAAAATCTACGACGACATCAAAGGACGTATACCGGATCACGAGATCTTCCAAGGTGGTAAAACTTACCCTGTTGTGGTCCGCCACAGCAACAGCTTGAGCTCTGACGATGATGCTAGGATTGATGCTCGAGGGGCGGCAATCAGAATCCTGTCTGAGGATTCCAAGTCCCAGCTCCTGGACCTGACATTGAAAACAGGGAACGCCTTCTATGCTCGCACCATATCTGATTTCGCCACATGGTTGGTGTGCGGACTTCCAGCAAGGGAAGCCCACGTGAAGAGAATGCCACATATTCGGGATGCAGTGTGGAACTCTCTTCGGAATTCAAACTCCTACACTCAACTCCATTACTTCTCCAACTTTGTGCGCCTTCTGAGGTGCAAAGACGGACAACATGAGATGTACGTCAGGTTCAAGCTGAGGCCCGCCGACGAAAGCATCAATGAGGATGCTGGTGAAGTTGAGCCGATTGGCATTCTCCCGCCGGACACAGGTGCGATTCCGAGAGACCCTAATGATTCGCGTCCTTTGCTTTTCTTGGCCGATGATTTCCGGCACCGAGTGAGTTCCCCTGGCGGCGTTCGATACATTTTCCAATTACAAGTGAGGCCGGTTCCTGAAGATGAATCTGAACGTGATGATGCAATTGACTGCACAAAGCCATGGGACACTTTAGAGTTTCCCAACATCGATGTGGGCGAAATCAATCTTGATCAGAATCTCGACAGTGAAGAATCCGAGGCATTAGAGTTCAACCCTTACATTCGCTGCGACGGGGTGGATGTGATCCGCGCCACGTCCTCGTCACAAAGTGCCTCCATCGACCATGGACGCTCGTTGATCTACGAGATATGCCAGCACTTGAGGAACAAAGAGCCATTGCCGGAAGCTTGGAGGATCTTCATCGAACAATCAGACGTCAAAGTAGACCTCTCTGGCTGCCCAATGGCAGCAGCCCCAATCACCAAGATGGCGTCCACCGAAAAAGTGACACTGGCCAGAACGTGGTACGAGACAACATGGGCAACTCTCGTTCAGCCATTTTTACAAACACTTGTCCCACATTTCTTAATCGGCCTGGTAATCTTCCATCCTCTGAACTTCACACTCTCCTTTCGACAAACAACCAAAACCCCTCTCCACTATTTACTCCCCTTCATCTGGGTTTCCTCTGGCCTTCTCTCCGGCCTTGCCTGCATCCTCGCAAAGTGGATCCTGGTGGGGAAGAAGCGAGAAGGGGACACGGTTTATCTATGGAGCATAGGGGTTTTCCTAGACACGATTTGGCAAGCATTCCGAACTGTGATCGGAGACTACTTTGTGGAAATGACTAGCGGGTCACTCTTCTTCAACCTCTGGGTAAAGCTTATGGGTACTGAGATCGATTTGGGTCAGGGTGCATATATAGACTCCATGGGAGCGACCTTGAACCCGGAGATGGTGGAGGTTGAAAGAGGTGGGTGCATTGGCAAAGAAGCTTTGTTGTTCGGGCACATCTATGAAGGCGAAGGCGGGAAGGTGAAGTTCGGAAAGATTAAGGTTGGAGAAGGTGGGTTTATTGGGAGCAGAGCTATCGCCATGCCTGGAGTGAGGATTGAGAGTGATGGCAATCTCCATGCTTTGTCTCTGGCCATGAAGGGGGAAGTCATTAGGTGTGTGTAACTAGAATTAGCAGACATAATCTTGAGTGAATTAGATGGCTACTTTGTTGTAAGCTTGGGGAATAAACTTCTTTAACTATAATGTCACTTTTAAGGGTTGAAGACTGTTGTTGATATAACAGTCAAATTGGATGTCCAATAAAATGAGCTTGTGTGATGCAATGTAGCTCCCCTTTTTTTTTTATTTATGGATAGGCATTAGAGTTTTGAGTCGCCTGATTGAGAATTGAACGATTGTGGGGTGTGTGGCACGCATACAAGGTTTAGACACATGCAAAATAGGTAAAGTAAAACAATAAACTAACAAATCGGGTCACTGAATAGGCACGATAAACCATGAAGTGCTACAATCATTACGACGTTCTCAACGACTCATGCACAAATAAAATAAGTAAGATCGAACATTGATTGAGAAGACGGGAATGATGCAGAGTACTCTATATTGCTACCAAACAGATAACCCTGCTTGTGTCTCTGGGGATAAAATAAAATCTAACTACACTCACAGTGTGCCTCTCAATAAGGATGATAATTGTCTACTCATGGATAATTTTACCCAAATCCAAGTAAACATATTAATTATGGGTGAAATTATATACGAGTTTGAATTTTTATAGATGGGTTTTGGTAAGATATGAATATTACTTTTATAATGTGAATGAGTATTGGTTGGGTATGAATGTCTATTTTTTTAGATAGTCTTAACTATACATATATAATTGGGACCTATTTGTAAAATTTCAAAAGTTTAGGTATTATGTTCAAGCAAAAAATGTAGGTACTCTAATATAATTTGTATCGATATTTCTTGGACTGATTTGAAAAAATTTCTAAGTTTAGGTATTGAATGATAAAAAAAGTGGAAATTTATGTACCAAACTGAATATCGGTAGAAATACAACCCCATGGATTTGAGCAGAATTACTAACCCTATCTCTGAATCTGATTCAACAAACTGTCTGCATACATCTTGTCTTGGTTCAAAGTAATTGATCATTGAGAGACTAATTTAAGGCCACAAAAAAAAAAAAAATCAGACTTGTTGACTGTTGTCCGTGGGGAAATGTGATCCAGTCTGAAGAAATATTCGGCCCTAGAATTGCTATGGAACATGGGCCGAATCCACCCGCAGGCCACAGCCAAGGGACAGGCGAGCTGGGCTTGCAGCCCACTTGGATGCTGCAACTGCAGTTGCTGCTGATGAAGATGCAGAAGACCGTTAGATATTAGTTGGTTGAAATTGTAGCAGTTGTGTATGAATTGAGTCATGAGTCATCGGATGTTAGAACTTAAAGAGGTTCTTAGATGGTAGTGTTGCATAAATTTCTTTAATAGTTGTATTTGGATTGTAAGTGATTTTGTTTTCGCACAAATTCATTCGCCTTCTTCATCATAATACAATTGAATATCGTGACTGCTTGGAGGCACAAGAATAATAAGAAAAACGACAATAACTAAAGAAAAAAAGTATAAAGCATGCACTTGAAAGACGAGTAAACCAAAAAAAAAATCATTATTATTATTATTGATTGTTCACTCACGATACGAAAACCAGTTAAAACAACAACGACTCAAATAAAAAAAAAAACATAAAACTTAGAATCATTCAACCACACACACAAACAAACACAACATAATATGACATGGTGCACAACACTCTACTCCATCTTCACGCCCTCCTCCTCCACCTTAACCTCCACCTCCATTCCATCACCACCATCACCGTCACCATCATCATTATCACTATCACTCTCCTCCTCCTCCTTGTCAAAATCTCCCTCCACAGAGACAACCCCATGGTCAACCGTGATCCTAACCGTGGTCGAAGGCGGTTCGCCATTGTTGGCTCCCTCCCCAAACTCAGGAGGGAGATCGGTCAACATGGTCCCGGGGAGGAGGAGGAGGTGTCGGGCCGATTCGACGACCTTTTCGACGATGGAAGGGTCCATCGGGATCGAAAACCACTCCACCACGTCGCGCAGCACGGCCACGGCCGTGTCAGCCTTGAGCAGCGGGCGGTGGGGGAGGGTGAAGACGCGGTGCCTCATCACGGTGTCTTCTTCGCCGTTGTCGGGGCGGGTCTCGGTGACCAGCACCACCACGTTGAGGCGGATGTCGTTGTTGTTGCCTGCCGCCGCCGCCGCCGCCATTAGAGATCAGAGAGAGCGTATTGAACTTATGTGAATTGCTATGTGTTTGTGTGGCGGTAACACGGTGTTGTCGACCAACCTTGAGAAAGTATTTATAGAGAAATGGATACCAAAGGTACGTAAGAGAGTTTTAATGGTTTGACTTATTTAAATTTATCCAAATTATGGAATGGGAATCTAGCTAGTATGGTTCGTTTCTTTTTGAAATTTTGTTACCTTTTGTAAGTTAGTACAGTGTGTAGTCTAATAGATTTTCTGTGTGTAGTAACATTGTTCGTGTTTCTCTCGATCGATATATTCGCGGTATCTGCAGTGCGATCGATTGTTTGCATTGATGCTTAACTGTCAAGTATCACCATAAGCGTGTGCCGCAGTTTGATTGTTACGTTGTATTATTACTTCTGATCATGATTGTGTTTTTCCGTAACAATAAATGATCAATACATAAAACCTTTCGAGTTTAAAATAAATTAAGGAAATGAATTTATGCGCCCGCATGTAATTTTAGTCTTTTTCATTTTTTATAACCTAATGTAGCATACGGTTTATAAATCTTCGTGCATATAGAATTCTTCATGCATGTCTCGATCGATTCAGTCTATCTGTTAATTGTTTGCTCGATACTTTGATAGTTGTCTGTATCAGTATTACTTATTGGCTCTCGTATTAACACAAGATCGAATTTCTCCATGCTAATGAAAATTGAAACAGTTATAACGATAATACGCAAAAAAAAAAACTTGTTTAGAGTGCAAACAATAAAAAATTTATTGAACAATATATTTTCCATATTATGGGTTGGTTCTAATAGGAAGAGAATTTTGATATATAGTTCTTATGCAAAATGGGAAAGAAATCCTTTATTTCTTTCTTGTTTTCGTGACAGTACATAGACATCATGAATTTGTTGCCTTCCATTCTAAAACATTGCTATAGACCGGAATTTTGTACAAGGGGGATGTTGAGTGGAAAGGATTTTAAATGTTTTGTCTTTATTTAAATAACAATTTATCCAAATTTTGTGATAGAAATTAAATGTGGTTCATTGTTGTTACCTTTTACTTTTAAGGCAGTATAGTGCATAGTTTATAGATTTTCTCGTGTATAAAATTCTTCGATTTATTCAATATTTTCATTGCTATCAATTATTCGCATTGCTTACTTGTTGTCGATATCACCATAGGTGTCATGTGTATCAATTTGATTAATATATTTGTACTGTCAATGCATAATAGGTTTATTGTGCACTAGCACAAATCTTACAAATGTTTCAAACAAACATAAAACCGCTGCAACAATAACCCAACACGCAAAACCTATTTGGAGTTCTTCATCTTTTAACGTGTAGAATCCTTCACATGTTTTGATTGTTTCAGTATCTCCGTTAATTGTTGGCACTACACTTAATAGTTGTGTATATTATCAACGCTACTTCCCACATTAACATAAAATTCCTCCTTAATATTAAGATTTTCAATAACTACCCTAAACAAATATAGAATCCTCGCGCGGGTGATGCGAAAGGGATCATTGATAAAGTCAATGCATGGGTGGTGACAGATGTACTTGGCGGAGCTATCTTGCAGGAGGTTAAGATGATGCTTCGTGATCGTCCGGATTACTCGGTGCGCTTGGTAGGTAGACAGTACAATAGGGTAGTCCGAATGGTGGCTAGAAAAGTCCTTTTTTGTCTCTGCCTATTCTGAGCAATTTTGATTTTTGCGCTTGGCTCCGTTCAGAGGTCTAAAACGTCGTATCTTTGTTATTCTTGATAATGCAAGCTAAATTTGATAGTAAAAAAAATATATAGAATCCTCGTAACATTAACATGTTTGTACGAATCTCTTTTTCTTTGTTGTTTTAGTAAGAATATTTAAATTAATATAATTTTTTATGGTTAAATAGTTAATTTTTTTGTGGGAATAGTTAAATATATTCTTATCAGAAGAAATCGAATTTTCGAAATTATTTTACAGAAACAAACTGATAAAATAAAACCTCCGGCGGTGTTTTTATCCCATTTGGTCTCCTCAGTTCTCTCCGTCCTTCGACTTGCGGCTTGCCTTTGTGTTCCTCTCTCTCTCTCTCCTAAAATTTCTCTCTCTTGAACAGAAAAAGGTGATGCCAAGTTACCTTCCCTTTCGTATACATCGAATTTACAGGAAAAAAGAAATAATGGATTCGATTCACGGTAACCAAAAATTGCCCCATCTTTCTTCTCATGACCTCCTCTGACCATTTTCGTCCCCTTATCTGCCCCTTCCCATTCCAAAACGGCGCAGGCAATTGGGGAATCGAGATTCCGATAGATAACAAACAAAAACCAGAGAAGAATCAAGGGGTAAAAGAAACCCACTTTGTGATTTTTTTAAGGGTTCTTCTGATTTGAATCGCCCGCAGAAAGTTCAGAACTTCGCCTGCTAGATGGGCGAATTGGAGGAGATTGCCGCTGATATCTGGTATGTTGCTCTTCATCCCGCTGGAATTTCAATTGGGGGTTGAACTTGTTTGTCTCTTGCATGCGTATGTGTTGAAAAGTTCGAATCTTTATGTTGATTGATATGGAATTTTAGCATCTGTTGTTTGGTTTGGAGTTTTGTTTTGATGAATTCGATGGCGGGAATACTTGGGTTTCATTTGAGAGGTAGATTGAGCTGTTTTGTTGCCAAGGTGATGAACTCGGAAATTGATTGGGTGATAAGATTCTGTTATGGTTTGGGAGTCGGAGTGGAAGATCTTGTGCTCGTAGTTATGATTTTCCCTTCATGAGTTGCTGCTATTGGGTTTGGTTTGCGGACAACTGATTGACTGATTTGGCAGCTCGGACATTGATGCTGACGACCTGAAGTGTGATAATATCGCGGAGAAAGATGTCAGCGATGAGGAAATCGACCCTGAAGAGCTCGAGAAACGGATGTGGAAGGATCGTGTCAAGCTCAAGAGGATCAAAGAGAAGCAGAGGATATCAGCACAGCAAGCCTTAGAGAAGCAGCAGAAGCAGCCCAAACAATCCTCTGACCAAGCTCGAAGAAAGAAAATGTCCCGAGCACAAGATGGAATCCTAAAGTACATGTTGAAGCTTATGGAAGTCTGCCAAGCACGGGGATTTGTGTATGGTATAATCCCCGACAAGGGAAAACCTGTGAGTGGAGCATCGGACAACATCCGAGCTTGGTGGAAAGAAAAGGTTAAGTTTGATAAGAATGGGCCTGCAGCAATTGCCAAGCACGAGGCAGAGTGTCTGGCAATGATGAACGAGGTGGGTGACAACGCTCGACATGGGAACTCCCAAGCTGTCCTCCAAGATCTCCAAGATGCGACGTTGGGGTCTCTTTTGTCGTCTCTAATGCAACACTGTGATCCACCTCAGAGGAAGTACCCACTGGAGAAGGGAGTTCCACCACCATGGTGGCCCAGTGGGAATGAGGATTGGTGGGGGAAATTAGGGCTACCCAGAGGGCAGATTCCTCCTTATAAAAAGCCACACGATCTCAAGAAGATGTGGAAAGTTGGGGTGCTTACGTCGGTCATCAAGCACATGTCGCCGGACATTGCTAAGATAAGGAGGCATGTCCGCCAGTCGAAGTGCTTGCAGGATAAGATGACGGCTAAGGAGAGTGCCATTTGGTTGGGAGTATTGAGTCGGGAGGAAGCCCTGGTTCGGCAGCCCAGTAGTGATAATGGTTCTGGGATAACTGAGGTGCCCCAGGGTGGTCGAACTGGGAAGAAGAAAGCTGTCGTGAGTAGCGATAGTGATTACGATGTGGAAGGTGTTGACGATGGTGTTGCTTCTGTGTCGTCTAGAGATAGCAGGAGGAATCATCAGGGTACTGATGTTGAGCCAGTGAGTAGTCCAAGGATGGAGTCTTCCAAGCCAGTTAAGGAGAAGGAGCAAACAGAGAAACCAAGGAAGAGGAAAAGGGTGCGAGACAAACCGAAACATGCTGAAGGGCCATCGACGAATGATGATCCTCAGCCTATGGTGGTTGAGCAGAGAACAACTAGTTTGCTTGACACGAATCAGACCGATATACGGCCTCTTGATAATCGTCAGATGCTTGCAACTGACCATGGAAGTCATCATCAGATGCTTGCAACTGACCATGACAGTCATCATCAAATGCTTGCAACTGGCCATGACAGTCATCATCAGATGCTTGCAACTGACCATGACAGTCATCATCAGATGCTTGCAACTGACTATGAAATTGATCCGAATGTCCGTCTTGAGGTTGAACCTAACCTTCCTACAACGGAGTTTAGCAACTACTTGTCTGGAATCCCATCTGGCATAGATGGAAGGCCTCAACCTTATGATCCATTGGCAGAAAGTTCAGACTTTTTTCATCATGGAAGCAGCTACGATTTCTATGCTCCGACAGTTGGCTTTGGTGAACATGCTCCACTGTCGGTGGATGCACCACATATTAGGCAGGAGCACAATGGATTCGAGGTACCAGGAGGACTGCCTGCGAATGAAACTGAGGTTGCAGGAGGAGGAGACCTGCAAAATTTTGCCAAGGACATATTTCCAAGCGGGCAAGACAGATACTTGGGGTCTCCATTCAACAATGTGCCTTTATTTGGAGACTTCAATAGCCCATTCGACTTGGATATTGATGAGGATCTGCTTGGGTGCTTTGGTGCATAAGTTTTGGTTGGAAGTTGACAGCATATTAATTCGATCGGTGTTTCTGATGATCATGCAGTATCTGCAGGAAGCACCGACCTTGTAGACCATGAAGGAACTGTTTCATCTTAAAATTGTAAGTTATATGCAATTCATGTCTGATCTTTAAACACACCTAGTGCTGCAAGAATAAAGAGAATTTTCCTTCATTTCTTCCATTACAGGAAACCCGATATATCCTTGATGCTAATTTGACCATTGAGGGTTTTGTAAATTAGATTAGACTGGAGAGATGATTGATGGCCATTGGTTAGATAGTTCCATTACTTCTTCTTCTTCTTCTTCTTCTTCTTTCCCTTGTAGCAGATAGAGGATTCAGCTAGAGCTTCTCATTGTTCTAACGACTGCAATGCCTATGAATATCAGACCTGCTGAAATGCCAAAAGAAACCAGACCAAAGTCTTGTTTGAGGTTAATTAGTCTGGTTTTGGTGCATCTGCAAGTGGATGTACTATGTCAGATGGAGATGTAAATCGCTCCTGAAAGTTTAGTGACATGTGAGACACTTTAGGAAGTATTTTTCTCATAGCTGGTGATACCCTTCTGAAATTTCATCGGTTTCTTTGTTCAATTACAGCAAGTGGTATTTTGCTCCGAATAAACCCAATCAAACGATGTCTAAGCCTTGTTATTGCTTCAAAATAGAGTTTCTTATATGCCTAAACATCTTGAAGGACTTGTTTCTTAATCTGGGGTGAAACTTGGAATCTTTCATGTTCTGGTAATAGCAAAGAAAATGACTATTCTGTAATTCTGTTTTTATCCCACATGGTTCCCCTGCAATTACCGTTGCTACACTGCCATCATTGCAGCTGCCAAAGAGCACAGCCATTCATCCAGCCGCCACCTGGCAAATCCGTACGAGAATTTCTGTCTCAAATCCCCCTCGCCAACTGTAATAATTGGCCAACTCTGCCCTTGGCTCATCGTTATGTATCCATTTTTTCACCGAGGATAGAAATGTCTACAGAAGCAGGAATCCCAGGTCTCAAAAATCAGAAACCCCATTCTTTTTTACCTTATTACCCCCCTACACATTTTGTGAAAATCGATCGTCAAGCCTCGTCATTGTTCATATCTCTTAGCTCAGCAAATCTCATCAGCTCTTGAATATTCCTCTGTTTTCCGTTCTTTCCCCAGAAGAACCAGTCTTTTTTCTACAATGGCGTCTGTCTCCAAGTTCCTAACTTTCATGCTCATTCTGATGATGGTGGCTCTGATCTCACTTGCTCGTAAGCTTTCTTTCTCTCTTCCCGCTCCCTTTCTGTCAGGTTTTGGTAGGGGGGTTTTCTCACCATGGAAAGCTTTTCTTCAGGTTTACAAGATGGGGAAACAGTAGATTTCGGAGGAAGCATAGCCAGGGGAGCCAGAAAGGTAAAAGGAACAAACTTTCTGCTGATTCCTTTCAGTGATTCACTTTCCCGTTCATGGGTTTTTCTGGGTTTTCTGTGTTCTCAATCGGGTGGGAACTTTTTCCCTTTGAAATCTCAGGATCTTGTAGGCAAGAAGGTGAACAAGCTGCCTGGTTTAGTAATGGAGGACTCTGCCCGTGAAGTACCAACAGGACCCGACCCGCTGCACCACCATGGTTCCCCTCCAAGCCCATGAAAGAAGCACTCGGGTCGGTTTCAGATTTTCGCCTGATTGTGTGAGGGTTTTCGGTTTTGTCTCCATTGAAGTGTTTCCATAGTTATATTTCCATCGATTTTACTGACAGAGGCGGGTACAGTTTTTGTTTGTTACTGTTGTTGTTTGGTGGAATTTCTAGGGACTTTAGCTAGAAACGAACAAGGATTTTTGTCTGGAGGAATGTATTTATGTCTCTGATCTACAGCTAGAAAACAACACAAGGTTTCAAAAAGAATGTCTTTCGAAAATCTCCATGGTTCTTTAGCTTCGATTGCTTCCCCATGTTGATTCTTTGCAGCCGTTTGTTTTTCTTCTTTCGGTTGTTTATATCTTAGATCCTTACATTCAAGTGTTGGGCTCAGTCTACGTCTCTAAGAAACAAGTCTTGGAAACCATCTATGCTTATTGGCATGGTGTTTGTTTTCAGTTCTCAACGTCAAGACTACACTCATTGAATTCGAAATTTAAGTTTGTTGTTTTTACTGTTCGTAACGCGAGTTATACTAATATATGGTATATCTTGTACAGTTGTACCTAACCCTGTGGTTAAAATCATTAAACTTTGAATAGGAAGATTCGTGATTCAAATCTGATTGTCATCATTGCTGAGAATACCACTCATAAAAAGTATCAATAATGTATCTTACATATTATCATGATTGAATCAACCGTTAATGTTTATAATTTACCTTAATTTTGACGGTTCCATACATGTTGTCATATCGTAGGAAACCTAGTCATACACCCGTAACTCCACTCGTACAAAAGTAATCTTGAAGAGCTAAATCAAGAATGAAAAAATCGTATTGTACTGGCGGTTCGACTAGAAAAATCTTTTACTGACAAGAGGTATATAACGGTTGAATCACAATTAAACCACAATTTCAGCATAAAATATTTTACCACTGACTTTTCCGATACAACCACTAACCTTATTTACAATTGTTGAGATAAATGTCTAAATGCTCTATAAAAACATCTCGTAAATCAAAATGAAGTGTACCAAATTAGGGCTGAGAATTGGTTCCGTTAATCGAAACCACACCAAAATTTCTTGTTAACCGCAATCGAAATGGAGTCATATACGCCAATCGCGACCGCACCGCAAACGGTTTGCGGTTAATCACTAACCGCAAAATGCGGTTAACCATGTTACTAACCATTTTTATGGTTGGGGGACATTTTGGTCTACGGTTGTGCCACTGCATCACGATTAATCACACTAACCGCGTTAGTAATCGGTTAAAATGCGGTTACATGTTGTTCGGTTGCGGCAAATCCAGAAACCGCAAAACAAGCAATATAGCTCATCGCGACCGCAAAATACCCTATTTTTTGATTTGCGGTTAACCACTAACCGCACGGTTTGAAGAATAGCATCAGAGCGAATCCGTGATCTGTAGCTTTCAAAATCCAAGAAAAATGGCCTTTCGAAAAAAAACTCCCCAAAAATTACTAAAATGTCATCCGAAAATTAATTTGCCCAAATTGTTGCTTAATATACTTAATCATTGGTGGATAATAGGATCAATAGACTTCATTATTGGTGGAGGATAGCCTCAGGTTGAATCCGAGATTTGTATCCTTCAAAATTGAAAGAACATGGCAATTCAGGAAAATCGCCCGAAATATGTGATGGTACCCTTTCAAAGTCTGCCAAAAATGGACCCGGAAGAAAAGCGTCCAAATTAATGCTTAATGGACTTAATCATCGTTGAAGAACAGCCTCAGCATGAATCCGTGATCTATAGCCTTCAAAATCTAAGGAAAATGGTCATTCGAAAAAACTCTCCCCAACAGTTACAAAAATGCCATCCGAAAAAGAATTCGTCCAAATCGGTGCTTAATGGACTTAATCATCGATGGAGATATGATCAATAGACTTCATTATCGGTGGAGAATAGCCTCGGGATAAATCCTTGATCTGTATCCTTCAACATTGAAAGAAAATGGTATGTCAGGAAAATCGCCTGAAATTTGAGATGGTACCCCCTTGGGAGTCTGCCAAAAATGGATCTGGAAGAAATCCGCCCAAATCGATGCTTAATGGACATAAGCATCGTTAAAGAATAGTCTCAGGCCGAATCCGTGATCTGTAGCCTTCAAAATCCAAGAAAAATGGCTTTTCAAAAAAATCACCCCAAAAGTTACGAAAATGACATCCGAAAATGAATTCGCCCAAATCGGTGCTTAATGGACTTAATCATCTGTAGAGAATAGGATCAGTAGACTTCATTATCAGCGGAGAATAGCCTCGGGATGAATCCTTGTAATGTATCCTTCAAAATCAAAAGAAAATGGTATTTCGGGAAAATAGCCTGAAATATGTGATGGTACCCCTTTGGAGTCAGCCAAAATGGACCCGAAAAATCCACCTAAATCGATCCTTAATGGACTTAATCGTCGTTGAAATATAGTCTCAGACCGAATCTGTGATCTGTAGTCTTCAAAATCCAAAGAAAATGGCTTTTCAAAAAAAATTAAGTTATGAATAATGCCATCCGAAAATGAATTTGCCCAAATCGGTGATTAATGGACTTAATCATTGATGGAGAATAGGATCAATAAACTTCATTATCGGTGGAGAATAGTGTCGTGCTGAATCCGAGATCTGCATCCTTCAAAATCGAAAGATAATGGTATTTCGAGAAAATCATCCAAAATCTGTGATGTTACCCCTTTGGAGTCTCTGCCAAAAATGGACTTGGAAGAAATACGTCCAAATCGATGCTTAATTCTATTAAGCATCGTTGAAGAATAGCCTCAGGCCGAATTTGTGATTTGTAGCTTTCAAAATTCAAGGAAAATGGCCTTTCGAAAAAAATCACCCCACAAGTTACGAAAATGTCATCCGAAAAAGGAATTCGCCAAAATTGGTGCTTAATGGACTTAATCATCGGTGGACAATAGAATCAATAGACTTTGTTATCGGCGGAGAATAGCCTCGAGATGAATCCGGGATATGCATCCTTCAAAACTGAAAGAAAACGATATTTCTGGAATATCGCCTGAAATCGGTGATGGTAGCCCTTTGGAGTCTACCAAAAATAGATCCGGAAGAAATCCGCCCAAATCGATGCTTAATGGACTTAAGCAGCGTTGCTGAATAATCATAGGCATAATTCGTGATCTGTAGCCTTCAAAATCCAAGAAAAATAGCATTTTCGAAAAAAATTGTCCTATTATTTACGAAAATGTCATCCAAAAATGAATTCGCAAAAATCAGTGCTTAATGGACTTAATCATCTATGGAGAATAGGATCAATAGACTTCATTATTGGTGGAAAATAGCCTCGGGCTGAATTCGGGATCTGTATCCTTCAAAATCGAAAGAAAATGGTATTTCGGAAAAATCACCCGAAATTCATGATGGTACCCCTTTGGAGTCTGCCAAAAATGGACTCGGTAGAAATCCGCCCAAATCGATGCTTAATGGACTTAAGCATCTTTGAAGAATAGCCTCAAGTGAAATCTGTGATCCGGAGCCTTCAAAATCAAAGAAAAATGGTCTTTCGAAAAAAATAACACCAAAAGTTACGAAATTGCCATCCAAAAATGAATTCCCCCAAATCGGTGCTTTATGGACTTAATCATTGGTGGAGAATAGGATCAATAGACTTCATTATCGGTGGAGAATAGCCTCGTGCTGAATTCGGGATATGTGTCCTTCAAAATAAAAAAAATGGTATTTCGAGAAAATCGCCCGAAATCTGTGATGGCACCCCTTTGGAGTCTGCCAAAAATGGACCCGGAAGAAATCCGGCCAAATCGATGCTTAATGGACTTAAGCATCGTTGAAGAATGGCCTCAAGCCAAATCCGTGATCTGTAGCCTTCAAAATCCAAGGAAAATGGCTTAAAATAAATCACCCCGAAAGTTACGAAAATGCCATTAGAAAAGGAATTCGCCCAAATTGGTGATTAATGGACTTAATCATCGGTGAAGAATAAGATCAATAGACTTCATTATCGGTGGAGAATAGCCTCAGACGGAATTCGAGATCTGTATCCTTCAAAATCGAAAGAAAATGGTATTTCGGGAAAATCGCCCGAAATCTATGATGGTACCCTTTTGGAGTCTGCCAAAAATGGACCAGGAAGAAATACGCTCAAATCGATGCTTAATGGACTTAGCATCATTCAAGAATAGCCTCAGGCTGAATCTGTGATCTATAACCTTCATAATCCAGGAAAAATGGCCTTTCGAAAAACATCGCCCCAAAAGTTACAAAAAATGCCATCCGAAAATGAATTCTCCCAAATCGGTGCTTAATGGACTTAATCAATGGTGGAGAATAGGATCAATAGAATTCATTATCGGTGGAGAATAGCCTCGGGAGGAATTCGGGATCGGTATTCTACAAAATCGAAAGAAAATGGTATTTCAAGAAAATCGCGTGAAATCTGTGATGATACCCCTTTGGAGTCTGCCAAAAATGGACCAGGAAGAAATCCGCTCAAATCGATGCTTAATGGACTTAAGCATCATTCAAGAATATCCTTAGGGCGAATCTGTGTTTTGTAGCATTCAAAATCCATGAAAAATGGCCTTCGAAAAAAATCACCCAAAAAGTTACAAGAATGCCATCCGAAAATGAATTCATCCAAATAGATGCTTAATTGACTGTGATGGTACCCCTTTGAAGTCTACCAAAAATGGACCTAGAAGAAATCTGCTCAAATCGATGGTTAATCGACTTAAGCATCGTTGAATAATAGTCTCAGGCCGAATCCGTGATTTGTAGCCTTCAAAATCCAAGAAACATAGCTTTTCGAAAAAATTGCCCCGAAAGTTACGAAAATGCCACGCGAAAATGAATTCGCCCAAATCGCTGCTTAACGAACTTAATCATCTGTGGAGAATAGGATCAATAGACTTCATTATCGATGGAGAATAACCTCGGGCTGAATCCGGGATATGTATCCTTCAAAATAAAAAAATTTGTATTTCGGGAAAATTGCCCGAAATCGGTGATGGTATACCCCTTTGGAGTCTGCCAAAAATGATCCGGAAGAAATCCGCCCAAATCGATGACAATAAACCTAAGCATCGTTGAAGAATAGCCTCTGGACGAATCCGTGATATGTAGCCTACAAAATCCAAGAAAAATGGCTTTTAAAAAAATCGTCCGAAAAGGTACGAAAATGTCATCCGAAAATGAATTCGCCCAAATCGATGCTTAATGGACTTAATCATTGGTGGACAATAGGATCAATAGACTTCATTATCAGTGGATAAAAGCCTCGGGCTAAATTCGGGATCTATATTCTTCAAAATCGAAAGAAAATGGTATTTCGGGAAATTCGTCCCAAATATATGAAGGTACCCCTTTGGAGTTTCCTAAAAATGGACCCGGAACCTCCAACATCGATATTTAATGGACTTAAGCATCGTTGAAAAATAGCCTCACGCTGAATACGTGATCTGAAGCATCCAAAATTCAAGGAAAATGGTCTTTCGAAAAAAAATTACCCCAAAAACTACGAAAATGCCATCTGAAAATGATCTGTAGCGTCCAAAATCGAGAAAAAAATAGTATTTCGGAAAAATCGCTTGAAAACTATAATGGTACCTCTTTGGAATCTGCCAAAAATGGGCCCGAAAGAAATCTACCTGAATCCGTGCATAATGGACTTACTCGTCGTTGAATAATAGTCTCAGGCCGAATCCGTGATCTGTAGCCTTCACAATTAGTGGAAAATGGCCGTTCAAAAAAAAAAAGGTCCCAAAGAATTACGAAAATACCATTCGAATATAAATTAGTCCAATTCTATTCCTAACAGACTTAATCATTGGTGGAGAATATGATCAATAGACTTTATTATCGGTGGGGAATAGCCTCGGACAAAATCTGTGATCTGTAGCCTCCAAAATTGAAAGAAAATAGCATTTTCGAAAAATTTGCTGAAATCTATGGTGGTGCCCCTTTGGAATCTGCCAAAAATGGGCCCGGAATAAATCCGACTGAATCCATGCTTAATAAACTTACTAGTCATTGAAGAATAGCCTCAGACCGAATTCGTGATCTATAGCCTTCAAAATCCATGGAAAATGGCATTTCGGAAAAAAATTGCCCAAAGAATTATGAAAATGTCATCCCAAAACAAATTGGCCCAATTCTATGCCTAATGGACTTAATCAATGGTGGATAATATGATCAATAGACTTCATTATCGGTGGAGAATTTCCTCGGACTAAATCCGTGATTTGTAGCCTCCAAAATAGAAAGAAAATAGCATTTCGGGAAAAAAAATAACCCAAAGAATTACGAAAATGTCATCCAAAAAAACCGGCCAATTTTATGCCTAATGGAATTAATCATTGGTGGAGAATAGGATCAATAGATTTCATTACCGGTGGAGAATAGCCTTGGGTGAATCCGTGACCAGTAGCCTCCAAAATGGAAAGAAAATAGCATTATGGAAAAATCGCTCGAAATCTGTGATGGTACCCCTTTGGAATCTGCCAAAAATGGGTCCGGAAGAAATCCCTCCAAATCCGTACATAATGGACTTACTCGTCTTTGAAGAATAGCCTCAGGCCGAATCCATGACATGTAGCCTTCAAAATCCATGGAAAATGGCCTTCCGAAAAAAAATTGCCCAAAAAATTACGAAAATGTCATCTTAAAACAAATTGACCCAAATCTAAGCGTAATGGACTTAATCATTGGTGGAGAATAGGATAAATAGACTTAATTATCGGTAGAGAATAGCCTCGATCTGAATCCGTGATATGTAGCTTCCAAAATCGAAAGAAAATAGCATTTCGAAAGAATCGTCGGAAATCTATGATGGTACCCCTTTGGAATCTGCGAAAAATGGGCCCTGAAGTAATCCGCCCGAATCGTTGCTTGATGGACTTAATCATCGGTGAAGAATAGCCTCAGGCTGAATCCGTGATCTGTAGCCTTCAAAATCCATGGAAATGGCCTTTCCCAAAAAATCGCCCAAAATATTACGG